AGGCCGCATCTTCAAGTATTGGGTCCGTCTATGTGGCATCATGGGGAAAGTCTCCCAGGCACTGTCCGCGTCGGTTGACTCGACCTCTGCTCCATTCCCCACAGGACTGAGACAGGAGCTCGTGGAATGGGTTCAATCATTGCCCCCGGATCTTCAGCTTCCGATTGGTTCGAGCCGTACACAATCGTTTGACCGCGACGTCCATCAATTGCATCTTCCTTACCTCACAACCATCATTGTCATGCATCTCCAAAGAACAACCCCAGATCTGCCACAGGCTCTCCCCCCAGCCATTTTGGCCGCTTCGTGTATTGCGAGGGTTCTTCGAGATATTTTATCCCGTGGAAATGCGCGTTTTCTCATGGCCATTACGTGCTGGTACTGCGGCACGGCCTTTATTGCTCTTCTCCAAGCGAGTCGAATCAGGCAGTTCTCGCAGGAAGCCGAGGAGGGCCTAGACATTTTGAACCAGGCGGTTGCTCAGCTTCAGCACATGTGGGCATCTGCCAACGTCATACGACAAGGCTTCGAACGACTCCGGGCGCTGCCTCGTACCATGATGCACCCCGGCAGAAGCAGAGCCAGTGAGCCTAATGGGCAGAGCAACGGTGGTCGAGGAGCGTCAAACTTATCTACCGACTTCGACTGGACGCGTTTGTTTCCGTTTGTGACCAGATCGACTGGTCGGATAGCAGATTGTCTCCTTGCTGACAATGAGTTTGGCACCACCACAACCGCCCTGCCTTCACCAGAGAATGCGGCATTCCACGAAGACTTGCTCAGTCGCTATCAGGATCTGTTGGAACCGTTCGTTGATTATAATTTTGATTTCTCGAGTGTCAACTTGGACATCTTGTAACTGTGCGCATGGTTGGCATAGAATCACATCACAAGTGGTAAATAGCGTATTTGTAATCGTCTTAATGCAAGTTTGAACACATATAAACAAGTGAAATGCTGCTACATCAGCTCATCTAACTAAACTAGTGGTGTTTGACTACAATCCTAACATGCAAGCGTTTCTGCCTTCTCCACATACCAAGACAGGTCACTCTCGGGATCCATCTCAAAAGCCGTAAAACCATTGCCCATGAACCTGAATGGATTTGAGGTGTTGTAAGTGATGTCGAAATCCTCGGCACGGATATCACCGAGCATTCGATTGAAGAGATGTGCGCTGCCGCCAAACAGCGCTGTAACCCGCCCGTCAACCTTGCCTCTCTTGTACCAGCTGGTGCAGCCACCGCTCCAGACAAGGGTCTTGTGGACCTGGTCGCAATACTTGATGAAAGCATCAACCTTGTCTTGCTTGGGAACAACGTGCTTGATATCCTCGGTTGCCATCTTCTTGATCCACTTGACAAAGTAGTCACCTGTCCAGTTGAGAGATTCTACGAGTGACCCGTGTCCGCCGAGACAGTTTGGGCCCATCATCATGAAGTAATTGGGCATGGACGGTACAGCGACTGAGACGTATGCTTCGGGATCCTCCTTCCACTGTTCTCGGAGATCCACGTTGTTCAAGCCAATCATGGGATAGTGTGGTCGGAAAGAGACATCAAAGCCGGTAGCGTAGATGACTAGTTGTGAGTTGGTCAGTCTTGTAACAGCCAGTAATCAGGTTAAATGGGATTTACTTACTGACGTCCACCTCATGCTCCTTGCCATCGGCAGTCCGAAGGCCCTTCGCCGTCACTTGTGTGATTGCACTATCCGTCAGATGACAGTTTGGTCGCAGGAACGATTCCAGATATCCAGGCCCTGGCGTTATACGACGGCAGCCCAACTCCCACTTGGGGATCAGTTTTGAGCATAGGACGGGATCATGGCCAAGCTTCTCGGCCATTTGCTCAGCCGCCATCTTCATGCCTGCTTCGTTGTTCTCACCTCTTCTGAAAATGTAAAAGGACTTGTTGGTTCGTGAGATGATGCCTTTGCGGTGTTGAAGATGAAGCTCTGGGTCTTGGAAACGGGCCCTATCCTGTTCTGAGTATCGAGGGTTTGGGTCATCATCCTCTCTGCCTAGATGTTTCGAGGGAGGGGCTCGGTAAAAGACCCATGCAGGGCCTCGGACAAAGTTGGTGACCTCGGTGCCAGGCAACTTGGCCATCTGAGGAACTATCTGGATGCCCGACGAGCCATTACCAATCACAGCTATGCGCTTGTTGGAATAGTCATAGTCGTGATCCCAACTTGCTGAATGGGTTGTATGGCCCTTGAAGTCTTTCAGTCCAGGAATCTTTGGCCACGACTCGTGTCTTTGGGCAGTTAGTTCCGTTGCACGTGGGCGTAGAGAGATGTATAGGACTCACACAAGCACTCCCTGAGCCGAGATCAACACGTGACAGTACTCCTCTCTCTGGATGTCTTCATGCTCTACCGTAACCTTCCATTGGCCTAATTGATCCAGCCACTCAGCCCCGATGACCCGGGTGTTGAGCTGCAAGTCACGATCAAGGTTCCATTTCCTGACTGTTGCTTTCATGTAAGACAGGATATCACCTCCACTGGCATAGAACCTCTCCCAGTTGGGGTTGGGGTCGAAAGGAAATGCCTGCATGTGATTAGATCAAGCGCGGGTGATGGAATTGGGGCCAACATACATAGATGTGAGCTGGGACGTCGCATTGAACGCCAGGGTAATTGTTCGCCAGCCATGTGCCACCAATGTCGCTTCGGGCTTCAAAGATGGTATGACCTACGATGTCTTCCATCTCAGGAAAGCGATGTTGAAATTTGTGTGCCATGAGAAGACCGGAGAAGCCAGCGCCAATGGTGATGACCTTGATCCTGCGCGGCGTATATGCAAACTCTTGGCTGAGCTTGAAAGGATCTTTGCTATGCCCGTTGGTATAGCCATTGGTATGGCTGTTGGCTCCATTACGGATCTCATCGGTCTTCATGACGAGCTCTGGAAGCTCTGTTGCTGGCATCCCCGACAGATCCTCGGCCGCTTGGGCCTTGGCCTCTGGAGATTCGACGAAGGCGGGCATGGTAACAGATGCTTGATCGCGCAAAGGGATATGTGTGAGTTTTTGCCTGGTCTCTGTCGTGAAGATGGATCAAATCTTCACTGGGACGCTCAATATATCTCACAAGGGATGAGATCTCGCACGCAAGAGGGTTACGTTCTGGAGCAATCTACATTAAGCGGCTTGCCATCACCACCCCAATCTAGTTCGGCAAAGTCTGTCTTGGACCCCCGTGCCATGGATCCCTCCCAGGCCTTTCCCAGAGCGATCCATAGCCAAGCATACATGCCGAAGTTCTGTTTGCTACTGCACAAACATTCGGCAATCAAAAGACAACACAGTCCCGGTGACTTCGGCTATCCCAATCTGGAATACCGACTCTTGGTCGATGTCGGATGTCAAGTGCGGGGTCGGCAAACGATGCCCGTAAGAGCAGCAGGCCCTCTGAAATCAGCTCTACATTATTGAGGGGTTCGTCGATGTGCTCAATTACTGTCTCATCATATGTAGCCTAAAGCTCGCCATTAATTAACCGGAAATAATCTATAGTGTCACTTGCATCTTTGGTCACCTGAACATCTCTCACGCAATATATCCAACCATGGCTCTAGATCGTTACTCTTACAATGGCCCCATAGACCACACAGTCGCCCCCAAACTAGAAAATGTACGGGGAAAGTCCGTCATCGTTACTGGGGGAGCTAATGGCATGGGCGAAGCTTTCGTGAGAGACTTCGTCTCTGCTGGCGCCTACGTGACCTTTGCAGATGTCAACGAGCAGCGTGGCCAAGCAATTGAGTCTGAGCTCAATGCTAGTGGAACAACATGCCATTTCGTGAAATGCGATATTAGAGATTGGGATCAACAAAAGGTAGTCTTTGAAAAGGCCAAAAGTCAGAGTCCAAGCAACAGTGTCGACGTTGTGATTGCAAACGCTGGCATCAGCCGGAGCTCTGGCGACAGTCTATGGAACTTGGACGGTGAGTGTTGACGTGCATGCTGAATTACGAGGCAAGTAGTGGGCAATAGAAATCCGACTGACAGATCTTAGACCCTAATGGCGAGCCAACAAAGCCCGACTTGAACATTGTTCGCGTCAACATTGACGGGACATTCTATACGTGGAAACTGGCGGTCCATTATTTCCGCAAGCAGCCGGTGAATGATGAGAGAGACCGTTGCTTCATCATCACAGGCAGCATGGTGGCGTGGATAGACTCTCCCGTAAGTGAACATTCCGGCTGTGCAGCAGTTCTCTATCTGACCGAGATGCGGCAGGGTAACTGGGAGTACACGGCCACAAAATATGGATTGCGCGGCTTCATGCGAACAGTTCGAAGATCCAGTCATGAGCAATCTATACGGATCAATTACGTCGCACCATGCTGGATCAAGAGTGCCATCCGAACAGCCGAGTACGAAAAGTGGTTAATCGACAACGGGGTCGAGTTTGGCGAGCAGAAGGATGTCTCAAGCTGCATGTTGCGAATTGCTACTGATAAGTCTATTAATGGTCAGCGACGAAAAGATTGCCGAGGTTTTATATTTACTGACGTTTCTCATAGGCCGTTCTCTGATGATAACCCCTCGCACTATCGCAAAGGAGGGATTTGTGGATATTGACAGAGAAGACTACAAGGATACCCCGGAGGATGAATATTTGAAGAGGGTACAGGCCTCTCAACTAGTGATCATTAAAGACAAATGGCTGGATGACTACAAGGTCAGGATATATAAGGATTGAATCGAGCATGTGACGCAGACGGGTGCTTCCTGTAGCGTAGCCTGTGGGTTGAAATGAATACAGGTAAATCCAAACGGGCAGCTGGACTGGGACTCAACTCAGGAACGCCCATTTGTCGCTTATTCATGGTCTACATCTTCGACCCCAACACCGCTGTCAGCGTGTCCAAGATGATATCCGCCCTTGTTTCCCAAGTGAGATAAAATCCCAACCTAAGGGCAAGGATCAAAGAGCCTGCGTGACATATGAGCAGGGAGAGGGACTCGGAAGGATATAACAAAGCTTCAATCCCCCCCGAGCAAGGCCACGCAAAGGTCCTCGTAGTCACCACGTAAGGCCTCCTTCACATCAGTCTTCAGAGCCTTTCTGTATACAGTCTTGTAGGCATCCTTAGCAGCAGCCAGGCGGGGAGGGTTCCAGTACAGCGAAGTGAGGCGGTAAATGAACTGCTTATCCTTGACACCCATCCTACCCATAAGAGGGCTGTGGAGCCACTGAGCATCGGCCTTGGCGTGGTCGCTGGACATGAGGAGTATGTGGAGCAGCGCGTCCTCCGTGTCGCCGCGAAATTCTTTCTCAATGACATCCTGCAGGGGGCGATGATATTTGTTGCGGTAGGCCTCGCTGATGGCACGGATTTGGGCCTCATTCGAATTGATAAAGATCTGGGCAACGGACACAGCACTGGCACCAACAACGCCCTCGGTTGAGCGATGCAGCTCCGTGACCTTGCTTTCGACATCAAGTGGGTTGACTGGTGCAGAGGGCTCAGCGCTCCCGGCGGCTAGAGCCATGCTGTAGATGCGGAAGAGTGTGTCGTTGACCTCGCTCTTAATCTCCGCCAGGAGATCCTTGCCCCCAAGGCGCTTGTACTCGGCCACAATGGCCTTGACGTCAGCATTGGTCCGGCAGAGGAGGACATCGGCAAGGGCAGTCTCGTCAGTACCGGCGCGGTCCATGGCTTTGTGCAGTGTGCGCACGTCGTTGTCGAGCGGACCACGGATGAGAGCTAGCAGGGCGTCCTCGAAATCGCCACGCGTCTCGCTCTTGATGTCATTTGCAAGATCACGGAGGAAGCGCTTGTTGTAGTCGGCGACGAGCTGCTGCATGGCCCAGGGATTGACGTACTTGGGGCCCGTGAGGATCTTGATGAGGGCCTTTTCGTCACAACCCATGCCCTTCATGGCCTTGCGCAGGCCCTCAACATCAGCATTCGTGTCGACGGGCTGGTAAAACTGCTTCTGGGAGACATCGTATCCGGGGGAAGGGGGAGCGGGCGGGCCGGCAGGTAGCTGGCCGTATGGCTGGCCAAATGGCTGCTGCCACTGCTGAGGCTTTCAAAAGCATGTAAGCAGGCGCGCATGTCATTGACGGAGGGAGGTGCTCACGGGTGCCGCCCCGAAAGGCGGTTGTTGGTTGTACTGATATGCGCCTGACTGCGCGGGTTGGCCAAATGGCACGCCATATGCCTGCTGCTGACCATACTGCTGCGGGGGAGGCTGGTTGGAATAGCCCTGATGAGGAGGGGGTTGTGTCTGTCCCGGAAACTGCTGTGGCGGTGGTGGTCCGTAAGGCTGAGCTGGCGATGCTTGTCCCGAGAACTGCTGCGGGGGCTGGCCGGGATACGGAGGTTGACCCTGGGGGGGATACTGCTGCCCATGAGCAGCCCCGTACGGCTGCTGGAAGTGTCCGGCGGGGGGGGCTTGGCTTGGAGGTGGCTGATAGCCTTGATAACCACCTGACGGGGGTTGGTCGTACTGCTGCTGATAAGGGTTCATCTTATTGTGTACAGAGTACCTCGTGTGGGAAAGATGGGATTGATGGGTGGAGAGGGTGTGGCTCTTCTGCTACGGGGAGCGAGAACAGTGAGGGTGCAGGTGGGAAGATATAGACTTAAAATAGAGATGAGGGCACCAGGGCGAGAAACATGCTTATCTAGAAGATAAACTTTGTGGAGAGAGCTTCAGCCGAAAAGCCTCTCGCGAAGGCGCATGCTGCGGCTGTGGCTGATGGATGCCTACCCATGCTCGACTCATGACGCAAGCTCATTAAGGGGAGGCCTCCGGAGAGCGAGCCCATTCGGAAAAGGGGAAAGTCTTAGATGCCTGCCAAGGGCTGACAAACCAATCACGGAACTGAAAGCAAATCGTTAACTATTCGGGGTGCTACATGAGGGTGATGGCGGGCGGCCTCAATGGCGGCGCAGCGAACCAACAGCATCGCATCAGGCTGATTCAGGGTCCAGGACAAATGAACTATGCCGGAACCAGCCACGAGCTGATCTGCCTTGCCTACATAGCCTAGCCTACACTACATCGTATACCTCGTACTGTACATATTAGACTATGCCGTAGCTTGGGGAAATTGAATCCATCCTCGACCCCTCAAATCACAACCTTCACCTCGCTCGTCCTCCTAGATTGCTCTCGCGAACTCATTTCATTTCGGCGATACTAGAACTCGAAGATAGGCGCCTTAGCCTGACCGTCACTAGTTTCCTGTAATCGACACTCTGACAAGAAAAGCACAATGGGAGTAAGTCTTGAACGTGATTGACGCTGCTCAAAGGCATTGCCCATCAAAAGCCCCCCACTTCCAAGTAATCGGTCGCTGACTTCTTGGTCTTTTCGTTTAAAGCTTGCATCCAAGCTAGGAGCTGCTGCTGCCATGGCGCCAGTCGCCTCGGCGCTGCTCTCAAACAATGGACAACCACTCCAGGGCCAATACCCTTCATATGGGCAACAACAACAACCTTATGGGCAGCATCCACCACAGCAATCATCATCTCAGTGGACGCAGCCCCCTCATGGACAACAGAAACCTTATGGTTATGGTCAAACGTCATTCCAACAGCCGCCTCATGGGCAGCAGCAGCAATATTACGAACAACAGCAGCCATATGGACAGCAACCGCCGTATGGACAACAGCCACCGCATGGTCAACAGCCACAGTCACAGTATGGCCAACAACAACAGCAGCTTCATTATGGACAGCAACAACCCTATGGACACCAGCCACAGTCACAGTATGGACAACAGCTACCACATGGTCAACAGCCACAGTCACAGTATGGCCAACAACAACAACAGCTTCATTATGGACAGCAACAACCCTATGGCCAACAGCAATCCTACGTACAAGCTCCCTATCAGCAACAGGGCTACGGTGCTGGATATGTATGTTCCCTTCCTTTCAACTCCAAGAGAACTCTTCGAATTCAGCTAACCAAATCTCATCTAGGCCCAAAATGCACAGAACCCCGGGTACAATGTCCCTCCCTGCCAACCGCCACCGCTCCAGCAGCCTGTTGGCCCAGCCTTTGAAGCCTTCAAAAGAATCCTACACCAAACGATACAAGAACGGAATCTAGCGTCATTCTACCCGTTCCCTTCACCGGTTGTCGACGACCTTGCATGCCGAGCCTCGCAACAAGTAGGTCAGCTGTGCCAGAAATGGCGTCTCCCATGGGAGATCGGTAGCGACTTGGCGAAGCTGGGCCTGTATGATGTCGTCCTATATGTTGGTCAGTATGCAAAATGTCCGATAGCGAGACGAACTTCCTCGCTAATATGATACATGTGCCGCAACGCAGATGACTCGGGATCTATGCGATTTGAAGAGAATGGCGAACGCATCAAGTATCTCCAATCAATCCTACAGCGTGTAACGTACGCTGCCACCCTTTTCGACAACGACGGAATATCAGTGCGGTTCATGAACAGCACCCCTCCAACGCACCTCATCAATGGCATCCGCGATGATCGGCAAGTCGAAACTCTCATGCAGTCCTTGCAGTACAAGGGCCTGACCCCTATGGGTACGGAGCTGAGAAATAAAGTCATTAACCCGCTGGTCGTCGGCAAAGCGCGCTCGGGAGAGCTGCGGAAACCAGTCTTGGTGGTTGTGCTAACGGATGGACAACCATCGGGCGAGCCGGATAGCGCCATCTTCGACACCATCAGGTACACGAACGCGCAACTGCAACAGAGCCGGTACGGTGCCGGTGCCGTGGCGTTCCAGATTGCCCAGGTCGGGAACGACCAGGAAGCCAGGTCCTTCCTGGCAAAGATAGATAGAGACCCGGTCATTGGTGCTCTCGTGGATTGCACAAGCAGTGGGTCTTTCTTGCTGCCCGCTCTCATCTTTGCAATCAGCCTTCTGACATGTGCGACTAGATTACGAGAATGAATCTGCCGAGATGGCTCAATCGAATCCTCCGGTCGACCTTACCCCCGAACTTTGGCTCGTCAAGCTTCTCCTGGGTGCCATTGATCACTCCTATGACCGAAAGGATGAAAAGGGTCAGACGTTCGCATGATAGGGTGTGCTACTTATAAATTGTTGATACCGCGCTTGCTTGGAATGATAATAAACGCCTAGTGTGCACACATATGTAAGAGCGCTTCTTGCAACATTTGCCTCGACCTACCCTACCCTACTGCGCTTTCAGTCTCGCCTCAACACATGCACCTGGTACGCCAGGCACAAGCCAAACTTGCACAAAGCTCCAATCCAGCTGCGTCAAACAGTTTCGCGAATCCAGCTTCAGTGCGCTCTTTTCCGCCCATTGTCATCGCAGCTTGATCCATAACAGCAGGCGGGAAATCGGCTTCGCTGACATGTGCGGGCAACACCATGTCGCATACGAGGACCCCCGATCAGTCAACATTGCCTCCGCAAGCTTAGTTAGAACCTGGATGTCGACTGGATCTGAGTAGTTGTGCATGATCATGCGCATGAAGTATGTCTTTGCGCCTGTGAGAATTTGGTCAATCAGCATCTGAAAGCGGGTGGAAGGGTTATGGGCGACAACACCACACATCCTGCCTTTCGGGCCCATCGTCACCCTAACAGCGCAATGCAAGAACTTTTGGAGAGTTTCATATTTTATTGTAAAGATGCCTCCGACGGCGAGATCACGCGTTTTTCGGCTGAAAACGCGTGAACAAACAGCCCCACTGTCTCTGAGTGCCAAGGGAGGCTCAGAGACATGATCCTTCTTCTTCCAACGTCGCGCCGACGCGCCGAAACCGACCAATGAGCCTCAAGAAACACCAAAACATCACAGTCCCAGTACAGCAAGGGAAGTCATGCCCCCTTTCAAGTACGCCAAAGGATGGAAAATAGCCGTGGTTCCCCCATTGTTCCTGCCCGACAATCGTTTACAGCATCGGAGCTCGAGGTTTAAGCGGCCGAGGCACATAGTACGAAGAAGATCGTCAGAACGACATCGAACACGCTAGACTATAGAATTAAACACATCGCGAGAACTTAGTTATCCCCCTGAAGGAGAGTGGTGAGAATGTATCCGGGACACACCCCTGGCTCGTCAACAGAGAAGCCATTTTCTCGGAAACGAAGAAGTATATGTTAGAAGGATGATATGAGGGAAGAGAAGCGCTCGATGTTCGCGGAACAGCGCTGCTTTATACTCATATGTGATCTAGTTAACTGCGTCATAGTCTCTTTAAAGGTGGGTACGACTTGAAAGAAAATGCGTATACAAAGGGGCGAAGCGTGACCAGTATTAACTAAAGGCAAATGATCTTGAATGGGCCTCGGTGACTCCTGAATGACACCATCTCGGTAATTACTTTCATGGAGTAACATTCGCTAATAGTATCCACCAAGCTTGGGAGTTTGCGTGCAGTTCTGTCGCTTATACTAAGTTCAGCGCCGGGTCTTCCCTTGACGATGTGAGTGATTACGGTATGAAATGCGATTATGATATTTCGATTACGGTTTATATGTGTCCGGAGAAATGATTGTTAGCATATTTAGGTCACTTGCAAAGTTATGATCATTTTAATAAACAGGAAGTCCCGTACTACAATGTACAATATTATACGGAGCTCAAAACACCGCGTGCCAACAATTCTATCCGTGTCCGGGGAACTCTAAACTAACAATACATGGTAAATCCGCCGAAGATATTGAAAATTAAAATTCCATGCCACATGGAATGAACACTCATTGCTGATGAGCGACCATGCCTCCCACCTGCTTATAGCCGTTTCTGTCGACCATAGGGACCAAGCGAGCTCTGACCTCATTATCAGCTTGGATAATCTGGCAACATTGACACCAAAACGCCGTGCAACAATCGCCGCATCCACTCCCAGGAATTCCAAAGCGTTGGCGGATATCGCCTCGCTTTATCATGGTGTAAATCCAGCCACTTCCAAAAAGCAATGAAAGACCAGCATGGATCATGCAGTCGCCATTACACATATCGGGAGACTGAGAAGTAGGGTTCTGCAGTCTAGAAGCGGTTCTCCCCACGACTGTGTTTTAGGCTATCAATTACAATGCTCAAATTCAAGAATGTTTATACTTGGGAAGAATACTTACCCAGACATGGCATGAAAGAGCCAAGACAACAAGACCCACAAGGCGAGCAGTCACAGAGGCCTGACTGCCAATCACCTCCCCTGATCTCTCCTGCAGCCGGATCCATTAGATGTCCCTGCTCGCCGTAGTGATTGGGACGAGTGTTGGATTGGCCGTTTTGATACGGCGGCAAAGAGATTGGCTCGGGATTAGACTGACCGTGAGACTTGAGATTGGACATGATAAATTGGGGCAACAAAGAAGAAAGAAAAGACGTGCAAAGTTGAAGAGGGAAATCTACTACAATCTTCTTGATACGACTCCATGAGCGTGCTTTATAGGCTATACACCAGCCAAATTCCACAGGGTCGTTAGAGAGTGGAACCCACCAGGAGCAGGGTAGTTCCGGAACCAGTGTGGAGAAGCGAACGGCATTCAACGTATACGCAATTTTAGTACCGAAAGTCTTAAAATGCGTATTCACATGTGGGCCGAGCAGTTCATCTAGCTTGATTGACCAGTTGTATACTACCCATTCTCCCCAGCTAACTGTCAGTACTTGAAGAAAAGTAATTTCCTTCATCTTTGATTACATTATTTCGGGTATGATAAGCGTATTGTGTTTTCACCTGATGCCTCGAATGGCCCAATCTACACTAAGTGGGAATACACATGGGGTGAGGCAATATTATATTGCAAGGGGCGATCATTGTACGGTGTGCTTTTTAGATTTCCGAGGCGAAAAAACACCATCTCTAGTTCGTTTTGGGACGTCCCAAAAATGCGTATTGCTTAGTCTGGGGGATGGAGCTGGAGGTGGGTAATATTTATGAATACGGAGTACATCTTACCTCCAACGACTGAGATGTAGCAAATTTTCTAGCGTGAACTACTGGTAGATCCCCTCTGAAAATCAATTCTCGACACGACTATTAGACCTACATATGAGAGCCGTACTGGAATACGTATTTTAAGTACCGGCAGTTCATGGCACAGCATTCGCATGCAACCACGACCCGTCCGATTCAAGGAAATCCGAGCTCCCTCTCCTTTTTGACTACGTCATCCAACATCAGCTCTTTGGCCATGGAGGAACATGACGACCATTACGACAATCTAGCGCTCCCTGACACCTTGAGAACGGCGTCTGACCACGTTGAGGCTGGAAAAAGGAGAAGGCCGCACAAGAAGTCGCGAAATGGGTGTCAGCAGTGCAAGCGGCGAAGGATTAAGGTAAGACTAGGATACCTTATCAGTTACAGTTGGCATTTTCTGAGACATTGAAACGAGTTTCTTAGTGCGACGAGAGTAAATCCATCTGCGGTACCTGCTCCTACTTATCCCAACGTTGCAATTATGATTTCTCCGGCTCTCAGCTAGAAACGCCAGACCTAGAAGTAAGGAAGAGAGGTAGACCACGTAAAAACTGGACCGTCGTCTCCGTTGAGGGTAGAACTGCTGCTCCCTCTGAATGTAATGCCACCGCCTTAGTAACATCTACCCCCCTCGCATCCTCGTTAGCAAATTCATCGATGTGGCACGTGGAAAGGCCTCTACACCTGCCATGGGACGCCGAGGACTTGGAGCTCTTCTTCCACTACCAGAATGAAGTCTGTGCCGGCATGGGGGGTTTTGACTTACAGCTATGGAAAGACCGGACCCCCCGCCTTGCGTTCCGCCGCCACGGAGTGCTGCATTTGCTTCTCGCCGTGTCTGCCCTCCATCTGTCGAGGCAGGAACCACTGCGGCGCCGTCGGCTAGAGGAGCGCGCAGAGGTGCACCTGGCCATCGGGTTGCTTCGCACCACCGATATCCTGCCCAACCTGAGTGCCGAGAACTGCGCCGAGCTGTACGTGGCTACCATCTTGGTCTGCACTTGTACGTTCGCAAAGCGGCCGGGGCCGGACAACTTGCTCGTCGTCGCAGACGGTGCCGAGGTGGCTTGGTGGGATCTTTTCAGGGGCGTACGCATCATCGTGGAGACGATCGGCATACAAGCCGTGTTTGCTGGTGAGCTGGGGCCGATGCCGTCTGACACTCAAGGTGACCGGCAGGATAAGTCTCCTCATCCCCATCACGTTGTTCCGGTTGCTATAGTAGATTGGGAAGACGCCCTTGATCGCCTGTCTGTCCCCATCTCTGCCGTGGGTGATGAAAGTGTCAGAGGCGCATGTCAGAGTGCACTCTGCATTATGAAGTGGTGCTTCCAAGAAACATATGGCACAGCTGTGAGGCCGAAGAGCACGCCCGATGCCAAGTTTAATAACATCATGGTATGGCTCTACTGCCTATCCGAGGAGTTTGTGGGCAGTCTGAAAGAACAGGAACCGGCTTCTCTCATTCTCTTAGCTTACTTCACTGTACTTCTCCGGACCCTTGCTACAGCCTGGTTCATGGAAGGATGGGCAGCACATATCTTGCAGAGGGTATCTGAGATTCTAGGACGAACTTGGAATGAATGGTTGCAATGGCCGGCCCTCCAAAGTAAGGATTCTGGCGCATTATTGACGTCCTAAGAGACACCTAAGAGGCAGGCGCGGTACTGTGAGAGCAGAATTGAAGTACTGCCAACCCAGTAATAGTAGGGATGAGCTTTTGATATGAGCTTGCGATAAAGAGCATAGACTAATTGTTCAAAATCTGGTCGATAGCGGTAATGAGCATATCACTCCTGCAGCCTTTTTATTTTCAACAAATTAGCTAAATCGGCTGCTATGCAATTCGCGCACTTTCGGCTGTAGATAGACCCTTCTTCTATCTGGACAACGAGCATGTCGTTCTCTACTATTTTTAAGACGTCTCTCCCAAGGTCGCTGCAACGCTCGTCATTCCGCAGCTTCGCCATAAACTAAGACATCATAAAACAAGTTAACTTTGTCCCTTTTGACAGGGCAACTGGACAAGAATAACGAACCTCTGTAATACTGGGCTTAACATATGGTGTCTCTTTCTCGACAAGACCATTGCGGGGCGACATGAAAAAAGTATCTGTTCTTAATTCTTCACCGCTGCTTTGACCAAACCAACCTGGATCACAAACCTTCTTTATCTGTATAAGGTCGCCATGCAGTTTACGCCCGCCAATGGCCCAAGCGAGAGCTTCAAGGTATACGCACCCGAGAGCCCAGACGTCACACAAAGCGTTGGTCAAATTTAATGGATTTGGACTGAATTCGGGAGCGGAATAGGTTGTCGAAAAGCCCAAAGGCTTTCGAGACGATCGAAGATTGATGCTGAACTGGGCGATGCCAAAGTCGGCTATTTTTAGGGTTCCCATGTTCGTACTAGAACCTGGAAACCAGAGAATATTTTCCGGCTTGATATCACCATGCCAGCCGTATAAGAGCTTCATGCGTCCATGCATTTTGGAATTTTTCTGTGCCAAACCCGAGTCGGGGTTAAGTAATGATTGGCCAGATTCCGTCTCATGGCGATGCAGCTGGCAGAGTCCAGCAGCAAGGCCTTGACATTGCTGGATCATCCACAATAGAACCTCCCCTCTTTCTGGGTCTGGGAAAGGAGTTGGAGACCTCCAGAATTCAGCAAGAGTGGACTTTGCCTCGGGAAATATGAAATTGTAAGAGTCATTGCACTCATATGCCACTAGCAGTGACACGATGTGAGGATGTGCATTGTTGCTGAAACGTCGTAGCACGGCAAACTCTCTTTTGAAGATATCCCTGCGGGAGTTTCCATGCAGCTGCTTGATGATGAATTGGCCACTGTCATGCTGTAGGAGTCAAGGGCTAGGATTTAGCTTCAGATCGTCGCGCAAGGGGGATAGTGAACATACAGGACTCTGGAAGTTGTGTTGCTCGGCGTGAATATTGACTCGATAGATCTCGCTAGTTCCACCGTTGTGTCTGTACTTGTTAAAGGATAAAAAAGGGAGGATATGATCGGTAAGCCTCATCGGCTTGCGATTCTTCTTCTCAACTTGCTTAAAGTAATATGGTATTACCGCCGCCTGGCGCTCCAGAAACCTCGATATTGTGAGATGACTCCAGCCGTTGAAGCATTCGTGATAATTCACATCCTTCCGATCAAAGGGTAACTTGTCATCCGATATTTGGTGCTCAAGAAATAACCTGACCTTTGCCGGGCGATCGATGAGAACCAAAATTGCCATGATCCTTTGAAAAGATGGATCTCCACAAATTTTTGTTGCATCTTTCCCGTTGTCGGCTTTGGGAGTAGGGGAGAGGCCGAAGATCTGCAACAGTTTCCAGATTTTCTTGGACTTCTTTCTGTCGCATTTGTCCAGCTGCTCCTTGACGCTTGTTTCATTGACAATCTCGGCTAGCCGGCCCTGCGAAATAAACTCATTTCCACCATTCTTAGAGTTATTTTCAATCTCCGTGGACAGAAGAAGACTCATATTGCCTGTTCTCTGCTCTGCCCGGTGACCATTTTGTGTGTTCTTGTGAAGAAGAGAGCCCGAGGGCGTAATGGCCCTCGCCCCTGCAACAATGTGGCTCATGAGCTATGCTAAAGAATTTTTAAAATATTCTTTTTAATCGCCGCTAGGTGACTGGGAGAGAGAGAAAATAGACTACCTCTACTAGGAACAGACTTCGCTCCTCGGGACTAACGGAGTGGGAGAATTTTCTTGTTAAGGGAGTAGATGGGCGGATGAGATTCGAAATCCCAAAAGTAGCCTCTCAGAATAAGATAGATCATTACATATTTAAAATCATGCGCGATAAATCGACTATACTTGAATAGATTGAATGTCACGAGTATTTTCTATTTCTGGTATCCTCTTCGAGCGGCTATAGGATAAAGTAACCACACTACGGCACTAGATGCGTACTTTGGAGTGGCCTATTTTTGTCAAGGCCAGGGATTAAGCGCCGGTTTATTGGCCACAGAGGTGAGAAAGGCTTCCAAGCTGGTCAGCCACCTAAGCCACTCTCCAGCCGAGAATCAGAGGAGAAGGAAGAGTTAGTGGGGTGTTCGGACGATGGCTTCATGAGGAATAAGGCTGTGGATGACGCCCACGTAAGCGCAAAAGGAACTGCAAAAGTCCCGCCGCGCTATCAAACGCCATGCATACACGGCCAATATGGACTGAAAAGTGATGAAATCCGCACACATGATCGCCAAAAGGCGGAATGGGTGGATGGTACTGGGAACCTATTCGTGGATGCGGCCTAATCATGACCTAAGACAACTTGTCTTTGATCAGCCACCCGATTGGATTGAAGCGCAAAGTAAGGAAATTAAGGATCAAGGAGGATCAATCATCAGCCGCCACGATTGGATTGGAGCACAGAGTAAAGACATTACGAGAGACAAGGAGGATCAATCATGAGCCACCTGACGGTGGCCTAGTGGGCAGTGTGGTGGCATTGCTGGGAATTATCTGTGGGTTAAAATGACCGGCCTCATCCGCCCTCAGCCGCAGGCAATTTACTCTCTGTCTTCCATTTATCCTCCCTCACTCCATAGATACCTACCTACAATGTTGATTCGAAGATTGATGTCCTCTTTACGGCTCAGAAGGCGAAGAGGGTCAGAGGCCTCGGTCTCGTCCGTCTCTAGTGTGGAACAAGAAATCGAAGCCGGCAACATTAATCCTGCCAAGCTGGCCAGTACGGTCAAAGAGAGATTTGCAGAAGGCGAATTCACCATCACTGTAAGTACGGTATCCACCTCCGAAAATGTTGCATGCGGGTGGCACCCACTGACACCCAAGCCAGTTGAGTCAAGACAAGTACATTCTCATGATGCCAAAACCCTTATCGCCTGTAAGTGACCTCTGGAAGACCAAGATTATTTACTTATTTGCCCATTATTGATTAAAAATTAGGTGGAAATCGATGCCTGCCGCTACACAGGTGAAGGCTGAAGAGGGTCAACAAGCGCCCAGGCCCCCCGCCGGGGCCAAGAAAGAATCACATCACTGACCAGGAATTTTATTGTGCACAATTATCCTAGATATGAGTCGGATGCGAGTCGGATGCAGAGATAAGGTACTTGGGCTAGCGGATGTGCACTTTGCGTCGGAAGTGGGTTGGTGGCTTGGGAGCTGAACAACCATCGTATATGTATGTCTCAAGTCATAGGCTGAAGCGACTTCTAAGGAGAGCAATGATTGGCAGTGTGTTTTAATTTGCCCCTCATGTGATTTGCCACAACCGCCAATTGGAGGGGGGTTGGGGTGATAGTTCCAGCCGAGCCTTGTGACTGTTGTTGCTTGTAGCACTATTGCATCCCTCCTCACCAAGGAGAGCACACCGAGGTGGGGTTTCTCAGTAAGGCTGTGATTCCCAGCATTGAATGAGAGTCGGAGAGGAGCATTTAGGCTAGCTGGCTGCCTTAACGCCATGAGAACTATAAGGCTCAAATATGGAGGCCGCGCGCTACTAAGATGATGAGCAACTCTTTAACCGAGCAGGACTCCATGCTAACTATTGCATTCAGTTGCGCCTGCATCCTTCTTCTGTCCGTCGCGATTTACAATTGTTCCAATTCGGGAAACAGATTTTCTTCCAAGATGAAACTAGCAGCTATTCTACTTGAGGCAGAAGAGCCTAGTAAATTCGAGAACGATAAAAAGTTCATTCCTGAAGGGAGGTTCAAGTACTTGATTAACAAACAAATGGTCGAGGATACATTCTCTCCAATAAAAGATGAGGATCTGACACGATTCGTGCTCGACAACGCGATCATGTTGTTTGCACTTGCAACATATGCTGGGATACGAAGAAAAGAGATGCATGAAGCAATGAAGGCTTTTAAGGATGCCAGAATCACAGACAAGCATCTGCCACTCAAAGCGGAGTCGTGGAAACGCATCGTAACCGACAATGATGATGACGGGGTTTGGACTGTGGCGAACTCAAACAATTTTCTAAACTCTCAGCCGAAATTCCTTGCCCCAGTGTTTGACCTCAGCCGGCACAACCACGACTTTCCCTCCACGGCAATTCTTCCGTTCATTAAAGAAGCCGTGCCTCTCGGAGAAGGGACATTTGGAGAAGTGGTCAAATATGGCATCCATCCCGCGCATATGATAAAGGTTATAGATGAGAAGGACTCAGAAGATCAGGTGCGTATATACTGCGTAGATTGTATTTTCTCTATTGACCCATTCAATTTTTTTTGTTAGGAATTTAACTGTCCTGAATTTGTCGCTGTCAAGAAGATCCGAGGGTCCGGCCAGGAACGGGCACAGATGGTGGCAAGTTGGGAAAAAGAAGGAGCTGTTCTACGCGACATGAACAAACTCAAACAGATACACATTGTCCCATTCTTCACAGCCTTCAGACATGGACATCAGGGTAACGAAGACCATTATTTGATGTTTGCATGGGCAAGTGGAGGCAATTTGCGGCAATTATGGAGTACTATGAAGTGGGAGTGTCTGTCCTCAGGAATCGTCAGAGCGGTCCTCAAACAACTTCTTGGCCTATCTGAAGCTATATACAACGCTCACGAGCCCTCGATGGCTGCCGAAGGCTCCGAAAGAAGGAACATGTTCGCCAAAGATGGATTGAGGGGCGACTTCTTTCGTCACGGAGACCTGAAGCCTGAAAACATCCTCTGGTTCAAAGACGAGGAACACGATAACGAAACTGGCTTCGAGATGGGGACATTGAAGATTGGAGACTGGGGCCTTGCTAAACGACAGAATATTCCTACTCAACTCCGGACCCACCGAACAACGACGACATTTGGAACATGTCGATATGAGCCCCCCGAAGAGATAACTGGTCACACTGTCAATCTTGGGGTTGATGTTAAGCGTCGTTCCCGGCTCTACGATATTTGGGGGATGGGTTGTATCTTTTTGGAGTTCTTGATCTGGCTTTTATATGGCACAGAGGGCCTCAAGAAGTTCAACGATTCCATGGTAACCAAGCAAAATCTTTGCCCACCATTTTATGAAATAATAGAGCGTGGTGGAAAGCCACATGGCGTGGTTCACCCTTCTGTGGTCAAATGGATGGACCATATCGCCAATGATCCAGCATGTAATGGAGAAGGGACGGCGCTTGGGGGTCTTCTGAAGATCATTCGAAAAAGCCTTCTGGTAGTGGACTTGCCTGAGAAGTTAGGCTCACATATATCCGAAACGGACCATGCTGCCTTAAATCCATCTGCTCAGACAAGAACGGATGAGGACGACCTACAGGCGGCAGACTCTGTTAACGCGAACGTTCCTCAAATCACCGTAACCGGAACAACAACAAGATTCCAAGACGATCAAGAGCCAACGACCAACATGCTCAAGGGACGCGAGAAGCCTCGCGCACGTGCGAGACAGTTCCATCTTCTTATGGCGGGACTAGTAGACTTAGACGACAACAGGGAAGAATTTTGGCTTCCGGCCGATCCTGGCCCCCCTTTAGGCCTTCAGGTACGTTCTCATAAAAAAGAAAAGAAACTACTGAATATCCCGCTAGAGGAAAGCATCGTCCCCGACACGATGACAAAAAATAATTCGGAATTGCTGGCGGTAGCCAGCCTCAAGGACATGGTGACAATTCGAGTGAGTATCCAAAATGATCTTTACGGCGACCCTTGTTCTGTGGTAACCATATAATAACGACCTGTCAAAGGATGTATGACGAAATCCCTTCAAAATCCTCCTTTTATGATGCTAATTATAGCCTCGATGTGCTCTGACTTTAGAATGTACGTTGGTACTTGTAATTTCTTGGGTCAAACTGTAATCTAATCGTGTATAGTACGTGAGTTGAATTCGAAACACTGCTCAAGCGATGAAGTGAAAATCTCTATCTCAGTTACTGAACTTCTTTGTTCACATAGGGCGTGAGTAGATTTCACGTCTCAGTTACCCCGTTGTGTTCATTCGCTAATCTATCGCAGACTGTCAGTAAAACAATTTCACATATCTAATATTTGTCTTTCTTGCTATGTTGTGCAGGCGCTTACGATTTATTGCTCCGTCGACAGACGGTAGGTGCATTTTCATTCGATGACAGGCCCGAATACAATCTCTAATTTCCTCTAGAATGTGAGTTCATAAATGCTTCCATTTACTTCCTACACAATTTTCTCACTAGCTTTATCAACACAGCTTAGTGGCGACTGGAAAATTATTGTCGATAACCATTTCGCACGGCTAGTCCTCTCAACTATCGAAAGACAACCAACAGGCCTGCCAATCCAACGAGTGTCTACGAAAATTTGTTCTCATTGCCAAATATTCAAAAATGAGATATGGGAACCTTCTTTCGATGTCACATACAAAATGGAACAGTTGAGGAGAAATTCGGAATCTAAAAGTTGTGAAATCTGCCAATTTCTGGTTAGAGTTTGCGAAAGACGGAGAAACATCCAACATCCCAGCGTCTCTTTCCACCGAGCCGAGTCATCCATCTTTATGGATCGTGGGGTGACGCCTGTAATTTCCATTCACCGGAGCAAGGGTATGAGAATCCCTTTACTCCTGGGGATAGAAGTCCTTTAGAGCTCGCGAGCTAATGATTTGATGCCTTAGATTTGGTCACAAGGATTGATGATGATATTCAGATTGGATTCGCTCACCTGCCACAGCCTGGTAGCGACGCCAGCTTTGAGATCATCAGACAATGGCTGCGATGTTGCGATACAAGCCATGAGGGAAAATGCCCTCCAACCGCGAAGCGAGACAGTGTGATGCCCACTCGAGTGATTGATGTTGGGACCGAAGGGGACCATTCGGTTCGCCTATTCGAGACCCAAGGGGCCCGAGGTAAATGGATTGCTCTCTCCCACCAGTGGGGGATAGCTGATCACTTCTGCACAACGCCTGAGAACAAGGTGAAGCATATGGGTGGCATTGAAGATGAAAGCCTCCCTGCTACATTCAGAGACGCCGTCAAAATAACTCGCGCCCTGGGATGCCGGCACTTGTGGATTGACTCAGTTTGCATCATCCAAGGACGCAAAGGAGACTTCAGCTCCGAAGCAAAGCGGATGGAGCAAGTTTATAGCGGCGCATACTGTGTGCTAGCGACAAGCCGAAAACCAGGGCACAACGCAGGGATTTTACAGGATCGTGAAGAAAGAGACGTTCTGGCCTTGCAGGGTCAAGAACAGTCTGGTTCATTTTATTTATCCCAAAACATTGACGACTTTGACGTTCATGTCTTGAAAGGTGCGCTTAATCAAAGGGGCTGGGTGCTTCAGGAGCACGCGCTGGCTCGACGAACTGTTTACTTCACGGATTACCAAATGTACTTTGAATGTGGGCAGGGTGTCAGGAGTGAGACTATGTCCAGAATGACCAAGTAAGTCGAATTCAACTCAGAAACTAAGTTGATTAACCCAGCTAACACCGGTGGCTCATTCAAAGTGAGACCGCCTCCTTCCTTGGCGATCCCAACTTTCCCCAAGTCATCATGTCGGCAGACAAAGGGGAAAGAATCCTCCTTTACCAAGACCTCTACACCAAGTATTCTCGCCTGGGACTAAGTCGCCCCGCTGATAGAGCTGTGGCTATTGGGGGGCTAGAAGAACGGATTCTAGCAAAACTCAATGTTTCCGGAGGCTGGGGTGTTCTGGACGATTCACAGGACACTAGGGGACAAAATGGCCTCCTTCGACGAAGCTTGCTTTGGCGTCGGGGCGAGGAAGTGAGTGAGCTGTCCTCTATCCCTTTTACCAAAAAGGCCGGCTATCCCGATGTGCCATCATGGTCATGGATGGCATACGAAGGGGGAATCAACTACATTGAACCAGACTTTGGAGCTACGCACTGGGAAAAATTACGATCACCATGGTCGTCAGCGGGACGAAACCTAAGCTACCAAGACGATGATACCCATCCTCCTGCATTGGGAGCGAAGGTTAGAGATTACAATGCAGAGCGTATTGATGGTAGTCAAGGGCACTTCATCGTACTTGACTCCCCCGAAAGATCGAAAGACCTTATCACAAGGTGTGTCATACTTGGACAACCCAGGAGCAGGAAATTTCAGCAAAAACGGTACGTTTTAATAGTTACGGCTACCACCGACAAGGATGAAAATGGAAAAGCAGTTTATCGCCGAGCCGGGGCTGGAGTTATACCCGCTGGGTGTATTACAGGAGATGGCGATAATGTTAGCATATGGTGATGCGAACAAAGACCGCGTTTGTAGCTCTAAAAATAAAGACTGACTGAGTTTTGCCATTGTTTTATTTAGTATGTCTCTCTAATTGCAAGGGCTAGATTTGCGCGCTACGTGATGAGATGACCTGGGCCAGCACAACTGGACAATTCATAACACGAGAGATGCCGCAAAAATCATACCATCCATAGAGATTGTGAGTAAGAGTTATTGAGCATAAGTCTACGTATACAATCTATAGGCTATAATGTGAAAGAAGATATTATGAAATGGGCTTACAGAGAGTGAAGGGAGATACCAGACGTTCAAGTGTGTTTAGGTTAGCACCCCCTCATCCACCCCCACATCCCGCCCCCTTTTTTTTGAGCTACTACACAGCCTACATAGCTCTCTTACACAATAATAGGTTCTTAAGAAGCCTCTTGTATTAGCTGATGATGATTTGGTAGTCTTTGTGTTGAGATGTCGGGTTTGACCTCTTCCATTGCAGTTTTTTACTTTGTACTCGAACTCTCTCACAGGCTTAGCTGATATATTTTCAGGCTTCTAGTTTGATTAGCCCCGTGAAACTCGACTCTGTCATGAAAATAGAGAGCTTATTTGCTTTACATGAAGAAGCTTTCTCCTTTTTTATACAGCCATGACACACTATCATTATCTTACCTTGAAGAGGCTTTTGCATTTCCCTTATGGCTGTGAACAGCCTACCCCGTTTCCCATGAGGAAGCCGTCTTAGCACGACCTCGATTGCTGTATAAGCCGAAGGGGTCCCGGCGTCATCGTGCACGCGAAATTGCAGAGCGGTAGCAGACAGTACCTCGTGTGCCCCGTCTAACCTTGCACCTAATCATGGCAATTCTTTCCCTTTTGATTGTATGTACTTCACTTGACACGGAGAAGCTGCCGACACCTAGGTAAGTTCTTATTGACTGAATGTGGCAGGTGAATTCTTTCCAGCTATGCCCAATCTGGTCGCCAGCGGGATTTGCAGCCCGCCACTCGGAATCGCATCTTCGTGCTATAGTTCCCGATATGCATTGTTATTTCCGCCTTTCATTAATAACACTTGCTAAGCTGGGAAGATGATCCAAGGCACTTTTTGTAGTAATTATTGGATTTATACATTATACGCAGGGTAAGTTCTATAGAGTGCCTATCTTGAATCCAAAGGAATCAATGAATCCATACCATTATGTGATAATTAAGTAACTCGATACCAGTGAGGGGGTGCTGGCTACTGTTTACGGACTCGCACATTACACTAGATGAACCTAATGAGGTAGAGAATCCTGGTTACTAAAACCATGCACAGCATCAAGGAAATACTAAACATACACGTCACGCTGCCAGAAGATGGATGCTATTTCGGTCCTTGGAGCTTTTTAGGGCCGCCTGAAGAAGTCCTATCTGGGCCGCATGTGACCGCCACCGTAATTTATTGCTTCACCCACCGCATCTAGCCTGTTTTAAAATAACTCCTCCCTACCAAGCACGACCAAAGCATCTCCAAGGCATGCTCGGTAAGATTGGAGGCCCCCCAATGAGCGTGAACCTCCACTTTCCCATGAGGAATGCATCATAGCAGGACCACACAGAACAAATTCATCACCTTCTTCAGCAGGAGCCGCCACTGTAAGAGATTAATTACCGAAAGCTTACAGAAGTACCATGGGACTGGTGATTACTCTCTACAGTGCCGTTGTATTAAATGAGAAGAACATCAACAAGTGTGTAAGCCCTACAGTGGCTGAGATGGTGATGTCGTAATAAAGCACATGTGTATTCATTGTGTTGAGATGTCGGGTCTGGCATTTTTCATTGCTGGTTTCACTTTGTAGTCGAACTCTCATCCGTAACAGATCACGTACGATATAGCTCTCTGTGCTGAGCTGAAATACTGGTATGTCTTTTACTTTCCATAATAACCCTCTAGTTAGTGGATGTGTTTCTAATTTTGTTGTCTTTGGGGCGTACTCCTGCAATTTGCATTTGCGCTGTTAAGGTGGCTGCTGTTCAAGAACCTGCTTCATGCAATGGGAATGTCACTGTATAGAAACTGCGCGCAATTCCTTCCCTTTCGAGCTATGGCCCGATGATGCGACTCGTAGTGGAGGGTTACATTCGGTTCCGAGTGGCGGGTTGCTAGTATGCTCAAACTCAAACGCTTCGAGTTAGGATGAGAACTCGGCAGTTGTCAAAATAGGTAATATACAGATATACGGGCTGCAATATCATAATGCCTAAAAAAAGCGCCATAGAGCAGGTAAAGTATTTGATCAGGAAAGCCTTCATCAGGTATAAATACTAGAGGGTGCTCATCATGGAATCATCTTTTTTCGAAATATCTTCCAATACAATCTCAACAAGGCTCACTTTACTTTATTCATCTTTTCCACATCTCTTTTGTGCTTTTCTTTATCTTTTCCGTTTCGAATTTGCTTGAAAACGTCACACACCTGTACTCATACTCTTCATTTCTTTGAACACTTGACAATACTTTTCTACCATGTATTTCACCAAAGCTACTGGTCTTGCCATTGCCCTGCTGGCCGCAGGTGCTAAGCAGGCTCTCGCCAACCCTGCAATTGAATCAACTGTCGATACAACCAACATGGAGCGATCTGATGCCGACGAGCTGGTCTCTGCATCTCACGTTCTGCGGGAAGAAAATTCTGTGTATGAGCGAGACTTCATCGGGCAGTTCGACGAAAGTGAACTCGCAGCACGAGGCTTACTCAAGGCAGCCATCAAGGGAGCAGGGAAGCCTCACCGACGCGGCGTGATCTCGGGTGCTAAGAAGATCATCAAGGGCGTGGTGAAGCCTCAACGACGCAATGTGTTCTCGATTACTCACAAGGCTATCAAGGGCGCGGGAAAGCCTCACCGCCGCAACGTGTTCTCGATTACTCACAAGGCCATCAAGGGTGCGGGAAAGCCTCACCGCCGCGGCGTGATCTCGAGTGCTCACAAGGCTATCAAGGGGGCAGGGAAGCCTCACCGCCGCAGCGTGTTCTCGAATACTCATAAGGCTATCAAGGGAGCAGGGAAGCCTCACCGCCGAAGCGTGTTCTCGAATACTCACAAGGCTATCAAGGGCGCGGGAAAGAATCGCTGAGAACTAGGGGCCAGCTTGGAAAGCTGGCAAGGAAAGGAAGAGACCTTGGTTGGTGGTAATGCGAAGGTCCCAGAACGACCAAGCAATTTCTCTCCCAAAAGCTACCCGTGAAGTGCAAGGTTTTAGGAAATAGAGGATCATAGATTTTGCGGAAGGAAGGGGCATTGTGAACGCGGCGGGAAAAGGGAGCGAGGGAGAAGAAGAGTAGGGAAAGAATCGAAAATATATGTTGTTGGCTGATCTGATAACCATTAAATCGCGCTATATCTTTGAAGTCTGATCCTTTTTCTCTGCCATAGAAGTAAAAATAAAGAAGATATGGAAGAACTGTGGAAAGTTTGGAGGGAATAAGTATATGGGCCGTGTAAATTTGCTGAAGAATACGGCGGTAGAAGCTGCTTAGCCCATCACTAAAGAGGATTTGATTTCAGCGGTAACAACGTAGAGCTGAAGACAGTGAGGTTCGACGACCACGCACCCAGTGAGTGTGGACTCCCTTTTTTCCGTTTGGTTTTCTATTGGCTTCTCCTCCTTCTAATTCCTTGGACTCTGCTCACTCCGGGTCTCTCTCTTTCTCTCAACAAACAAGTCCCCTGACTACACGAGCTCGTAAGTCATTACCCGGTGTCTAGCTTGTCGACGCGTCATCGGAGAGCTTGTATGTTGAGAAAATGGCCTGCTAGATAACCGGTCGCTGCTTGTAATGCACTAGAATGGACCGATAAATATAATTTCCTAGGCGATGATATCAGCATTTCGCTAGTACCATGTGGGCACGGGCTAATATCCTGCTTTTCTGCTTTCTCTTAGTAGCTACGGCGTACTCAAAGAGCATCTGTCATCCAATGCAATGAGCGAGGCGAGCCGGCTGATGTGTGGATGGACACCAAAAGGTGGCAGCGTTGTCTGCAGCCACTTGGGCTCAGCGAGCCGCCCTCTTGATTCCATGAGTCAGTCACAGATCAACCTAGCCAATGATTAGAATAGGAGAAAATACCTCGACATTCGAAAATGACATCCCAAGCGTGCGATTGGCTAGTAGAAAGAAAAAAGAACGTGATGGTGGCTAAATCTCCACGTCCTTGTATCCGCCTGTATCGTAATCCAGGTCACATCTGAGAGATGACCAAGTGGAACTAGTAGTTGCTACGTCTAGCTAAGTTGCACTCTTTCCGTCCAAATCTCTATCCCGAAATTGCCGGGCCGGTGGGCGCTTCTACAACCTTTGCAAGCCTTTTATGATCATCATCCATCTTCTTGTCAAGGTTTGGTACGGCCCGCATCCCACTAGAGGAGAAGCTTCTGCTCTGAATGAGACTATGATAGCTATCTTGTGGTAGCTCGACATATGCCTCGAGAAGCTCAACGCGAATTCCCGTGTGTGTCGGTCATCTCGCTCTGAAGTTCTCTAGTGCTCGCATGTACTTTCAGCTGCTCCAGTTCCATCACCTCCGCACTCTTTGCTTGTAATTGATTAGCCACTTGGGAATATATGTCAGCCGTTTTTCATCCCTAATATGTAGCTTCCGCACATGCCGGGTGGATATTTGCCGAATTGCACCATCTGTTGTCATAATGTTTATTAGTTTGACGCCCGTTTGTGACGGCTCTCGCATTCAAGTCTCCAAGGTTTACTCTCTACGGCTTACGCTATCCTAATAATCACTAAAATTTTCTCTTTGACACTTTCTATCATGCTTTCCCACGTACGCCATTCTATTCGCTGGAATGGTCAACGTGGTCATCCGCATGCACGCTAATGACCGACTTCAGCCCGCAACGTGACATCGCTATGGTTTGCGTCGTCAGCCCCGGGATGAAGGGACGATTCTTGGTATGGGATGTAGAGAATCATAACCTATCGCAGCTTCTTGTCCCTGTTGGCTATGAAGAACCTGGAGTCGACGAGTGACGTGGAAGCCCGCCATGGGAAGACTTTTTACCCTCAATGCGTCTCTCTTGTTGTGTGATGTCCACGAAAGTCTTACACCACATTTGTGCTCTATCCCTCATATCGTGTCGTGCTGTATCACGACCGGCATGGTGAATGTCACTGTGGCTTGCATTATCGATCCTTCCGGTCACAATCCGCGCAAGCCGTGAGCCTATCACTCTCGTGGGGGCTCTTTGCACTTTTCGAGTCGGAAAGGACCAGCCGTCAACTCATAGGCCGAAATTCCTTGCGGCCCAAGGGCTGCCAGTCCGACATCCCCCAAAGGGGAAAGCCACTCAACTTTCCTGTATTCAGTACCAGCTGAAAGCCGCAATATTGGCAGCTGAAAAGGGTTTTGCGCCTTGTCGGGCACCCGGCACTGCGGACTGCCTTGCCGGTCGAGATGGTTCGCATGCTGAGCGACAGAAACATGCAACTCTTGTTGTCAACCACATTATTGACACCCCTGATGGATCACAAACTTCAAGTGAGGAAAGAATTGAATATCAAGGGAAATTTCTCTGCGTGTCAAAGTAATATATTGGATAATGAATTACACTAGGAAAGCTAGGTATGTCTACACTCTTAGGATAGGACAAGTGGCATTTTGCATGCATAAGCTAAGCTATTGAGGTAGGTATATTGAAGCTTTGAATAGGTGGAAATGTGTGTTTGCGGTGCTAAAAAGCCTGGGTTACTGTTGAAGAGTTGCTTCAAAAAGTCGCCCTTCTGGCAATAAATGCGGCTGAAAGAGCTACCAAGTGAGGGGAAGCTGAACGCATTAAATGTGGCTTTCATTGTAAAATCATAGCTGCGATGCCTCTTGATGATGTCAGCTGATATAAGCGTAGGCAGTTACAAAAGTTTAACGTTTGTGATCCTGGAGGGTGACATTGCATATATGCGGAGGGGCGGAACTGGGCCGAGAGGTGGGTCTCTAACGGCAGTCTCCTACTCAAGCTGAACATCGTTCGTCTGCCGTTCACATCGTCCGGCTCTGCTGAGCCTTCGACTACTTGTCCTGTTGCACCATAACGTGGAAACGCACAAGACTTAAGATTCCTGTTGTTAGGTTAGACCGTACTACGCCAATTATGATAACTTTAGGTGACCAGCTTGCAAAGGAAACTTCACATCAGCTTTTTTAACAGGACTAGAATGGTATTTGATAAATCCTAGACAACTATCTATTCCATTCGAGATACAAAAGAATACCATAGATGTATTGCTAGCCCTTATTCACCTCTCCTATCGGGGTCGGAACGATCGCAGGACTTGCCAACGTTCAATTATCACCACCAGGTGAGTAGGTCGGAGCTTCAAACTTGCCATCGGCACCCTCGACGACGGTTGCCTTCTTCATGCCGTACGGAAACTCAACTTTGACAGCAGTCTTATCGTCATCAAGAGAAGCTTGGATAGATTGTTTGTTATGATTGGCGGTCTTGACGTAGACGGCATTGTTGATAGTGATGGTGTACGTCGGACCCGCCTGGAGGGAAACGCAGTTGATGGGCGCCGGGTTGATCCCGTCCCCCAAGTCTATGCCACGGGACACGCCAATGACATCATGGAATGGCTGGAGTCTGGCGCTCGCAGCGATGGAGAACTGGTTCCTGCCAGGGACTGGGTTTTCGTCATCCGGGGAGATGACGCTAAAGGTGCAGTCCTCATCGAGGGCAAGGATGCCCTCTTTTTTTCCGAGGGTGACCTTCTTCTCGGTCTGTACGTTGACAATACTGCCAGCTCCGAGGGTAGCAGAGCCCGAGGAACCCATGAACCCGTAGTAGCTGTTGTCAAAATTGAAGGTGGCGGCCCCTAGGTTGTCGAGTCTACGGGACCGGAACCAAGTAATGGACTTGGTGGTGTCCGCGTTGTTGCCTGCGCCGGTGATGACGGCTTTGGCAGACAAGAAGCTGTACACCCTGCCTGCGTGGCCAGACTTGTTCTTGACCTCGATAGTGTATGACATAGTGTCGATGTTGGCTTTGCGGGCTCTTGTTGGAAGATTGTAAAGGTTGGCAAGTATGAAAGATTCACTCTGTTGCTAAAGTGATAGAAGATTGAAGCACAGATTTAGATCGTAAATGCTATGGTTATGAATGTCCTTCAAGACGATATATATACACGGCTCTACAACTTCTCAGCTTGCCCCTCTTTCGTGTTTGAGCACTTTCCTCTATCAGCAGTGACTGATGTATGCCTCACTCTTAGAACGGCAATGATATGTCAGTTTTCACCCAATGCTGCACCCCTCTTACTAGTAGCGTTGTAACTAACGTAACCGAACCACTAGCTGCGTCCTTATGAGTATACGCCTTTCTATACTTGGGATATGCTGACATGACAATGCATCAACACACATTGACCAAATAGTTTAGCAATGCGCTGGCAGTCACGTTGGTTCCAGTTGCGGCTGAGAGTGGAACTTGGTAGATCCAGAGGAGCTGAAATTACGGTATAGTATGCGTCCCGATGTCACACACCACGAAGCATCCTTGATGAGAGCGATGGTATTCGGGGTTCCCGAAGCCAATTAGAGGGTATAGAATGCCTTCCATGTGACGGCTCGGGCGTATCAACCCCCACGTTGATTTGTAAACCGTCAGCGTAGGGTTTCGTACAGACACGGATATCCCCGCTCTTGTCCATCGTGGACAGTCCGAACCCCTCGAGGTCTTGCTGGTTCAATCATCTTGCAATGATATATCATTGCTTCCTCATCATTCTAGTGTCTCCTCTATCAGCTCACCAGCACAGAAGTTTCCAAGCCTCAACAGTCCTCGTGTGAACGTTATCTAGCAGCAATCATGACCTTCACAATCAAGATCAAGAACCAGTATCAGTCAGGCACCAGACGTTCCTACTGTGTGGCTGCGCAGCCCGCCCTCGTGAAGGATGAGAAGAGTATCACTGTGCTTCCTGGAGAGCCAGGACTGATGACACCTACATTCGCCGTCACCGACTCCCTAATCCACGGTTCCGTTACCTCCGTTACCTTTCAATATGAATACTTTGCCTTTGTGGGCGTCCGCAAGTTCGAAAACGGTCAGCCCAAGATCGAACTCACCAAGAGCGTTCCCATCTCACTCGGATCCGGAAACGAAAACGGATCTGTGGTCCTAGTCGACTGGAACGAGGGCTACATCGACATCAATCTTGCTGAGCAGAAAGACCTTGAAGAACATCAACTGAGACTTGCCCCCAAAGACGCGGTCCGGATCAAATGCCTCAGGCCCCCCAACGCCGGCAACAAGACGAAGTACGTGGTTGGGCTCGCCCAGCGTCTCGTCACCGGCGAGGATAACAACAATGCGGGGGAGGAACCGGTCCCCATCGTCGCCGTTGCCCATCAGAGCGATAAGCTATACACAATTTGGCCGTCTGCGATCATGGTCGTCAACGCGACTGACAGCACCACCTTCGAGGGCCAGGTCCTCCAGTCTGGCACACGGATGGTTCCGGTCGACTTGAGCAGCGTCAAGAAGAACAAGAGCCCTCAGATCTCTTTGGTCGAGACCAATAAGGGCTTCTACATCGGGGGAACCACTCTCGTGGTCGCAAAGTCGCTGTGGGAACTCTGCACCTCAGGGGTTTCCTCGGAGCCACCACCGCGAGTTCCCCAGCAGCAGCCTCCATTGCATAAACAAACCGCTCCCAAGTGGAAGGATGAAGCTGACAAGTTGGGATTCACGTTCTTCCGACAGGTTCGTTACCTTTTTGAAACCTCTCTGCTCCCCATAACTAGCCCATCACTGACCAGACTCGCCGGCTAGTTACACGCGTACAAGTTCCTCACGAAATACAACGCCACGCAGCTAGCAAGCTTCCACAGCGATGAGCAGATTAAGCGTATCGCCATGAACGCGAAGACCTGGGGCGACAAGATCCGCGCCAAGGACGGGTATAGTGACGAATACCTAGACGACCTGTTGGTCCTAGCATTGTTCGACACCATCCTCTTCCTGGGTATATTACCTTCTCTCCCGGCGATTAGTGGATGTACCTTTCTCTCTAACTAACACATCTGACAATAGACAACTCATGGTCAATGAACGACTCCAACGAGCCCACGGAGGAGCTTCAAGATATCGCCGGGAGCATCGTTGAGGTCGAGAGCATCTACGAAAACACGCCGTCCGTCCGTATCGAGTTCCTGAACGGCAAGCCCCGAGACGACACCGCCGAAACCGCGGACGAGGTGAGGGCAAAAATTGCCAACATCGACAACTTCGGGAGCACCCCTCTCGGAGCCCAGCTCAGAAAAAAGATACTCGACCAGTTCGTATACCCCAAGCTGCAAGCGAAAGGCACCTTCCGGCCTGTTCTTATCTGCGTAATCACGGATGGAGCTGTAAGTGTTGAGTCATTATATGCCCGCTTACAATATTGGTGATCAAGCAAGGCACAGATTGGCTAACCAACTTTCGTTGCTACGACTATCAGCCTGACCCTTCCGAGAAGGGCAGATTCCAACTGGAGATTCAGGAGTGCAAGAAACTACTCGGGAATCGTGACAGAACATTGGTTGGAGACAAACGTGAGAGCAAAGCCCTTCCTGTAGACCAACAATACACTTGACTCCGAGAAAAGAAGATGCAAGAGGCTGACCAAGATTCAAGACGTCCTTTTTCAGATCTCCAGAGTGGGAAAACTGCGCGAAGCCGAGAAGTTTATGAGGAGCCTCAAAGCCGATCCGGAGCTGAAAAACATCCTTCATGTCACCTCCTGTATGTTGTTTGGAAGTCCACAAATTTCTCTTCGCCATCCACTAACACGACAATTAGATCAGGAGCTCGAGTTCACAGACGACAGCAATGACCCCATCTTCACGTACTCCGCGGTCCGTACTTCTACAAATCCCTTACGTCTGCTCTAGCCGAGGTTCTAGATATACTGACACCATGTCTCGCAGGCTATCTCGAGACTTGCTGGAGCTGCCCTCCTTGGTGTAAGTCACAGACGTTCCACACTTGATCGAGTAACATTGATTTTAACTGAACCTCCAGCTCAAACGTGACGAGAATGGCGAGTTTGTGTTTCCAGTGAGCCAGTAGAGCTTTGAAATTCGTACTCAATGAAGCCACAACGCGTCATGAATACTGTCAAGATAGTTTTAGCGCACCCATTACCTACGTAATGAGGTTACACGACCAGGGATTGAGAAGAATTGTGTAGAGAAGATGATGGATTAGCACACATCCACAAGCAATTTCTACTATCAAGGAGCTCTGAAACGTACACTCAGCTCGCGACTGAATGTTTTTGAAGACTGGATGATCCGTATTTTACATTTCAATACTGTATACTGTTCGCAATACGATATCAGTCGAATTATATACAATAGGTACTTGGTGCTGTCGTCATTTTGGGTCTCTTAGGGGCGTTTCTTCCCTCTAGAAAAGCGATGACTCTTAAGGTAATTCACACAGTTTAGTTAAGTGCCTTTAGTAGTGTATGTAGCCTGAACAGGGTCTTGGTGGCTACAATTTGAGTTTTATTTACACCAGCCCTTTCATGTCTTGTTTTCTCATCATTCATAATTATTACACACTTTACAAGCCCAATGCCTCCTTACGGCCTGTGCTGTTTCGATCGAGATACGGCGCTTCGCCCAAGCTGCAAACACGATCTCCAGCCCTCGCGGCCTCATAATCATAAGTTGCGCAGTGAAAAGTCGACCGATTATCCCAAATTGCAATATCTCCTTGGTTCCATCGGAACCTCACCTGCGCATCATGGTTCTGCGTTACTAGGTTGAACAAGTATGGTAGCAGCACATCGCTCTCGTCACGGGTCACTCCGTTGATGCGCTTGGTGAAGCCGCGATTGACGTAGACGCTTCGCCACCCGGTGACGGGGTTGGTCCGGATCAACGGGTGCACAGTTACGAGGTTGTCGCTCTGGTTGAGATGTGAGCCTCGCGGGGTCTTGCGTAGGGGGTTACCCAGGCGGGCAGCCTCGTCGTGGAAGAAGGATGCATCGTGCGTTGCTGTAAGTCCGGAGAGGAACTCCTTCATTGGCTCAGAGAGGCGGTCATAGATTTCGTAGCCAGAAGCCCAGAGCTGCCGCCGATTAACCTTCAGCTTGGATGACCTATGATATTTATTGAAGAAGTGCCAACATACCGTGTCGCCTCCAGTCTCCGGGAGAGTGTGAATTTTGAGCATCGCATAATCTGAGGGAACCTTTTCAAAGGTGCTGTTGACATTGTCAGTCAACTAAACACCCTTCGGCTTCTGGTCATTCATCCACTTACATGTCGCTGTGCCAGCCAGCGCTCGCGAATCGACTAACATCACTCAGTTGGTGAGTCAAGCCGCCTCCCTTCTTCTGCTTTGCACTCGAAATTACACTAATCTGGTCACCCAGCTCGCTCCCCTCCTCAGTGAGAGGGTGGACGTGCAGGCCTGACGACTCAGGGCACCCAGCCTGTTCTGTCAGCCGCAGCATGAAGTCTCTCATCTCATTTGGCGTCACGTCGGCCTGGCCGCGCAGAAAGACCACTCCACGCTGCGAGATGGTCAGAGCCAAATCTTGAATCTGCTCGGCCGAGGCCTTGAGGAGATCCTTGATGTGCAGCCCTGTGTACTCACGGCCAATGGCAGGGGTCACGTCGAAGTGGGAGAAGCGGTCCAGGGAGCCCGTGTAAGTGAGTGGCGCCGTTAGGCGGGGCCGGCTGTCCGGGTGGCCGCCGAAGATGGTGGCGTCGACAGGGCCATCTACGGCTTGAATAATAGCTGGCATTGTTCTTGGCTGTGGTCTGTAGGCACTGGTGAACGAATTGGTTGTTTGAGACCGAGTCTTGGGTAGTAGTAGGAGGAGGAGCTAGACCTCAGCAGACACCCTCTTTAAGCTAGGTAGACAACTTATCACGCCAGAGCCAGGAATAATGAGTTGAACACACTCAAGGGACGTTATGTATTCCCAGGTTTGATAGGTGGTGGTCAAATTGTGCAAAGCGGTAGTTATACCCGTTGGCATACCCCCTCATCTGGCGAATCACGCACGCGGCGGATGACGAGATCCAGACCCATTATGGCATTCACAAGCTGCCGGAGAAATTTTCGGAGACGAAACCACTCAGACAGCCGCCTGGGCCTGCTCCCCGCATTGCTGGTACCACCAGCCTGGTCCTAGAAACGACACTATTTGTCCGGCAAATGCGTGGTCATGCTAGAATCCAATCTAGGCTACCCCGGCCGTCTCTTCAGCGGTCATTGACGGTTGATTGCCACCGTCTCATTCTGGCGTTGCTGGTTCTCGGTCAATCACCTTATTTTGATAAATAGGCTGCCCAGGGGCAAGTCATGGCTGCGATGAGGTGATCGAGCAGGCTCCGAGAAAGTCGCCGTCCACTAAAAATTACCACAATTCCAAGTGAGAGTCATCTCTTGGTCGGATTGTCATCGTGCGACCGACTGGGGTTGGTGTTTAAGCCGGCACACTCCTTGGCCTCGGCCTAGACAGATATAAAGAATACGCACGCGGCTCGTTTTCTTTTCTTTTTATCACCACTGCGACTCTAGCGTTGCCCGACTGATTATATTCAATTGGCATCTCAATCCTGCCACATCATGGGTAACAACGACATCGAGGCCCGAACCTCGAGTTTGGCGGCGCACGAAATCAACGACGGCAAGCCTCAACCAGAGGTTGGCCGCGAGCACATCCATTCCACTGTGCCTCCACATGATACTTATGAGGGACGTCATCGCTTCGACCCGGGCGCATCATGGTCGCCAGAGGAGGAGCGCAAAGTAGTCAGAAAGACGGACTGGCGATTGCTCACTTGGCTGTGTGTCATGGTGAGAAAAGTCTCACCCGAGGCAATGAACGATATGTTAACCTTTCCTCGTAGTTTTTCGGGCTGCAGCTTGATCGCGGCAATCTCAGCAATGCCCTTGCTGATAACCTACTGGATGACCTCGGCCTGACGACAGATGACTACAACAATGTAAGTGAGGCCAGGTTGAGTGAGGGAGAGGAGTTTGCCACCATCGAAATATCACACTAACCTGTCATGCTGTGTAGGGAACTACAATCCAACTACTATGCTTCCTTGGCGCCGAGTTCCCGGTGCAATTCCTTACCAAGCGATATGGATTTAAGAACATTCTTCCCGGAGTATGAAATATCTCTCATTTGCAGTTGATAAGAGGTTGGCTGACACAAATTTGGGTACATAGTTGATGTGCGCATGGGGTGTTGTCTGTGAGTGGTCCATCTCCCTTCTTTTCGACAGGCTCTAACACTTATTGCAGCAACATTCCAGGCATTCATGAAGGACAGGACTTCATTTTACATTACTAGAGCTTTTATTGGCCTTTTCGAGGGTGGATTTATTCCTGGCGCCATCCTCATGGCTACGTACTTCTACACTTCCCGAGAGCTCTCTATCCGCCTGGCTGCATTTTGGTCAACCCTCAACGTCGCAAGTATGTCACCCTTTCCGTCATGAATTCGCAGAATATCTAATATTTTGCCTATAGGAGTTATCTCAGCTCTTCTCGCCGCTGGTTTACTCGAGATGCGCGGCGTCGGTGGCCACCCCGGTTGGTTCTGGCTTTTCCTCCTCGAGGGTCTCCTCACCCTCCTCCTCGGCATCGTCTCGTTCCTCTACCTCCCCACCTCGCCCACAGGGACCAAGTCTCCCCTTTGGCGCAAGTCTTGGTACTCTCCACGTGAGGAAACCATCATGATCAACCGTATCCTGCGCGACGACCCGGCAAAGGGCCTCACCAACCTCTACGAGCCGGCCACTTTCAAGGACATCAAGGCAGCGTGGGGCGACAAGTCCATGTGGGGATTGTATCTCATTGGATTAGTTGGTTACATAGCAGCCACGCCAGTGCAGGCATATCTAACATTGACGTTGAAGCGTGTGGGCGGATTCAACACGCTTCAGTCAAATTTGCTCACAGCCCCGTCTGCCGCGCTCCAGATCATCACTATGCTCGCCTTGGCATACAGCTCGGAGTACTTCAATGAGCGGGCATTCCACTGCCTGTTTGGCGCGTTCTGGTCACTGCCCATGCTTACATCGCTCATCACACTACCTGACGGGGGGCGAGAGTGGGAGAGATTCTCGCTCATTACCCTCATCTCCGGGTACCCTTACTTCCACCCGCTTGTGAGCTCGTGGATTTCGGAGAACACTTTTGATGTCAAGAAGAGGGCAATCACTGCGGCTACGTACAACGTCATTGTTCAAATGTAAGTGCTCAACCCCCTATCCATGGCAAGACAGGTCTCCACAGCATAAACAATATGCTAACTCTTTGCTTAGTGGGAGTGTCATTGGCAACCAAATTTATCGCAAATGGGACGTACCATATTACAAAACGGGAAATAAGGTGTGCGTGTCTATCCTGGCTCTAAGTCTCGTCGTCTTCATTGTCCACCGCCAGTATCTTGTCCATCTAAACAACCAGAAGGAAAAGATCTGGAGCAGCATGTCGCCTGAGGAGCAGCTGGAGTACCAGACGGATAAGGAAGCCCGTCAAGCTGACGGTAACAAGCGTCTCGACTTCCGGTTTGCTTATTAGTAAGATGGAAGCAAACGGCCATCGATTGCGGGCGATGACTCCTTTCATTTCTACTTCTTGTCATTGAAATGCGGCGTGAACTTTAGTTAGCCTCATAAAGGAAGAGCAGTGAGGGAACACGAGACACTATAAGAATCACGTCTTGGGCTTTTTCTCGAACAATCTTGGACACTCAGTAGTAATAAAAGCTTTACATATTGTTTACAAGAGGTGTTTATTGTCACATTCTTCCGCCATGACATCAAACATTGGCTTAGCGCTAAACCACCCGGCCAGAGGACTCCCGACAGTCTTGCATGTCACCTCCGCATCCTCCACATCAATCTTAATCGGCTTGGTCGAAGCGGCCTCGGCCATGAGCTGAACATGGCAGCACTTCTCCAGGGACACGAACCAGAAAATTGCAGCCTCTATTGTCCCGCCGACGGTAAGAAGACCGTGGTTCTGAAGCAAGCAGGCTTTGCTGGATTCGAGGGTCTGGGCAATATTGTTCCCCTCTTCCTTCGCAAGGACAACGCCTTTGAATTGCCGGTAGACTTTGATGTCATTATAGAATGCGCACGAGTCTTGTGTCAACATATCGATGGGCCGACCCAGGGTACAAAAGGCCCGTCCATAGATGCTGTGTGAATGTGCTGCACACTGGACATCAGGTCTGGCAACATGAACCGCATGATGGATCATATAGGCCGCCTTGTTCAGAAGCCTGTTGGGGCCTCCATCGATCACCTCGCCGTTTCCATTGACGAGGATCAGATCTGATCGCCTCATCAGGCTGAACGCCCTCCCCATTGGATTCACCCAGAAGTGGTCTGGGCGGACGGGGTCACGCAATGTGATGTGGCCCGCGACACCTTCATCAAACCCAAATTTGCCGAAAAGCCGGAATGCCAGGGCCAGGCGACCTTTGAGATATTTGCGCTCTTCGTTTTTGTCGGTGAAGACGGGAGGAGCAAGCAGTTTTTGGGATTCAGCGCCAACACCATTTTGTTCGGCGTTGGGTGCCACAATGACAGAATCTACTGATGACTCCATGTCTAATTCTGGCATTCAAGTGACTCCAGATCTCAAGGAATTCGGGTTATCGATGTAAAGTATGCTGAAGAAAGTAATAATGATTGCCGGCGACTTGACAAAGAGGAGGAGATGCCCAAGGTTCCATCACGTGGTAGTAGTTGTCTCCCCCGCTTCCGAGGTTTGTTGATCCCTTGGCGGGGAAACATCAATATTCATCTAAGCCAAGAAGTGCGGGGGAATCATTTCCCGCTTTACGTATGAACTTGTTCGTATTATTAATGATGTCTGTTTGAGAATACCTGGGAACGATATGACTTGATGTTCCATAAATAGAGTGCTCAGCGAACATAATAGTAATACTCGAAATGCTGCCTAGGTAGAGCCGAGATGATTTTTAACTCTTCCAAATTGGAACGCTCCGTTCAATGAGCCAACAGAGGCGTAAGACAGAGAGACGATACAGGGCCAGTCGGATGAAAAAAAACTGTCGGGTTGCTGGACTCGACACGGGAATGTATAGGGTAGCTGATTTATGCTGGAAATATCAAAACGCCCGTCCTTTGGACAGGCCTGTATTTGAAATCAGAGGCTTCTGTAGGTGTCCCGGCACGCTAAATATTTTCCCTTTAGATTTAAGTCTGCATGGCGACATTTGGCCCCAGAATTGCACCATCGCGGCAATGCACGATGGTCCCTCATGGCTTGCATAAGTCTTGCTTGAGAGTGGATATTGATCAGTGACACGACACGCGAAACTGATGCCGAGGCAGTTGCTGCAATTCGAATCAGTCTCTCGATTGGTCTCCTTCCGCAGTAATTTGAATTCTAACATCTGCCATCTCTCCACCAGCCATTCACCAAAACACCGTCACCACGCCGGGCTGGAAAGACAGGGGTCAATCTTCCGAATGCGCCTCTCCAATCAATTTCTTCTCTTTTGTTGACGCGCTGAGAAATGATGAGCATGTGGAAATGACCAACAACCCCCCCTCCGCCGCCAAACGAAGGCAGAAGCTGGTGAAACGCGCCTGTGACCCATGTAAGATTCGGAAAATCAAGTGCTCAGAGGTGTCGCCCTGCAGCGGCTGCATTTCTGCCGGGATCGAATGCACCTTTAATCGTACGCCCTCGACCCGGGGACCAAGGACGCTCCGAGCGAAGACGATCCATCGTATCGCCAGCAAGAGGCGTGATGGAGGCCTTGAGCCGTCACCAGACCGGCAGCATGAGGAGGAGCCCGGCGACAACATAGGGGACATGAACACTCTCCTCGAGCTACTGGGAATTTATGCGACAAGACTATTTCCAATCTGGCCGATCGTAGATGCGGCAGATCTCACCAATACCCTCCTCATAGATCCATTCAATACCAAGGCGCGACACCTGGCGGAAGCTGTGGCTCTGGCCACCGTCGCGCAATTGAAGCTCAGTTCGATTATGTGGAAGGGGAATGTAGAGCAGGTAGAGCACGACGCGCTGAGGGAGACAGAGGCGGGAGATCTGGTAGATAGCTTGCGGGTATCGTTTTTCTTACACATCTACCACGAGAATCAGACTGCCGGAGGGATCAAATCCCTGCTGTACCTGCGCGAGGCCATTACCAAGGCCCAGCTTCTACGAGTTGACCGTGAGGCGACATACTCTTCCCTGGATGGCTCTGACCAACAGCTTCTTCGAAGGCTGGTCTGGCTATTGTTCGTCACCGAGCGGTAAGTAGACTACCTTAATTACCTTCTAACAAGACATGAAATCTATACTAATGTAACTGATTTACCAGAGGCGTTGCGATGCTTCACAAGCTTCCTGTCGTTCTTCGCCCAAATACATTGTTTCCCTGGGCCAGCGATCATTCCCGTGACGAGGTGCTCCCCGCATTTCTGAAGCTTGTTCACCTTTTCTACGTCTTTGACCAGTCTGGCATCTTTGAGCTCTTGCGCAACTCGGACACCGACGTCTCCAGCATGGAGGCTCTTGCAAGAGGCTGCCTCGAGCTTCTCCAGCGGAAGCTCGTCGATAGCGACAGCAGCGGCGACGGAGACGGAGGCTGCAGCGACGTTCAAAAGGCCGACATCTTTGTTACAAGGCAATGGATGCGAGCTGTGCTGTGGAGGGCGGCGAAGAGATTTGGCGTCGTCGTGGATGGCATCGATCCGGTCGGTGTCGCTGGTGAGTTTCTTGCTCTCGTGAGCCGACTGCCGACGACGGCGTTGGAGTCGCAAGGCCCAACACTTGTGAGTCTTTATTCTGTCTGTCGCCCTTATTTCGTACGAGAAGCTCACAAGCATTTCTAGGAGTTCAAGACGTATGAGATTGCGACCGCTGTCGTGGACGCGGTCACAGACAGACGTTCGCTGATACCAACAAGCCGGCCAAGGGATGTTCTTCACGGTCTGTATAGCATCCTTTCTTCATCACGAGGTGGGAACAAGACCCTCCTGGCATTACTCAATTCGAAACTGGCGATGGCCAGCCCAGACTTGAGGCTGCTGCTCCGACCATCGCCTGAAGCGTTGAGCGTACCATTTCTCCCAGAGCAGGTCCAATGGGATGCGTCAATCTCGACGAGCTTCTTGGACATGATCGGCCAGGAAGAGATCGACCAAGACCTCACAGATCTGTCATGGCCCCCTCTCGACCTTGGCAATCTTCTCCGCTCCCCTTCGCCGATGACTCAAATGCTGCTCGAGCCCCATCAACAGGACCAATACCACCCTCAGCATCAGCAGAGCTCCATCCCTGGGTAGGACCAAACCAATCATCAGCATCCGCTAGTGCTGTAGTGCTTCGTAAACCCGCCTGCCATACAACACCCCGCACTTGAAACGTGGGTGTGTGTCCCGGCGAGACGCAGCGGATTTTAGAATCCGCTGCCCCATCAACGTGCCTCCGAGAATTTTGCCGGCCGTCAATTCTGCTGCCGACTTCGCTGAGCTAAAGTCTCTTTATCAAAACCTCCTTTCATTAGCGACTTTTCGCTCTGCCTTGGTTCAAACCATTCCCCTCCGACGACAGTAGAAAACACATACCGCGATGGCGTGGCCGGAACCTCGAAACACTGGCATGGTCTACCGCCGCCTCGGGCGGTCCGGCCTCCACGTCTCAGCCATCAGCCTGGGCAGCTGGCTGACCTACGGCGGATACGCAGACGAGGAGAAGACGCTGGCCTGCGTCAAGAAGGCGTACGACCTGGGCATCAACTTCTTCGACACGGCCGAGAACTACACCGCCGGCAAGGCGGAGATTGCGCTGGGGAATGCCATCAAGAAATTCGGCTGGAAGCGTAGCGACTTGGTCATTAGCACAAGTAAGTGTCACAACTTCATTACTGCTCTGGCTTGATAGCTGATCGGTTGGCGAATGAAGAGATCAATTGGGGTGCGCAGAATGGCGAGATCCTGGTTAATAACCACGGCCTATCGCGAAAGCACATCATCGAGGGTTTGGAAGCCTCGCTTGAGCGCCTGGGTCTGAAATATGTCGACATCGTCTACGCCCACCGTCCTGACAGGCTTACGCCGATCGAGGAGACTGTGAGAGCGTTCAATTACGTGATTGACAAGGGCATGGCTCTTTACTGGGGCACATCTGAATGGAGTGCCGAGGAGATTGCCGAAGCAGTAAGATCTGGCCAATATTTCAATAACTTTTTCCCTTTTGTATTCATTTGAATTATTAGGTCGGTGTGGCTCGAGACCTGCGGATGATCCCACCCATCGTCGAGCAGCCCTTCTACAACATGCTGGTGCGCAACAAGGTCGAGGGCGAGTTCCAGCGCCTCTACGCGCGCCACGGCCTCGGACTGACGACCTTCAGCCCCATCAAGATGGGCATCCTCTCGGGCAAGTACAACGACGCCGTCGACGGCAAGCTGCCGCCCGACTCCCGCTTCGGCTCCAGCCAGGACAAGTTCGCCAAGTTCATGCGCGAGAAGATCGGGTCCGCGGGCGACGAGGAGTGGAGGAAGGAGATCGAGACGGTCAGGAGGTTGAAGCCCGTGGCGGACAGGCTGGGCATCTCGCAGAGCCAGCTGGCCGTGGCGTGGTGCCTGAAGAACGAGAACGTGAGCAGCGTCATCACGGGCGCGAGCAAGCCGGAGCAGATCGAGGAGACGGTCGGCGCGTTGAAGATCCTGGATAAGCTGACGCCGGAGGTCATGGCTGAGATTGATGATATTACGGGGGCCAAGGTGACTCTTGACCCAGCAAGGCAGGACTAGTCAGATGAAATCGCAAGGATGAAAAACAATGAGAAGAATTAAGTCTAGCTAAACTACGTGTCTTGTGTGTCTCAATGGCTGTCTATCGAGTTGATCTGGCCACTGTCGACATCAAAACCTACTTCGATGGATGACTGGGTTCTTGGGAGTAAAGTCGCCCAATGTGAAAATTGAAAGCCGAAGCTATTACTGCCTTCCAACCCTTACTCTCGTGAAAAGAGGCGACCTTGAAGGTACCAAGCCAGACACCCGACAAAGATCACACCCACCACCCAGTAGAACATATTACGAAGAACGAGAGAAAGACTGTTCCTGAAGTTGGCGCGTGAGTGCGCAGTATGTGCCGCTCGGTCATTCAGTCTTGGAAACGGCACATCTGGAACCTCTTTCCTAAGAAACGCACACAGAGGTGCCCATCCCGCCTCAAGCTTGTGTTCCAGCCTTCTCTCCTCCGGAATGAGCCGTCGAACATCATCAAAGTATCGATCATAGGCCCCTCGAGCATTTGACTTAATCTCCTCCAGAGATCTCGCGTGGAAAAAACCTAGAAAGCATTTCCTCAGGGCATTGCCGGAGCGTAACCCGAAGACGGAGAAAATCGTCACCATAGGTTGGGCTCCTGGGAAGAAACACCACCTCCGATTCGAAGCTGGACCACCACAATTCGAAATCCCGCTGGACGATGACGAACGGCATCTGGATAGGCCTGTGCTAGATCCATGGTGAAGGGCGAGGCGACATCGGTAACCACGTCGTAGGATCCCCATATAGCATCCCAGTCGGATCTTGTGTAGGGTCTTCTGGGTCGGGCCCCCGGGACGTTTGGCCATTTCCCCTCGGCTGCTTCCTCTATGAGATGCCATGGTACGGTAGAAGGATCATCAATTGCGTGGTGGGTGCGGTATCCGAGGATTTTGTACGCTTCAGCCATGGATTTGGTGCCCATACGGAATAGAGAAGCATTGATTATCTTGATCCCTCCGACGGGCTTTGACGTATGGTCACCGGTACTGGGCATCGTGCGCGGCACTAAGCGTCATGTGCGTCTAGGAGAGGATAAGTGTTGTGATGATTGACGGAGCGGGGTTGAAAGCTTATGAGCAGGAGAGAAACTGCATGTTGTGGAACTTTGGTGCGATCAAACTCTGAGCGAATAGGCGTGTCACAGCAATATCGTCATAGGAATGCGGCGCGTATATTAACAAAACACGTGCGTACCCTGTTCTCGAAGTCAGTGGCACAAGATTGGGTCCCGTATTACGGGCGTTTTTTTATAATCAATTATCAATGTGATCGATCAGTAGGGGGTGGTTCGGCTTAAAATACAAATGCCATATGAAAGAAAATAGGATACGCTGTAGGTCACAGCCTACTTGGTCGAACATGATTGTTCTCTTGGAATGCGGTTCTTGCGTTCAGAGTACCCTGCTCGAGAGCCCCGTCAATTGCAGCCCTCCATCCATGAGCCCAGTCAGCAGAGGCGAAAAGAATATTTCCATGACGGCTCTGCAGTTCGTCTTGGTACTTCGACTACAAACAGGTCCTCACCATGCCCTGCGAGTAGGGGTCTATACTCCAGTTGTCTAATAACTACATGTCCCCGTTAGTATAATATGAGTTCAGGCGGCGAGAAGCTCCCTGTAGACTTAAAAGAAGTTCCACATGCATTGGCTAAAGGCCATTAAGTGTAACGACTGTTTTGTTTGCATCGGTCTCGGGGATAAAGGTCTCGCGATCATCCTTACTAAACGCCTCGTTGTGAACATCTCCATTTGGAAGGACACCGTCGAACTCTTCCCCTTTAAATACTCCAAATACCTCCTCGCCAATATCTACTACCTTTCTGATGCATGTTCAGTAGTGGGACTTGGGGTGAAAATTCATATTTGGCGGATCAACATTGAATCTATTGTCGATGCCAGGTTCTATATGACTGTACCTAGGTAGATAGATAACCCTCGCTGTCATTCCTAACTCATGGGTGGTAGGATCGAACTAAACAACATTCAGTGACATGAAGACAATGTCCTTGCACCGGCCCAGGAACTCCAAAGTCTCTTCCTTGTTGTGCCAGGCATCATTATAGGCAGCACTCAAGCACAGCTTGCCCCGGAAGGTTCCAAGAAACGCACCGTAGCCGTTGCCAAGCTCCTCGCCGGTCACCCAGGGATCGTGCACTTCGATGTTTCCTTGTGTACTTTGAATAACTGCATCTACTTTGCCCATGCTAGATATCGACGCCGTGGGAGTGGTCTTAGGCGGAGGGACGGGCGGGATCGACCCATCTGAGGGCAAAGATGGGGTGCTAGCGGCCCAGTACGAAGGCGCAAAGGCATAGTGTTCGGCATCGTCGCGCACGTTGTGATAGAAGTCCCGTATCTTACGTAGGATACCCGCGAATTCGGAGGCCACATCAGACGGCTCTCGAGCCACTGACCTTTCGGCGAAGTGTAGATCCAGGTCGATCACCAGAGCTTGGCCCGAAACTGAGTGGTAGACGGTGACGGGGTGGGCTGTTGAACCGTATGGCTCAACGCAGCTCGTGCGTTCGTTTCGGAGAATGTAGTTGACGTATTGCCCAACAGGCGAGTCGGTGACCGGCGGCTTCTGGAGATCACGGACGGCCATGGCGATGGCGGCGTGGAATGCGTGGGTAACAGTCGCCCCGACGGCTTTGCAGGATGCTACAAGAGCTGCAGTCTGTTCCTCAGATAGCCAGAGACTGACCCGTTGGTGACGTCCAGGACGCGTCTCCCCGGTTTTATACGGGATGGTGAGAACGGGGACAGACTCGCTGCCCCTCGACGCCGCTGCTTTTTGTTCATTTATCTCCTGAATTCGTTGCTTCTGGGAGGGAGTCAACTCCACGGGCACATTGGCAGCCACTCGATAAGGGGGGCTGAGGTTCTTGACCTCTGAGCCCAACTCGGGCATCGATTCGGCTCCGTGGCCCTTCTCGTATGCGTTCGCGACATGGCGAATAAGATTGTTAAGCATCTGAAGCGCTCCGATGCCATCCAAAATCTCATGGGGAGACCGGAGTACTAGATCCCGCCTAAGCTCAGAGGTAGTAGGTCTCAGAACAAATAACTTGGGCACCGGAGGAGCAGGAGGGTCGGAGTTTGCCCACTCCTCCCCGGTTATATTCCCCGGGACCGATACAAGAGTTTCTCGGGCCCAGGTATCTAGCTCGGAGGAGTTTTGAGGAGATTGATAGACCTTGGTAGAGGAGGTCGCGGTACTGTCCAAGAATACTTGGGATGCTATCGTGGGATGGTCGAACCGGAGTGCGAGCCAACCGTCCCTTAAGGCGGCGTCGAGCCGTCGTTCAGACTCGTCGATGGGAAGATCGGGGATAGGGTTGGCTTTGAGGATGACATGTCCGGTCATGGCGAAAAACATGCGTCCGCTACCTTCGTAAAGCTTAGCGAGGGAGAAATAGAAGTGCTCAATCTCGTCCGTCGCACGTTCCCAGCGCCCGGGCTGGGTTTCTTTCCAGTTGAATTTGGCGTAGGACATTTCGAGATACTGCGGGGTGAGTCGATTCACCTAGATCACTGACAAAGTCGCTAGTATCTGAGAAGTAATCGAAGTGTTGGAGTATGAGTCGGTGGGCTGAAGTGGAAGTGAGCTGGTCAAGATAACGTCAATGAAAGTCAAGCTTATGAAACCTCTAAGAGAACCACACCGACGGGATCTCGGTCCGTGGCTTCCGAACTGAGGGTTTATCCAGTGTCGTATGGATGAGCAATACTTTCAGTTTCAGCTCTGGTGGTGAGACCCCAACCTGTCCGGCGGTAATTCTATGGCAGAAGGCCGGCCCGTGACATACGACTTTGCTCCTCAACAGCTACGCATCGTCTTTATTGGATGGCCCTATTGGGTCCAGACGCATTAACAAGGCCACATGACCCAAGCACCCCTGGTACGGTACAGGCACAAAGGCCACAAAGCTGTGGACCTGCTACGTAAGTCATTTACTTAGCACTTAGCGAGATCAAGAGCACATAGTCTTGAGGTAAACGACCGAGAAGTTTGAAGTGCGAGATAGAGTCCTTAAGACAGATTTTTCAAATTTTTGAACGCTACGTAAGAGTAAAATCTAGATATCTATTTTCCCCCAAAGAACCTCGAGGGTTGATCTAGTCCAACGGGTCGACCTTCTTGATAACCTTTGCAGGGACACCAACAGCTACCGAGTAATCAGGGATGTCCTTGGAAACTACAGCACCAGCTCCAATGGTACATCCCTTCCCAATCGTAACTCCAGGGAGAACTGTAACATTGGCACCCAGCCAGCAGTCGTCTCCGATCACAATAGGCTCGGCATACTCGATGTTATCACGGCGCGACTGTAGGCCCGTCTCGTGAGTCGCGGTGATCAGGCTCACGCCCGTGGCAAACATGACCCGGTCCCCGATAGTAACATGTGCACAGTCAAGTATCACGCAGCTAATTAGTCAGTTAGAGGCAGTCCGTATTGAATGCATTGAGAAAGGACCTACTTGAAGTTGGCGTAGAATCCCTTACCGACGGTGATGTTGCACCCGTAATCGACCTGCAGGCTGGGCTCAAGGTATGCGCCCTCCCCAACCTTGCCAAACAGCTGATTTATCATATCCGCCTTGATAGCACTGGCCTCTGCGTCCGAGTCATTGTCACCGGGCACGTACGTGTTGAACTTTTGGGCGATGCGGCGAGCGCGACTCCTCGAAGCGACGAGCTCTGGGGCCATGCAGCTGTAGAGCATGCCCGACACCATCTTCTCGTAATCATCGCACCAGGGGACGTTGGTCAACGTCCTGGCGAGGGCAATAGCCGCATCGCTTTTCTCTGTCTTGACCGGTGGCACCATTTCGCTTCCACTCAACTACTAAGCTTGGTGTTCTGTGGCCAAACGAAATTTTGTTCAGGTAGGGAAGAATAACCAAAGTAGGATATACAACAGCGTTGCACATCCAGGCCGAAAACTGGGCGAAATTCTGTTGTTGACGCTCCAGTGCCCCCCGCCGGGTAAATCCCGTCAAGGAAGAAGGGGGGTTTGGCTTGGCAGCTAATTCCCTGAGATGGAAATAAATTCTAGAGAAACACCTGTAGTAGGTCCACCTGTTAGGCTAAAGTTCGGTACGCTAACTACCCGATTTAGAAGTACCAGGCTCAGGGGTTGACTTGATCTGATGAATACAGGATGCCACCCATATACTGATCCAGCAGCGGAGAAACGGAGAAATGCGGTGAGGTCGGATGGTCAGTAGGATCATATGGTCAAAATCTGCACAAATTGCCGGCTGTGGATTGCTCAGCATTCTGAAAAGCGTCATCTTGGGGGAATGTCGGTTTCTGAGAGGTCCACGAAGTCCTCCACTTTGCCAAGGCTCGGCCAGTTCCATATCATTGTGGAGATTTCTCGCAAGAGGCAACCCAGGACGACGCTGTGGGTCAACGCCAAACAGTGACGAACAAGTGAAGGGGAAATGCCCTCTGAGAGCAGCACTTTGAACTAGAAGATGTCGGCTTTACTGCTGATTATGTGTTTATGCCCGCTGACTCATAGCCCCGGTATTTATCAATTGCAACTGAGCTTACTGGCTGTTCAGTCGCGCCATAGAAGAAACTGACCACAGCTATAGGGTAGCTATATCGTACATGGAGTTGGACAACAGGTGACATATAAGAAGACCTGTGGTATTCTATTTAGAAAACATGCGGCAGGGTTGACGTTGCTAGTGAATGACACCAGTTGGAACAAATCCAATCATCCTTGCAACAGTCATCTCATGTCTCTTTAGTAGGCAGAGCTCAACGAAGAAAAAATACAACTGCCGGAATAGGAATTCGTACTGGTGCTGGTTTGGATGAGAATGGGTTCTGTGCAGCGTTGGTGAGAAGAATTCCGGCCAGCCTCGATTGCTCATATGTCGGATACAATTGGAAATTTCCATGACCACATTACATTCCCTATTGAGTAGGTAATGACACGGAGATGTAAGTACCTAAGGTGAGTCAGGAAGCTAAAGCCACCAATTCGATGCCGTTGTAGCGTCCCCGCTCCAACATAAGCGGACCATGACTTCGGCTAATCTGGTCGCCCCGCTGGTTCTACTCAACTATTGGGCCTCCTTCTGTACACATCACTCTCTGACGTGACGCGTGATGAGCCATCCTTGAAGAACTATCCCAGCTGACAGCTTCGCATCTGGGCTTCTTAAATGCCGAAACGAGTGAAGCGCACGTTTACGGCATGCTGGACATGTCGGAAACGGCACGTTCGCTGTGACGGGAAGATACCGACTTGCGGCCCCTGCGCTAGACAGACCCTCGACTGTGAGGGATACGGGATCCAACTGTCGTGGGTCGATAATGAAACCGGCCGATATACCGCTCGTTTACGACGAATCCTGGGCCCGGAGCTCACCTGGCTTAATCATCACAGCTACTCAGCAAGGCAGCTGGAGCACCTGCTCGAAGAAGACCGGAAGGATTGCAACTGTGAACTCCACATGTCTCCAAATAACCCGTTCCGGTTGATGCTTATCGAGCCAAGTTACTTTACTCATGGATTACGGCAAGTGAGGTCAAGCATAAATCACTTAGACGGCCGCCCTACACAGGAGCAGTTCCTGTTCTCACACTATGTGTGCCATGTTGCGTTCCTCATGACACCTATCGACGATGGTAGAAATCCCTGGAAGTCAGTTTATCCAGCAATGGCTTTGGGCAGCCAATCTGCCGCGTGTAAAAGTCTATACCACGGCCTCCTTTCACAAGCAGCTTTCAATCTCGCAAACTTGCGACGCGGAGATTGTGATTCCTTCTCTCGGCACCGTCATGAGGGGCTCAAGCATTATGGCATATCGCTGAACATGCTCCGAGAGAGCCTTGATACGCCTGATTCTGAGTTCGTTTGTCAGGTTGCCACTTTCCTGACAATCCTGATGATTGAGGTACGCAACGCCTGATACGCCTTTTCAATGGATGGCGACTCTAACCAAAGTCGTAGGGGGTTTATTCTACAGAGGTATACAGCTGGCGTTCACATTTCAAAGGAGCAGCTGCGCTAGTGAACAAAATGTTGCATGGTCGAGACTGGACCCAATCGTCAGATGCATGGGTAATATCCCAAAGCCTCGCCTTATCTCTGGAGATTGCGAAGACGGGCCATGTTGATTCGGCACGGCACGCTGGTCCTACTGGGATGCTCCTGGACGCTCTGTCCACGAGGACCGACTTTGGTTACACTATTGGGAGCCCTCGAGCGGCGCTTAAAGCACTTTCAACACTACAGAGAGTTGACAGGGTAAAAGATGGTCATGGGCTAGAACTAAATAATCTAGAGGTTGAAATATCTGATGCATTGCGGACCTTGAACTTGATGCAGGGGGAAGACACTGGACATCCACGAAGACTTCACAAAGAGCGCCCACAGACCCATCAGCGGCTGGATTACCTCGCCCACCTGCATTCACGGATGTTTCTAAACGCAGTCATCATATATTTGAAGCGACTCACACCCGGCGTGACGCCTTCACAGGTCAGCACATATACTTCATCCGTCCTGAATGACATGTCAACATTTCTTGACTTGGATGGCGGGAGCATATCGTTATGGCCGGTATTCGTCGCGGCAGTGGAAGCGTGTGCGCCAAATGAGCGAGATATGGTTCGGAGATGGTTTGAATTCTCTTCCCGCCTGGGGATCGAGAATAGGGTCCAGGCTCGTCAGATAATCGAAAGGGTTTGGCAGACAAGGGACTCAGTCGCTGACGAGACAGGATGCCCGGTAGCGGAAACTATTGTTGACTGGACCACTGTACAGCAAGTCTTGGGGATTGATATATTGTTACTGTAGCATGATTTAATCGTCGCCAGACGGCCTTTTTGTCTAGTGCAATACATGATGTCAAAGAGCTTTGCACACTTGAGCTGTGGCTAACTTGACCAGCTTCCTATGTCCAGGGTTGATACCAGGAGCTGCCCCTCTGCTACTATGGGGGCTAGAGATATGAAACGATGGTAGACTGAGAAAGATGCACCAACTGGCTAGATTCGACGACCCAATGACCCAAACTGGTAGTTACGGCCTGGTACCTATTCCAAAACTAATGATTGCACAGTAGGGGCTGACAGTTGTTGGGATAATGTATATTATGACACTAATATTGAATCAGGGCGGAGAAATGGAGAAATACGGTGATACTAGACTAAGTCAGAGGTTGGGGCACATGATCAAGGTCAGGATGTGCAACCGGCAACGGGTTTATTGACTATTTTGGCGGGCCTAACTATACATATTGTACCTAGTAGGCGGAGAGATGGCCGGTGCGGTCAAACCGGGGAATTTATTCCTGGTGAGTGGCGGCGAGGTTTGCTTTCTTCGTCTGCGGCACCAGGAGCCAGCTTAGAGCTGTAGCCACCCAAAGTGCAATCAAAATGGGCTGCAGGACTGCCACGCCGGCCGAAGATGCCACGCCTCCTGTAATCATTGGGAACAATGAGCCCCCGACCTGCGCCATTACGAATACAAAAGCGAGTGCCGTTGGCTTTACCTCTGGCTCGAAGAGTTTCGCCCCGAGAGACACACCCTGAACATGTAAGTTTAAACAACTGGGCTCTGTGGAAGCAGTGATCGTAGTGAAACGTACCGTGGCGAAAAATGGGCCCGCAAAGAACCCAACGAAGCTCACTGCGATGGAAGCAGCGATGATGTTTGGCACACTGCATTGGGTAAGTCACTTTTCCAGGTTGCACACAGGGGCCGGGGAGTACTGACAGCCAGAAAACCAGTTGAAAGCCGATGCACAAGATACCAAAGGCGAAGACCATAAAGCGAGGACCGAAACGGTGGATAGGTTCGGCCAACAGCAGACGCCCCAGGAGCGAGCCACCATTATAGCCTGCGGCCACGAAGCCCATCTGCGAAATGTCCCCTTTGCGCACGTCGATGAGGTACTCCACCAGCCACCCGCTTGCGGTGAGCGAAGAGCCCAGATAGAAGAAGAAGAATATGCTGAGATACCACAGAGATGGGCTGCGGAAAGTGAGTGCCATGAGCTTAGAGGCATCCTTGTGGCGTGATTCCGAGGATGTCTCTTCCTTACGCCTGAATTTGACGGTGTCACGGAATGCGAGGGCAATGAAAGCCGCATTTGCGACACATAATCCCAAGGGCACAGCGTAAAAGAAGTACCAAACAGAAGGTGTCACTGCAGCCGCGACCGCCGTACTCACAAATGGTCCGACGAGGCAGCCAGCGGAGTACGAAGCGTGGATGAGGGCAAGCCAGCGGTGGGAGCTTCGAGCGTCCGCAACAAAGGAGTTTGCATGGGTGTCATTCAGGGCTTGGCCAAGGCTGACGAAGGTGAAGCTGAGGGCGAAAAGGGGGAATGGCGGGTTCCAGATCCTCAGTGCATGCGCAAGGACCTGCAATGCTGCGCCCAGGAGCATCATAGAACCCAAATCGAAGAACTGGGTCAGGTGGGTGCTAATTATGGCGGAGATAAACCACCCAGCAAAATTGGTGGCATACCTTACCAAGTGGTTAGTCTGGATCTAGATTCAAGGCAGATCTGAGGCTTGACATACAAGGCAGACGTTTGAGCTGTGTTTATGTTGTATTGGCGAATAACGTAGGGGATGAGGGCACCGACGCTGCCGTCATTGACACCGGCGACAAAGAACGAGAAGCTGGCGGTGAGAAACTTGAGAATGGTATGTGTGGGTAGTTGTTCTGGAGGAGCCGGAGGTGCATCTCCCTCAATTTCGGCGACATCTGGTGCATTTGTACATGGATTCTCTGGGACTGAGCGGAGCTCGTGGCCTTGTTGGTCCTTAGAATTAGCCATCATGAGACCGAGATCTTATGGATTGTCGTGTTGTAAAACTCTGAAGATTGCTGATTTCTAGAAGAACATCATAGCCCATTCGCAATCTTTCATTCTCAGACTGATGGGTAGCTATATATAGGCTCTACTTGAACAGGGATAGTCGGGGGGAACACGGTAATACCTTGGGTTATTTAGAGAATAAAGAGGCCGGCATTTATCCTGAGGCATTGAACCAATACACCAAGTAGCCCGATCATATAGAGCATGACATAATGGGACATTCAGGTGACCCGCGGAGAATCGGAGTGGCTCCGAGCTTGGCCAGGCGAGTTTAGGAAGTAAGCTACAGAGTGCCAAGGGGTACTTGGGGCTTGGATCGTCATGCTTCACTCCCCTTGATTCCCTCGTCGTTCTTCCAACGGCCGGCTTGTCGCTCCGACCTGCCGGTATTACCCCACGAGGAAACTCCGCATCTCCGCATACTCCAGGGAGCCCCGAAGTTATACCGGCCCCTGCCTGGACTGCGGCTGGTTGGGGCTTGGGATCAGTCCTCCCTGAAGTGTACATGTACATACCAAGATGGACGACTTGAACTAGGTAACCACCTCACAATTGATACCACAACGAAAATAACCACCAAGAGAAATAGCCCCTTCGACATGATGTCGCAATCATCGCCGTCTCAACTTCGGCAGCCACTTCTCGGATCGCGGGACGAGCAATGCCCTGACGAGGATGGATCTCACAACGTTGCGAAAGGCTCCTCTCCAACGACGACGACGCTCCTCATGTCTGGGGCTGCCATGTACTCGTTTGCGTTGCTTGGCCTGTTCCAATCAACTATTGGAGTAATGCTCCCCCGCATGGAAGCATTCTATCACCTCAATGATGTCCAAGTGTCCCTCTGCTTTCTAGCTGGGCCAGTTGGATATGTAATTTCTGCACAACTTAACCACTCTATCCACTTGCGCTTCGGCAGAAGGGGAATTGCCGTTGTTGGGCCCATCTTCCAGATTCTCTCAGCTGCTCTTACGGCTATGCATCCTCCATTCCCCATAGTGCTCGCCTCTGCTGCATTGGGTGCATTCGGGACTGGTCTCCTAGATGGATCGTGGTGCGCCTGGGCCGGGCGCATGGAAAATGCAAACCTGATATCAGGTCTGCTACATGGATCGTTCTCTCTTGGGGCTGGCTGCGGCCCCATCCTTGCCGAGCTCGTGCTCTCTGGAAACAGGCCGTGGTATTCCTGGTTCTATGTTTTGGTAAGATGATTTGCTATCCTTCTATGTTTACTTTCTTGCTGTAGAACAGTTTTTTTAACGTTGACCTTTTCACGCAGACTGCATTAAGCATTCTCGAGTTAATTATCCTGCCGTTCGCGTTCAGACATGAGAACGCTGAGAAGTATCGCAACCGCCGAGCCGACGAAACAGCAGAGGAAAGCCACGAAAAGCTTTCAAAAATCTTCCACTATAAGTCGACATGGATCTGTGCTCTATATCTACTTATTTATGTTGGTACCGAATCAGGAATTTCGGGATGGATCGTGTCTTTCATGCTTCGAGTCCGTCACTCCTCAACACAACTTGCAAGTACCTGTTCCTCCAGCTTCTGGATTGGCATGGCTGCTGGGCGGCTTATACTGGGACTGCTCACCGACAGGGTCGGTGTAAGCGCGCTACAAACGGCTATATTGTCTGTGCTCTGGCGTGTCAGATCCTTTTTGTCACAGTGGAAGGCCAAGTAGCCTCTGCAACTCTGATTGCCTTTGTCGGGTTCTTCTGTGGTCCTCTTTTCCCGTCTTGCATTATTCTTCTCACTAGGCTCTTACCCCGTGATCTCAACGTCGCTGCGGTTTCTTTCGTTGCATCGGTTGGTCAAATTGGCGGCGCCTTCCTGCCCTTCGGCTTGGGAGCCTTGAGTCAGCTCATCGGGCTTGGAGTGTTCGGGGTTGTCATCGTTATTCAGTTGTTTTGCTGTCTCGCGTTGTGGATATTGTTTTCTGGACTACGGCCAGTGGAGGTTAATGAGATTACGGACGACGAGCATACTACTTAGATATGTGAAAAGTTAAAAAGCCAGCATGTCAAGTTGGTTACATGTTGCGACTTTCAGATTAGCTTGAATGCCCAACAGAAGCATCTATCGGAACAAGCCTCAAGAGGCTTCTTGTGTTAAAGTTAATGTGGTCTATCATCGACTATACATCTCCTGTAACTTCTAGTTGTAAATAGAAGGGGCCAATAAGAAATTCAAAGCTACATTATAAATCATCCTCACTATTCCCGCCTTGAGCGCCCTCTAGCGTTTGCAGAATTCTACAAAAGCGCGTAATTGCCATCTTGAAATGGTGAAGCTGGCTCTGGTTGAGAGACATCACCACAGGCCCGGCTTTGGCTAGAAACCATGCCCTGTTCTTTCTCGCCGCCGCAGCGCCGGTAAAGCATAGAAATACGTAGAGCTCGTTCTCAATATCGCACTTGCTCCCCTGAGGAAGCGAGGAAAGGCAGAGACGGAGCTTCTCCACGCTGTCTTGATTGTCGTCAATGGAGAACCTAGTCCGACGTTGAAACGAGGTAAGATGAATCATTGCCGCAAGAACGACGGCCGTCGAGAATTTGCCCTCCACCCCAGGCTCGCTAATCACAATACTTTCTTCTACAGGTTGTGCTGAAGGTTCATACTCGAAATCCAAGGTCGCATTGTGGACTCTCCTGAGTAGGGATATTAATGGCTCAGCAATTCCGCTTTCGTGTAGTGCTCTCTCAGATTGGCATAAAACCGTGGAAACGAGAGATATGGGCGCATCGTAATGCTGAGATTGTTCGTCGACGCAGAACACCGGGCTGGAAGCATTAAGGATAGAATCCCCAATGTCGATCCTAGGTTCATGGTTAATCGCCAATTACAAAACCGATGAAATACACCTACAGCATAATTAAATTAGACAGCCGATCACCACAGAGACGTATTGTGCTTAGCCCGCCATTCCCTTTGACCATCTGTTGAAGGCCCTGCTTGTGGATCTTTCCTTCCATTGTGTTGGAACTCATGGCCTTTGCCAAGTCAGCTTCGCTCCAACGTTGGATGAAGATCCGTACCTCGTAGTGCCAGAGGTAGGTGGCCGTAGCAACTGCGGTGACAGATACCCGCTCTGATGATGAAATATGATCAAGAAGAAGTTTTACTGCATGTCGTCGGTGATATTCGGTGACAGGGTTGTCAACCTCGCCACGGAGCACATCGAGATGGGATGATGCAGCAAACAAAATACCATGGAAAATGCATGGGTCAGACAGTAATGCCTGCATCCATTGCTTTTTGGACACTTCGTCGGTATCAAGGCTACCTTTTCGAGTAAAGCTCGGAAATTGCATCTCATGGTCTGTATACAAATCAACACTTGTGGTTAGCAGCAGGATTGTCCGCAAGTCTTACAGTGATTTACCAAGAAAGGCATGTACCATCGAGACGGGATTGGATATGTCACGATGGGGTCGATTGCGATTTGATGAGGTGAGATCGGGTGTGAAAGCTTGCGGTTGCGATTGGACAGATGCTCCAGCTGTGACCGAAGCGCGCGGATTTCAAGTTGAGTCCTGTTCTCGTCATAGCTGCACTTGAGAAGTTTTCTAGTTCTGTCAGTCATCACGTCCATCTACTGGTGCGGCCAGAAATGAAGATCGAGACACTCACTTCTTGCAAGTCGTGCAGCCGGGAAACAGTCTGTCACATTTCTTCTTGTTTAACCTGCAACGGTCACATGCCTTCAACGCGACACTGCCGACTTCACTGTCGCTAAAGGTTTCCATCGCTGTCTCGATTGAGAAGGCAACGATATATCAATACATGCTTGCCAACGAACGAGGAGCAACTCTTTCGAATGAAGAATATTCTGCACTGCCCCGGAGCGGAAATGATTCCTAGGGCTGAAGGCGTCAAGGACTACGTAGACTTGGCCATAGCCACACGAGTGGGTCAATATAACTCATTGCAGACACAAGCGAACACAGACTCTGGGACTCGGTAATGTAGAAGCTAAAATCTCACGTAAATCCACCAGATGACATTAGATTCCTACGTACTAGACTCCAGCTGTGATCTCTCCTAATCAATGACTAAAGACACTCGAAACTAGCGGCGGAAGCGTTTCCGCCTCCAATATACTTCGCCGTGAGAGGGTAAGGGCAGATAATTCGATCACCTCCCGAGACTTGGGCGGACAGATGGGCCGGTGCCTTCTTCTCCTCAACCCAGCTTACCAAGGCCGCAAATGGGTCGGTCGGGACGGCACCAAGCGATGGTGTCCCGGCGCAATGGTCAACGCCTGGGGCAAGGAATAGGCGGAAGAACTCGTCTACCTTGGATGGACCGCCCAGCAATCGCTCGACTCGATCGCGATAGTTGACGGTTCCATTCGGGAAAATGATCTGATCGGACAAGCCATGCCAGACGAGTAGTTTGCCACCTGCGTTTTCGAATGCTGAAAGATCGGGGTTGTCTGAACCAATAATGGCGTCGTATTCCTTGGCCGACTCGGTAAACAGATGTTCGAGCGTCGTGTAATCAATCTGACCGAGGTCATATTTGGGGTCTTTGGTAACCCAATACGAAATCCAAGCATCGTTGACGAAGAATGAAGACCCTTTGCGTGCCCCGTCAACCACAAGTGTATTGGCCAAGGTGTCCAAAGCAGCACCGAAATTCAAGCCATACCAAAGTCGCTGTCCATCCTGGTCAAATGGTCCTTGGTACACTTTTTGAACCACTCTTGCAACAGACTCGGTAATTGTGAGGCTGGTTCCATCGCATTCAATCACATGTCCAACCAACTTGTACGGATTAAAATGGCAAGCGTTGGGATCGTTGATGACTCCATCCGTGAGTCCATCATAACATCACACTCAGCAACTGCGGCGTCGGTAAACGCCTTGAGCTCACATGGCGACGGAAAGGTGTTTTCCTCGTGCATGACAACTTGCGGCCACTGTTCCGCCATCACATACGTGGGCCAGGAGATTGCGGGCGCGCCGGCCAGAATCCCGTCGAACAGATCTGGGTATCTCTGTGCGGCGACCAGTCCTTGCCTCCCACCGGTTGAGCATCCGTTCCAGTACGAGTATTGAGATTTCTTTCCGTAGAACTGCTCAGTTATGGCCTTTCCAACTAGACCGACATCGTGAACAGACCGATACGCGAAGTTGACTAGTGCCTCTTGATTCACAGAACCATCCGCCAGCAGTGCCCATCCCTCAGGCGACAGCGGGTTGAATCCAACACCTGCGTCTGTTGATGCCGCCGCGTAGCCCAGCTTGGCGGTAGGGCCCAGCGTCAGGTCCAGAGCACCAGCTGCGAAGCCTGATCCGCCGTTAGCCTGGAACCGTCCGTTCCAACCTTTGAGTGGCAGCCAGACTTTGACGAGGACTTGGTCATGAGGACCTTGGTGCCTGAGAACCACGTCGACGGCGCAGATGTCAAGGCCCGTTACTGGCTCTGGGAGGAGGCCTGGGAATGCGGCGACGGTGTGGTTGAGAAGCCGCGTTCCATTGATGGATATGACCTCTGCGCCAGGAATATTAGGCTTTTTGAGTGCCGCACACGCGCATTTCGAGTTTCTGTTGACTGCTTTGTCCGCAGCCGCGGAGGCGAGGAGAGCTGCAAAGAAGAAGATCGAGCGAAATGGTGCCATGATTGGTAGTAGAGTGTAGATATCTTGATAATGTAGGTGCTATGTTCCAAAATTATACATGATGAAGAGGGGATAGAGGCCAATTTATACTTGCGTTGCCAGCGACTCTTGAGCTTCTCTTAGACCTTAGTCACGTATATGCAGCAATATCTCCCCTGACACAATGAACCTTCTGCCTTGAGATTTGATAGATTCCTGGCGGCATATTTCCGACCCCTGTTGCCAGGCGTATATCGAGATAATATAATCCCCACACATAGTGCTCGTTGTAGTAATATGGCAAGATGAAGACGGAGGTTAGCAGATGTCAGATTCGGTCATCAACATGGTTCGGCCCCACCCCGCCGCTGACCCAGTGGACGCTCAGCCACGGCTACCAGCTACAAGAAGTTTTCAAAGGTGCCCGAGCCATGGTTGGCAAATAGTTTCTACGGTAAAATTACAGATTTCCAACACGGCCGCCGAATCGACCATAGTAACACTGGTCGACCCACATCGCGTTGCCTTTGATAGAGTAATCACCAAAGTGACAGCCCGAGAGACTGAGATCCTCGCTCGCTGGTCAGAGGTTTTGGTAGGACGGGACAAAGAGTCTGATGAAAATAATATGATTAATGACGCTTATCATCCCGATGAGGCTTGTTCCCAGTTTTATATCTCTCCCAGTTTTGAAGATGCTGAGACCCTGTTCATGATTCCCATTCTCTGCTTCCATGTCTTAGGTAGACAACGTTGTCGGTATTTATAATGCTATCGTATGCGTTTTAATATAGCTTGGCTGCGGTAAAATTTGCAAGTTCATTGTCTCGATGGTAGGCAACAGAGGTTGACGACTCGATCAACCATAGTGAGCGAACTAAAAACGTGACGAGTAGGGTCGGCGCCAATTCTAGATTACTTTGAAATGGGTTTTTACTTAAAATTAATCTTAAATCTGCAAGAGCTGGCTTATTTTCTATTAATCGTTTTTTAATGCAGAGTGGGATGCTGTAGTGAAAACAGGGGTTCTGTCCAACACATTAAGAACATACATGGGATAACACTCACCGTGAGCATCAAAATCGCATTTCATCTCAACGCAATTTCAATAAGTTGTGGCAAGATTAAAAACGTGAGCTGATATCCTATCTATGAGTATGAGCACCCTCTACGTACTGAATCTTCACTTGATGGAAAATTCATTGACACTCCAAAACCAGTCGTTAGCATGTCTGTCGAACTAAATTTCTATGTATCCTTTTCAACACGAAGCAGATGAAGTGACTGTTTCCTCCAAAGTTTGTAAAAAATGAAGCATGCTACTGTGGATGGTAAAGTAAACGCAACCCAAACCCAGAGCCGGTTGACATGCCCAAACCATGCCTCCTCGCTAAAGAACGGCATCGAGAATACGGCCTAGGAGATTAAATCGTTAGCTAAGATCTAAATACACTACGAGGGGGGTTGTTGCTTATCGTACAGCAAAAGTGGCACCAGGGAGGAATACCATCGTAATAATCGCTATCTGTTGGTAAAATTAGCTGCACGCCTGGATATCTTCCCAGAATGTTGGATCGACACGTACGGTTCTCATTGCAATACTGTCTCTCTTCATTTCCAAAGCAAGTTGATGTGATGCATCGGCTATCCTTCGCCCAAGGTTTGCATCATTCTGCATCGCCACTAGGATTTCTTGCATTGCTTTGCCATTGGCAACAAGTAGCCTGTCGCTATTGATTTGCATTCGATTAAAGAGCTTCAGGAAAGTATATTAGCGTATATCAAATCACGATAATATGTGTTGAAGGCGCCTTACCAAGTCTAGAATATTTTTCGTCTTCTTCTCTAATTCTAGAGCGAAATCCAACGAAGCCTCAACCTGCGAAAGCACCTGATCAAAACCAAGAGTTAACTGTGCCAAGTCTTCGCCGGAAAGACTCTCACTGCTCGAATAGATAGATGCATAGAATTTTATAAGATCGTTCGTGATTGCTTTGAGGGAATTGAGCTCTGATATATATCGATGCAGGTGAGCGGAAATAGAGTGGAGGGCTCGATTCAGCTTCGTCAGCGTCACTTCTGGCGTCAATCCAACACTAACCGCGTCGAGCTCGGACTGCAGAGTTATTTCATAAGCAATCAGCTGCTCGTTGACACTGTTCAGAGAGTTTGTCCACCATCGTGAGGTGCTACTGATATAAACCAGATGTACGAATGCCCCTGTCGAAAATCTCGCATCAAACGCACCAATCTTTTTTCGATGTCTCATCACCTCGGCAATCCGTGCTTTTGGTTCAAGTGCAATTTTAGGCCATTGCCCATGCATAAAATCGAAAGATGCCACAGTAACCTTATTCGATGATGGATCTACCCTGGTGAAGATGCCGACGCAAGAGCGGAAGATATCTATGCCGACATCCGGTAGGTGAAGCTTATGAAAAGGGTTCATCTGTGCTGTTCCTCTTTGACCTGTGTCCAACCTAGATTGAGCTCCCACCTGAACGCGAACAGGTAGAAAGTACCAGCAATCATAGAATGTTGAAGGTTCTATAGTAGAATGGCGAAACCCTCTTCCAGTCGGGAGGTAATGACGAGTTAGGGCGAAGATGAAGGCTGGCGGGAGACAGATCCCAGTTGCCAATGCGTCAAAACTTAGCACAGAGATTTGAAGCTTCTCAGAGTCATCTGGGATTGGGGAAGTTGGATCTTCGAATAAGTGCTTGTATACGAAACTAAACAGTCGTCACCATATCTTTAGTATATTTGGAAAGAACACAGACTGATGTTTGTGTAGCATACAAGAACTGAAGGCTGTGCTCCTCTGCCAGTGGCTGAGAGTACTATTAGTTAAAGCCTTCAGGGGAGAGTACGTTCGGCGCGTCTCACCAGCCTCTTGATATCCGCGCGGGATTCCAATATCGCCTCTTTGAATTCCCCATCCAATTGGCCGAGGACGTACTTAATCCGCGTCGTTGTTGATAGCTGTGACGATTGGAAGCTGTCGAACGACTGTGATATCGATAGCCCATGCTCTCTTGAGGATCGGACCTTCCGTCAGCTTTGATGACCCATGCTCACATTTCGCCTGTCTGGTCATCTGCCACTTACAGTTCTGGCGCTTGGCTCGCCTTGTACACTTCATGGGGGCTTTGTTTCTTGCTCATCTTGGAGAGAGGGACAGCGGTTTATGCGAGAGAAGATCCGGTGGACATCAGGGATTAGTTCAAGGAAGGGCTTTCTGTTGATTCCTCCCCTTTTCCAGCAATCTCCTCAGCCGCATATGCGGCCAAGCCCCAGTCACTCCGCCACACGGTACAACATCCTTGCCATCTCCATCCAAAAGGGATTTATCATCACTACTAATAAGCGCCCAAACCTCTCGGCCCATATTTCACATTTGCGTGCGCACATTCTTCAATCGCCAGAACACCATGGAGAAAGCTGAAGGACCGGTTGCTGCCAGTCCCAAGCCAGTGGCATCAGACATACCGCCTCTAAGGAACATGTCAAATATGGGAGGTGGAGGGGGGAAATACCCTTATCCCGCTGAAGCAGAATCGCAGCGACAGATTCATAAATCCACCACTACGGAATCTTCTCCCTCTTCCTCTGAACATCCCTCTACTTCGGCGGCGAGCGGCAGCACTCTGTCTCAACAATCTAACGACACCAATGACACCAAGTCTACCTCAATCATCAGCTCCTCACTGGCATCTGTGTCATGCAAACCCAAAAAGAAACGCTACGCTACACAGCATGAGACTCGCTGGCTTGAGGAGGGGCAGCCGTCCGACCCCTTCCTGAAGCAGAGCTCTGGTCTGACAGATCAACCCCTGCCGACTCTCCCAAAGTCACAGCAAATCGAACCAGTGGCACAGCCCCAGAGCCTGACACCACCCTCAGTTGTCAGTACTGTTTCCCCAGCGCTGTCTATTCTAGGATCCAGCAAGTATGCTAGAATGAGCCCTGGGCAAGATGCCCCCGCCATCCAGCCAGGCGCGCCATCAGCATACTTGGCGGCGGTGCAGCCCTTGAACCACGGTTCCCTTCGAAGCCAGAACATCCAAAGTGAGACGACCAACGGAGATGCTCTCAGCGCCATTGATGAGGAGCGGACCATACGCGGCCGGTCGGTCTCGCCATCACCATCGGCACCACAACCAGAACCGTCGAAGCTACGCAGAGGATTGTCAAAGCTGCTCCGTAGGAACCATTAAGTCTTCAAATCACCGTCTTCTGTCAGCAAAAGTAGCTCAGGAGCATGGTGGTGACTCCATGTGCTTCGCCACACAAGGCGTCTAATCTGGGTCGCATCGGGAGGCCTTGGCATGCACAAGGCAATCGACGCGTGGATTGCAATCCCATGCTGGTTGATAGCGCTAATAATGAGGGTTCAATACTTTGAGCTCCTCCTTCCTTTCTCACCTCCCCCTGGTTCTTGATTGCGATTTCTAGCATCTTGTTGGCGCCATGGCAGATACATCCATCCAGCGGCGGACTTCTCTGAGGACTAATCTGCTCCGAGGGTTCATACAAAGTTCGTTGCTCGCTCAAATATTTCGAATCAATTAGATTTGATATGCGAACTTTTGATTGACCGTTGACAGAGCTCACATTGCGAGGTCCAGACCCTGACGAGAGCGAAACTCGAGAAGAGGTGACATCTCCGACCGCAGCAGGATTTCCCGTGTGCTTTGCCGTCGATGTATCCGGCAGTACAGAAGGATGGATCTTGGGGATGGAGCAGGAAGCCATCATCGCAATCAGCAGTGCCCTCGGCAAAACCACACAATACTCGATGAGCCGGTCATCCATCCTCCCGTGGAATGACAAGGCATACGGCAGGCTCCCTCTGAAGGACGTAAAGGACCTTGTATCAGGTGGAGGCACGGCCCCCGCGGCCATATTCCATGACCCCGAATACAGAAGCTATCTCCAGCAGGCTGGGCTGTGGATCCTCATAACTGATGGGCAAATCGATCAACTCAATGTCCGGGACTTCTCTAACTCGATTCTGGAAGCTGGAGTCCATGGAACTGCATGTGTGATTATTGCATTTGGGTACCGAGGCTGGTCCCCTTTTCAATGTAATGTTTCCGTGGGCATATCCGTATTTGCCGTTGCTCCACACTGCCTATTCCTCTACCATTCTATTCACGAGGACAAGACCTACGTCATTCAGGCCAAGGGGTGCTTCAAAGAACTGCTGCCAGAGGAGAAACGGTTCATCTTGTTCAATGAGTCAACACGTTGGGATGACCTTCACATCATCAGATATGAGGACTTGGCTAGGGTTCAAGTGCCTCAGCCTGCGAAACTATTGAGGGATTCTGTTTTACTCCCAAACGGAAAGATATTCGATATGCGAACCATATATAAGAACAGGGTCTCGAATGATGATATGTTGGAGCTCCTGTCAGATCCTGCCTCTCTTGATGTCATTTTGCTGGCGGCCAATACCAGAGGGACTGGTTATCTGGTTGAAGCTTGGCTAGAAAGGATTCGGAAAAAACACAGGTTCGCAGCTTCAAGAGCCTTCGACCATGAAGAAATCATTGAACGTGAAGACATCGGAGGCATAGGACTGCTTCAGCTCACCACGCTCATCGTCCACGCCACCAATGGTGCGGATGAAGATAACTTCTGGGACGTGCTGCGAAGCCAATGCATATCTCAAGATCCAACACTTCAGAACCTGAAGTCAAGTCTTTGCTATCGGCATCAACTCAACTGGAACAACTTCCAACTTAACATTAACGCAAGATACCAGCTATTGTCTAAAATACAGAAAGAGGTTGATGGAGCCTTAAGTACGATATCGCACATGGAAAGCGGCATGTCTGCCCCATCCCCAGCCTTGCTCACACCGATGTCTTCCCTTCCACGGAATATGGAACAGAGTGCCACCTCCTTGTATTCAATCAGGCCCGGCGAGGAGCAGGATTGGTCAAGTTTAAGCTGCTCCGTCGGACCATCCTGCACAGACCGCCTCGGTCCGTTCTCAAATGAGCCGTCCACAATGATGGTGGGAAACTACGATGAGCCCAGTCCTCAGGTGGATATCAGTACCATCACATTTTTGCCGGAGTTCAAGACTCGAGATGTTTCTGGGATGTCTGATTATGATATGGACCATCCGCCGGCCTACGGCACTTGTTTGCTCTGCGATAGACCTGGATCAATCCAGACTCTGCTTTTCCATTCCAGGACTACAGCACAGTCAACGCGCGGCTTACCAGCTCCGAATAGTCGTTCAGGACATAAATACCCTCTTGTTTTAGGTAACTATGCCGAAACAGACGTCACGGTCCCTTTAGTCACCTGCGACGGTTGTGCATTTTTATTCCAACACGTTAAGCAACTTCCAAACGGAGGAGGCTCGGTCGCCGCTTGTCTGCCTTTAGTTCCCCTTAAGTTGATTGAGAACCGCTCTAAATGGGTTGAAGTCCTGAGCGAGGTATATGAGCACCGCTTCAGCCAGAACATTACCCTACTCGTCTTTTTGTCTACCCTCTGTTCCACCCTCGAGGATCTCTCGGAGTACAATGACGACGGGATCAAGCCGGTTCAAGGGTGGTTTGAATGGGCTTGTAGAGAAATCATGAGTCTCCCTGGCTTGGCTGGTCTCGTTGGGCTGACACCGGTTCTTTCTCGGAAGGTGAAGCCAAGCATGCCTTTGAGAGATGTGCTTAGGATGATATTCTCATCAAGGGGCAGCAACAGCGCAATGGTAGAGTTGCCACTTCTTGCCTACCCCATTGACGGGTTTATTGTCATAGTGAGACTCGCTCGGCTAGTCAAGGAAATAGAAGTGTCGCAGGTCGAGCTTCTCGTATGGAAAAGACTCTGTTATTATTTCATTGAGCAGCATGCAGAGACTCAAACTCGGCTAGGGGTCGAAGTCGCCGATAAAAGACTGGACGATTTTCTCTTTGACTCTTCAGCTTTAGACAGCATCTCGCTCCCCGATACCACCAGGCGAGCGCGCTCGGTCTGCCCAGTTGTCAACCTTTTAGATACCCATCTCCTCAGCTATGATACGCTCGATCAGTTCCGGCGGATAGATCACTTTTTCGGTGCTATCGAAAATGAGAAGAGTTCTTTCAAATTCGCATTGGCGGTCATCTTACATTTGCTCCACGATTTCGTGAAAAATGAGTCAAAAATTACAAATCCTGGATTTTGCTTCAGTAGACTACAATATCAAGCAGACAAACTTACTTGGGGTACCGCTTCTAAGGATGTTCTAGAGAGTCCTGGTTTTGTGACGGAAGAAATGGGCGCTTCATTAATCATTCAGTGTATTTCACTGAGTACGGCTTCAAAAGAATAAGTTACAAGTATCTGGGCTACACATCCGTATAGCGAATATAGAAGAATTAATGACAAATTCTGAATTTTAACTTCTACCTAGAAGATGGCGGAGTCAAACTTGCCATCATTGCATTATGCTAGTAAGAGCGCAGCCATTTGAAAGAACTCATTATCTGTAGCTAAGCCTGTAATACGATAGCTTAATCATTATCAAGGACCATGGAAGTTTTTAAGGTTTTGGGAAAGGCTGAGCAAATTCGTGACCTTTATATACCTCCAAATGCCTTTGTATAGTCAAAGTCACATGCTATCCGCAGCACTTTATCTTCTCTTGGCCATAGCAGTATCCCATTTACATCTAAAACGCATCTTTCCACGCTTTCTGAGTCAGCCCAGTCCCGTGGAATAAAGTAAAACCTCTCAAATGAGTGAGAAGGCCAACCTGCGACTCCGAGAAGATAAGAGCACAGCCAGAGTTGATGATCCAAGAAGATGAACCTGTTGCCCCCAATGATACCTAGTGGGCTATAAATATGTTCCAATATATGTTCTGGGACGTTTATTAAGTTCAGTGTGGACCCTGCTGATGCGGACAAGTCTGATAACTTGCAGGTCCCAACCTGAATATAGCGGCTTCCAGCTGCAAAGCAAAGCATCAAAAACTCAGAGGTACGTGATACAAGCACACGAGCTAGTTTTTTATCTTTGTGAAGACGCTTCCTTGGCTCTGATTCTGTTGTATCTGCTCCAAAACTCCCGTCTTTCAGTCCGATGGTTGGCGAATCCTCGGTAGAGATACTGCTGGCCAGCTTCGTCAATGTTTTCCAGCTGTAAGCTTGGATGCCTTCAGTGGAATATGCGAAAATTACATCCTTCTCTTTCGGATGCCGAACCCATTTTTGTTGAGTCCCAGATTTAGTTTCTAGATAGGCCTGCAGCGAGCCAGTCTCGACCATGAAGACGAAACATTCTCTTTCAGTCCATAGGAATATGAACTTTGAGTCCAAACTAAAAATGAGACCTTCGAAATTGAAGGTATGGCCGTCGGGTGGTCTGTTTATTTCCTTAGACTGAGTCTCCAATTTGGGCAAGGAAGAGAACCGTGTTTTTCCTTGATCTCTGTTTATTTCCTTCACAATAACCTCCCCAGCCAGATTCACAATCGCAATGAAGAGATTGTTGTCGCTCCATACAAGGTGGGTGATATCTAAAGGGTAACCGAAATTTGCAACTTCTAAAGGGGGTATTGTTGGATCCTCGAAGAGGAGCACAGTTCCGTTCTCGAAACCGGCGCAGTATTCAGTCCGGCTAGGAGAAGGACAAATTGCCGTCACACCATCAGTATGAACGATCTTCTCCTCTGAGGGCTTTGACATCTCTGTGTAGTGTTTGTCTTCACTCTTAGTGTTCCAGTTATGTTCCTGATTCGTGTAGAAGCGTGTCACGGCATCCGGCTCCCAGGCGTTTACTACGCCGCCTCGCAAATCGTAAAGTCTGTGACTATCAGGGCTAAAAGCAAGGTCCGTCACAAGGTCCTCGGTCGAAAGTTGGTAAATGAGTGTGAAAGTCGCAAAATCCCATATCCGGACAGAACCGTCACTACTACTCGTGGCGAATAGTTTCCCATTCGCACTGACTGCAATTCCATCCGCTGGCTTTCGTAATTCAACATTCTCTCTCGTGAAAGGGTGCCACTTGAAGATGCAGCCATCCTTATACATTCCCAGTACATGGCCAGTAACTGGATTCCAAGTGAATCTATCAACGGAGAACCAGGTTGTTGAGGATTGACCAGCAGCAAGCCGCGTCTCCTTTGAACGCTGACACTTCCCAATAAATCTGCCATCGGCGAGTCTCCACACAGATAGGGGAGCTCCTCTATATGAAGCCCCGATGTATTTCTTGTCATCACTAAATGCCAAATACATCGGAGAGTTCATAATGGTGCCCATATCTCCTAGACGTTTCTTCAGGAGAAGATCCGGGTGGACGGCTTGCCATTGTGGACTTGGTACATCCCAAAATGCGATCCTAATAACATTGTCATCTCCTCCAAAAAGCAGCTTTTTATCTTTTTCAGCAAAGGATATCCCTATCGCCTTCGTCAGGGGGGGATTGCGGAGAACTATCAACTCTCTACCGCTTGCAACAGACCATATCTTCGTTGTTTGAAGACCACATGTTGCGAGTTTCGTTCCACTAGAACTAAAAGCTGTTGTTGTGACAGGCTCCGAGTGCGCAATGGATCTGATTTCCAGAAAGTTGGACGAGTCCCAAATTCGTACAATACCTCCAAATTCCAGCACTGCTATATACTTTGGCGCGCAGGCTATCTTCAATGCTCGAGTGCCTGATGGTAAAGCGAAACGGCCGAGATTGCCATTCCATAGCCTGTCCTCATTGCCCAGAACTTCAATTGTAGATTGATAGTTCCCAAATTGTCTAGATATTGCAGTCTGACCAGGGCTCAAAGCAGGGATCAAGTTATATATGATCTCTGGCTCCATCACCAAGATTTGTCCAAATTTACCAACAATTTTGTTGAGGTCCGTGGCCCAATCTTCTAGCAGTTTCAGTTCCGATGAACTCATGGTTTTTGAGTTGTCCGAATCATCCTTCTTAGCAATTCCATGCAAAAATGAGCCAAGAATGTTAGCTGCCTTCGTCAGAACTTCTACCCGCCGCAGTAATGCTAGGATATGTATCCAGCTCAAGACGGCAGGGGAGCGAAAGAAAGATACAAGTTGGTCTAGAATTTGTGAGGAATTTGACTGGCAATGATAAAGATGATAAGACCAACTAATGGCTGAATAGAATACAAAGGGTTGGCTGCTTCGCATTGCGTGGCGATTCTCTATCAATTTCCATTGGAGAGTCGGCTCTTCTAAGGCCGAGGTGGTTTTTAAGAAGAGGCGAGTATGAGTCACTCCAGGGCTGATTGAAAAGATACTCGTTGTGCTCCGCGAAAAGTACTCGCTAGTTGTGTGGTGTAGCATCGTGATGTTGCCGCTTTCGTCAATTTGTATAAATTGCCCACAAGCATCCTTGATGGTTCGTTTGAGGTCGAGGAATCCAGTGAACTCGGGCTCGAGGGCTTGAGCCATTTCACTTAGATTAAGTGACCTCTGGGCGCAAATTGTCCACTCAATAAGCGCTTTTATAAGTGGCTCATTGGCTCTTCGACCTGACTGAACAAGACTTTTCTCCATTCGTTCGTACACTAGACTCATGTCATCCGGGACCTCATCCAGCACTTCTTGGATCCTTTTCTCTGTATGACAATGCATTACTTCGTCGAGTACCAATTTGGTCCACAGAAAACTGCCTTCAGAGCGCTTTGTGACATTCTGACAAAGCTGTTCCCGAAAGTCTGCGCCGCAACTGAGCTGTTCAAGTCCTTGCCTCACAAGGATCCCGATGTCTGGCAAGTTGTGTGATCCGTCGCTTTTTTCAATAATTTTAACAGGTACATTCTGCGACAGTCGATCAAATGCTATAGGAAGCGTGCCAGCTTTCCGGCTCAAAATCAAAACATTGATGGACACTGCTACCGTGGAAAGGCATTTGAAGCAGTTGAGCAGAATCTGAGGTTCATCGCACTCATCCAAGCCATCAATGATCCAGTATAGGCATGCGTCAATCTTCGATTGTGCAAACGTGTTTTGGAAGATATTCTGCCAAATCAGGGTCGCGTCACCAGAATCCAAACCCAAGGTTTCCCGAGGAGCATGACATAGAAGCCGACCAAACTGGGGAATATCTTTTGCGAGCTGAAAGGCCAAGCTTCGAAGGCAGTTTACGACTGATCGTCTCCCAGGATCAGAGTATTTAAAATGAAAGAACTGGCAGCCATTCGGTGAGGATTTGAAATAGTCTATGACGCATGTAGACAGTATGGACTTTCCATTTCCTGGAAGAGCAGTATACCATAGAATTGAAGATTGACTTGAAGGCGCCATCCAGGACAAGAACTCGGGTTCCTCGAAAATCCAGCTGCATGTCCCGGGAATCCGCCGTTCGCTGAGGGTGTTATAGTCATCTTCGCTTGTGATGCAACCGCGGAATAGATCAGCTACTGTTGCCTTGATCTCAACCTCGGTCACTCCAACTTCACTCTTTGCTTTTCGCAGGAAGGTCGAAACAATATGTGTTATCGCATTTTTAATGGCAACGTAATTTTCGTCAGCAGGGCTGTCATACTTGCATATGCTTTTGTGGTCGGCATGAAGAGGTTTCGAGATTTCTGATGGGTATCCCAAAACTGATGAATCTTTCTCCAACACCATAATCTTGCTTGGTCCAATGGACGTTGCGAGGGTCTCATAGAATGACCATATGGATAACTTTGGCGCGAAATGACGGAATTGCTCATTTATATCCTCAATGGCGAACGAGCCTTTGTTGAGATCCGAGATGAAGCTTTTCGATGATTGGAACGTTGCAGAAAGAATATGGCTGAGTGTTTCAGCCAAATGTGTGCCTCGGTGAGGAGTAGCTAAGAAAATAACGGCTGAAATAGATTCAACGATGGCTTTATAGGTGTCATCATGAATTCCAAGCAAATAAGCCTTCTTCACCACAAGTCCCCCCATACTGTGAACAACAAAAACGATAGGCCTCGATCCTATGTTAAGATCATTACCCGAAGGATCCCTAGCAAATCGCAATTCAAACAACAGATCTTTGGCAAAATCAATAATAGTTGAGATATTTTTCGTTGAACCACGCCAGTTTGCATTGTAACCGAAAGTCATGATGCGGGCAATGCCTATGTCTGGCTCCAGCGGAAGCCATTTGGCAGGCCAAAAGAGGCTGGGGTCATGGTTTTTGGTCCATGTGTTGTGGCTATGTCCGCCAAGGCCGTGAACAAAAACAATGTCCAAAGCAGCAAGCGGAGGTTGGTACAAGACATGAAGGCCTAATGCTGAAGGTGAAGGACCAGCACTAGTTTCAAGCACGCTCGACGGTGCCTCGGGCGTGACTCTTAGGGCAGTTGCTCTTCCCCGCGTGGTATCATTGCTGCTTTCCTCAGTTGAAGAGTTGGAAGACCCCCTGTCCGCTGGCTCGCTTCGAGGGCGTAACTTAGCCAAGCGGAAGCGCTTTAACTACGGCTAATATTAGCAAAGCGGTCCAAGTGATCCGTCTTCATCGTCGACACTAACCATTGTAGTCTGAATCCCGGAACCTACTTGATAATGAAAGGAATGAACTTTTACCTCGGGTCCCAGTGGGGAAAGCTTTTGTCTGTTGGTGCTACGCGCCAGGGACCAAAACGGTCCAATCTGGTTGCAGTTACCCCTCAAGCCCCCACGCATTGCTACGTGGTCGTAATATGAGGATCATTGCATAAGCCGGAGGCTGTAGATGATCTGCCCATAAAGCACCTAGTCGCCTTATTGACTCACATGCAATGCAGCTCTGAAAGAAGCAGGCGGTGCTGTCCGACGAGATGCGATAGTCAAGCAGGCAACCTTCACTGAACAATCTCTACTCTCAGGAACTGATATTAATTGACACATAAGCATACCAGCACTTCAGAAGCTTGTCACGTGCGAGCGATAATAGACACCATGGCTTCATTCGAGTTCGCGAAAACCAGTGCGAGGAATGACTCCTGCTCTTCATTTCCTACAACTGATAATACTTTATCCCCATCTTCTAGTGGAAATGTACTGGGTATAACCAATAATTTCACTGTTGACAGTAATATTCTTGGAAAGTTTCCCAGCGGGACAAAGATAATTTCGGCTCACGAAACTGTGACTTCAGCTTGGACGACCATTGCTCAACTCCAGCTTCAGATGGAAGACGGGTCCGAAGAGACCTACTTTCTGAAGTCGGCCTCGGGAGATCATGGCCGGATTATGATGGAAGGAGAGTTTAACTCTATGTCTGAGCTATACATGTGGGCTCCGGACTTTGTTCCCAAGCCGCACTCCTGGGGTGAATACGCCAAAAGTGGCCCCGACACATACTTCTTCTTGTCACAATTTCTGAAGATAGGCGATGCGATGCCAGATCCAGAATATCTATGCTCCAAGCTTGCGCGCCTTCATCGCGACAGTCATTCGCCGACGGGCAAATTTGGATTCCATTCCACGACATGCCAAGGGCGTACCGCTCAGTGTGTAGGCTGGGAAGAAAATTGGACAGTATTCTTTACCAAGCTCCTTCAGCACGTGATGGACTTGGATTTTAAAGTGAATGGATATTGGGAGTCCCTTGACAAGGTCGAAAAGCGACTCGTTAAGCATGTCATCCCCCGCTTACTAGATGCCCTCATCAGTGATGGGCGTTCAATCAAGCCTAGCCTACTTCACTCTGACCTTTGGGAAGGCAATACGGGAACTTCGGCTAGCGATGGGAGAGTTTACATTTTCGACGCTGCCTCCTTCTATGCCCACAACGAGATGGAAGTCGCAAATTGGCGTGGCTACTACAATAAGATCAGCGACGAGGTGTATACAAAGACATATCTCTCTTACTTTCCGCCGAGCGAGCCGAACGCCGAATGGGAAGACCGGAATTGCCTCTACAGCGTATACTATAACGTGATATATTCTGTCAATCACGAGAGCCAAGGAACGGCCGTTCGTCAATTGTGAGCTTGCCATGCTATCAATTAGGGATGACTACTGATAAAACTTTAGGGCATTTAGTGATATGTATTATCTCGTCGATAAATTTGCGCCCTTCCCTGAGGGCAAGGCACCTTCGCGTTTACAGGAATCGGAAATTGCATCTCTCTCTGCTGAACGCGACCATACTCTAGCTTAAAATAGAGATTATCTTCATTATAAATAAATGCATCGAAACACTTTTGGCCTAACGGCTATAGCTATTATCTAGATTATGCAAAGTCCTGATAATGGCAATAGTAGTCCAGCCAGTATTAGAACATATGTGTACACTATCTAATCTAGTTAATGTAGTCTGCACCTTGTTACGCCATTTTACAAGAAGATAATATAAAGATCGACTCCAAGGAACCCCTTGATTCGCCCTTACTACTACTATTACTTTTCTTCCTGGTTTAAGTAATTGTTATTTCATGGGTTGGTACGTTCTGGAAAATCGCCTTCGCTTCCTTCTCAGAAGATGCAGGAATTTGCCATATACCACAACGCGTGAATAACCCATTATCCAGCCTCTTCAACGCAATCCCAAAGACATCATAGCTGTCACTGTTCAGGCATAAAGCTGTACCAATGGGGACAAGGAGAGATTCCTCCTTCATATCCTTCGTAGTATCAAAACGGACATACCAGCTGAATATACCATCAGCCTCATCTGGGGCCTGAGTTAGGCTGACATCTGTGCCAGGGTCGCTTAGTCCCACGATACTCATCTGTGTCTCCGTTTTGATCTGAAGGATATGAGGCAGATCGGCCCACCAGACAGGTTTTTCAAAGAACCTCCCACTGACCAATTTTCCCCTAAGGGTAAGATGGCCGCCCGCAACTAATCCTGTTTCTTCATGGCAGTTGGCGTCAACAAGCTCACAGAGCAGGCTATTGTTGAATTCTCTCATTCTCCCATACTCATAGTCAATTCCTCCATCTACCGCAGCCCAACTCCATGATGGGGCCCGATAACTGGTTAGTCGAGTTCCACTTGACTGTGGAGTCCAGAGCAAGCTAGCAGGCAATGTCTCTTTCCAAATTCCAGCAAGATAGGTATCGTCACAGCCCTGTTCCTTTAACAAGGCTTTCATACCCATAGCAGCACTCTCGATACAAGTCAGTCTCTCGCCCGGTGCTGATATAATGCATTTCGTGTATGCTTCTAAAAGCTGCCACCATCTGTTCAAGGTGTCGATTTTGACATCACCAACAAGATGATGGAAGAGTCGAGAGGTGAGAAGTGGCTTCCATGCTGGTCGAGGTGGCACCCTCGTTGGGTAAGCAGCTATGTATTTCGGACTGACCGTAACTGGCTTCTGTCCCTCCACACTTGTATACCTAAAAGGTTCGCACAAAATTCCATAGGGATATAACTCATTACAGATAGACCCGTGACACTCCCAATAGACGAAGGAGCTACCAAAATGTATCATTCTTGGTGTTAAGAGACGTTCTTGAAATCCTTTTGCGGTTTGAATCAAGGGCTCATCCACAAACTTCCTTGTATCTGCATCAGACTTCACCAGTGTCTTGTCCCCATCAGCGTTAAGAGTAAACTCAAATACAGTGGGCATAGTGCACTCGGGCTTCCGTTGAGTAAACAGCCCGGAAGATGGCGAAGTTGATGCTAAAGCACCGATCCCACAGAAACTATTGGAAAAGATATCCTGGGTCTGAAGAGTGGTGAGTGGCTCAGCTTGATCTTGAAGAACACAGAGGCAGTCAATCCAAAGATAGGAAAGGCCAAGCCGTGCAACCACAGTAAAGGCATCCCTGTAGGCTAAGGGCAGTATGGAGAGCGGTTGTGGGCGAGATAAGAGCTCAAGTGTGGCCGTTGAAAGTTGGAGGCCACCACTATCAACACGATGGCAATGGGTAAGTGTGCAATAGCGGATATCAGATTGGAGGGCGAGGTGGCCAGATGAGACCAAATGAAACAGACCCTTCGCCTCATCCAGTCGAAGAAGATAGTTTGGGATAAAATTTCCACGGCTGGTTTGATTGCATCGTTCATGATTCTGAATGCATGTGTCAACCCACCCTTGGATTAGAGCCCAAGTCTTGGCGTCTCCGGTAGATAGGCTGATATCCATATTACAGTCTTGGGGCGAAGCTAGACAAGAGGATTTTGTTATTCACAACACTGATAAGTTGCAAGTATCGATAATACATACCGTCGATGACAGGTAATGATTGAAAACCAAGGCGAGCCCCGGGTTTGAATATCTCCATCCGGGGGTTAAGGGCCTTGTCTAGGTTGACAGTAAACAAGGAATAATATCCCAGCTTACTCATTGTCGAATGTTCGACAATCTCTTGACCTTCTCGAGAACAAAAGATACATCCCTGAACAACAGACTGCATATAGGAGTCCAATGTAAGATGGTGGCCGAGCATGTACTGCGATGGGTGTTCATTTGGAGCAGTACCAGGTGGTGGACAAACGCGACTCATGGCGTCATCCTCTTTGAAATTCTCGTTGAACTCAGTGATTCGGCAAACGCGCTTGGTCTTCGATGGGTCCCAGATGCCCTCTAAGCCCTCACGGCAGACACTGCAAAACATAATGAGAGTCTTTCTTGATGTACTCTCACAATAATTACGATGCTTGGGATAAGGGTAATGATTATAGAAGAAGACCAAATGCTGTAGAGAGATGGTAGATGACCTGTGGAAGATGAATGATTAGAATGGGACGGGGAACCATAAATCAAATGAGTGAAGAGTGAAAGGAAGGGGAAGAGCCCCTTGTGACATAGCCGCGCATTACGCATGTATGGCTGGGCTATTTTCGTCGAATGCAGTTGGGAACCAACAGATCCACCTCTTCGCATTTCGTAATCTGCTCCGAAGTTTCCCCATCTAGCATTATGATATCGTGTTACACTCCCAGAATGTAAAGCCGTTTGCGGTTTTCTCGACATCTCAATACAATAAACACGACCACAAAGGTCAGCAGGAGTTCCAGCCGGGGGCTAGAGGCGAGAATGATCTGGATGATTAGCGGATGGTGAGGTGCCTTACGAGATGCAGGGCCTTCTAGGTTCAGAATGAGTTGCTTTTACATCTAGCAGTATCCTACACGAGGATTCCAGACTTTCAAACAATCGTCTTGTTTCTGCTGCTAGATGATGAGCACCAACCGGTTACTCGCCCATGTCCGCCTGCTGCAACAATTATGGAACGCTGGTGCTGTAACGATTTGGTCGATTCCCAACTAGTAAACCAAGGTGACAGGATTTATGTTGGCAGAGAGGTCAGGGCGCTGACATCTGAGCACTTTGAACAAAGGTGTTACGCCTGGTAATACGGTCACGGGTATTGAGCGCAACCGAAACAATCTCCATGTAGTTAGTAATGATATTGCAGTACTACAGAACCCGTAGGTCCCATGGAGTCGCCAGCGCCAGTGAACATCGGATGGAGTAGGTCGTCCGAGTCCGTAAATGTTACTAATTGCCCCATTTGGGGCGTCTGGAAGGGCTGCTGTGATGTGTCTGCGAGGCTGGCTTGTCCCATAGGGCTCGAAAAGGCCTGGCTTTGCAGCATCTGAGGTGGAATCTGTGCGAGAGTTGGGTACGGTGGCATTGTCTGATACACCGAAGACGGCTGGAGCATTAGCTGAGATCCAGCTTGGGCGGTTAATTGCTGCTGTTCAGGTCTTGGTTGTTCGAGTTGCTGCTTTTCGGGTCGTCTTTCGTTCTCACTGGAACCGGAGACACTATTTCCAATAGCAGAATCTGATCTCGGAGGTGAGTCCAACACTCCACCAGCCAGGATGTCGTTCGATCCGGCTGGAATAGACGTTTGTTGTGTACTGGGTTGTGGCGGCAACGAGATGGTTTGTTGTTTCCTTGAGGCCCATCCCTGATACAGTACGCTAATTGCTTCTGGATAGAAGCTGGTGTAAAATGATTGGAGTTCTTCCAAATGCTGGTGTAGATGGGAAGGCAGACGTGTCTGTAAGATTTTCCTCCAGATGAACGGTCCTTGCGAGAGTTCGTGCTCTCGAAATGCTGAAAGCTCCCCCGAAAGAGAAACATCGATATAGGGACTGCTTGGTAGAGGTTCTCCGGGGAAAATGATCTTATAAATATCGTACCAGTTTTCCTCGGCAGTCTTCTTGGATGGCGTGCGCTTGCTTAACTGGTTACTTTGGCTTTGGGTGATGCCATCCCAACTGCGCGGTGGATTCTTGGGGCAGTTTGCCGCTCTGATATGCTCATCACGTAGTTTCTCTTCTTCGAAGGTTTCAGAGCAAGTAGGACAGTATAGCGGCAAATGATGGTATCTGCCGCGACGGAGGTGGAACTTTACACGCGAAATAGTCAGAAGGTTATGGGAATAGCACTGTCGATAACGATCTGGGGATCGCTTTACGAACGGGCAGGCGAAAATCAAACCATTAACCAGGTCCTTCTCGGTGGTAGTCGAAGGGACTTTCTGCTGGTGGTTGTCTCCCTCGTCTTCGTCGCTGTTATCTTCTGTACTGTTTATATTTCTCCTTTTGGCTGGTCGGCTACCAGTATCAGTGCTTGACGGAGATGAGGTGTCTCGGCGTTTTCCATTTGCAGATCCGTTTGATGAGCCGGAGTCTCGCTCGTCTGATGCCGTATCAGCTGGGCATTGTCGCTGCAAAAGCTGAAATGACGAAAGCAGAGACTCAACATATTCCCGTTTCAAGGGAGCAAGTACCTCGCCATAGGGATCCCACTCTGGGGTGGGCTCGGAGTAGTCTGTCCATGCAAAAGAGTCGCTGTACACGTCAATGCTATCATCCTCGGAGTCTGAGGCTCTAGACTCTGCCATGTCTATACTATCTGCCAATACAGACGAACGTGTGTTGCATGTCCAGCTCTTTATGCAGCCATCGGGATTTCCGGGCTCGTTCTGAGTGGTACCTGCTTGATCTGACGAACGAGCACTCGAACGTTCTGTAGGTAAGCCACCAGAGCAGGAATCACTGGCCTCTGCGACTGGCTCAAAATAAGCACTTTCTCTGGTCCAGTCTTCAGCAGCGATGCTAGCCAGTGAAGGTGAAATCCTGGAGTCCTCGGATATTACCCTTGATTGCTTTGATGACGGCTGACTGCACCCCTCCTGCGAGGCAAGAGAGAAATCGTCCTCGACGTCGGCGTCTCTTGATGAAGTCAGGTAACTTGTATATGAAATACTAGGTCTCATCGAGGGGGTTGGCGTATACGAGGTATATACATAGGTAGTCTGGGACCCGGTAGTCCAGGGCCTATAGGGAATCCAAGTATCTGCGGCGGAGTTATGCACTCGGTTGGTCGTTGATAGCGGAGCAGACCCGAGGCCTATTCCACTCCGACTGCCGGTCGGGGGACCCCAGGCATCCTGATGGCCAGGTCGCGTTTCCATGTAGCGGGTTGGCGGCTGTAGGCGACAGCAAGTTGACACTTGGGAAAACGCGCAATTAGGCTGCGCCTAATATCACGGTTGAATATCGTCGGACTTGTCACCGAATCGGCGGGCGGACGTTTGGGAAGGTGCACGGTGAGGGGGGCGGAGTGGTTGCGAAAAGAGAGTTGATGCTGTAAAGGTGGGAGGAGGTGAGAACTTGGGTGAAGAGAAGGCGTGCGAAGGGAGGAGCGAGGGAAATGCAGACCAGGAGTGACCCGGTACTTTTGGGCCGGCACTTATATTCTGAGCGGGCGAGGAGGGGAAACCACAGATGGAAACGAGTTGAGAGAGTGTACGAAAATTGCACATGAAGTAGATAATATACCGAGTGCTCTTCTCTCAGAGTCCTTGTATGAAACTTTGCTGAAAATAGAGGCAGATACATGACCGAACGCCTCAGGATATTCTTTCCAATGCCTTGTTGGACAACTGGGCATATTAGAAGGACGATGACATGGTGGAGCAAAGCTGACCACCACAATCGAAAGCTGGCGAATAGCAGGTTAGACAACCGGGTGATATCGCTGCGCCTCACCGTTTTCGTTCCAGCAGTGCATTAGCGTACCTAGATTTCAGCACATGTGTGCTCAGCCTCGTGCGTGCGCAACTCGAGAGAGACGAGGTCCGGAAACTCGTCTTCATATTTCATGTACGGTCGTGTCCTCTCCAAGCTGCCATAAATCTAGTCCGAATATCGAGTTTTCCACAGCACGTAAACAAGAGAGATCGCTAGAGCCCGGAAGCTTTATCACTCGTGTGCCGCAGGGAGATTGGAGTGCTGGCCTCACCACACCATGTGCTCTCCAGCGATGGGTTATTGAACATTACCAAAAAAACAAAGCAATTGTGCCGTCCAAAATGTTGCTTCTGACAGAATGATTGCGCCCGTGGCCTAGGAGGAAGAGAGTATATTTTTGGTATAAGATCTTCCCATAGGAGAATTGAAGGCAGAGTGTCATCTCATTAAAATCTTGCTAGCCATCGACACCGAACTTAATTAATAAATGCTCTCTTTAGTTATGTCCACCAGAATCAGCCACATCGAAGAAGTAGCGGGCTACGAAAATGACATGGAGTCGCAGGCAGTTGAGCTGCACAGTAACTCCAGCACCCACGGGCATAACATCCTAGTTCGTCGAGTATACAAAGACGAAACGGGGCAGTTCTGCCGCGAACATTTTCCCGTTGATTCATCGAACCAAGGCGAGGACGTCTTTATCAAACTTAATGGGACGAGAACCACAAGCGGCTGGTCCAGCTTTTTTGGCGCTTTCATACAGGCAGCTCTTATGCGAGGCGATTCCGTATGGATTATATCCGTATCTCCAGTACGTACCCACTGTCGAGCATAATGATGAATTCAGCTGACGCCAACGCACTGCAGCTCTCAAGAAGCGGAAGCAATATGCTGGACCTGGAAGCCCAGACAAGGAGCCAGAGAGTCTACATCAGCCAAGGCGAGTATAGCGAGGCTCTTACAAAGGCATTCTACAACCCACAACTGCTCCACGCCGCCAAGGACTTTATCGTCTCCAATTATGAGGATCTCATTCAGGCCGATGATGTCCTTTGGGCCGAACCAAAAAGGGCGTTATGTGTGGTAAAGGTTTTCTATCCGCACGCTGCGGTAGTGTGGTTTGGTCTAGCGTTTTCTTTCTCTGCAGTCATAGGAATAACTACAGGTGTTGTTGGTCACGATCCAAAGCTTGGGCTTGCTGCTGGTACTGGTGCGTTGGCTATTCTCGGTGCTATACAGTGGGTTTTACTTTGGCAGGCTCGCTCGACCGCCATGTAACCTAAGTAATGTCATAGGGTCCGTTATTAAGTCGTGCCTAGGTGCGGGACACCGCATATCTATGTCTATATGGAAGAGCTACAAAATGATTCGAGGGTGATCCTCGAATAGTTGACTAAGGGAAATTGAAAAAGAAAAAAGTCGCTGGAGGTTTCTATCACAACCGATATGTCTGAGTGGGTATATGTGAACATATTGAGAAACTTCTTGCCACTGGAACGTTCAATCGTTGGTTATGGATTGGCCGTGGTTCATCAAGCATCCCACTCCGCCACCGGAATTACTGCTTTGCCCTTCTTCTGTGGAAAGATCTGGTTTGGGGGAGTACCATCAGACTGAGCGTAACTGCAGAAATGCAACCAGACAAGTCTGATAATGAAAGCTCACGACATGCTAATGCTTCGTGGATGAGAGGCACGGAGGGCAACGCGCTGTGTAGTAAGAGTGGAGCGGATTCATAATGGGTTTGGGTATGTAAACAAACCATTCATTTGTTATGCGCAGTGGAGCTGGAAATATGCTTGCCCGTGCAATTGCACAAATTAATGCAATGTCGTGGCGTTGCGTGTGGCTTGAAACTGGGCTTTTATGATGGGAGACCTACCCTGTATACCCGTAGACAGAAGGCCAACACTGCCTGTTACTGCTCTGAAAGCTTGTTAAAATACCATACTTGAGCTTGATAGCTGTTGTCTATAGATAAATGCCCTTTTTGCTTTTTTGAGACCTATTGCAAAGCGAGGGACGAAATCAACAACGCAACATGCGATTATAGTCTTTTAACACCCACGATGCATTAGCATCGTTTTTGCATGTAGGTATTCATGAATGGAACGTATAACCTAGACTTGATATCCTAATGCCGATGAACGTACACAGAGGATAAGTATAAGATCTAATAGTGTGACTATAAGAGCAGCGCAAAGTCTTTCGAGATCACAAGCTCCCGAACACGTTCCGATTGTGCAAAGTTACAAATCTTGGGGAGAGCAAAGACTGGCAGTAGGCCATGGATGTTCTGAAGCCAGATCTGTCCGAATCCGAGAGTTGCATTTCGCTTATGTTTCGCTTATCTGAAGGGCAAGCTTCGGGGCAAGCTCCGGAGGCGATATCTTCCAGATTTCACTCCCGGGATACATATCGGGGGCTTGGAAATCGTACACATTCACTCATATGTAAAAATACTTATGCCCGCATTTGCGTGTTACATCGGCTTTTTGGGGGCCGAGTATCTTAGAACTTGGAGTGATGTGCTGGCATCTTACAAATGACCTGCATATGTATGTTGGCGGTGCTAATGCAGAGTGAGATCTCGACAGCATCTTGGTAGGATTCAGCGCCTTCCAGCCCAGGATGCATGTCTCATGTATGGCCTCATTCCGTTTGACCGGCAAGCTTTATCATGCGCATCCGGTGGCTGGCCGTTGTTTCACAGACAACCTGTGGGATTTGTGTTGCATCGGGAGGAACAGGTAGGTCTCGATCATACTCGAGACAACCATGAGTCTTGTTCTAGGCCTCAAAAGTGGTTGATTGAATGTGCCTGACACCCCGGGATATCACGATGCATTGTTGGGCACAGCATTGCGCCGTGAATGGTGGCGATCAAGAAAAAGAAACGACAGGTGTGGTGGATCTCACGTACATGACGATGTACGCCGTGGTGGAGAAGTTTATGCCGGGAGTGGCCGGCAACGCTCGCTTCGAGGCAAGCCCAATCGCTCCCGCCTCCCTTGGATTCTACAGTCTTTCCTCGCTTGGACAAACCTGCATCTCTGGCGGTTCGGATGAACCATATCGCTGCACTGGCTCTTTCAGAGCATAAAGCTCGCCTATGTAGGTTCGCAGGGTTCAGGAACCGGTTTGTTAGACTTCGCATTCTGCCACCCTTCGTAAGCTGATCCTTTTCCAACGTGCATATTCTCTAACTGATGATTGTTTTTCTTTTTCCCCGCGCGAGTTTGCCCGGGTGAGAGTATGGAAATAGGCTCCAACCCTTCCGGTGGCGTCGATTGACGTTGTATTCTTAATGCCGGCACCCCTGGGCAGAACGTAAAAATCCCTAAGCCTCGTTCCCGTCATTTGCTGTATGCGTTGTCCAGCCTGATCACCCCGGCTTTGTATCCAGCCAGCATAATGCAGATGATGAGCTCCCCCAACATGGAGCGGTTAGAACCACTTAGACCCACGACCAGCTGGCATACATCGTACCATTTCCATGTCCGATGACAGCACGCGCATGAAGGACCGGCCCCACACAATCAGCTGGATAGATCGTCTCCGAACGCGATCCGGGGGGACAGATTGCCTAAGAGACGGGCGGGTAGAACATCCAATTGAAGGCCCGGAAGGCTTCGGATATCCGCTCAAATTGGTGGCATCGGGAAGCCGCTAGGCAGGAACCCCCTGTGACGATTCCAGGTGTTTGAGACTATCTTTGGCCGGTCAATGGCAAAGGGGAGGATCGGATCGGATCGCGGGGATTTATCGCCGGTTGATTTCTTTCTGCAGGGGGCTTGACAATGCAATGCGAGTTGAAGGACCCATCCAGCCACGCAAGTCGTGACTTTGATCAAAAGAAGTGGAAAAAGAAAGATGACAGAATGCTCCTCAGGTATATAAAAGGCCAGAGATGATCCCGTCAAACTGAACATTTCTTTCCATCTCATCCCCATTCTCACCAACAACTTCAACAACTCTCTTTACACATTCACACACATTCAAGTCTTTCAGACTCCCAAAACCACACTTCAAAATGTCTGCCCCGTAAGTGCCCCCAATGGAATGGTGATATCCAAGTGGCAAAGTCTAATATTATCTCCAGCGCCCGCACCACTGAGCAGTTCACTGTTCCTCTGCCCACTGCCACCGCTCTCTCCCAGCCTGCTGGTATGTTACCACTCTCTTCTTCCTTTCCTATTAGGCATACATTTGGACTATTCTAACAGAGATCAAACTGCAGGCCAGATCCTCAAGGGCGCCACTGACGAGAACGGCACTCCCCGCGATGCCGCCCTCCTCCTCGGAATCAAGCTCGACCTTGAGGCCGAGGTCCACCTGACTGCCCGTGTCAAGGGTGACGTCGTCGTTGGTCTTTATTAGGTGTGAACTAGCTGGAGTTGCTAGGGTTGTATTGTGATATTGGGAAAACCTTATAACGGCGAATGTTAGATCAAGTCATCCGAACCAGCTACTCGGGGTTAATAAAACATGCTGCCATAAAATTCCAATCGGTGATTACCAGTCTTCGTTCATGAGTGAGGTGTCTTTACCTTTGATGCGCATAGAGGCGCAGCTTTTCCAAGCTTCGAGCTCTCTCTGCATGGTGGCCACCAGTAATCCCTTGCAACAATGTGGCTCATGCGCAACTCAAGTTGTTTCTTGGTCATTAATACTTTCGCCCGTCATACAACGTAGCTTATACATCTAGTCACATTTGATGATAGTTTGGAAAATTTAGAGAACAGCTACTGCCAACGTTGTAAGTAGCCGAGCTCGGTTGTATTGAAATGTGGATCAACTCCCCCTTTCTTTTATATCTCGCTTGTTTCCTATAACCAAATGAACAGAAGACGATATAGTGATATGGGGCAACTACAAATTCCCCATTGAGGCTTTTAACAGTTAGTCTTAATCCACCGCCGCTCTTGATCAGGGATTTAGTGATCCTTGTGTTGGCAGGCGGTCTCGGGTGATAGGCTGATACAACCATCTGCGCTATCTTCCTGGAAAATGCCACCGTAGAGAATGGCCTCCTCGATACCGCTCGGCTGGTATCCTTCCCTAGTGATATCCTCTGCAGGTCCTGTGGGCTTCTTGAGAATGCCGAAATGGAATTGACCTTGACCACTAATATCGTTGGGCGTGGCTTCGGTAACCTGCTTCAATGGTTCATCATCTTGGGAGTAATAGACCTGAGTTGTCCTACAGATTCGTTAATCTCCAGAACAGGGTTAAGGCCGCATAACTGGCACTTACAAAGCATCGAAATCGAGCTTGAGGGCAAAATTGTGGACGACGCTCTCACTGAATGGAGCCTGGAATAGGAGAGGAGCGCCCTTGTTGACGTTGCCGTAGACTTGCAGGGTATCCGGTTCAGAGGTGTTTCCACCAAGGATGGTGCCAGTCTTGAGAACGAATTGGTTGGTGGAGTAATCAGCGCTCTCGAGGAAGACAAGCTGGTATTCGTGTGAGAAGTTCAAGGGCCGGGCAGGATCCTTTGCAAGGCTAAAGTGCAGCGTCTTGACGCCGATCGTCGACGGATCCGTGCCGTTGTTGGAAGCCGGAAGTAGCTCCGCACGACGGAAGCCATTTTGCACATTGGTCTCCGATGGGGCAAAGATGGAGGAGTCATTGATGGTCAAGAACACAGGTACAGAATTGACATCAAACTGGTCCAATTAGTAATTTCATGGCAGCCAGATTTTGAACAATTGCCTACTAGAGTGGTCTCATCAGTGATCTCCAACAATTCGCTGAATTTAAGTCCTGCGACAAGCCATTGTTAGTCAACTTTTCTACCGGTTCGCCACAGAGATCTGTACCTTTGCCCTTTACATAGTCAGGGTCGAATAACCCATTCTGCACATCAAACTGCTCAGAGGTGAAGTTCTTTGAAACTCGTCCATCGAACTGCAGCTGGCATGTTTGCGCCGTGGCCTGCAAGGCGCCAAAAAGAATGGATAGAATAGAAGAGCGGAACATTGTGGTGACTGTGTAGTGCGAGTTGTACAGGCTACAGATCATCGGGATTCGAGGAACACGGGACAGAGCAGATCCTCTCGTTTAAATATATTGCGAAAGCCGTCGAGGTAATGGCAAGATGGGGCTTGAGCTGTCACTGCGATCAATCGATGACATGCTTTCAGACAGACTAATTTATCCCAGGCCAAAGGCGCGGAAGTATATGCTCCTGAAACTGAAAGTAGGCTAATTAGCCAGATCGTCGTGGAGGGGGCAGGGGTCGTGCGGAAGGCTCGGAGCTCCCGTCCTCGAGTTGATTATTATTGTCGATCTGTAATGGTAATTTCCCAAGATGCTGTTGTCATACCTTTGACTCTGGCCGCAAGCTGTAGTGTGGAGATTCTCTTTCTGTTACCAAATCATGGAACGAGATAATCTTCGGCGACATGTTCATCGGAACCCTCAACGGGAGGCTTTTTTTTTTTGTCTTTTTTTTTTTTTTTTTTTTTTTTTTTTAAATCGCTAGGAAGTTGGTGGTGACAAAGCTGAGAAACGAGCGGCCATGCCAGTCTTAGAACCCTGAAATTGCGGAATTGAACAAGACGGTTACCCAGCCTCGGATTGGAAGCTACCTATTTAGGCCCATGAAATGACTGTTGACTTAGTCTCAAAGCCTTAGGCAGGCCGGTGCTCAAGTTGAGTAAACCTGTTTGTGTTAAATTCAATAGGGATTAAGCTTGGGCGACTTTTCCCGCAAGGAATTGATTGATGCTTCCTATTGATGATAATATTTTGACATGCTAGGACCACTTACAGCGCTTTGTTGGTTGATTTAAGCCATTAGTGCGATCGCGGTTTTCTTGGAATCTACAACGAACAGCTCATTCATTCAAGCTCTGCAGCTTTCAAATGGCTCACCCATAGCACACATTGCTCAGAATTGATGTGTCTATAGTGTTTGCGCCATGGCCGGATTGGTTCCACTCCTCCCGCTGACGGGCTACTGAATTGAGACTGGAATTGGGATGACATGAGAACAGCCGCTGAGCCACCCACTCACCATCCTTGCCGTGACACACGTGACAAAACCTCAGACACCAGCGATTTGATCCAGCGCCGCTTGACGACTGCGCCCTAGCATCTGAGCTGCGATTGATATCAAGACCCAGGCGCCCTCCGCAGCCCCTGCTCTGGCCGCGCAACCCACTCCCGTCCCGTCTGCTGGAAGCGCTCAAATGGACCAGGCCGAGCCTCCTGTTCCGGGCTCGTCCGAGCAGCCGCCGGTCCAGGGCGAGAAGCGCACCGCCCCCGAGGAGCCAAATATCCCGTCCGAGGCCAAGCGGATCAGGACTCACCACGAGGACACCCCAGAGCTCGAGATACACTCCTCCCCGTCCAGCCGAAGAATTCCCTTTCCTGAAAAGGCATGCCCCAGTCCCGACTCCAATTTGACCGTAGCCGCGGCCTTTGCTGATTGATTGACCACTAGCCTGCCGTCATAGAAGAACGCAATGGCGAGATTGAATTCCGCGTGGTGAACAATGACGGCGCTACGGACAGCATGATTATACTGACTGGCCTGAAATGCCTCTTCCAGAAGCAGCTGCCCGAGATGCCTAAAGATTATGTCGCACGGCTTGTATACGATCGCACTCACCTGTCCCTCGCCATCGTGAAGAAGCCAATGGAGGTCATCGGCGGCATAACATACCGTGAGTTCCGCGCGCGCAAGTTCGCCGAGATCGTCTTTTGCGCCGTCTCGTCCGACCAGCAGGTCAAAGGGTATGGAGCCCATCTCATGGCGCATCTGAAGGACTACGTCAAGGCCACTTCGCCGGTGATGCACTTCCTGACCTATGCCGATAACTATGCCACGGGATATTTCAAGAAGCAGGGTTTCACCAAGGACGTCACTCTCGACAAGCCCATCTGGATGGGGTTTATCAAAGACTACGAGGGAGGGACACTGATGCAATGTTCTCTACTCCCCCGGATACGCTATCTTGAGGTCGGGCGCATGCTCCTCAAGCAGAAGGAGACAATCATGGCCAAGATCAAGGCAGTGAGCAAAAACCACATCATCCACCCGCCTCCCGAGCAATGGGCCAATGGCATCACCCCCATCGACTCGCTTTCTATCCCTGCCATCCGGGCCACGGGTTGGTCTCCCGACATGGATGAGTTGTCGCGGGCGCCTCGCCACGGGCCTCATTTCAACGAATTTCGGCGGTTTCTGTATCAAATTCAAAACCACAAGCAGGCATGGCCGTTCCTCCATCCAGTAAACAGGGACGAGATTCCCGAGTATTACAAGGCCATAACGCAGCCGATGGACCTTTCGACCATGGAGGAACGGTTGATGAGTGACTTCTACACTGCACCGACGGACTTTGTGGCGGACTTCAAATTGATATTCAGCAACTGCAAGCAATACAACGATGCGTCGACGGTGTACAGCAAATGCGCGGTCAGGCTGGAGAAGTATATGTGGACTCTGATCAAGGAAATCCCAGAGTGGTATCAGTTGCTTGAAGAATGATTAGGGAACATGCTATGGCCGAGTTGGAAACCTTAGGAAATGCAGCCAGGATTGGAATATTAAGCCGGAGTCGGAGTTTTGTTTAAGTCAGTGAAGAAGGCCAACTTATAGCACATGTAGATAAGGGGTGCGTGCATCTACGTAACTGAAATATCGTCCTCATCTATGCCTTCCATGTTCAAACTGTGTCTGCCAATGCGCCTAGCTTCTATTATACATCACCTCATATGGTCAGAATGCATTGCTTGCATTAGCTGCAGTACAAGTGATGTGTAATTGGAACCATTCCGAATCCTCGATCCCTGGTTGCGATATGCATGTCCTGATAGCTCGTAGAGGCACTTTCCAGACGAGCAACTGATGATATTTTCCAAAGCTTAGAAGAATAATGATATCTTGAGACAATGTGGAGGCTTATGATCATAATTATAATTAGTAATAATCACATCGCCCTTTTTTAAATTATTAATAAAAAGATAGCAAAATTAATACGTTGGTTAGAACAGCAAAAGCAAAGGTAATGCCCCGGGTGCGATTCGAACGCACGGTCTTCGCATTACGAGTGCGACGCCTTACCGCTTGGCCACCGGGGCTAGCTCTGCCAAATTTCGTATTATTGGTCTACTAGTATTAAGCCCTGCGGTAGTTCTCCCTTTCAGAACTACCTTCTTCTATTGATAGGTTGATGTAAGTGTGAAACATATCAGTGGCCGTTTCGCTGTATACCTATGTTACCTACTTCACATCATCTAGCGCTGTTTCCTGATCATGATCTTGGTGCAAAGGCAAAGGTCACTTCAGAGCCCGTTCCTGCCACTACATGAAGCCGTATTTCATCGTCCAATTTAAGAATAATCTTACAAAGGGAAAGCGATACTCATAGAACAATCAAAGTATATTGTGGGCTAACAAACATGTTGACGCCTAGTGTGGCTGCCATTACTTTGATTGATATAGCTTGGTAATCAAGGGCAGTATTTCGCTGTGCTGCCTGTATAGAAACGGACGCCCATGTAAGTTCTTAAATAATTTGAATTCCATAATTATTAATGTATTGGACATGGTTGGAAGGAGGCTTCGTCCTGAGGTGTCTCCTGAAAAATGCACCTTGATCATGCTGCCATGCGACACCCACCCCAATCAATATCTCATAAACTATGGTATGTACATCAACTGACTTAGGCATGATTGATACGGTAAGACTGAAACTTTGCATTTTTATCTGGCGTTTAACATCTACCTACTCATGCGGGCCTAAATCCTGGATTGAAGGGCCGGTTTGCCTGCTGGGCCGAACGGCGCCACCACCAGAAAAGGGTTATGGAGGATGGAAGCATATAAATCCGTCTCAGACTCTCAAACTCGCAATAAATGACAGGGGCGAGTAATGGCCAGAGGGACGAATGCCGAAAACTTGAATATTCGTCCATTCATGAAACACGGAGTAGCTTGCCCCGGGTGCGTGTCACCAGATTCTCCACGTCCCAAACAAGAAAATGGTCGTGGAACGGAGGTCCAACTTCCGAGGTCAGTTTCACGTATGCTTGCACCCAAATGATGTGGTCATAAAGAGTTGAAACCCCGCCAGTTCCGAGTCTCCGCAAGCTCTTCTTCAATCTCTATCATTCTTCTTTTTCTCTTCAACATGCGTTTCTCAAAGGCAATAGTAGGAGCTGGGCTCCTGACTGGAACATCGGCTCAACTTCACTCTCTCGCTGTCGCTGCTGGAAAGCTTTATTTTGGTTCGGCCACTGACAATGGAGAGATCACTGATACTGCGTACCGGGCAATCCTAGATAATGCCGATGAGTTCGGGCAGATCACGCCTGGCAACGGACAGAAGTGGCAGTTTACTGAACCAACCCAAGGCCAGTTCAGTTACACGTCCGGAGACGCAATCGCCTCTCTGGCGAAAGAGAATAACCAGCTTTTGCGATGCCACACGCTGGTCTGGCATTCACAGCTACCATCCTGGGTCTCGGGTGGCTCCTGGACAGAGGCGGAGCTGACGTCGATTATTGAAACCCACATCAGCAACGTCGTTGGTCATTACAAGGGGGCTTGCTATTCCTGGGACGTCGTTAACGAGGCACTGAACGAAGATGGAACGCTGCGGGACAGCATCTTTTCTCAGGTCCTCGGATCTTCCTTCATCGGTATCGCGTTCTACGCGGCCGGCCAGGCTGATCCAAACGCCCTGCTGTACTACAACGACTACAACCTGGAATGGACCGGATCAAAGAGCAAGGCCGTCATCAATACCGTCATCCCTGCCATCAAGGCTGCGGGCGCTGAAATCGACGGTGTAGGCTGCCAGGCGCATCTGATCGTCGGTTCAGTCCCGTCGCGCGCGGACATGGCTGCCACCCTCCAAAGCTACATTGATGCGGGTGCTGCCGAGGTGTCATACACCGAGCTGGATATCCGCTTCTCCAGCCTTCCACCTACCGACGATGGCCTGAAGACGCAGGGAGATGCCTACGCTGATGTTGTTGGGGCGTGCCTTGATGTGGAGGAGTGTGTTGGTATTACCATCTGGGATTACACAGACAAATACAGTTGGATTCCGAGCGTGTTCCCGGGCTCTGGAGCCGCTCTGTTGTATGATGAGAATCTGGAGAAGAAGCCAGCATGGACAAGCGTGAGCAGCATTCTTGCTGCTGCAGCAACTCCGGCCTGTTGATCATTTAGTACATTGATCAATGATATCCGGCGCCCCGGCAGGTAGTTAGATGTATATAGCCATTGTTTGATTTCAGTACACAATCATAACTACTTGGTATCAATTTGAGATTGAGTATGCATCGCTAAAACTCTGATTGTTATTCAATTGAAGGATAGTGCATCGATTTAGCAAGTAAAATTGGCTTTTGGAAACGCAAGACGCCATAACACGTCAGTATCCGATACATTTTGTCGTTGTTGCTTACTATTGCGAGATCATGGTCAATCAGTGGTGTTGTGAAATAGGGCACCTACCCAACGCGTTCAGATGCTAATCCTAACTCCAGCTGATAACTCTTCCCATGCTCGTTTTGAGAAGCGCCTATTGAGAAAACACGCTATTTAGATATCGGGCCAACTTAATTTCCCAGGCCAGATCGAAGGTAGTTTGAGCGCTCTTTTGGGATACCCCATAGCTGGTAGAGCTTTCTAAAGTGCCCTGCCTATCAAAATATCGAAGTCACCTGCGTTCACCCATAACAGCGCGCCAGGATCCCCTACTTTGCAAAAACGCCTTTACTCTCCCGGTTGACGGAAGGGCTAAGTAAAATAAGCTGCAGAATCAAATTCTTATAAGCGGCTAGGGCCATCCGGCTATTGACGACCTCAAAATACCTTCTTGACTCTTACACAGTTGCACTGGGGTGTTTGGTATCGCGCTATGAACTGTATGTATGTTTATGGGAGCACAGAAAACTTAGCTCACACCGTATTCCAAAGCAGAAAAGCACAAAGAGTTCAAAGTGTAGCATCCAAGAACTACTAGAGGTAATCATAAGGATGCCGTATTGGTATGATTGGCGACATAATCAGCAGAAAGGCTGGGAACGCGAATAGTCCGGAATGCCCGGAAGTTGGTAAAGGGACGATATCCCTGGTCAATATACCTTGGGCAGGTCTCGGACGGCATTTAGTGCCCGGTTCTTCTCATACTCCCCTGAGTAGCAAGGAGAAACGCTATCACACTCGACAGATATACTTGAAGGAGGCGTGTCGTCTGACATCCGCATAGTGTCCAAAGAGCCAGAAGATTCAGCTGCCCTCTAGCACGCCCTAAAATCTTAGATCATCAACGTTTAGGCCTGTAGGACTTTGTCCCAATATTTTATGTCAGTGTGTGGAGTGTGTCTCAAGAATATGGGATCCAGAATGTCAACATTACGCAGGCCAGTAGGTCCCCATCCATCAACGTAGCATGCCATACAATATTCTTTTGGTGCTGGCGTTCAAAGTGCATTCTAGGCATCAATTTGCATGATTGTGATATCAGACCATCCTTCATAGTTACGAGCTTCGACAAGTTTCAAATATCGGACATGCTGTTGATGGTTGAGGAGCCCCTGTACATATGTTGCTACCATGTAATGATCTAATATACTTTCGTCTACCGCAAGCTGCATTCGTTAATCTTGCGACAATTGAGCTCGTTTATTCAAGTATTGCCTTCGTGGTTGGTCTGACAGTCAAAGCCACGCGCAAGTAGGGTTGGTTCACTAGGTAGCTTCTGTACGGCCAATTCTTTGAGCTTGTCAACTACCGTATCTATTACAGAAGTACCGGAGATGGCCCATGATTTTCTGATCCCAAACTTGAGACTGACCATATTTTTCAAGCCCAACTTTGGATTTGCCACCATCTTCGTACATCATCGCCCGTGCATGAACAGCGAGAGCGAGAGTACAGGGTATGACCCATTTTGTGGGCATCTGCATCGTGGAATTGAATCGGGAAATGTCATCGCGCCCCCTGTCAGTTTGAAATAAAGGCAAAGCCATACCAAACCGGGAAACATCCTCGCGTTCCCTGTTAGTTTCAACTCCAAAAACAACAGCTCAAGACAACACTCGTATCCAGTCTACGGTTCGTTAATTAATGTGCAGGAAACGCCCAGGCTATGCAGGTGATCTTACAGCTTGTTAGATTTGTTTTCTCCACAAAGTACAGAGCCTGGTCAACTCATGATCCGTGCGATTGTCTCTGTTTGCCCCTTTTGTTACAGTCTGTCCTCCGAAGACCCTCTTTTCTCACTGGTGTCTTTCTATAAAAGCTTCAACTGGCCATGTATCACACGTAGAAGAGTTGGAATTGCACCCAACTTCACTTCACTCCTTTACCACTTCACTCGTTTACTCTGCTATTCAGGATGCTCTGCCTTCAATACCTCGCGCCTATCGCTTTTGGCCTTTTCAGTCTTGCTTCGGCAGCTGAGAATTCGTCTACGACCGTTCCAATCCCACCAAGCCTTGATCCGTGGTACACTGCACCTCAAGGCTGGAAATGCAAGCCGGCCGGTACACCTCTGAGGGTAAGGTCTGCCCCGGGAAACATTTCGGCCGTGGTGAATGGCGCTGCGAGTGCGTATAACGTGATGTATCGCACGTCCAATAGCCATTACGAACCTTCCTGGGCCGTGACGACGCTCTTGGTCCCACAGACACCAAACCCGAAAGCCTTGCTCAGTTATCAGGTCGCATACGACACCCATCATCTCGACGATAGCCCCAGCTACATCATCTACACCGGCGTCAGGACCGACGCGTTAGCCTGGGAGCTATGCCTCGCATCCGGCTTGTTCATCAGCTTGCCAGACTACGAAGGTCCGACCTGTAGTTTCGGGGCTGGTATTACCTCCGGGCTCGCCACCATCGACTCCATCCGCGCACTCCTCAGCCTCAGCGACGAGCTCGGCCTTGATGCTGATGCACAATATGCCATGTGGGGCTACTCGGGAGGTGGCCAGGCCTCAGAATGGGCGGCAGAGCTGCAAGAATCCTATGCGCCGGAGATGAACTTCGCTGGCATGGCCATCGGCGGCGTCCCGATCAACGCGACGAGTGTTATCCGCGATATCTCGGGCACGCCGGCGGCTGGGCTGGCGTTCTCGGCGCTCTGGGGGCTCACAAGCCAGTACCCCGGCTCGTGGGACGAGTTGCTCAAGCGTATGAAGACGGAGGGTCCGATGAACGTCACCGGATGGACTGAAGCTGCCAAGAAATCAGTCTCAGAGACTGCCGCCATCTTTGCGAACCAAGACCTCTCAGAGTACTTTACCAACGGGTTCAACTTTGTCTCTGAGACGCTTTTCTCGACCATATTCTATAGGGACGGCACGCTGGGCCACAGTGGCACGCCCAAGATGCCCGTCTATGCGTACAAGGCCATTCAAGATGAGATCAACCCGATTGCGGAGATGGACGAGGTCATCGATAATTACTGCCTCGACGGGGCTAATATACTCTATGAGCGGAACACCATTGGTGACCATGCGGGAGAAGGGCTGAACGGGGCCTATCCCGCAATGTTCTGGCTCCAGAGTATATTCGCGGGCACATACGGTTCTAAGTATAACGCTACTGGATGTACAATCAGGAATGTTAACACCACCTACTCGGACTTTAGTGCCTAATTTAGGCACGTCAGAAGTCGTTCGTCAATAGCAACTGCGCATTTCAGTGGTTCTCGGACGGTGACTCACTTGCACAACGGCAAATGGGGTAACAGGGACAATGCAGATATCACTAAGTGCAATTTCGTTTCAGGTAGCTAGATAAGGTCAAGTCAACAGCATATAAGCAGGTATTAATAAATTCTTCAGCGATGCAACTTGTGACCATCGATAAAGTAGTCCACTGGATACATAACCTCTCTCCCTGCACCTGAACTGGGCAAGGATGTCACTTTCCTGAGCGCAAGACCTCCCTTCTCTAGATAGTATATCTGAAGAAAGGACTCTCATCGCCCATGTCCCTCAACTCATCCTCGGTATACTTCGCATGAACCTCATCAACCGTCATGGCATCCCTCTTAGCATTGATCTGCTTGAACTTGAAGCGAAGGAACATCGTCGCGCCCAGCGAAAGCACAATGACGCCCAGGGATGTACCGTAGCCCGTCCAGTAGTACGGTGCCTCCCGCGTGAGATAGATATTGGTTCCGACGGCGCCGCCCAAGTTGCCCACTGAAATCATCAGGGCCATTCCTACGGATCGCTTCCACGGACCAGCAAGGTTGTTGGCTAAATGCTTGTTAGCTTAATCTGTAAGCAGAGGTTGGATGGGTTGTTCTCTCATACCTGTCCAGGCGACAGTCCCGCAAACAATTGAGTACAAGCCCATGGCAACGAGGAAAAGCATGGCATAAAGAGCGCCAGGTGCGACGCCCTTCTTTGGAATGGCTAATAGTCCAATAAGACCTGCTCCTCCGATCATCAGTGGCACGATCACAAAGAGAGATCGATCCCCTGCTCTATCGGATAAGAAAGCCGTCAAAAGTAGGGCAACGACAGCGGCGGCGTAGATGGGCATGGTCATAAGTTGCTAAACAGCAAGAGTTAGAATGTTCTCCGCCGGAAATTTGTTTTGGTTGGGGCTTACCGCAATCTCAGCGGTATATCCAAGCTCCTTCAGGACAGTAGGGAGGGTGTAGATGAATCTGGAACTATGGTTAGTCTGGTTTAGACGTTGTAAATCGCATCATCTCCCTTACCCATAGATCGGAATAGCACTGCCCCAGTAGGCGACAACAACAGCCCAGACCTTGTAGTCTGACAACGCAGACCAAACAAATTTCCATTGAAATTTTTCATTCGCATCGTATGAACCCTGGGTTGTACCGGTATCGTGTCGGAGTCTGTGTGCTACAATTGCCTTCTCCTCTTCGGTGAGGAACTTACACGAAGCAGGGTCGTCGGGTAGAACAAAAAAGGCGAACAAGGCGATCACTACGGTCAACATGCCTTCAAGAATGAAGACCCTAATTTGTGTTAGCTTTAAGTGCCTCTGGTCCTCAAGATATACAGCGGCTAATCTTACCATCGCCAGCCCTCAAGACCCGCCACACCACTCATCTTGTTGATCAGGTACGCGAGAAGTCCAGAGACAGCGCCAGAAAAAGCACCGGCGGAATAGAAGACACCTGCACGAAGTTGAATTTCATGGCGACGATACCACATGGTGAGGATATAACTGGCAGCCGGGAAGAAACCAGCCTGCGGAGCTTTGTTAGTTGCCATCCTTGTGTTTCGATCGAAGCCGGGTGTTTACCTCGCCAATAGCCAAGAAGAACCGTGCTGCCATTAGTCCAGGGAATCCCTTGACGAGACCCATAAGCCTGTTAAACTTCAATTAGCTTCTTGAAAGAGGCATGGAAGAGCTGGGAGCCACTTACGTTGCAATAGTTCCCCAAGTGAGCATCATGATACCGATCCATTTGGACGGTTTCAGCACCTTCAACATCAAATTGGATGGGATCTCGAAGAGCGAGTAAGGGATGAAAAAGATGGTCAAGCAGAGATTGTACTGCTCGGCGGTCAATTTGAGGTCTTCCTTGAGACCAATGATGGCGGCATTTCCCACTATTTGCAAATAGGTGAGCAACTTGCGTCCCGGCGGGCTGATAGTAATAAGGCTCATCAATACGTACTGTTGGAACGATCCAAGTAAGAAACGAGATACATAATAGCCAACATCGGAAGCAGGTACATGTCAATCTTCTTCTTGATCGGACTCTCCTGCTCCGGAGTGTAGTTTGCGCAAGCTTCAGCGTCCCCCATTGCGAGAGACTGATCGTCTGCGCCGACTTTGGCTTCCATCTCGGTCTTCGGAGTGCTGGTGTCTTCTTTCATCTTGGTTGTTGGGATGATGAGGGAACTCGAAAGTGTTGTCTTGTGAGAGAAGACGAAAGATCAGAAGTTGACCCGGATTTTCCAACCATGATATATATGCGTCAACGTCCTGAAGATTAAGTCACTTGATAGGACAAAGATACGAACCCTTGCCAATCAAGGATATCCTTTCGCGCCCCCCAATGAGAACTTACTTTCTTGCATGCCAAATCGCGGGGGTGGATCAGAGAAGGTTGCGATAAGTCATATCCCAGGCTTGGCCATGACTAGGGGCAAAGTTACTGAGAAAGCCGGCTCAAAGCCGTGCCGGAACCGTGTCGGGGCCGTGCCGGCAATGACACGGACGTGTCCAGCGTGGAAGAAGCTGACCAACCATTCCTATCCTTTATCACCACTAATGGAGACATTTTCCAGGTCTGTGGATCTTTGCGGGCGTGCCTTGAGTGGGTATATCAAGATAACGATTGGTTGACCCGAGAACAGGGCCATATCTTCCCATACTGAAGGTATAAAGCCGTTGCGTCTGAGTAGAGCTTGATATTGCCTAGCATCGCGCAAGAAGACTCTAGCTTATCTCTACACTTACTCACACGATTTCTTCCACTATCTGCAAGATGAGCTGGGAACCTGCAGCCCGTGAGGTACGGGAAGCCCTTGAGAGTGCCATCCCACCCAAGTGGAAGCTCCCGAAGGGATTCAGAGCCAACTCGAAAGATGTTACTCGAGTGCCTCTAGAGTGCGGCCTTCTCTCTGAAGAAGAGATCCGTATCACAGAATTGGACGCATCCAGTTTGGTGTCCAAGCTATCTACTGGAAAGCTCTCGGCCGCAGCCGTTACTGAGGCCTTCTGTGGCCGGGCGGCGATCGCACATCAGCTGGTAAGTAGAATGATGAGATATCCTTAGATGTTTGCAGCTTCATATTCGACTAACATTGCATCCTATCTTTCCTACTAGGTCAACTGCCTGGCGGTATTCTTTCCCGATCAGGCGCGAAAGAGAGCTGCAGAGTTGGACGAGCATTTCAAGCGGACTGGAAAGCCAATCGGGCCACTTCATGGTGTGCCGATTGCTCTCAAGGTGCGGATAGATAATCATCGGAAATAGGATGATCTAATTTTCTCATCTCGGCTAACCATGCTTCCAGGACACGTTTGATGTCCCTGGGTATCCCACCACATGGGGCTATGCTGCAAGCTGGAAGAAGAAGGCCAATCGTGAGTCGGCAATCGTGACCATCTTGCGAGAAGCCGGAGCCGTCTTCTACTGCAAGACGACAATGCCCCAGACCGGAATGCTGCTGGAAACAGTGAGCAACCTTTTTGGTCGTACCCTGAGTCCCTTCAACCCAGCATTCGGCTCAGGTGGAAGTTCGGGAGGCGATGGTGCTCTGGTGGCCATGAAAGGAAGTCCCTTTACTCCATCCACAGACATTGGCGGCTCAATCCGTGCCCCGGCAGCGTTCAATGGACTGTATGGAATTCGTCCCTCAGCGGACCGGATACCAAAACGATCCATGAAAAGCGTGGAGAGCGGTCAGCTGAATATCCGTGTTTCGTGCGGCCCGGTGTGCCACAGTACATCGGATCTCAAACTCATGACAAAGGTGGTCACAACTTGGCCGTCTGCAAGATATGATACGGCATCCATGCCTGTTCCTTGGAGAGACGTGGATAAATCCGGACAGAAACTTGCATTTGGTCTCTGGGAGTTTGACGGCGCCGTGATGCCCCATCCCCCAATCCTTCGAGCTTTGCGAGAGTCGGCTGAGAAGCTGAGGAAAGCCGGTCATGAAGGTAAATATCCAAGAGATCACCTTCCCCTTGGTTGATATGACTAACAGAGAGGATGGATAGTTATTAATATCAAGATTCCCATAGACTTTTGGGAGGCTTCCGAAGTCTACGTAAGTTCATTCCACAGTCAAACGAGCCAGTATGGTTGAAGCTAATAATTTCTCGCTTGATTAGATGTCGCTTTACTACCAGTGCGGAATTGAAGAGAGTACCAAGTTACTGGCAGACGCAGGCGAGACAATGATGCCAGCTGCTCAACAGATGTGTGATATATATGGAATCAAGAATGAATCAATTAGCGCGAGAGAAGTTATCAAGGTACGTGTAATTCATTTCCATCCAGGGTGATAGAAGAGGAAGAATCCCGATACTAATGCGATTATACGTAGCTTGTCCAAGCCCAAAATAGATATCGCGAAATCCTCTCCGACTTCTGGGATGCTACCAAGACCTCAACAGGGCGCCCTATGGACGGCATTCTCTGCCCAGTCTCTTCTGTAGCAGGCTACCCCCATGACTTCTTGCCCTATTGGGGATACACCTGCTTTTTCAATCTCGTAGATTACCCTTCGACTGTTTTGCCTGTCAAGGATATCAAGATCAACGCGAGGGATGACCCTAAATACTTGTCATACCAACCGCAGAATAATCCGTTCGATACCGAGAACCGAGATATTTGTAAGCTTTGAACCTGTCAACCGATTGAGCGCCCTTTTTCTAACAATATATAATAAAGATGACCCTGATCTATGGTCCAACCAACCAGTCACCATCCAGATTGTCGCTCGACCATTTGATGACGAGGAATTACTGTCTGTGACTGAGGTTGTGGATCGGGTGATTAATCGTGAACAAAAGCCAATGCTATAGAGTAGATAGAAGCTTCTGCTGTATTCTTAGAGACAGTTCAATATGTTGCATCAACGCCTTTTCTTTTGTAGCTTAATTTATTTGGTAAGTGGTCTGACGGCCATCGAAATTTTAAATATGGATGAAAAGCCTCCCCGGTTTCTTTGCCCTTGGTCGCTATTCCGTCTGAGATCCCTTCCCCTATCTTAGTAGTTATCATACGCATTATTATTTATTGTGTTGAGTTGTGGCTCTGGCAGCTTCCATTGCTGTTGAACTTTATTCTCTTTCTCTTACGTACGTATGATACACATCATATATAGATAGAGAAATATTAGGGAGAGATGTGGATGTAAGTAACGTATCTAATTAAATACGATATATTTTATCATCTAATGATAGAGTCGTCAACGTCCATATAATCCTGTACAGATGCCGCAAATAGACTGAAGTCGAAAGAATTATCAGGTATACCAAACGAAGCATACATATCTAACTGGTCGCCACCTGCGGCCGCACTTCCTTCGGGGAAGTCACATTGCGAGATAGGGCCGGAAGGCCAAACGAAGTCATCTGCTGGGACGTCGCATTGGGTATTAAGGCCGCTGCTTGATTCTCCACCCATGATGGCGTGTCTCTCGGTCTGTGTATGTTCGTCACCGGCTGCCTCTGACCACGTAGTATTTTGAGGTTGGGAGTTATCCACCACTTGGGCAACAGAGGTCGATGTCGGACTCGTGGCAGTCTTCATACATGAGGCGGTAAGTCTCGCAAGATTCAGGATAATGGTGGAATACGTTTGATAGGGGTATTCTCCGAGGATATCTGCCACCGAGACAAATGACGACAAAAGCTTTTCCCAGTCGAGAAAGCCAGGAAGTATCTTCGCTAGTCGAAATGCGAGAGCGGCTGTGCCCTGTCAGATAAGAATCAAATGATTGGAAGACATCAAGAATGACGTACCAGTAAACGCAGGAAACAAAGCTGAGTACGTGGGTGCCCATTGTAAATACCATTTATAATCATTGTCGTCGGTTATGAAGCCTAGGATTTTAATGCTTCGCATTAGGGTGACCTCGATCAGATCTTTCACTTCATCTGTCACCGATCCAGGATGAATTTTCTCAGCGTTCCCCTCGCTTAATTTACTAATCAAGGCGCTGCAGATGATGATGAATGCGTAGTCTCTTTGTAAACGAATGCTGCTTCGCTGGAAGCTGCTCACACCGTAGTCTTGGTCTACGCCCAGTTAGCCCTTGCGTGAACAAGCGAAGTATTGGACGCTTACCTTGGAAGACACTGTCCCATCGATTAAACCAAGTGTTGATTTCAAAATGACTGACGATGTTGCTTACAGTTCCATCAAGGCTGTCACGGACCTCCAGCTCCTTAAGAAGTCGACCTGTCATATCTATTAACGGATGTGTCTATGATAGATAACGGATAGTGGCACTTACCTCGCAACTGTACGACTTCAATATTTGCCACAATCCTCATGTCTCGGGTACAAGACAAAGCGCCGCCAAGAAAAGATTCGAGAAAGGACGACTTCACAGCGTTACCGATGGATTGGCGAGCTGTCCCACCTGCGACTTCGTGCTCTACTTGATGAAGGATCAAGGCCGTTCTTATCCGTCGAATGGATCGCCTATCACCAAAAAGTTTGGGGCGCAGTTCTTGGCTATCTTCCGCCTCACCCTCCCGAGGAAGAAGCTCGGGCAGCTGTAGCGCCTTGCCCATCTGATATGCGTGACTGATAGCGAACCAGTTCCTCTCTGCATGGGCCGAAAGCAAGATCATCCCCTGGACGGTTTCCAGCTGTGTGGAGATAGCAAACAGACTCCGGGCGGCAAGGCTCTGCGCCTCTTCGAAGCACTTCTTGCTGACGGGGTCGGTTCGTGGGCGGTCTGCTCTTAATGCGATCGCAAGAACAACTGTGAAGCAGAAGGTTGAACGGTGACGAAGAGCGTCAAACGTATCCACAGTCGAGTCGAAGAATGGGAGGAAAACATTGGCATTGGCCATATATCTACACAGTTATAGTTGTTAGAGTAGTAAGAGGCTGTGGAAAAGATATGCACTTACAATTGGAACAGCTTCCGGCCTTCGGATTCTTTTAGTATCCCACGGGAGACGATATCGTCATATTTTGGTTGTGTGGGCTGTAGAAGCTGACCATAAAGCTTGGTAGCATTTGGCGAGGCCGATATTGTGCTATGATCTTCAATACTCAGGGAAGCAGGAGAGGGCGGTAATGAATTGGAGGTCATGGCATGAACGGCGGTGATAGGGGCTTCGAGCTGTAACTTGTCCAGATGCTCTGAAGTGGGTGAGTGTAGGGACTGGGAGCTCTGAACAGTTGCTATATCTCCATGTTGAGATTGCTGCGGCGAAGACCCAGGTGATCTATGAATCCCATTTACCAGTTCTCGAAGTTGGGAAATTTCTTTCCCAGGATCCATGTACCTATACTTTGTAAGCCATGAGCCCTCGGTGCAGTATACTGAAGGGAAATACGCACTTGGGACGTTTGTCTTCTTGTCCATCCTCCCCCTCCGCTGCTGACTGACCTCTCTTCCTGCTACTTCTGGCGCTACCTAGCTCTTCAAAAACGCAGTCCCTGCCCGTCGCATGACATCGCTTGCAGGGTGGGTTCTCCCCATCAATAATGCATCGAGCTTTCTGGAGGCGGCACGTTCGGCAGGCTTTGAACGTCCTTGGCCTCGTTGCTTTGTACACAATTGTACGCGGCGAGGGCGAGGCCTGTGACATGTTAAAAGCGTCTCCCAACAGTCAATCAGTGGCAGGTTGGTTTCATCATTGGATACCGTAGTGAGGTGGTGCATGGATCAATGCTCCGGCCAGACCAGTTGGAACAGCGGGTTCTCAGGACTGACTAATGGGGGATTCATGGCCTTTATTAGCCCAAGTCTTATCACTCAGCAACCCCTTAGACACAACCCTTGGCCGGAAAAGCGGGTGCTTCTTATCATCTGTGGAGGAGACTATTGTTAGTTAGGTCTATAGACACTGGTCCGGGGCTGCAATTCGAGTACCCCAGTATTTCTTCCCATTGCGGGGAAATTGATCTCCTCGTGACTCGCATTCACGCTAAAAGGCTTGGGCATTCCTTATATTTGCTTGTTACTAGCTAGCTTTCGGTACTATCCTGAGTATCGAATCTAAATCCCTTTAGGCCATATATGGTGGGAATAACATGGGGTTTAAAGCAGAATGTCCCCGGAAAAAGATATATTCCATTGGTTGCTGTTAAAGTAACTAGCGGTACTACTTGACAGTGAAAACTCACCGTTCCCAGGAATTAATCACCGTTCCCTTGGGCATAACAGAGTTGTCCTCCCTTTCAGCGCCAGCAACCCGTACGATTCTCGTCCACCGCGTCTCCTTTTCCGGGGACCAGTCCTCGCTAAATGTATCAAGCCAGGCATCGTAAAGCTTCTGTCCCAGATACCACTTATTTAGAGCCCTGATACACAACTCCAAAACCCCAATTAATATACCCAATGTGACAAACGCAGCTTCCAGCGGTCTCAGTGAGTTGTTGCTGACGATTCTAGAGACAGCGTAGAGCACCGACGAGACTACGCCGCAAATGTCTGAGATGTAGGGAACGATAATTGGAAAGAGTGGTTGAATGAACAACCAGGGTACCACCTCTGCTGAGAAGTAGACGGCAACCATCGCGATGGTGAATGGGGAGAAGGTACTCGAATATTTTGCACAAATAGCAATTAGGATAAGCATGCTGATAAGTCCAGACACCCAGCAGAACCATAACATGATGCTGGCCACACCGGGGAGGAATGCCCATGAGGGTACGACTGGTCTCCGAGGAAGAGGTAGTGTTACGTGTTTAGGAGCATCTGTTAAGCAACAAAGTCAGAATATGGTACAGAATTGAGTAGGGGGTTGATGAGGCATTTAGCCGAAGGGAAAACACTTACCGTGGCAGATGTTCAACCGCCATGGCTCCGGAAGGAGGGTAGCGTTGGAATTAGAGTCCCTCTCCAAATCAGAAGAGGAGATATCCTCATTGTAGCTGGTATCCAAGGAAGCCGATACAGGGCAGTCAAACACCACGCGATATTCCCGACCTGGTTCTTTCACTTCGCCCTTTTCTGCCTCGGACCCTGAAGGGGATTCAATCACGTTGAGAATCTGGAAGAGGGCTCCTTGGATTGGCTTTGGAGAAAGCTTTCTGCCGGCACTTAGACCTGGCTGAATCAACTCCTCAGTGAAAACCAAAAGCGCGGCACCGTCCTTTTCAAAATCTGTGATAAGCTTATCACCCTCCTGCCGGTGAAGCCTGACGCTATATTTCAATGAAAGTGCCTTATCGGGAATAATCTGCCGACAGTCCACATCCAACCACCGAGATTCTAGAAGTATGGCGATCGGTTTGGCAAAGGTTGTTAGACTGTCTTCGGATGGTTCATCGTCAACCTCTTCTTGAGTATCAGTTGCAGATGAGAGCCAGAGCCCGTGTTTAGACATGTTAACTCTGGGCTCCAAGTCCAAAAGGCCCCCGCTGGGATACAGAGGGACCCATCTGTTGTAGTGAATTTCTCCTGGTCGGTCACAGATACCGTCATTGCAAAAGAAGAGTGACAATGGAATGTGAGGAAGGCTGAGAAGCAGCGTCGCCATTCTCTCCGCAGGTGTAGCCAATTTAATGATTGTCGTGGCATTGAACTCCAACAGATTTGCGAAGATGATGTGCAGATCGTCTTTCTTCGTTGTGGCTCTCGAAGACAATGTGTTCCAACAGGTGACGAAGCGCTGATACAGCGACTCTAATGCATTCATATCATCAAAGTCTAGACCGATCAATTTGACACCGAGAAACTCCTGAACTAATTTGTCGTTCAAGGGCCGAGAAATAAGCGCAACGAGAGGCATCTGAATGTCGGTGGATAACGTGGTTACTTGACGCCGCAGCGTGTCCGGATCGTCGTCATTGTCACGGAACATCCGGAGGACCACCAAAATCGTCGAGAGGAATGGAACTATCCATGCACGAATACTATCCCCGTCAAATATCTTAGTGAAATAAGTAGGGTACCCAAAGGAAACCGAATTCGGTATAAACGCCCTCTCTGAGCATCTGACCTGGCGGATTGTGCTGATGGCGGCTTCTTGGAATGTCCAACTTCGACCCATCCACGGAGCGACACACATTCTGGCCAGAATTTCACACGCCTCAACCCCTGGCCCATCGAGAGACAGTTGCTCCATGTTCGAGTCTAATATCAAGACCTGAGAAGCCCCGGCGTATATAGCTGCCATTTGGTTGATAGCCTTCATCTTCAGGTCGAAATACTGTTCCCCTACAGGAATACAAAGCGTGTCCAGCCAAAAGTGGGAAGTTTCCAGCGTCCTGGTCATTCTCCGAAAGTCCATCCGCAGATATCCCATATTAACAACTCCTTGCTGGGGGGCGAGTTTAGGGGCCTCCAGCTCCTTTATATATTTCGCCAGCTTGGTGATCTGGCATCGCGGTAGAGAGTTCGACGCTGGATTTCCAAGGCCATCCGACCAGACGTGCGAGAACGTTATGTAGGGGGTCTTATTTGTCATTTTGATCACGTCGAGCTTTGGCTCTTCCTTATCAAACGTGATTGAAACAATCGGTGTTCCGCCTTCACGGATTATAGACCGGACTTGTTCCGCATCTGGGGCGACGTGAGAACAGTCACAGTCGGGCGACACATGCTTCGACCGATAACGGGACATGTCGACATTGTATGCGACGCACCCGTTCTCGGAGCAAAGGCCGTGATGTGCCGGATTATAGGGCCGGAGGCGGCTAATGTAATACGCCACCACGTAATTGTAAGATGACAATACCTTGCATGCCATGAATGGACACCAGCCATTGGAGATCATCTCATTAGACAGAAAATTTGTGGTGGCTACCTTTGGTATCTGGGATGGCCCACCCAGGAACCGCAGCTTTTCAATGGCGCCTGGTTTGTAACTATGTTCCAAAAGACTAAAGTTGCTTTGGCTGATGGTCTCCTCCAGAACACCTGAGAGAGTGGCAACTAGAACACGGACGGAGAGAAGGATGGCTGGCATAGGATCGCTTGAAGCTTGAGGCTGAACCTCCAGGGCATCAGCTTCCTTGAGTACAGTCTCCAAGAATTCCATCATCGATTTCTTGCTTTGATATAACTCTAGCGCGCTGCCACTGGAAGACTTGGTTACTACTTCGGGGCCCAGGATTGGGATCACCTTTGCCAATAGCCATGAGGTAAGAAGCTGTCGTAGCGGCCGCGAGGAGACGTGATCGCCCTCTGGATGACTGGCACGAAACTCATTGCGGTCGAAATCAACACCTAGAAAGACTTGGAGGGTACCAAAATAGAGCCATCCCTGTGCCAAGGAGGCGATGTCGCCAACTGACCGTGCGGCGAAATCGTGATTGAAGCCGACGCGACTTGGGAACGAGACGAAATCCCCTCCATCAAAAGCGATTTCGCTAACGAACGGTACCCGGATATGCGCAAACGCCGTCGCGGCCTCCGGAAAGTGGTCCATTGTGCCTCATCGCCGAGGTTGAATGAGCAATGTCCATCTTGAGGCGGAAAATTGAGCCCTGTCGATCTCGTCTCATCCTGCATAACATCGGCTGGCGGTGATACTTTTCTCCTCCTGCGCCGTAGAATACTGCCAAGAGTAATCTCTCCATTCTCTCAGCAGGCGAGTTTTGTTGTTAAATTCCTACATTAGTACTTTACGCTATGGAATTTTGCAGTTGTCTCAACTCCGAGGATCATGGATATCGCTACACAGCGGCAGTTAAGTAGATATGAAATTCATGAGCAAATTATAGGGAGAACAGTGCTCTGTTTGGCTCTACAGGCACGCCCTGTAGGCCATCTTGCAACCGAAAGCACCCAAGTTTCAGCGGCTCCGCCACTATTTGTGTGCCAGTCAACTGCCATTGAACGACAGCACAACTGGGATTTTAACATAGTAGACCGTTGAACCAACGATGATACGCATAATACCACAACTAAGAAGAACCCTATTGTCTGCCGTTGACCTCTTTTGATTCGACTAACCGGCCATCCTCGTTTTCATTTGCCTAACACGGTCTTTGGCGTTAGTATCTACCCCCAACCAAGGAAGATTACAAAGGGCTGCAGCAGGTTCTCTCTTGGCATAAACCACAGCCAATCACGGCTTACTACTTTAATCACCTGATATACGCCTTGTCAGATTATCGGAAGTCGCCTTTCCAGACTTGTACCTGTCACCAACCACCTTCCGTAATGTACGAGGCGAACCAAAAAACCAGGTTGATCAAAACTGAAGGATACAAACAAAGTCAAATCATTTCGAAATATGATTGGACTCGGCATTCTCCAAGCCGATAACAAGCTGTGGCCGATCGAGGACCTAGCGGAATGGGCGGAGGAAAACACGCCTAGATATTATCTCGGTATCCCAACGCCTAATGGGTCTCTCTCCACCATAAGTCGATATCAATATCTCGAATTACTGCCACAGGCTATTGAAAACACTCCCGAAAGCGACGCCGCCGGCCGTCTCGAGTTCCTTGCCACTCTTTGCCGCGCTTATCCAGAGGAGGATGGCGAATCCATCATGACAAAAGAGGCTAGCAGTTTGATTGCTTATGTCGAACAAGCAATCGCATGGACTGGGGAGTCTCACCAACTATATCCAGAATTGCTGGTCATGCTGACGACGTTGCTCGCTTGCAGATTTGGCTATTCTTCGGTGACAGCAGCCAACGTGAAGGCTTCGGCGACGGCAGCCAACGTGGAGAAAGCAAGGCAGCTCAAGTTGAAGGCGTTGCCTGATATAGAAGAAGCATTGGGATGTAGGGAGAAGGCCTTGGCCCTGACGTCAAAGGATGATGCCAAATGGATCCCACGATTGAATGGGATCACGGATCTTCTTTTGATAAAGGCCCAGACGACTCAAGTGGGTGAGGATTTGCAGGCGGTTGAGGGCAATGCTCGAAAAGTTGCCGATATGGTTCCTGAAGGCCATCCACAGAAAACGACGGTTCTATGGAAACTCGGGGACGTCCTGGACCATCTCTCTGAGATGGATACCTCTTCAGAGTCTTATTTTGAGGAATCTATGCAGTTTCGCCTCCGTGCGCTGTCCTTGGTGAAGTACAACGGCGCACGGAAACCGGCATGGGAAGGTCATGTGCAGTACAGACTTATCACACGGTATCAGAGTACTGGCCGAATCGCATATCTGGACGAGGCCATAAGCTTTGCGCAAGGATGTATTGCGGACGATAGCAGCGAAGCCGGTCCACTATATGAGATTGGGGAGCTTTTCATGACCAGATATCTACGGACAGGGGCAATGTCCGACTTGGACGAGTCTATCCGTAGGATGGAACTCGCAGTGCAACGCGGAGAAGACCTGGATGCCACCCTCACTGAATGGGTGAACAGTCTTGCAGCTGGATATGGATACAGATACTCGATAACACGCGTCGAATCCGATATCAAGAGATCCATCCATCTTCTTCGAGATATGCAAAAGAGAATTTCGTGGCGACAAAGTGCGCGGTATGAATTCGACGAATGCTGGCAAAATCAGGTCGAGTGCGCGATTCACCTCGCCACGCAACTTGAGAGCAGGTTTCAAGTATCAAAGTCCATGAGAGATCTTGACGAAGCTATTGAGCTTGATAAGAACGTGATTCACCAGGTTGGGCTGAGACAGTTTGGTTCGATGCATAATAAGCAACGCGTTTTCACCCAGTATGCGATCCGATTGCTGAAGAGATACCGAATTCAAAAGAGTGCAGCAGATCTCGCGAATGCGGGGATAATATGCTACCAGGCGGTGAATGAAGAACCAGATGGCGTAAATCTATCGTTTGCGCTTTGTACGCTTGGGGACGTGATTTACCAGCAGCATATCGATGGGACGTCGCCCGATGCTTTAAGCACTGCCAGTTTGACGTACAAAGATGGCTTCTCCCAAGAGAACGCCTCTCCACAGCACCGCATTCAATGTGGAATGGGACTTTTAAAGACTCTGTGCCTCATGAAAAGATGGGAAGATGGATACGAAGCTTCCAACAAAACTCTCACGCTAGTCCAGCAGATGATGGCACGATCACTCGAAAATGCCGAGAAGCAGTACTTGTTAGGCCAATGTGTTGGCTTTGCCTCTGATGCAGCATCAGTGGCATTAAACGCAGGCAAAGGGCCTGAGATTGCCCTACAGTTTCTAGAGCAGGGCCGCGGTTTGCTTGCATCTTCAATAGAGGATTCGCGCATAGATGTCACCTCCCTCCAGACGAGCTACCCGGATCTGGCTGAGAAGTTTATCAGTATCCGGGAACGGCTCCAAGAGTCAGCGACTCCAAGGATCGATCCAAAAACAAGGCATGATTTCAAGAACCATGAAGAAGCGCGGTCGGTCCAGCGCCACAAACTCGGTGAAGATCTTGATCGGTTAGTCGATGAAATTCGAACTAGGCCGGGATTCGAAACTTTTCTTGCAGCACCGACAGTGCCAGAAATGCAAGCGGCTGCTGTCGATGGTGCCATTGTCGTGCTCAATGTGAGCAATTACCGCTCCGATGCAATTGTCGTTCAGAAGGATCGAGTTCATGCTGTAGCACTGCCGATGCTGAGCAAGGAGGAAGTGGTGGAGAGAGCCAGGGGTGGCACGACAGCATTAGCCAGCACCGAGACACTCGAGTGGCTATGGGAAACTATTGCATCGCCGATTCTTGACTGCCTTGGTTTTACTCACGCGCTCGGGCAAGATGAATCGCAATGGCCTCGCATCTGGTGGGTTGCAACCGGCATAATGAGCAGTTTCCCAATCCATGCCGCCGGCTGGCATGCAGCATCGCCAGATCTCGGACACACGGTACTGGATAGAGTCGTTTCCTCGTATAGCTCGTCGATCAAGGCGATTATTTATTCCCAAAGACGTCCAGCTTTCGATTACGAGAAATTGAGGGACCAGTCTCAAGCGCTTCTTGTCGCCGTGCCCCAGGCTCCGGGATGTTCAAGCCTTCCTTCTGCAGCAAAGGAGCATCTAGTGCTACAGAAATTGTTCAATACAATTAGCTGGAAAGTCCACGCAGCAGAGAATACCAAGAACGGGGTTATGTCTCGCCTCCGCTCATCGCAGGTCTTTCATTTTGCTGGTCACGGCACTGTCGATCCACTTAACCCCTCGAGAAGTTTCTTGTTCCTGGAGGATTGGAAGAAAGACCCATTCACCGTAGCGGAACTATTGGAGCTCAACCTTCAACAGGGTATGCCGTTCCTCGCCTACCTCTCTGCTTGCCGAACTGGCCAAATACGAGATGAAGAATCCCTTGACGAGAGCGTTCATTTGATCAGTGCGTTCCAGCTGGCGGGTTTTCGGCACGTCATTGGCACGCTCTGGGAGGTAAACGACGATATATGCGTGGACATGGCAAATTACGCCTACCAGGCCATGTGGAATGGGCGGTTCACGGATAGGTCCGTCTGCTTAGGGTTGCATACAGCGATGAGAAAGCTTCGGGACGAATGGCGAAGCCGCTTGGCATCATCAGGTCAAAGAAGGGGGATTAGGGCGAAGAGCAAGTTTGTCCACAGTGCTGGATCACAGATGAACCGTAGCCAGAGTAGTAAGGAGGGCAGGGATATGGTGAGCTGTGATGAAGAGGAGAAGCTCTTTTGGGTGCCTTTCGTCCATTTCGGGGTATAGCCACGCGTCCTTATGTCCAAGGCTTTATGATGTACAGGGAAATTGGCATATTGAATAAGGGCGTTCTCAGATATCTTTGACTAGTACATTGGGAGCCAGCAATCGCATTTGGATCACTAGGTTCCTGATGTCATGTCAAAAAAACTTTGCCGCCATCCATCCTACCAAACCGTTGATAGGCGAATTCTGACACCTTGGAAATACAACTACCCAAGATCTTCTAGTTGAAATGATACTGGAGCTTCTTGTCCACAATTTCTCTTTGAGAACTTGAAAGCTCGAGGGGCTGTTAGGGCGTCGCTCGGGCCAGTAAGGCGTCGCATTGTCTCGTGCCGAAGGCGAAGATTATCCCGTGTGTTCGCCTTAATTGCGGAATACATAGCATTTCACTAGATGAGTAGATAGTCGGATGACCTTTCAGGCTATTCTCTTCCCATCGGATAGATCCGAAAATCCCCTGACGGCAACGTCGCGAGCAGCATCTACATGTTGACGGATGCACCTACTACGCAATGGACAGGGATAAGTAATCAAGGCCTTTGAAGAAATCAAACTTGGTAGCTTTCTCATGGCTGTATGCAACCCAAGCAGACGGACTCCGTGACTGTTGGCTGATCCTGAAACAGATAACGACCCCTGAAATTTACACGGAGCAAGGGTCGTAACTGAATGAAGCAGTGCGGTATCAGACATCCCGAAACTGGGACCCACCATCATGGAGTTTAAAACACTTCGAGTTCTTCATCAGATGCAAAAATATTGATCATGCAATTGAGTTTACGGTGCTGGACACTCATTCTTCTATATTGTCACTCTTTTTCGCCTTGATGGTCTCTTATTAACCTCTCATCATTGAATTCTTTCCAGTTTCGTGATTTGCAATATCTTGTCAAGATATCCAGCAAACAATATGAAGATAACATCCACCTTTCTCCTTGCCCTAGCTGGACTAGGGCACCTCGGCGCTGCCCAGACTGTCGTAGGTGAGGCCGAGGGTTTTGCCAGTGGCGTCACGGGCGGCGGAAGCGCCACGGCACAAACCCCGGAGGACATCACGGAGCTGACGGAGTGGCTCACTGACTCAACTCCCCGAGTCATCGTCCTCGACAAGGAATATGACTTCACCGAGTCAGAGGGAACAGAGAGCGGCAATGTCTGCGCAAGCTGGGGTACAGGCTCTGCTTACCAGAGGATCATCCAAGATGACTGTGGTGACAAGACCGCGTCCACAGATACATGGTACAAGGCGCCCAGGACACCCATTGATGTAGCTTCGAATAAGACCATCATCGGTGTTGGAAGCAAGGGAATCATTACCGGAAAAGGTTTTAGATTCACCGACGGGGCGAGCAACATCATTGTCCAGAACATCAAGATGCAGAAACTCAACCCGAAGTACGTGTGGGGAGGAGATATCCTCGGTTTCACCGGGTCTGATCTCATCTGGATTGATCATGTCACTGTAAGTTTTCCCCGTTAATTCCATGAAGACCTGTCACTCACGGCTTGAAAGACTTCCCAACCTGGTCGCCAACATTACGTTTTTGGCCATGACCCAAGCACGCGCATCACCCTGTCCAACAACCACATCGATGGCGAGTCTCCGTATTCCACTGGTGGCGATGGCTACCACTACTGGACGTTTGAAATGGTTGGCAAGGGCGACCAGATTACGATGAAGAACAACTACATTACGAAGACAGCCGGTCGCTCTCCTGCTCTGAGTGGTTACACTTTGCTTCACGCAGTCAACAACGTCTGGGAAGGGAACAACGGCCATGCTCTCGAGGGTGGTGAGACCACCGCTCGTGGTATCTTTGAGGGTAACGTATTCAGTGATGTGAAGGCGGTCGAGTCTGACTACCAGGGAAAGCTCTTCGGTGTCCCTGATTCCAGCTCTGCCTCCAAGTGCGAATCCGCCCTTGGCAGATCCTGCGAGGTCAACATCTTTGAGAGCTCTGGAGGTACTCTCACTCAATCCGACACGTCCTTCTTCTCCGATTTCTCAGGCCTCGAAATTGCCAGTGCTGTCGCTGCCTCCAAGGCACAGACGGATGTTCCAAAGAACGCTGGTTTTGGCAAGCTTTCCGACTCTTCAAGCACGTCCCCAACGACATCTAGCCCGAGCTCTACTTCTACTACCAAGGCTACTTCTACTTCCCAGTCTACTGCTACTTCCCAGTCTACTGCTACTTCCCAGTCTACTGCTACTTCCCAGTCTACTTCTACATCCACCACCTCCGCCAAGCCTACATCCGACGCCGCGACTGGCGATGACAGCGAGTCTGACCTGGGGACCGTTGGTATTTATGGACAGTGCGGCGGTAGCGGGTATGGCGGCTCGACCACCTGCGCGGAAGGGAGTTGTGTAAAGTACAATGACTGGTACTCTCAGTGTGTTTAGAAATTAGATAATGTAGAATATAGGTGTCAATTGTGTCTTATGGAGCAGTGGCCAGCATACGCTTATCCTTGATCAAAAACCAAACCCAGAGCTGTTAGTTGTACTGAAGGAGTCAAGCAAAGGCTGATTTAAATTAAGAGATGGCGAAACTAACTAAAGGATTAATTATTTAGACGGCTTTAACTAACAAACCTATTACCTTCCTCATCCTCACGCGCCTTCATCCATTCGCTTTACTTACGCACCCTCCTTTCCGTATCGTAATACTGCCGTACCTAATCATGTCGCAAATAGTACAGTTGTCAAAGTTGGGGTTTGAAACAGAAATCACTTTCTCCTACTCATTATCTTCCACGTTCCTTCTCTACATCAATATGAGTAATTTATTACAATGAAATAACGTAAGGAAATATAAATATCATTATCATCATTTTTATTTTTTATATTTTTTATTCTATACAAGAGGTATATCTTAAGATTAAGCTATATATATAAATTTATTATATAGTTATTTTTTTAAATATAATTTATACTTTATATTTAAACCTTTAATATTAAGGTAAATAACTAACTACCTACCTAGCCTTTAAAAGAAAATGTGTACACAGACTCTTGCGTGGGATTATCCCCATTCCATGAACTACAGTCAGCTACTCCACCTATATTGCGAAACTACCACGGGGCTAACGAACCATTCTAGACAAATCGTACTGGGCCAATGCCCCTAAGCCACGGTTAAACATCCACAGGTAGCCAAAGTATTCAACTGATTGGGGTCTGTCAGCTGGTATTGTAGACCCATCCGGAGTTCGCGATGGCTTACAGGTGAGAATGTCAATGTCCTGTGCTCGATGCACGGCATTCAAAGCCCGCAGAATGTCGGCTTGAGGAAGAAGAAAAAGGCTAACTAGATCCGCGAAAGCCTCACTGAGAGTCGAGTATAGGCCTTTGAACACCGACTTCGGTGTTTGACCTAGGTAATTGGTACCAAGTCTTAATCTTCTCCCCTGTAACGGGACTTGTAGGGAGATTCTGGGGATCAAAGTTGAAAATTGAAGGCCCTGTCTCGGATAGAATTTTACCGCAACCATGCCCGATTAGCTCATGGATAGAAGTAATAACTGAAGATATGCTTTCATGCAGAGACAAAAAACGTTTCAATGTCAACCGCACTGAGAAAAGGGCGGCTTCTCGGCTCCGTAATGGGCGGCATGCGGTTTCCGAAAAAGATATTCTTCTTGCCGTAGGCGTCTCGATGTCTTGATACTGTTCAAAATTTCCCCCTTGGCAGCCATTGAGCAACATTGGCATCCGTGGGACACAGGGTACTTGCCTTCGGTCCCATCATTCCAAGCCAGACTTTAACGCCGGCGAACGCAAGAACTAAAAAGACTTTAGTCATTGAATTCTTCTGTCAAATATGGGCTAACGTGCAGGTTCACAAAGTTTGGTCGAACAAAGACTGCCAGCTCAAACGGCCCAAGCGGCTCGACTGCTAAAACGCTGTCCGGAATCCAAGGGAGTGCCTTTAATATATCCCTAGACATGCTGATCAGTGCTTCCACTGCCGCTGATCCATTCTTGTCTCTTATCGCTACAAGGCCTTCGAAAGACCTCCTCACGCCAGCAAGGTCTCATTTTAGCAGCTGAATTCCGCCAAATTGCCTTGTCGCCGCCGTAGAGCGAGTCTCCCGTGCACATTCCGCCAAACGCTCTTACAGCTATTATCCTCGCTTTTCGGCAACGCCTGTATGCTGCCGTCATGGTACTGAAGCCAGGCGACTGCAAGCTGCCCGCGCACTTCAAGCTGGCCGATGCCAGTATTCCCAACCTTCTCCAAGGTTTGGAGTCGGGCCAATTCACTACTGAGCAGCTCGTCAAGGTATGGCCATCTATAACCACCCCACGTTCGACTCAATAGCACTGGGAGAAACTCAATTGCCTTAGACATACGTCGCCCGCATCCACGACGTCCAACCCAAAGTCCATGCCGTCTCCGAGATCAATCCCGACTGTGTCGCCCTCGCCCTCGAACTCGACAAGGAACGCGCCCAAGGTCAAACCCGGGGTCTGCTCCACGGGCTACCCATCCTACTCAAGGACGTCTTCGGTGGCCATGGTGTCATGAATACAACAGGTCAGTGTCCGGCATCCCCTACCATCTTGAGGCTGGACTCGTTGCTGACCCGTGGTTGGTGGTAACCAGTTGGCTTTTCGGGGCTTGCTGGCGCGAAATACTCCTCCGAGGCGACGGTTTTGCGGCGACTTCGCGACGCCGGGGCAGTCGTCCACGCCCACACCTCGATGACGGAATGGCTCAACATTCGGGCCTCCAAGAACGCACCAAACGGCTGGTCGCCGGTCAGTGGGCAAAGCCTGGGGATATTTTGCCAAAACCAAGACCCAGGTGGCTCGTCCACTGGAAGTGGTATCGGCGCCGCTCTCGGCCTTGGGGCTGCAGCGCTTGGAACGGAGGTGAGTCCACGGACTGATATATGTACTGCGGCTTCCTGTTAAGATATTAACGGCTTTCCCTTGGTAAATAGACAGCTGGAAGTATCGCCTCCCCAGCCAGAACTTGCGGTGTTGTAGGTCTGAAACCAACTGCCACGCTCGTCTCTAGACAAGGTATCTTCATGGGGTCTCAGTGGCAGGACAGTGTGGGCATCCTTGCGCGCAGTGTTCTTGACGCTGCCTATGTCCTGACGGCTATATCTGGTGAGTTCGAGGCCGCCGCGTTCGGTACTAGTAAGAAGAAAAAAGTTGATTGTATTAATCTCAGAAACAGAACCAAACAACTCGATTCCCAACATCGACCCTCGAGACAAGGAAACCTTACTGACACCGCCAACCCAGACATGCGACTATAGGGAATTTTGCCAAGATTCAAGGCTTGATGGACTACGTATTGCTGTAAGGTGTTGTTGTTCAGTCCACCTTTGAAGCCAAGGCATTGACCCATTTATCAGGTGCCCAGACATGTCATCAACACGAAGCCATTCGTTGGTGAGAAGTTTGAGGAAGCCTTGGATGTTCTACAGTCTCTAGGAGCCGTGATAGTCGATGATGCCACCTTTCCCGAGTATTCTCTTGACGTCCTAGAGAAATACAAGGATATTTGGAACGTGTCTTTGATGGTTGATTTCAGGAACAGTAAGTTACAGACTGTTTCTTTATCATCTCACATTTCTAAAAGTGGCAGATATGAACAACTTCCTCGGTACGCTCGTGGAAAACCCGCATGGATTGAATAGTATCGAGGATGTTATAGAGTATACCAAGAGAGTTGCAGACGAAAAATTTGAGGCCCACGGAGCAGATGATTTGGAGCTCGCGAGCCAACTTGGCCGGGAATGTGATATAAACCCACAGGCTTACGAGGAATCAAGATCATTGCGGCTGAGAATGGGGATGGAAATTGGCAAACTACTTGACAATTACAATTGCAGCCTACTAGTGACCCCTTCTTGGACGGACACGACTGCAAGCCTCGGCGGGAACCCACAAATATCCCTACCGCTACCAGCATTGCCCGAAGACTTTCCTGTCAAGTTGCGTGGGAATGGAATGGTGGCCGACGGCCCCAACATTCCGTGAGTTCTTTCATCGGTTCTTGAGGTTTAGTGCTGACCGAGTGTTCTAGAACTGGCATGTTAGTTGTCGCCCGCCGGTGGGATGATGGAACAGCCATCCGGGCGGCGCACGCCTTTGAGCAGGCAACTCAGCATAGAAAGGCGTTCAAACCTGTGATTTTCTCTGACATAGAGTTGGATGGCGAAGGGCCAGCGCTGTGATTCATGTCCTCATCCACCAGCAAAACCAGGATTCTGTTCCCCTTGCTAGATAGAGAAATTTATCAGTATCCATTACCAAGAAAGCAGCGATGGGGGGAAGCTGCGGAATAGAATGATGAGATCGCGAGGTCGTAGAAGAATCAAGCTCGCTATATGATATGTCCTGGCCCTGAGTATTGGTTTCAAACAATTTTGTGAGGCTACGCTATCCATCCCATATCCGCAATTCGGTGTGTAACCCCTTTCCCGGCTTCTACCCCTTGGAGTCAGGTGCCGTGAATTAAGAAGTTTGACGCTGATTTGTAAGATGCTCCCGTGCGCTTCAGAGCCAGAGGTGGCCCCATAAGCAAAATAATTGTCCCCTAAGTGGGGTACAGGGAGCCCACGTATATAAATCGAGACGCCTGCACGTCATGTACAGGTCTGCCCAGATGTCTACATATCCCCTCCAGTCGGTCGTGGATAAGATTCTTAATAGAGAGAGCAATGGTGACGGCGACCTCCGTGCAGGCAGAAATCTTCCACCTAACTCGGCTTGAGAAGTGGGATACAGTCAAGCCTTTCCAAATTCTCCAACCGCCCCCAGGCCAACCGCGAGAAAATCTGGTCAGAGAGCCACACCGAGTTGAGATAATGGACAATAGATCTGTAGCAAAGCCTCACTCACTCGACGAGGAAGGTTTTGAGTGGATCAAAGGACGGAAGCTCGATGAGGCCTTGGACAGCCAGCAAAGTATTTCCCGACATCTCAAGGAGATGGAGAAAATCGTCTTGGCTCATTTCCAGGCTCAATCAGTCTTCACATTTATGCAGCAGGCTAGAAATCCACCCCCTCCAGAATCAAGCCGCATATCAGCCGGCCATTGTCCGTTCTGTGCTAATTCTTGATGATGAGAGCAGCTACGCAAACGGAACCATGATGGGAGCCCACCACATATACGACCAGTGAGCAATCTTGCCCACGTTGGTAACTAATCCCTTCCATTAGATGCGATTTTATGTTCTTATCTTACCCCCATATGCGCACAGATATGACCGAAGATGCCGTAAAACGACGTATCCGATTTGAAGATCCTAGCACTGCGGACAGAATTCTTACCCAGGAATACTGGATGATCAGGTATGCGCTGCTCCAAGAGAGTCCCTCTATTTATTCATATCGCCCTTGTCTAACGGCTGTCAAGTGTCTGGCACCCATTGTTCGGGCCAATCGCAGATTGTCCTCTGGCTGTTTGCGACTCCCGCACCGTTGATGATCAAGACTTAGTGGAGTCAGACTTTATTTACCCCAACTTTGAGAGCGAACTTTACAGCTGCTGTTACAATCCACACCATCGGTGGTATTACATGAGTGATCAGATGGATGACGACATCCTACTCATTGTCAATTACCATTCAGCTTCCAACACCAGTAATAATACACTTTGCAGCTCGATTCAAACACTGGTCACAGAAACTGAGCGCTTTCCGGCCGGTTTCTACACCTTAAATCCCAAATTAACGACCAAAAGGGGAAAGCTTGGTTGATCACGGTCCAATAAATTGAGGAATCATGCCGTGTTCCGTCTTTCAGGTTACGAAATGCATCATCTTATTGGAGAAATTGGGCCCCGTGCGGGTCGGTGCGATCGGGATTCGGGACCGAAGTTGAATATTCGGATTTGGACTCGGCCGTGCATCTCTTACCAAGTACATTAATCCCTCTATCCACCTGACAAGGGTGTTGACGGCCAAGAAGATTACTTTTAAATCATCAAATGTCCTTTTTGAGAATTAAATAGCGACAAGTAGAGCAGGTATTTCATTGACGCTCCCATCAAGAAGACGGATAGTTGTCTTCGAGTGTCTTATTTGGAGAATCGGAATACTTCCGTCTTTTCCCTTTTTTTTGTCAAACATTCTCACCAACGAGTGTAACATTCCGGTTCAATCGATAAGCGCGCGGAACACCGCGACACTTGTCAACATACTATATGAATATTTTTATCCTTATCCCCTATTTAAAGCAGGCTAAGCTTACGAGTCGGTCGGAAAATGGAAGAAGAGTCTTAGTATTGACCTTGGAAAGACGAGCACTTGATAGGCATTTGCATCGTGTTCAACTCCTTCCGGGAATCGGCCCATTAAACATGGCCGCATGCTGTCTAGTCGTATCCCAAAGGTGTTGGCTTCTCGTAGTTTGAAGGCTTGTACGTTCAAAATTTGTGTCAAGCCTATGGCAAAAGAACAACGGTTACCTCACGATGCGACCATCCAATTCCCTCTGGGGACGGCAGTTCCAGAGTCCCCAGGTCGAAAAGAAAAGGCAACAAAATTCCATCGGCGAAGGATCGGTAACCGAAGATGGAAATTTTAGACTTCATCAACCTGTTTTGGGTATCAGTGGAAGTGCCACTGCGGCCTTTGCCGATTGCCGTGTGGCTCGAAGGCCTCCAACGGCACTAGAAGGAAAACTCGGCCTACTCCGCCCCCCTTGGCGAATGATGATGGCTACGTGAATCTATGTACGTAAAGGCCAGCTGGGCGCCAAGTTCCAAGGCACCGCGTAAGTGGTACGGCTGTCGCGTACCGAACGCTTCCCCGTGGGTACGCGCGTCCGCCTGGAGTGCCCCATAAGGTCAAACTCGAATTTACATGTGAATGCTGGCTATGAAATATGACCAAGGACAAGAGTCATACTATTTGCACCGTGTGAGTCACTTTGCCAAGGAGAAAAAAAAAGATAAATCCATTTTGGTCCTTGGCCTGAAAATCTTTACTGCTCGTAATTCCGCCCGGAGGCTGTGCCAGTCCCTCCAATTTAATTGTTGGCTTGGGAGGCCTGAGACTTTCACTAGTGGAATATCACGCATATCCAACGGCTGAAAAAATTGATGCCCAGGCGAAAGGTCGGTCTGGGCTGTACAGGGTACTAAATTATGATATATCATTTGTATTAGAGAGCAATTTGTTGGCCCACCTTTCAAGTTCCCCCAGGTTTTTATATAACCACCCATTTGGAGAACTGAGCCCTTCTTTGTTCACCATTTCTTCTGCACGACAATACAGTCAAGCAATTGCAACGCTTATTCAGTCTATCTATCAATCACGAATGGAATACCCTTCACCTTACTCTACTCTAGCTACTTTCAGGAACCTGAAAGTTCTAGTTATGGTCCAAATTACATCCTACGCTGACAAGTTCCAACCGCCCTAGGAAGAATTGGAGATTGCATCTTTTCTTTTTCTTTTTCTACGAATACAATTATTCTTTTTAAATCAATTCCATCAAAATGCTTTCTCGATTCAACCTGGGCGGGCTCCGGAAGCCGTCGATGCTTTCTCACAAGTCGACGGCCCAAGGAGGCCGTGGCCCACTATCTTTCAGGTCGTTGTTCCACTTGAAGACGTCCCAACGATCCGGGGAATCTTGGCAACAGCCTCCGCAAGGTCAACAGGGCCTTTCCTGCGAGGAGGTTCTGCGGACCTATGCGCTGATGCCTGATGCCTCGGTACTTGACCATCTGCAGACCACCACCAATGGTCTCTCGGATGACGAAGCGGTCCGGAGGTTGCAGATCCAGGGTCCCAACATGCCAACGTCTCGCAAGCCGGTGCATCCTCTGATCTTGTTGCTTCAGATCATTCCTAATCCCTTCAATGTACTGTTGCTGGCACTGGCGGTTGTCAATGCAGCCATGCCACCTCCGAACTGGGTAAGTTGGATAAAACGAATACTGGCTCCGCATACCACGAGGTGGCGCTAACTTTATTCTGTAGAAAGGCTTTGGCGTTCTCATGTTCATGGTCGCCATCTCCACCGGTGTTCGATTCTGGCAGGAATACCGAAGTAGCATCGCAGTGATCCAACTTCAAGCCTCCATCACGACCGAAGTAAAAGTCCGCCGACATCACCGAACGATCGGAGACAAAGCACTTGCTCAAATTGATCGAAGCGTTGATACCAAGATTGAAGAAAAGGACTTGGTTCCTGGTGATGTTCTCTTCTTGTCGCCAGGAAGTGTCGTCCCTGCAGACTGCCTCGTGTTGGAGTCTTCATTTCTCCGAATCAGCCAATCATCATGGACCGGCGAGACCGATCCGGTTGCCAAGGGGGCCCTCGATTTGGAGATCAAGGATGCCCAGATTTTCGATCTTGCCAATGTCATCTTCATGGGCACGAGCGTTGTCTCCGGCAATGGTTTGGCTGTCGTGCTTCGCACCGGGAATGGTATGTCTTACAAACCTGCCTTGAAATTAGACCCACAGGATCGAGCTTAGGCTAACCATTATCCAACAGATGTATTGCTTGCTGATATGGCCAAGCAGCTGGAGAAGCGTCGCGAGCCAAACAACTTCCAGAGAGGTATCCGCAATGTCACCTGGCTTCTGATCGCATTCATGCTTGTCATGGTGCCAATTGTAAGTGAAGACCCCGGAGTGCGTTTTGCAGCTTGCTAGGCCCCTTTTACTAATAGTATTCATAGGTGCTTGCAATCAGCGGAAAGACTACCGGCGACTGGCAGTCTGCGGCTCTTTTCAGCATTAGCGTTGCTGTCGGACTTGTGCCAGAAATGCTCCCCGCCATTGTCAATGTGAACCTGGCCAAAGGCGCATTCAGTCTCTCCAAGAAAAAGGCCATTGTCAAACGACTGGACAGTGTTCAGAATATCGGGGCCATGACTGTTTTGTGCAGTGACAAGGTACGTGGTGGTTCAAGTCCGAAGCAGCATTCAACTCCAATGTATTAACGTGCATATTCTAGACCGGCACTCTCACAAAGGACGAGGTCACCATTCAGGAAGCCATTGATATGGACGGCAACAAGTCCCTTGAGACCATCGAACTTGCCATTGTCGACGCCAATGCCCAAGGATCTGACGGTAACAACATTGATGCAGCGATTCGTTCTTCTGCACCCAGTGATGTGTCCGACCGGGTTGCTAAGCATCAAATAATCTCCACCATCCCCTTCGATTTTGAAAGACGGCGTTCGTCATGCATTGCTCGCGGGGTGACTGGCCAAGATATACTGGTTTGCAAGGGCGCCTTGGAGGAGGTCCTGGCTCGGTGCACTCAGGCTCGCCAGGGAACAAAGACGGTGCCCCTAGGTGGCGCCGAGGTCAAGGCCATCCGGCAGCGCGCAGATGAGCTCAACCGAAGCGGCTACCGAGTTCTACTAGTCTCTATGAAGAGGCTACCAAAAGCGTACATCAATGACGAGGATGCCGTTCAGGGTCTGGAATCCGACATGACGCTGCAAGGCCTACTGACATTTATTGACCCTCCCAAAGACGATGCGGCCCTTTCTATCAAGCAGTTGAAGGAATACGGCGTTCAAATCAAGGTTCTGACTGGTGACAACCTTCCAGTTGCACTGAACATCTGCCAGGCGCTTGAGATTGTGGAGCACAACCAAGTGACGGAGAATGACGATATCCAAGCCATCACGGGACCTGAGCTCGCCAGAGTTGAGGGTACGCCGGAGTTTGACTGCCTTGCCCGGACCTGCAAGGTATTTGCCAAACTGAGCCCTAATCAGAAGGCCGCGATTATCGCCAGCTTGCGTAAAGGGGGTAACTGTGTGGGTATGCTGGGTGATGGTATCAACGATTGTGTGGCTCTTCGAGCGGCGGATGTCGGTATTTCAGTCGACTCTGGATCGCAAGTGGCAAAGGATTGCGCGGACCTGATTCTCACGGAGAAGGGGCTCGATATTATTGTCGAGAGTGTGAGAGTTGGTCGTATCACCTATGGAAACACAATCAAATATATCAAGGTATGTCTCATCGCTGAAGAAATTCGGCCTCTCTACTTTAAAATTTCTAACATGTTCTTTTTCAAGATGGTCGCTTCTTCCAACTTTGGCAACGTCTTCAGTATTTTGGCTGCAAGTGCTTGGCTTCCCTTCACTCCCGTAAGCAAGCCCGCCGTATCTACAGAGAACACGACGTTGAAGTATCTAACTATCATGAATAGATGACCAGTATCCAGCTTCTGGCTCAGAATTTGCTTTATGACATCAGTCAGATTGGCATTCCTTGGGACAATATGGATGAAGAATTCATCAAGAAGCCTCAGCAGTGGCGATCAATGGGTAAGCATGAGCAATAAGCCGCCACATACAACAGCTACTAACCATATGTTGGCAGATCTTCTCCGCTTCATTCTGGTTCTAGGACCAACAAGCTCCGTCATCGACATTTGTACCTTTTCACTCAATTGGTGGTACTATGGCGTCCAGTCCGCTCATGATCCGGTTGCTGTCAGCATGTGCCAAACCCATTGGTTCCTCGAGGGGTAAGTACCAATCGTGCAATCAACAGACGTCCCAACTTGTTCTAACGAATAAAATGCAGACTCCTCACACAGACCCTCATTGTTCATCTCCTTCGCACCCCCAAAATTCCATTTATCCAGAGTCGCTCATCGGTTCCGCTTGCCCTGTCGACCGGGCTTATCATGGCCGTCGGATTTGCCTTGCCATGGATCCCAGGAGTGGAGAACGCCTTTTCCTTCACCAGGCCAGCATACACATTCATCGGATTCTTGGCGGCAGAGCTATTATTGTACTGCATTGAGGTACAGCTTGTCAAGATGCTGTATATCAAGCTCTTTGGAAGGTGGCTATGATTTATCAACGGTGGCTGATGGGTTTTTGGGGTGTTCAATACTCCAAACAGAGACATTGCACCTGTGCTGATTTCAACAACCAGCACAGTAGTTATTCACATCGCTTCACATTATTCAACATAAATTAGTTAGTAAGATTGGCATTTCAATTGAATTTAGATAAAACTCTTGTTTATTCAATGCATTATGCTCGTGAGCAGCCAATCGAAGTACCTAAGCAATGGTCAATATTATAGCGTTAAATCTAATCAACAGATTTCAATTCAGTACAGGTATCAATTTAGTAAAAAGGAAAAAACAAATGAAATAATATGTTAGTCAGTAAATCCCATCACAGCCCTCCCAATCTACCAACTTCGTCCAGAAATGTTCTTCTGCTTCGCCCCCGACTTCATCCTCGCCCACAGCGCACCACCCACCGCAGCAGGCTCCTCCTCTCTATGCTTGCCGCACTTGCGTGGCATCTCCCTGCCCTGCGACTCGTAGAAGAACTTGGACACGTGGAAGTCGTGGTCCGGTCCAGGCGCGACGCACATCCACCGCACCTTGGACGACTCGAGCTGCGGCCAGCACGTCTCGCACCAGTGGCAGCGCGGGAACTCGTCCGACTTGCGGGCGCCCGACGCGGGCACGATCTTGCCGCAGAGATTGTTGGAGCAGTACACGGTATTGTCGACGGCGGGCCATATCTCGCGGAACTCGAGCTTGTCCTTCATGACCATGTCGGCGTTGCTGATGAGTTCGAGCTTGCGACACACGTCGTTGCAGACGTGGGTGGAGAAGAAGAACTTGAAGCCTTCCTTGTTGAGGTTGGTATCTGCCAGCCTGAAGCGATTGGTGTTGGCAATGTGGATGGCTGGATCGGTCAGCACACCTCTAACACCCTGAAGATCGCAGACCAGAATGGTACCCCAGGAACGCTCAAATGTGAAGTGGGAGAATGCCTGGGCGGCTTTATTGATCTCGTCATCGGGTATCCGTGGGATCCTCCGTGTGAGGAACGCTCTGTTCGGCCTGGGCCGCTCAGGCGTAGTTGTATTCCTTTTCAGCGGGTTTACTGCTTAACTAGCAGTCTCTGAGACGTATGGCGTCTTTGAGGGGGTAGACGGGTCAGGAGGAGGCTAAGCGCTTACACCTTACAACAGCACTTGTTTTCAACAACCTTGCTTCATAAAGAGTGCAGTTTTCTGAATTTCCCAAGGCCGAGGAGAATCATAGGCTTGCTATATGCTATCGCCGGTGCTTCTTGAAGGCTGACGATCCTCAAATTCAGGAACTCGCAAACTCGCTCTGCAATTATGCCAACGTCATAAGAAAGTTTGGTCGGAACGAAGAAGCAGAATCCAGTTTTCTTGAATCATTGTATATCCGCGAAGGCTCTCCTGGAAGTACGATCCCGCTTCTAGAGGCGACACTATACAACCACGGTAGTTGGAAGCTTGAGCTGGGCGAGGTTGAAGAAGAGGAACAGATCTTACTCAAAGCAAAAGACCTGCATCCCAAGATGGAGCAAATGACTACAATTCAACTTTATACCATTTACTGCTTGGGACGGCTCGAATATATGAAAGGAAATATCAAGGAGGCCTTGACGATACATGAGCAGTGCCTTGAGAAGCGGCTGCAGCTCGAAGCTTGGCCGCACCCCCTTACAGGTGTGTCATTACACAAAGTCGGAACATTGGAATTAGAAATGAATCGAGAAGATGAAGCCATCGGTCACTTGAGAAGGGCTCTAGATGCTTTCAGAACAGCTACCGGCGACCGAGGCCTGCTTCCAAGAACCTTGATTACTTTACGGCGCGTTTTGCGTGGAAAGGCGATACGAACGAATGATTCAACCATGAAGATGGAAGCGAAGGGATTTGCAAGAAGGAATTAAATTGTCGAAGGAATACAAGGGAGAGACCGTGCACTTGGAAACTCAAGATGATCTTAATAATTTAGTTAAATCAACTTATAGATGAAATAAGAGTAGGTAAAAATATATGAGTTAATACGGACTTGTATTAAAAACAAAGATATTATTTTAATAGAAACGAAACTCTAAACTTATTTAGGTGTTCCATTTCCTTTGTCGCCCCACTTGGATGGCTATTGTCCCCATCGCCATACAACCTGGATCCATCACGCAATTCATGCCTCTCACACGTGTCCAAAAAACCGACCACGATTTGAGTACACGCCATTCACTCGTCAAATATGGCAGCGATACTGGCTCGTCGCGGCATGCTGCCCCCCCGGTTCTCTATGCTCGCTCCCACCATCTCCAGATCCATCGAGCCCCGGTCTTCGGCCATTGCGGTTACCATTCAGAGTCCATCCTGTGCTCGATTCATCGGCTCGACATTCAAGCCTACCCTCCCGGCAGGGGCATGGGACAGCCACATGCATATAATCGATACCACCCGCTATCCGCTCCCAGAGAATGCCAAACCAGCCTCTCATCAAGCCACAGTGCGCCAGGCCCTCGCCAACGCCGAGCACCTAGCATTGCCCAACATGGTCCTTGTCCAGCTGTCCAACTACGGCAACGATAACAGCTGGGTGCTTGATGTTCTCAGCGAATTGGGACCCGCCCGGAGCCGAGGTGTTGTCGCATTCGACCCTGACACGATTGGCTCGCGCACTCTTCTCCAGTGGCATGAGCTGGGTGTCCGAGGCGTTCGGCTCAACCTGAGATCCTCCAACTCCGTCCTGTCAAAAGTAGAGATTCAGACCGCACTACGCAAGTACGCAGATAAACTGCGACCCATGAAAACATGGTCTATCGGCCTGTATGCCGACATGGACGTTCTTGATCACGTCCAGCCGCTGATATCCGAACTTCAGGTCAAGGTGGTCCTGGAGCACTTTGGCTCTCCAACCCGCCTTCCATTGAACCCGGCTGACCAGCCCGGCTGGAACGCGCTCAAAACGATGATGGGGGACCCTCGCGTTTATGTCAAGATATCAGCACCGTATCTTTTCTCCAAAGACTTGGATTTCGCCGACTTGGAGTCACTAGCAAAAGCGCTGTTCGACATGCGAAATGGGAACGGCGTCGTGTTCGGTTCTGACTGGCCGCACACCAAGTCGCCGGGATACGATGCGACGCTTTTCAGGGACAAGGTGGTGGAGTGGTGCGGCGGCGACCAAGTGCTGCTGGAGAAGCTATTTCTACGTAACGCTCAGAATCTATGGGATGTTGAATAGTCTTGCTACGAAGGTAGAATGGTCTCACTATTAAACCAACGCAATCACTTTGGCGCATCTGCATTCTGTGTGGGATAGCTTAGATTGGCATGAATTGTAGGTACAAATGATGTACGGGATGATCCAATGCCATGCCGTCTTTTGCTGCAAGCCGGTGAATTGGGTTGCCTTGACAGCTAATGCGCTGTCCTCCACCTCTGACCCAAGCCATATGACGATTCTTTGCGCTCCGGAGTATATACTGGACATTCGGGCTATCTCCTGACCTTTTTCCTTTCGTCATCCTGGTTGTTGCTGATCAGGTCGAACCGGATTATTCTTGCTTGATCCTCCCGACGCAGGTGTTGGAGGGCCGAGTATAGATGCGGCCTAAGATCCATGGTGCCACTGGGCCTACCGTCTGGGTTAAAGACAGACAAAGGCTGTAGGCGTTCTCCATCGCCCCAAGTGTACGAGAGGGCTTCGTGGGGAGGGATGACGTCTAGGCCGGGGGAGGATTGTCCCTCGTCGACCTATGTACACATATAATGTAGTTTGGCCCACTCTCAAGGGCTTCACCTCCCAACATTTCCCAGTCCGCTGCCATCTGTCGTTTAGAAACCAAACCAAACCAAACCAAGCCCAACAGGCGCCAGTCTTTCATCGCCCAGTCATGCCGCAATCAAGTTGCTAATATCCGTCATAAGCTCCAAGCCTTCACGTATAATGAGACTACGCCCTAGGGAATGGCGATACGCCGCACCTATTCGTCCAAGACCCCCTCACTCGCCATCCTCGACGACTACCTGAACACTTCGTCTTCTCATTTCGCCAAAATCCCGCCTTCCCAGCTCCGGACCACCACCTTCAACGACATCATCGCCCCAAGCGACGAGGTGGACTCGGCGCGGTTGGTCGAGCGGCTCCAGCCCTTCGAACTCATGTCAACCGTCCGCAAACGCACCACCTTCCCAGGCTCCCTCCTACGCCAGCTGCACAATCTCAAACTCCTGCTGGCCACTAATACGCAGTTTGAGATGTTTGACCTCGCATCAGCAAGGCAGCTAGGCATCAAGGTCGTCGCAGCCCCTGGTCTGGGTCGCACCAACCAGGCTGGACCTGTATGCCCTAACATCAAGAAGGGCAGCGTCCACCCCACGACACAGCACGCTTGCGCACTGATCCTAGCCCTCGCCCTCAATGCCGTCGCTGACGACGCCTTGCTCAACGACGCCCTGCTCAAGGCGGGTTCTGGATCGTAGAGCGGCTTCGTCCACAGGCCTTCCTGGCCTGACGTTGGGCACTGCCGGGCTGGGTCGGCTGGGTGCTATTGTGGCTCGCGTTGCACACCTCGCCTGGGGTCATGCGCGTCATCAGCTGGAGCGAGAACCTGACGCAGGAAAAGGCCGACCACATGGCTGTCGCTGTCAGTCTCTCCCCCGACGCTGGGATCAGTAGTGCCAAGACCTTCCAGGCCTTAAGCAAGGAAGAGCTCTTCGCCAGCGCTGACGTTGTGAGCATCTATTATGCGCTGAGCAACCGCTCACGCCGAATTGTCTCCGCCAAAGAGCTGGAGCAGATGAAACCGTTGGCGCTGCTTGTTAACACTTCACACAGTCCATTGATTGATCACGATGCCCTGGTTGACACGCTTGAGAGGGGCAAGAGACGGGGAGCCGCCTTGGACGTTTTCGATACTGAGCCCTTGCCATTAAACTAGCCCATGGAGGCATAACAACTACTGGGGTCTAGATATGCGTTCAGTTCTTCTTACATCCCCACATATGGGATACGCAGACGAGGTTCCGATGAATACGTGGTACGCAGAAACTGCCGAGAACGTAGAGCGCTGGCTCAGGGGGCAAGATGTCCTCCACTGCCTCACATGAACGAGCACATACACGAATATTAATTTCTTTCAACGTTATACGGTATAGGGAACGGGATAAATTAGGCAAAGAGGATTGTGATTCCTTGAAAATATAAAAAAACACATCGAGGTTCATAGACATCAACTATCGCTTCATACCAGGCCACCCGGGTCTAATTTCTAGAGCAAATGATTCCCCCTTGCACCAGTAGCATGTGCTGTGAGGACTCTCATAATCAAATTACAATCACTACATGCTCCCTGGCAGTGTCCCCAAACGACAAAGAGAATCGTCCGTTTTCTTGGCCCGACCAAGGATGGTAACCCGGCTTTTCTCGACTTCAAAAAGGGCCATGAGAACATGAGCATTTTCGGCCCCAGCCTAGACGCAACCGTTGATGCAACGAATCTCCACGATTTCATGCCCCCAGCAACGTTGGCATCCGAAGGCATCGAGTGGGTTTATGCTCCATCCATCCTCTCTGAAAGTACGTTCCTCGCTCTAAAATCGACTCCATGTTCGAGGGCTTTATCCGAGGCTCCTACTTTGATGAATGTACCCAGTTGGTCAAGCCTGGAACAGGCGCATCCCAGGCCGTAGCGTACAACTTCCGCCATCGGCGGATTGAGAAGGTGAGATTCCCGAAGAGACCAAAAGAGGGCAAATAATTATTTTACGTTGTCGCTACATAGACTGATCTTGCCACAAGTTCCAGAACACGAACCTCACATCAACCTCTTCGACCCTTACAGCTTCTCTGCCAAGCCACTGCCCAACTTCCACGTGGACAACAACGCCGAGACGGTCGCGACGAACCTGAAGCGCGTCCTAGGCAACGAAGAGGCCGAGCGCTGGCTCTTAAAAGACTGGGGCATCGTCAACGTGTGGCGGAATGTCGGGGACATGGTGAGACAGCGAGATCGTGAGGTAGCCTGGATAGATTTGTTCAGATACCAAGGCCAGGTCAGCCCACACCTCCGTACACACCAGCTATGCGATCCAGCGCAGCCCGAAGTCATTCGAGTTGAGTCCATAATCAGGGGGGGTCAATGCGCAAACAACACGGCTGCTCATGTAATAACACCAAGCAGCCCTTGGCCAGCTGCTCCTTAAAAGACCCGCCTGCGTAGAAAATGAGTATTTCAACTTCTATATTTCATCTGTCATAGTTCTGGCCCGTAAACTTGTTAGATCCTTTTACGCATGGCAACGCCAAAAGCAGCGTCTCATCGAGGTTTTGGACCACCAAGCACCTGCAACAGGCCCGAGCTCGACACGCCGCAGAACAGTTCAGCACCTTTCCACATTCAAGGGTTCAGCTCATCCACAATCCTACATGGTGGGAAGGCCGGTCAACCAATCAAACCTGAGCCCATCATGTCAGCATGCTCGTGTGAGCCTCAACCCCTCCCAGCAGCCCAACGCAGGGTGGAAACCTGAGAGCAACCGGCATCAAGGCCGCCAGCCTCCCTCGAGCCCTTGCGTCATGTTTGCGCAAGATGCAGGAGTCCAGCAGCTCGAACCGGGCGACTGCCATGAGCAGCAGCAGCGACTGGGTAGTCCCTGAGATTCCTGCCATACAGCCGCCCAGAAGCCGGCGCATGTCGACCAAGAGGGCGCCATATCCCGCAAAGAGGCAGCAAGCTCCCATCGTGCAATATGTCGAGAACGACGAGCTCACCAGGCCCCCGAGCGCCCAGAGAGCTTCATGGCATGCGACCGGACCGACAGCGCCATACTACGACAGCAGGTTCCCCGTGCCCCTCCATCCCTCCCAGTATGCTCCGAGCGATCAGAAATACCCAGCGCCTGCGTTCGATGACGAGAGAGATACCGAGGACTGGAATGGTCCATGGAGCGCGCAGCCTTACAACGACCATCCCGCGTCACATGCCGCCGATGGGCCACCCGCATCCCGTTATCCTCGCTCCCCTCCCGACGAGCCAGCGGCAAACTATCCCGACAGTCGCCGACTGGTCCCGAACGACCAGATTATACGATCGCAGCGAGGTGGAAGACTAGAGGATAGCAGGCCGCCGCTGACAAGGCCGCAGTCCGCGAGGCCTCCCCGGGAGCCTTGGCACGACGGTCGGCCGCAGGACTCTCAATTTCAACGCCCAAAGCATCGTGACCGATCCTTCAGCTTGGAAGATAGAGCCAGAGCCCAGTTGCAAGAAGCGTCATTTGATAGCTCCAGCCGCCATGCCGCGTCGCGGATTTCCAACACGTCGATGCAGACGTCGACTGGAGAGACACAATTTCAATATCGCCCCATCACTGGCACAGAGTTCAGACTGCTCCGTCTGCTACCAGCGAGCATGTCTACCATCAAGTGCGAGATACTGCACGCGTCTCTTGATACGGATCCGGAAATCCAGAAATATACGGCTATATCATACGCGTGGGGCGATATCGAGCCCAACATGAAGATCGAGGTCGATAGGTGCTCTGTCCTCATCACCCCAAGCCTTCACGGCGCGCTCAAACGACTACGCCAGCAGGACAAATCCATCATGGTCTGGGCCGATGCTCTATGTATTGACCAAAAGAACAAGGCAGAACAGTCGCAGCAGATAAGCATGATGACCAGCATATATGGAAGCGCAGAATCTGTCGCCGTTTGGCTGGGCGACAGCAGTGATAACAGTGATCTGGCGATTGACCTCATCCAGGGAGTGTTCAACGCGGATAATGCTAGTTCCGTGGCGAGGATCATATCAGCGGAGAGGTTTACTGCCCACTTTACCGCACTAGTCAAGCTCTTTGAGAGAGAGTTTTGGGAGCGACTGTGGGTTGTGCAAGAAATTTTGAATGCGCAGTCAGCCACGGTATACTGCGGAAACTCGTCTGTTTCGTGGGAGGTTCTGCAGGAGGCTTCCACAATCTTTCAGCAACACGAGAAAGATCTGCGAGTTCAGTTCCCGCGCGGGAAGACGAAGGGGTCCCGTCGTGGACTCTCCTATGCGCATGTCCTCGGTTCCTGCGGACCGGCTAGTCTTGAGCTTCTGCGGGTTTCTCCAGAAGAGGAGGTCATATCATTGCTGGGAGTGCTCAGAGTGTGCAGACCAAAACTGGCAGCAGAGCCGCGAGACAAGGTATTTGGTGTTTTGGGTATCCTACCGGCGGAAACCAGCTTCCACTTCCCACCGAATTATGGTTCATCTCTTCGGGAGGTGTATACCAACGTCGTGGACCTCATATTACACACCACGCGGCGACTCGATGTGATATGTGAGGCCATCTACTTCCCTGTTTACACCAGCTCGGTAAAGCTTCCAAGTTGGGTGCCGGACTGGTCGCATATCCCGTCCACGGCTGGTCTCGGGACATCGTACGGATTCAACGCTGCCGGCGAAGTCGACGCCGAGTTTCAATTCATGGATGCTCCACACAGGAGCCTGCTTCGGATATCTGCCATCTATCTCGACCAGGTAGATATGCGTGGCGTCGCCGTTGGCACCTTCTGCTCTGTGGATGACTACCTAATGGCCTTCCTCCACTGGAGAGCAAAGCTTCTGTCAAGATACCTATCATCGGAGGGAAAGACGTACAATATGAAGAAGATAGACGAGGCGTTCTGTCGTACCTTGTGTCTCGGGCAGGAGCCCTCTTTGAACCTCCGCCACTCCTGGACGGAGGTTTGTTATCACGTTTTCGCGTCTCTGGTACGCGATCGCCTACCTCACCTCCGCCTCGACAAAGAGCTGGAGAAGTACCTGTTCATCGATCAAGAGCTTGCACCCGAGACGAGCCGTATGATTGTTCAGGAGAATTGCGCTTCCCGGATGGAGGGTCGCTGCTTTTTTACAACAAAACGAGGACTGATGGGGATAGGAAGCGGGTTCATGAAGGACGGGGACATCGTTTGCGTGCCTTTGGGGTGCAAGACACCCATCATCATACGCCCAGAGGCCGACAGCAATCAGTACCGGCTCATCGGTGATGCATACGTTGATAAGTACATGGATGGGAAGGCAGTCAAGGAATGGAGGAGTGACAGGAAGAAGCTCATCAGTTATGTGCTGCAGTAAGACTCGGATGCGCGGATGTATATAGTCAACCTGTGGGCTTAAATAGTTCAATGCACAGACGGACATTGTCCCAGGGCTCGTCCATCATTGACTGGCAAGTTGGAGCTAGCCGTTGTCAAGGTTCATCGCATACATACAAGGCGAAGTTACGCTTACATGATAAGAGGTAACCGCTTAATACGAGGAGCCATTCAAGACATTAGATTCCTTCGCCGACCCGATCAAAAATCTCTTAAAGAACAAATTGTGCGCAGTCATCCAGAGGAACTAGACGTCCTCTCATAAGATCTAAAAAATAGACTAGGTGTTTGGACAAACAGCTTTAGAAACAAAGACCTGGCCGACGAAATCAGAAAGAGGCTCGATGACTATTAAACTGAGCCCATAATTACAGACAAACGAGAAAGGGAGCTCCAGACTTTGCAGAACTTCCCCCTTTACCTTGACCAACTAGAGGACTTGGAGATGGAGCCCTTGACCATCGCACAAGATATGGCCTTGGGCCTCGCAGCAGGCCATTGGGCTGCTCGTGCCAACATGCTGGACGTCGAGTATGTTATTGGCAGCCGGCCTTCGATCCCACCAGCAGCACGCTTCCTTGCTCTAGACGCCGAGCACATAGGTACATTCGCCAGAACAGTCCCCCGAGTCCTAAATTAGACCTACATGAGTAACCTCGCAGTAGGCAATTACGCTCGCGCACTGGTATTGAAGACAATTGACCCTTCTGCGAGGGAGGTTTGGACTACATTTCTAACAAGATGAGCAACCCTCCGTACCAGCCTAGTGTCGAAGTCGCTGGTGGCGAACGTACCATCTGTCTGGATCTTGACGAGGCAGGAAAGGCATATTTTGCTACAAGACATCACTTACTTTACTTACTATTACAAGTTCTCATAATTACCCGGCCCAAGAATGTGATCATATGTGTATCGCGACAGGCTGCACCGAGTTCCAACTGCGCCACATCAGGCCTTCCATGCTCGGAGAAATTTGGAAAACGTCAAGAACTATACTTATTCCATCCAGGGAAGAACTTGGAATATCTGATAGGGCGTGGAATATGTTGCCCATGAATCCTATCGCCCATGAGATCTGGAACAAGGCGTACCTTGCCTTTCAATAGATCGGCGTTGACGGGCCAGACACCGCCCTCCCCCTGCCTTCGACTCGCCACATCGTTTCTCTCTATCGTGGGCTCTAACAGTGGCATCGTCAACTCGTACAGAACCCTGTACGATCTGCCACTACCAGATGAGCCAACTCTATCCATCAAGCCAAGCCAAGCATCCCTGCAGTTCACTGAGTATAATGTTGCTTTATACTATGTGGCCATCAGCTTGAACCAGGACGCAACAACATTCCGAGGATCCAGATGCTAGAAAGATCTGGGCGACATTGAGAATGAACTACCGTACGGGGCCGCGAGAATTCGTGGCAATCCTTACTCGATATTATTGCACTTGCCGCCACCAGCAACATGCGATGATCAAGAGACGGCAGATCCTCTTCTGCTGATAGCCCTAAGGATCAACCGCGGGCGATACTACCAATTGGAAACCCTAGCAATAGAGAGCAATATCGATTAATAGTTTATAGTATATTATGTCTTGAATTTTTATTGTTTGCTGACAATAATATGACGATTCCAGTCACAGACTCAAAACTCAGCAGGGTATTGTTTGAGTACATCAATACTCTATCGTGAAAGTTACGACGAAATTGTCCAGCATTGAATTTATTAGGAAGGCTATCCTCGAGATGAAGAAGAAAGCCAATTATGACTCCCTATAAACCGTCCACAGCGCCTTGAAACTTGGGCGACGGTAGGCAGCATGACTTAGGTTCCCCCATCATCCAGCACGGTCCGCACGATCCTCACCCTCACCAGCTTCCGCGAGCTCACAGACCCCGAGGACGCCAGGTTTTTCCTTGAAGCCAGCAATGCCACGCCTACCGTCGCAGCTATGAAGGCTCATATGTCGACACAGGAGGCTGCGCAGCTCGACGACCTCATCCTCGAGAACTACGCGCTGGACCACTTCTTCAACAGCCTCGACATCAACGAGCTTTTTTCCCTTAACGCAGCTTGCGACGCAGCCCGCACCTAGCAGCGTGCCATCGCATCCATAAACAGCGGTATCACCAACACTAATGTGGAGGTGTCTGCGGAACTAATCACACCTGACGACCTCGCCGAGGATGATGACGATGAGATCATCGCAGCACGATTTGAACAGCGGGATAAGGAGCACAGAATCGTTACCCTTAGTGATGACTCAGACTTGGACTCGGACTTTGACTTGGACCTGGCGGTCTCTCTGCACCTGAGAAAGGATGATCAAGCATAAGCATCTTCACGCTTATTCGGACCACCCCATGATGGACTTGGCTGCGATTATGGGTGACTATTCGCGCATTGATCCAAAGAACAAGCTGTGCATCGACCTAGGTTCACATTCCTGGGAAAGAGAACCTCGTACCGGATGCGTTGTCCCAATTGCCGACGCTTGATGAGGAAGATCGGCTAAATGAAATGAAGAAAGACCATCAGCTCACTAACGAGTTGGACGACATTTGGGATGGTTTGAAAGATTCATACTTCGGGGGAAACGCGTACCTTGGAATGAATTCTGCCTCAAACCCGACAACCAATGAAGGTGACAGGGAGGCACGCGTGGAAGCCCTGATCGATGTTCAGGCACAAGAGGATCCTGCCTGTGGTGATGATTTGTTCTTCATATTTGACCATAGGATGTCTCGAGATCGGATTTCGGGATCCTTGCTCGCCTTGGGTATAGACCGCTCCTGACCACATTGATGCGAGCCGTAAACCCTCCTTTTTACTAGAGCATTTCGCCTAGGTAATATCAATTTACACCCAAGGTAAACCGTGAAGAGGTATCGTATTATTGTCACCTTTGGGAATCAATCTGAAGGAGAACATTATTTTATTATGCAGTATGCGCTCTAAGGTCGCTTATAATTACTCAACTATGGTTATCTTAACAGAGTGGTCACCTCCTTCATTCTGTACCATGGAAGCGTCATATGCACAGAACTTAATCACCTCGGGCTTGCCGGCGTCTGTCAACTCACGAGCAAGGAACTTGAAGGCCACTTCGTCGCCTGACTTGGAAGATGAGAGGTAAAGTACTTTCTGTGGAATCAGTTAGCATCCTCGATTCTCTCGATCATCGTAACGCCATCGCTTACTGAGTTGTAGATATCGACATCAATCGGGACCATTCTCTCCGGCTGTAGATATCGTTAGTCCTGATCCGCGCCAGAGAAATTTTTGGATGTTGATTCTTACCAGCTTGCTGACTCTGATTTCAAATACGTCTCCCGCCTTGAACGTAGTCTTGTCTGGCTTTTCGACATGGAGCTCAGGAGCACCTGGTTCAGGACTCTTCAGCACATCCGCGATGAGATCCACTATCCCCTGGGCGTACTTGGCAATATCAGCCTTCTTATCCTTTGTTAGCTTGACAAAGAAGACTCCCTGCGTCCAAAGCATGGCACCCTTCTCGTTGTCCGACGGCGCAGACCAGTGATACTTAGCGTCCACCTTAAGAGCATCACTAGACTTCGACTGCCACACAGCGAGAACATCCTCATCGGTGTTTGAATCCGCATCTGTGATGTCGATGCCGTGAGTGGCATACTTCTCCAGGTCGGCAGTGTACAGCTCATGTGCGCTGTCAACGGCGTTACCCCGCGAGCCAGGGTTATCACCGCCCCGTCGCCCTCCCACTGTGGCGCATCGAGAGATGGAAAGGGACATGGTCTCCCCGTCATCCGAGGTAAAGAACCACTGCGCCGCAAGGTGTGTAGATTGGACGAAGATGTTGGGTTCTGTGACAGCCCAGTCTTTGAACTGCTCCTTCACATTGCGCAGGATATTGCTCTCCGTGGGAACATGGTCGATGAAGTCTGGCGCGAAGATCTCCGGCTGCGTGAAGAGTCTCTTCGGGCCCGGCCAGTTGCTGGGGTTGCTCTCGGGGACAAAAGTGCCGAGGGAGCATCTTTTCGGGAACCTCTTGTACAAGTCGGTCTTATCGTCGATCGAGTTGGTGATATACTGGCTCAACGTCTCCCGGCCGGAGTGTGCAGAGGTGAAAGGCCGGCAGGTTGCATCCAACACCATCTCAGAGGGTCCATTGATCTTAGTGACAGGCTCTCGCGAGATGGTCATGAAGATGTGGCTCCCAAAGCCGGTACGGTTCTTATCATTGACGGCCAGGACTTGTGAGCCACTGGTTGTCAGAGGGCTGTTGCACGGCCCCCATCCGATCAAGTTCGTCTCATAGATATAGCCAAAGGGTGCCATGTGTTTCATCTGCAAGGAATGTTGGGGGCTGGTGATTCCAAGAGGGACGATGACCGACACCAACGCAGCTAAATCGTAGCAGTTGAGTGTGTGCTTTGCCTTCTCATCACAGTCATTGACCCAGTGATCGAAAGCAAACGGGCTATCGCCTCCTTGGAAGTAAGAGTTGTTGGAAGCCCAGGAGTCATACTTGATGCTCGGCTGGTAGTGTAGTTTGTCAATAACGTAATCGAGCCAGCCCTGCTCATTGTCCCCAATGTTCCGGCCTAGCTTCTCGTCCTGGAAGGCCTTGATATCATTGTCCTCGGTCATCAGTCTTAGGGGGAGCAAAAACCGTCTGAAGAAGCTGACAGGCAGCCCTCGGAAGAGGACTTTTGGCAGCTTCGCGACGGCGACGAAGTAGAGCTCCACGTCGGTCTCAGCGAGCTGCAGCCTGCGATCCCCATAACTGTTCAGGATCAATGACCACTGGATCTTACCTTTGAATCCCCAGGGAAGATTCTGTCGCGGAGCTTTGAAACTCCCTTGGCACTTGAAGCCTGTATCCACGTGGCACTCAATTTGCACATCCTGGGTACAAGGCTCGCTCTCTAAGCTCTTATCCTCTGGCTGGAAATGCCCCTGCAACACAGCACTGATAGCACCAGAGGGGCGTTCGAGGTCGTTTGGCCAAGAAATGGGGCCGAAGTCGAGTGCGAAGGTATATTTGCCCAGCTCAACCACGCGGATCTGATGCTCGTATCCTGTCTTCCAGTAGATCTGGTTGCTTGAAGAGGCCCAGTACGTCTTGGCATGATTATCGACGTAGTCATACACAGGGAGCACCGAGGGGCCAACGAGGAGTTCCACCGTGGAAGCCATTGCGATAATTTGCCTTAATAAGTAAGTGATATATGATAGATGGGAAGTGACAAGTCTGAGACGCCAAGAACATGCGTGGCTTATCAACTTGTATAAATAATGGGCATCCAAAAGACACCCAATCCAAACTCGCCGACCGTTCATGTTCTCTATCCGCCAAGCGAAGGTCACTCCCGCTGGTCTAGATTCAATATTGTCAATGGTATTGAGAAACCATCCCCGATAATCCCACTACTAGTTCGTCCGTTTAGGGGACGGCCCGCAGCCTAGATCGCCTCGACGGCAGCTGAGCGTGGCGTTGCTGCGGCTGGAAGTGGGCCTCAGCCACCATCAAGGTCTGGCAGATGTCAGTCCCGAGGTCTCATTGATAGCAAATGAGGGGTAAAATAATGATTCCGGACCAGTCTACTCTTCATCGGCTTGATAGATTCCAGTCGCCTAGAGATTCTAGAAAGGTCTGGCCAAAGCAGGCAATGCGGCCGATACGACCCAAGAGTCCAAGACTTGCCGACCCCCAGAATGCCCCGCCAAGTGGTCAACTGGTAATGCGCATTTCACGTCATCACTTGATAGTTATGATGATAAAATAACAGATCAATTTGAGAATTTGGAATACACAAATTAATCACTATGATTCTTGTTTGCTTCTAATGATGCAGCAAATATTGTAATAATAATCAAGGAGCCCAGTCGTGGTAGCGCACTTAACCGCGGCCACGTTGCCGTACTCTCATCAGTTACCCTATACCTAGACATACAATCAGATCCTCCCCCTCATATGGTGATTGGCATAGCATGGCCTGCGGTTGTTCAATATTTAAACTAGCTAGTTACTTCTAGAAACGGCCCTCTATTTTTCCGCAATCATTTTATCGCTCTTGAACAAGTTGCCATGTGCACGACGCGACAACTACAGGTATGGACTTTCTGACCGTGTGTTCTCCAACACAAAACTGTTACGTTTCATGTGATTAATATTAGTTATTACAGTCAATCAAACAAGAAAAAATATTAACAGCACTTGAAAAAGGTTACGCGAAGACAGTTTTCTGTTCTTGTAGTTGTGTCGAAGAAAATAATTGCCGTAGTTGGCACCCCAGCATATTGGAAAGAGGAACAGGCTCATTCTCTTGTGAAGCCCTGGAAGCATACCGGCAATTCATGTTCATTGCATGTAATTACCACTACCTACCTGCGTATGTGGGAGCTGCCTCAATGCTTGTTTACTATTACTCTGTCAGGCCTCATCGCGTCGAGTGCAGGTGTTCATGTTGATGTGACGCGCCAAGCGAAAACACTGATTCATCCCGCTTCTGCACCCAAAAAGGCAAATTGTCGATATCATCTACCCTCCTGGCCCTCCACTCATGTCCATCCTGCCGCGCAATCATTGAAGGTAGTGAGTGGAGCAGGCTTTATGTTTAGACCTTCTTTAATCCCGCCGAAGAACGCCAACGACCAGCCCCAGGGGCAATGACATCATCTAGACAGCCAATGGAGAATTTTAGACGCTTGCTCGCCTTGGGTGGTAGCGTTTATGTGGATTTCGGCTAGAGAAGGGTCAACAAATGCTGGAAAGGGTTCGCTCGATGAAGAAAGTTTCCGCTGAGAGAGGTTGCTTGGTTGGAACCAACCAGTATGTGTCGCTACAGGGATCCTTTGTGGACCTGAACTTACACGGTGCATTGTACTGTTCCGTCCCTGTTTCCCAATGGCGGCTCTGGCGGTGGGAATCTCGCACTGGGGCCGTCAAGGGTGACAGGCAGCAATGATTCAGCATCTGATACGAACGGGAGGGGGCATCGTCTCTCATGTATTTTCCCGAATGAGGGAAGTCAACCCAGTGACGTAAGAGCTGCAATGTCCATGTTGAGAGGTTTGTTACCAGAGCCAATCATGGCCTTGTGTAAAAAACTCAATTGCGTTTTGCATCTGATTGCGCCACTGAACTAAGTCCCCCCCGAGTTGTTCTCTCGCACGCAAGAGATAAGCTTGAAAGTGGGTTCCGGTGCCATATTCTGACTTCTGTCATGGTTTGTTAGTCAAGAGATCCAACTATTTGGTAAAAGAAACCTTCCAAGAGGAGCACGAGTGGAGCATATTCCCTTGGTGGCTGGGAATGTTTGAGAATGCTAGGGCCTGCACATGCGGTAAGAGAGAAGAGAGGGGCAGCAGCTTGTGGATTCTGCTCTCTGAGCAATACGTCAGATCATCTCTTATGTCTGGAGGTGTTCTGTTTGCTTGTTGACTCTCAGATGATCTGTTGTAAATACAGATGTACAGTTGCATAGGCCAAGACGGAAACTAATGGGGCTAAAAATCTTCCATTGCCAAATAAGAAAAGCCTCAACAAATTGTGCATGAACCAACAGTCGAGTTGCTTTCGGAACAAAGAAAAAGCGGAGTCCGGCCAGGTACGCGCAGTCACGTGATATCAACTGGAACTTCCGAGCAGGGGGATCTGACTCATGATTGGCCCGAGATGCGTCCAGGACCCACCACAAGTTTGCAGGGGAGGAAGGAGCTACACTGTGCGCATCGTGATCGACAATGACTGCTGCGACGACACAACTCCGGCGCCTCGTTGTGCCTCCCGCCTGAGTCTTCTCCAGATGCTCGCCATCTCGTACGAGAAAATCAGACAAGATTTGTCTTAGAAGCCCCGGATGATCGCCATATGGATGGACGATCAGATCACCAAACAGACTCGCGCACCGTTGGTCCCTGCGAGCCGTTGTTTGGCCGTCGCCACCTTCATCCACACATCCTTCACATCGACTTTTCTGTTACCCACCAGACTATTCTCGCGGCCGTCCATTCATGTTTGCGATGTGGAGCTTCGTGTTGCTCCGTCTAATATCCCAACATGTTCGGTAGCGCACCTAAGTGGCACGACAACACCAAACCGTCGCCTCTTCCCCCCCCAATGATGTGATTTGTTCGCGCTCAGGGACCAGAAAAACCCAGGATGTGTCCCCACGTCGTGTCCAATTTGTGGCACCTCCCAGGCATAGCAAAGTCAGCTTTGAGGAGAGTCCCATGTCAATGTTTTCGCCTTTGCTGCCCCAGAATGACTCGAAGTTTCTGTAAATAAAGACCGTGGCCCCCCCTCGCGTTTTGCTTTTGCTTGAGAAACTCTATCCCAAATCCAGCGCGCCGTCGATCACATCCCTCGACCCCAGATGGTAACTGTTGGGCCCGACTTTTCTTCCTCGTCATCTCCGCGCATGGAATAACATCTTACTTACCTACCAGCCTGACCTTCGACGCCTCGCTTCCTGTCCACGACCACTCCTTTAACAATCTTTGGTATCGAATACCAAGCTTCCCAAAATGAGTTCCAAGGAGGGCTCCATTGAGCCCAAGGCCGTGGCCCCCTCAGAGGGCATCATCGGCAATGAAAACTCTGGAAATTCCGACGGGCTTCATCGCCGCCTCGACAACCGCCAGATCCAGCTCATCGCCATCGGTGGAACCATCGGTACCGGTGTCTTCGTCGGCATCGGCGCCGGCCTCGCCAAAGGCGGACCCGGCAGTCTCCTTGTGTGCACGGCTCTCTACGGCTGCGTCATGGCTCTCGTCAACAACTGTATCGCCGAAATGAACACCTTCATGCCTGTCTCCGGAGGCTTCATCCGTCTCGCCGGAGCCTGGGTCGACGACGCCCTGGGCTTCATGGTCGGCTGGAACTACTTCTTCTACGAGGCTCTTCTCATCCCGTTTGAGATCGTGGCCCTCAATCTCGTGCTGTCTTTCTGGAATGAAAAAGTGACCGAGCCTGGCCCAACGACCGGTGTGTGCCTTGGTGTCATCATTACATATGGGTAAGGACCAAAGAAACATTACGCGCGGAGTGCAGGCTTGTGACTCGACTCGTGTGCTCCGTTTTGGTATCGTTTCTGCTGTCTAATCCCCCTTCCCTCTCCTGAGATGTGATCGCATGCTAAACTGTGGTGATTTTATTTTATTTTAGTGTGCTAAATGTGCTTGCTGTTGGTGTCTTTGGTGAAGCCGAATTTTGGCTGTCTGCCGGCAAAGTGCTACTGTTCTTCATTCTCTTCGGCTTCACATTTGTGACCATGGTCGGTGGCAACCCCCAGGGCGATGCCTACGGCTTCCGACACTTTCATGGTGCTGAAAATGCCTTCGCGTCCTTCCGGTCCGAGGGCAATGCCGGCCGTATGGAGGGTTTCATGGGATGTCTTGCCTCCGCTGCCTTCTTCGTCGTCGGCCCCGACTACATCTCCATGGTCGCTGCCGAGGCGAAGCACCCCAGCATCTACATCAAGACGGCTTTCAAGACCGTCTACATCCGTTTCGGCATCTTCTTCATCGGCGCCGCCCTGTCCTGTGGCATTGTCTTGTCTCACACCGACGAGGCTCTCGTCCGCATCAACATTGACGGCGTCGGTGGTGGTACTGCCGCTGCTTCTCCCTGGGTCATGGCCATGGAGAACATGGGAATCTCCATCTTGCCTCACGTCGTGAATGCCCTGCTGTTCACCACCATCTACTCCGCCGGAAACACCTACACCTACTGTGCCACCCGCTCCCTGTACAGTCTTGCCCTCGAGGGTCGCGCGCCCGCTTTCTTCCGCAAGTGCACCAGCAACGGCGTGCCGATCTACTGCTTCTGCTTTGTCATGCTGTTCCCCTTCCTCTCGTTCCTCTCGGTGAACAGCGGGTCCGCAAAGGCTCTCAACATCCTCCTCGCCCTCATCACCGGCGGCGGAGTCGTCGACTACGTCGTCATGTGCATCACCTTCATCTTCTACCACCGTGCCTGCGTCGCCCAGGGCTTCGACCGCAAGAAGCTGCCTTACTACGGGTACTTCCAGCCCTACGGTGCCTGGATAGCCCTTATCCTTCTGCTCATCGTACTTTACTGCTACGGATACACCGCCTTCGCTCCCTGGGACACGGTCACCTTCTTCTCCAACTACACGATGCAGCTCATCGCGCCCTTGCTCTACCTCGGCTGGAAGCTGATCAAGACTACCCACCTCATGGAGCCCCACGAGGTGGACCTCGTCTGGGACCGTCCTCTGATCGATGCCTATGAGGCTAGGATGTTGATCGAGGAGCCTCCTACGACTTTTGGGCAGGAGATGAAAGCCCTGTTTGGCCTCAGCAAGGTTAAGAAGTTGGTGTCGCGGGCATAGATAGGGATGATTTTTGCCGCGATCCGAAATTAAGATGGATGTCGCGAGCGCGTGTGCTAAGAAGAATCGACAGACCTGCTTATTCGATCCACCATCAGACGCGATACCTAGAACGAACTACCGCACCAGCATCGGACCCCTCGAGCGGCTGAGGACGTGAGCAAAACTATAAAGGCTCAGGTATGTACCATGCTCCTCAGGAGAGGTTGACGAGCAACACAGCAGTTCTGCATATGGGGCGACTTCGAGTCGACTGGGAGCCACAGCTTGGGCGTCACAAAATACATACCCTGGGGGTAACAAGGCGCTGTGACTGGCCTGCTGTCATAGACATACATTGCACATATATTTCGAGGCGCGTGTCAAGTACTGCGCTTCGAGTACAGATACCCATTATTACGTTATGCCAACTCAGTTCTCTAGAGTTTCATCCTACAAGTGATACGAAAATGTCTCATCGCGTCGTGAAATCCAGTCTGCAGTTCGTCCCTTTGCCAGGCAACCGTTTCGGCTACACGAGAGCAGGGCGACAAGGGCCAGCAGCAGCCAAAAATAGAGATCCAGTACGAAAATGAAATCCCTCTCGGTCCATCCCAGGCGCAAGAATTCTTAAAAATCTTAACTGGCGGCCCGCTCGCCCCGACACTTTTGAAGTCATTTCTGGGGAGACGCCATGGGCGAAATAGCCAATCGCAACCCGAATGATTGTTTAGTTTCGTCTTTAAAAAGACACAGGCCCATTTGGACGCTATTCCTAGATGCGCCGGAGATGACAGCGACGGCTGACTGGGATCTGGGCCGCCTCCATCTACGGGCGGGAGTGGGGGCCAGAGACGCGACCGACAAATCAGCATCGCGTCAAGTGACCCTGGAAGAGGATCAGCCACAGAGGTAAAACCTTGCGTGTCGATTGCCTTTATCCTTGATGCTGGGGTATGCTTGTTTAGTGGGTGAAGCAGCAGAGTGATGATGGCTTGCCGACACGGCGCGGAGGAGGCCTCTCCACAGGCTCTCAGCCATGGAACTGCTCGACGATCAGCTTTCCAGAGTATAAGTATTCGGCTCGAGGACATTGACTGGGCTTCCATTCCTCTCTAAGCATCAGCCGAATCCATTTGGTTCTTACTCACCCTCTTCTTCTCAACATCCAACAGACCTTGCTGTGCAAGTGTGTTGACTTTTATCAACCCTTTTTCTCTTCAATTCTACGACTGTTATTAAGAACCTTCTCTTCCACTTTGGACATATTCATTCAAACCAACTTTTAATCTCACTTTTCTACATATCACATCACTCAGCAATCACAATGGTTTCCGCCAACTCCCTCTTCACAGCCCTCATGGGCCTGGCCATGGCCAACCTCGCCACCGCCTCCCTCAGCAACCCCAGCTCCCAGGCCCAGGCTCTCCAGGCCCGCGCCGACAAGTTCAGCGCCCGCAGCGTCATGTACCGCCGCGGCGAGGACGGCGCCCTCCTCCGCCGCAAGATCGCCCAGCGCTCGCTGGAGCCCCGCCGGTGCCTCCACAGCTGCTGGAGGAAGGACAAGAAGGACAAGGAGAAGAAGAGCAAGAAGTCTAAGAAGATCAGCAAGAAGATCAAGGCTAAGAAGGCTGGCAAGAAGGAGAAGAAAGAAAAGAAGGAGAAGAAGCACAAGAAAGAGAAGAAGGAGAAGAAGCACAAGAAGGAGAAGGAAGAGAAGGAGGAGGAGGACAGCGAGTAGAGCCCCAAAATGCTCTGCTAAGGTCGCTGATTGATTGATCATGGTATGAGAAGGGACGTCTTGGTGATTGCATCTCACAGCCAGCTTATTTTTTCTTCTTCTGCCCAGCCTGTTTTTTCATCTTTTTTTTTTCTTTTGTTTTCTTCCAGGCTGGGGTTTTCTTTTTTCTTTCTATTTCCTCTTCATTTCTTTTTCTCTCTCCATTTTTATGAGCTTTTCGAGCGTATTGCATTTGGACGCATCGGTAGATTCTGCTATTCATTCAATAGCAGACCAGGCAGGGACTGGCAACCTAAAGTCCCAAAACATGAATAAAGTAAAATTCAATAACTACTTCGCAAGTTCGTCAACGTGAAAAGTGCACATATATGATTAGACCCCTACCTTAATTCCTCATGCGGAGCAGGCGGCATTAGAACGACGAGACAGCACATGCGGCCAACCATACTAAATATAGCCATGCAAGATATACAGTTCTGTTTCGGTCATTTCATATAAGACATCTTGATACAGTCTAAATGGGCAAAAATTAGAAATACCTAGGAGGAGCATGCGCTTCTAGAACCAATGAAATGCGAATGTGCGATAGCTCATGATTCTTTCACAAACCCATTGTCAGCTGTGGCTGCAAAGCTCCATCGCTGTTGGCTATTAGATTTCCAGCTTGGCTTCTTTCGACCTGCCTTGTCTCACTTTTTTTTTTCTAAATTTGGTGCAGTATCAACATAGCGCTTAAGAGGTAAGTAGTTGTCTATATGGAAAGTCATCTTGAGCGTGGATGCCAAGATATTTTAACCGCCCGCGCCTTGGACCTGCATCAACCCGCAGATCTGGCTTTCAGCTGAGTTTGTACGATGGGGTTTGAACTGCACAAATAGACTGGTACCCTCCCTAGGGTTGCTTTCCGGATATGTACAGCACCTTTCAAAAGCCTCGTTGCTACTCTCATCTCCATACTCTTCACCCTTCCGGCCGTCGGGTAATTCTCATACAATGAAGCCAACATCATCTTCTCCTCGGACGCAAGAGAATTGCAAGCCGTGGAAGACGTCCTCCTGGCACAATTTCCCCATAAAAGCCTTTGCCTGTATTTTGGGCTCGCTGATATCAATTTCCTCATCCTTTGCCCTTCTTGCCTGGGCCGACGACAGCCCTGTCGACAGTTGGCCAATTGCACCAACCATTATCTTATCCATCATGGTTACTCTCTCCAACTCTATGATGCGTGCTGCGTTTAGTGTCGGCGCAGAGGTATTCTGGTGGTCATCCCTGGTTCCCCAATCTGGCACCACCCTCGGAGAACTACATTACATCTGGGACTTGGCATACAACTCGCTATCGACTATTACCAACTTCGAATCGTTTCAGCCACTTATTCGCCTTTCCAATATGCTCGTTATAGCTATTGCTGTCAACGGACCTCTGCTTCAACGTGCCATCCGCGTTGAACTTGACACCCGGACAAGCTTCCAGGAACAGACATTGGAAATACGCCGTGAACCAATGTGGGATTTGACCGCGAAGACTCAAGGCTTGAACGGATATGTCTTCTCAATAGTACCATATCAGGATGAATTCGCCGAAGCTGTTCTTGAACAGAGACAACGCGAACCAATCCAGCTCCCCACGCCAGCCTGCCCCTTGGATGCAACTTGTATGACAAGCGTGGTCGTAGCTGGGTTCACGCGACAGTGTTCGGATTCGGAGGAAACTACGAGGGGACTCCTATCTCTACCTTCCGCGAGTGCCATCATCTTTCAAACTTCGGGTTCTGATCCCTCCGTATCAGCGCACGAGTGCAGTCAAACAGGCGGGTATTCAAACAGAACACAATCAAAGATGGACAGCGGCATGTGCGTGTCCCTCACAACGTACTTTCAACTGCATTTTGAGAATCCCTCCCACAGGCTGATGAGCCCTTCTCCTGGAGAGCTTCCTTGGAAAGCGCCGGATCTACCTCCCGGTCGGGCCAAGTACACATCCTACGTACGCACCAAAACTTCCGTTGATACTGTGGCTGTGCGGAATTGCAACTTTTCCACTTCGTTTATTGAGCTCCCCATCAGAATCTCCAACGGCACTACTGTCACAATGCTGAGTGCGGAATCTCCCATCGGACTAAGTAGCACCAACGGCATTGAGTCCATTCCCCATCCTTTGAATGACACGGGCGAACTCGACTACTTGTTCACTGGTGGTTTCGTCCAGGCGCTCAGTGATATGTACAGCGGATACATTGTGTATAATTCCATCGATCCCGGCCATATGGTTCACGGCTCAGGTCCTCGCCAATTCATCAACCAGAGCAGCATTGTTCCTATTCGGAACAAAGGTCTTCCCTCGCCGGAACCAAATAGTGCAGAATTTCATTTTCCATCTAATGGGTATGATTTCTCCTGCTTTGACCCGCTCAACGATTTCGTTACCAGCCTCAACGAGCTTTCGCTACGGTATGCTATCAAATCCGTATCAGATAAGGGCTTGCGTGCGACAGAGATTGGAGGTCTTATGCGATTCTTTCAACATAATCAGTCCTATTTTGATAGCCTAAATCTACGTCCAAAGGCCGTACCGCTTCTAGGCACAATCATCTCACCGACCCAGGTCGCCAGCATGACAGTGAGCAAAGCCATTCCTGTCTATAGGGTGAGTTATCTCTTCACGGCGATAGCAGTAGGTGTTAGCTTTTTGGCTTCACTGTTTATTGTCTTGCTGCTCATGGGATGGAGAAAGCTGGGGCGGACCGTATCATTGTCGCCGCTTGAGTTGGCCAAGGGGTTTGATGCACCACTCTTGGCAAACGCTTGGAGTAACTGTGAAGGGGAGGAGCTAGCCAAGACGCTTGGTAAAACCAAGGTGCGATATGGGGTCGCACCCGAATATGCAAGGCCAGGAGGGGTTGCGACGGGAGGCTTGTATAACATCGTCACTGTTCCGAGTGAAACCATGCAGGATACTTACACGTCTTCAGAAACTGATAGCCTCAGTAGCTCTTATCACGATAAATCACAAAGGATGATGATCTATTCGTTGGACTAAATGGAGCGGTAATAGAAAGCTAGTCCGGGAGGCTGGCTAGGCTAGGACGGCAGGGATATCAGGAAGGCAGGCACTGGGACACTATATTCACGTCAACTGGGAATTAGAGGAGGATACAGATGAGAATTAATCGACATATATAGAACTTTAAAAGAGATTTTTGAATAGCAGCTTTCGTGATGGCGAGGTGTAGCAGAGAGCACATCCAGATTATGTTTTATTTTGAATTCAACGAAGGCATATACAAGCACATGAAGAGAACTTCCACTGAAGATAATGGCATCAAGATGCGGAAGGACTGGATGGAAGCAGTCGGCTCCAACTCGACTAACCCGCAGATTCCCGTTTACATGGACTTGTACCCCATAAGCCTTGTGTTCTTAGAATACGTTGATGAGACCCCGAAGACGACCGCAACATTCTTCTCTGAGATCCGGCCATTTACTTTACAAATGCGTTGACAACACCGTGCAAAGGTTCAAGCTACATCGAGACCTCCAATATATCTAGTACCAATTATTCTCCGGGACAAGACGATTTGGATTATAGACTACGTACACCTTGAATATCTCTAGTCATATGCAGGTGATTGATGGTTATATAAAGGCAGTTTCATTTCGTGGAGCGTATAGACTCGAGAGTTTTATGTTAAGACAGCCGAATTTGTTGTTAGTCTATGGAGAGTGCATTAATGGCAGTGGGAATTACTAAACGAATCTATTGCTTCCCATCATCGACGTTGAATGAACTCACAAGGAATCAAAGCTTCCTGTCCCAGAACCACACTGAGTGAGATGAACCGACTTTTCAATTCCCTCTCCTCAACATAGCTCCGTTTATCCCTCATGAGGCATATCTGGTTTTTCAATTGTGCCGCTCTCAAAAATTCCCTCTAGAGCGTCTTCTGGCCCCAAAGGGAAACAGACCGGCGGCTTCACGCCGTTTGTCTCGGGCGTAGCTGTGCCGTTCTTTGTCCCATAGTATATCACGGAATTAGCCAGGTCCGTCGTGAGCTCGGTGGTTCCCCAATTCTGCGGGGCGAACATGATACTCGAGTGTGCCTCTGACATGAGAGTGTTGGGGATATCCTCGGAGCGCGTATAATGCTGCATGCCGAGGTTAATCCATGCAACAAGATCCTCTTGTATGAGGGACTCTCCATTGAAGAAATTGTAGAAGTCCACAAGTGGTGCCTCGGGGACATTCTGGTTCAGGGCAGCGGAGGAGCCGGGCTCGGTATCATGTTGACGCGACACTGCGAATGGCTGCTTGGCAAAGTTGACTGATCGCTTGAAAAAGGGCGAACGCTTTGATGGAAGCACAACATTGGATAGACCTGGGAGAATGCGGTAGCCCCTAGGCTGACCCCAGCGGTTCGTATGGTTCTTATTGACGATGGTGAACATAGATTGGCCGTTTGCTGGCATCTGGAGCAAGCCATCATCCTCGGTTGCGATCTCACTGATGTTATAGCGCATCATCTCAAACTCGCCGCGCTCCGGGTACCAAGGTTGGGTGATATTCTCAACCACGATGTCCGTCTTGACGAAGGTATTGGCTGTATCGATGAGGTCGAAGTCGGCTTTGAAATTCATGACGTGGCTGTGCAGAGTACCGGCAATGGTCTCTTGAATCCTTGGGCCCCATTTGCCTTCATCATCAGGTCTGAAATAGTTGCCCTGCACATAACCTGATGCATGGGCATCGACGGTAATGGTTCCGTCAACGTAGAATGCATAATCCCAGAGGTAGTCGTAGTTTCCGATGGTGGCAATCATACGGACAACGAGTTTGGAGCCTTTTGTGGACTGCATATACGATTTATCCGTATGGCGAGTCACTGGAACGCCAATATCTGTCTCAAAGATGCAAACATTGGATGGCTGCCTTAGAGCCGTAATTCCGTTGGTGAAGTTGGAGTCGAGGTAAGTGGCATGGTATGGGCAGTCATATCCAGGAATCAGTCTACCAGCCTGAAGGCCAATACCAAAGTACCGGTCCATATAAGCGGTGCCTGCTTGGAAAGGATTATTTCCAGCATACTGGGCAATAGCATCTATACCGGTTAGTTTATTGTTCCATGCAGTGAGATGGGATTCTTCGACAAACCTTGAAGCGAGAGCTCATACATGATTCTTTCATCCTTGAGCTTGATGTCATAGAACTGAATACCCACGTCCTTATCATATCTCATATAAAATTTCCAGCCAAGGTACTCGATGTAGTGGTTTTCCTTATCAATCTTATATCTCTTATCAAGCGTCAGAACAGTGGGTGCCAGACGATCTTCTAGTTCACGGATCGTGCCTCGGCGGTCTTTTCGCAGGAAGTCGGCGTCCTTAGCTGGCGCGGGCGTCTTGACCATGTTTCCGGACTCCCAAGCACTGCGAAACTCCTCAACTGTCTCGTAAACCTTGAGGTTGTACACAATCTTGCGTACGTGGTAGAGGCTAGGGTCTATTCCGGCGATATCAAAGCTCACATACAAGTCGGAGGGCTGGTCGTACGGGGCCAGACCGGCTCTTCTCCATGGCGTCCAGATAACACCAGTCGTACCGTCTGTCGAGAAGGGGTTTTGGACGTAGTAGGCTGCCGTGGAGCGAGGGTCGCTACTACCGTAGTACACCACGTCGATCAAGTCGGCGGTGATATCAGCAATCTGGGACATGGCCTTGGCAACAGCGCTGTCAATGGCGGCCTTCCTGACTTTGTCGATGAAGCCCCCATTCAACAAGACGCTTGGCCCATTTGGACCATTGTAGAAGTAATCTAAAGGTCGGAGAGTTGTGTTGCAAGAAATGGGAAGTGGCCCAGCCTTGTAGTGAAGGAAAAATTAGTCAGTGTAAGGCATTGCTTGATGGGTCTGGCTTCCACCTACGAAGTATTCGGAAACGGTCGGGGGGTTACCCGAGCCGTGGTTTATGATAATTCGAGCATGTCGGGGCACGACGCCGTTGCCGTCCAAGTAGGACAGGACATCTGTTTTATTAGGCTTAAGTGTCTCGATGTGGGCAATATAATTATCGCTCAGCGACAATGTTGGGCTTGAGCTATTTGTAAGATTTAGCCCAAGTGATTTGGTTTCCAGCAGCCAGGTTGCCACTGAATGGATTTCAGAAGGTGTCAAGGATGTGAAAGGGTTCTTCTTGGGGGCCGTAACGGGGATATCCTTGGGGGCAGGGCAAGCTTCGAGGCTCTGGGCCGAGCGTGTGCCTATATCGAAACCGATGCCAGCATGTACATCCCAGTCGCGAGATGGACTAGGAGCGGCAATAGTTAGGCCGATGTACCCAAGAGTGACCGCCTGGAAAAGTCTGAAACGCATGATGATGGGTGACCGTGCTTAAAAAGAGGAGATCAGAAATGGGTACTCTTGGTGGAAATTCTGTCAGTTCTTTGTGGCGAGAAGCCGTTCTTTAAATATTTTGAATCAGGTTTCTTCATTGTAGGGCCAGATAGAGACTCTTCGCGTCTAGTTACCTCATGATACGCTATATCCGATGGTCCTGGCTTGCCCCCGTTCATCCTGCATCTTGCTAGCTACTACACAATGACCCACTATAGAGTAGTAAATACGGTAGGTTTTACTTGAGAATCTCCAGTTTCGGTTGGGTTTAGAGTAACTCGGCTCCACTTCCTACGGCACTCTTCCTTTCCGAGTTGTGTTCCGCTCTATTCATGACAGTCTAAGACCAATCAAAGATTCTTCCACTGTCATAGAGATCCCCATCTTCAACATTCGACGGTTATCTCTTTGCAGAGATTATTATGTAAAAGAATAGATCTTCCTAGACAGAAGGCTGGGGTGTTTCCCAGATCGTTGCATCCAAACTGAAAGCTGCATGGTTGACAGAGAAGCGAGTTTAGCTACGCTAGCCTGTTATAGCTACGATATCCCGGTAGCCAATTAGAGAGTCTCTCTGTATGTGAACAGAGTGGATTTCGATCGCAATTGTCAGCAAACAAGGCGGATGCGGGGAAATAAGAGTAAAAGATAAGGTAGTCAAGCTCGAGTTTGATGCCACCGCTTGAGTCATTTACAAGGATACCTTTTGGTTTACCAAGAGAATATCATACCTTATCTCATTGAATCTTATGGATCTATAGGAAAAGAAGCCGATAAGTCGGTTTTTAGGCAAGCTCATTGCTAACACTATTCTCTCTTATCGAATTCTCTCCACCCTCCGCTTCATATCGCCATACCCTCGGAATTCCCCACGCCCGAGATGTAAGTTCCGGGGGATAGGAAGGAGAAGCCTTCAAGAATGTTATGCCAGGCAGAGTTCGATCCTTTCTTCCCAGCAAAACTGGACCCATTCCATGTTCTGCCCCCCAAACATCCTTCTTCCATCGCGGTTTCTACTTTCAGCTGGCCAAACTCGCTGCTGTAGTGCTTTGATTACTTCAAGAATATTCGGGAAGTGCTGTTTTTCATATAGATAACCGAGAGAGGAAGCCACGGCTGCTCGCAACGGGCTCCCACCCTCACTTTCGCACCCCAGTACGAACATAGGCCACAGAATCATTGTGATTGCGCTGCTTGTAATGGGCACGCGGAAACAGGTGGTGGAAAGCTCCGCTATAGCTTGTGATATATCATAGTCATCCAAGCGTGCTGTAGAAATGCTTTGGATTCCACGGTATAGAAAGATGCTGGTCGCCAAGCAATGCGCATGAGCAACATCGATACAGGCGTTATAATTTTGAGACTCGTGATCTGTGGAGTCTGGGTGATAGTACGGCTGGTGAATCCTTGATGGGAGGCTATCCACGGCATCCCTTAGCCGTCTAAACAATTCCGTCCGACGGTGGTGAATATCTTCTACCTCCAAGTCGCCCTTAAAGGATGCTTCTACCAAGACAGCTGCGTCCCCCGTTATCAAAAGACTTGTGGAAGCGAATCCTAAAACAAGGTCTGGGTCGGGCTTGAAGTGCTTATGCGGTGGCGATATGTAATGGTCCCAGAAAGGCTGGTCTGTGATAGGTTTCCTTGCGCAAGGCACCGAGCACATAACGTCGAAATAGGCCATCATCTTGATATGAAGAGCAAGGGGCCGAGTAGCATATAAAATATTTCTGCTGGCGACTGTGGAGGGTGCCAAACTTCCACTAGATCGTTTCCATCTCAATTCAAGGAGAGCTCTGATTCCATTCAACAGCGGGAGCAAGACCTTCGGGCCGCCCACTATTTCTAAAGAAGCCAGTATCATAGATGCCGCAATTTTACTATCGATATGAGAATGCTCTTTTTGATGAACACGAAGCGAGTCATTCATGATGCCGAGGGCTTTGCTTTTACGCTCGAGAACTTCCACCTGGGTGATTGCACCCGAAGCAGCCATGTGTGCTGCGGAAAATGCCAACACGATCGGGAGGAGTACCGAATCTCGATCCCACACGAGAGAGAGGTGTTCCGGCAATATGGTTTGGTACTGCTGTGGGCAAGGGTAGGCCAGGCCTGGCAGCACCGTGGCCCAATGGATAAAGATGGGTAGGTCTGATGGTGAATCAAACTGTGGACCAACTTTGGGAGGAGGCACGAGCCGCAGCGAGTTCGGGCCCCGGACAGTGATACCAGCCCTTGAGTCTCCCTCCGGAGCCACACACATCGAACCGTTGCTGCCGGGCGTTGATGCGGTGCGTGGAGACGTCCACTTCAAGGGGTGAGCATATCCACCACAAACAACGTGCCTCTGACGGCATTGTGAACAGATGGGCCGTGATTCATCACACTTGAGACGGGATTCCCGACATGTCAGACAGCCTGCTCGTCAAGATTCCGATTGGTCAGCCCATGAATATCTCCCGCAGTGGGCCAAGTGGAATGCTGCAGGTGACATATATGATCTCACCTTTTCTAGAACGGCGATGATATCCCTGGGCAGGCATCGTAGACTAGACTTGTCGACATGTATTGCTTCCAACGGGCACATGACATTGGGCCGACATCAGCCGCCTATATGAGAATGGTAATGATACCCTGGGGACAGCGGCAGTGCATATAGCCGCCACCTGGGTGTCATCGCACTTTAGATCTAGAGCTTATCTCTTGGTCAAACCTATCGATGTTCTGGCCCTTATCACCACTTAGTCATGGATTCCCAGGTTCCGGGGACCCTATCGCCCATCGGTGACAAGTCCGTTGGACCGTTGGTGGGTCATTCGAATAGGAACTACTAATTTCTATTCGCCTATTCCACACGCAGCGTGGGGAAAATGGGTGTCGGCAATTCGCGGGAGCTTGCACTGGTTTTGTTATCTTTCTGTCTGTGTCCTTGTTAAGCCAGACTCGGCCTGGCTCGTGATAGCCTCAAGCTTATTTATGTAAAACGCCCCGTTTATGGCCAGTTCGAGCTGCCAAGCTGAACCCATGACAAGAGGTCACTCGTCACTGAGGCGAAGCATTGGACTACTAAAATCATTTAGCTATGATATCGTCATCGCCGATATTCTAGAGGTCACTCTCCCAGGAACTTAGATTGGCTGGTGAGACAGAGAACAATTGTCGAGTAGGAACAGCATCACCTGTTTCTTACCGATACGCAATTTACAGTTAGCAGTCTTCCGGTGGGAGGATCAGAAAACGAGATCCAAGCATTCATAATTGCTCGACAGTCATTCACCGTTAGCGCAAGAATCCTCGATCTACAAAATACCGGCATCTTCTTATGCCTCAAACAGGGACAAAGGCAGCAGCCATCTAGAGGGAATCAAGCCGAAGCATCCATACTATATCTTATGCAAGTGCAGGTATCGTGATACTAAATTATTTGTTGTTTCCGGCTATACGTTAGTCGACCTAGGCAACCCATTACGGCGCCGGCCGGGTTGTGGCCACATCGAGCGTAACACGTCTGCTTTTGATCAAGGGAATTAAGATGGTCGGTTTTTCTTCTGTCTCCGCGCGTCTCTCACGCCCTGCAATTGGCCAATTACGTCGTTTTCCCATGCTGGCGAGGCGTATTAGCCTCCCTGGAGATCATAGCGTTCTAATAAGAGCCAATGACAAAGGCGAATGGATGTCTCACTTCATCTCCCTGAAGTCGGGAAAAAGCAAAACCTCTCTCCGCCTCACTCACGGATCACGGAAAGAATTAAACTGCTGACCAATTTGCTCCTTTGATAACATGTCTCGTAGCCACCCTTGATTTCCGGAGGGTTTTTTTCTCCCCGTGTCCCATCAGCTTTACCGAGACTTCAAAGCACTGACCCTTTGCTCATCAAGTCCCCGAATTATTTCTCCGTTGGCCACTTGTATTCAGAGCATGCCAGGAGCTGGGTGACGAGTCATTGTTGGTGCCATCTCATCCATTCCCGTCAAAGAGAGGTATACTACACCAAATGCTCAATTGGTAAGGAGGGATCGCGCCAGGTGTCCCCGAACACGGGTGAGAGTTCGAGTATAGAGTTAAAAACAGGTCCCCGAATACACCCCATCTCATGGCCCGCGGCACCTTGGTCCCGCCCAACTTCAGGGTCGACGTCCCGAGCGAGGACGAGCTCGTCGCCGTCGGCGTCGTATGGGGCCTCTCGCTGCCCCTCACCGTCTTCGGCATCTTCCGCTGCGTCCAGCAGACGTACAGCCAGTACAGGCGGACGAGGAGGGTCAACCTGTACATGTTCCTCATCTGGCTCGAGCTCATCTCGACGACCTTGATGGGGGGCACCGCTTGGGGATACGTGCGGGGGGTTATCCCACCCAGGTGTGTTGACCACAAAGCATAGAAAAGGATACGTCTGGTATTAACACGGTATGTGCAGCATGTGGTACTTTCTCGGGGCAGTCAGTAAGTCATCCCAGCCTCCACGAACAATCTCATCATCATGGCTTACGAATTCCAAGTCATCCTCTGGATCGTCCAGATCAACGCCATCCTCCAGATCATCCTCAACCGGATCAGCCTAATCTCCGACAACAAGCCACACGTCCGCCGGGTCCAGTGGTTCCTCTTCGGCTGCGTGCTGCTCCTCCAGGTCGCCGTCGCCTGCTTCTGGGTCCCCGCGCAGCTCCAGATCTCGGACCTGTACGTCGACATCAACCACGTCTTCGACCGCACGGAGAAGGTCGTGTTCGCCCTCATAGACCTGTGCCTCAACGTGTACTTCATCCACCTGGTGCGGTCGACCCTCATCGCCTACGGGCTGACCAAGTACGTCCTGCTGTATCGCGTGAACATAGCCATGATCCTCGTCTCCATGACCATGGACGTAAGTACTATTCCTACTCGCTGACTACACAAAACCTATTTACCTAACATAATATTCTCCTCAGGTCCTCATCATCGGCATGATGTCGCTGCCGAGCGCCTTCTTGTGAGACAGCCCTCATCCCTCCTGAAATCAAAGCTAACCGCCCACCCTCCAGATACGTGCTGTTCCATCCCCTAGCCTATCTCATCAAGCTCCACATCGAACTATCAATGGCGGAGCTCATCGCCAAGATCGTCAAGGCCTCGAGCAGGAGCCGGAGTTGCCTGTGCCCCTGCACCGAGGCCGACAACGACATCTTGGTCGCGCCCACCACCGGTCGCGTTTCAGAATGGGGTCCCTTCCGGCGCCTACGGGAGACCCGAGCGGTGGATCAGACTACGGCGACACGTACAGTAGTCAGAAATGGGAATCGAACTGGCTGAGGATGGTGGATTGGTTTCATATAATTTCTAACTTCAGGGGACATCTACCTCGACATCTAATCTTCTCATGTAGAATAAGCTAGAACTCTCCACCACAGCACACCGATTCTTTATAAGGGAGGAGTCACGGCATAGTTACTCAAACGAGAGCAAGCAAACTAAGCTCAATCAAATGAAAACTTCATAAAATAACATTGATTCATCAAGACGCTCTACAGCAGTCTGCGTAACAAGCTTATCTAACAAACCCAGCCCCGTGGGATATTTTAACATCTCATTCTTTCTTTCCTTTCGTTACTCCCATTCCAGTTTGGATCATTTCTCATTTTCCCAAATTACCATTTACAGACGGCTGAAGACGCCAATGTTGGCGGGGGCGGCGAGGTCGAACCGGTCGAGGTTCATGACCTTGGCCCAGGCGCCGACAAAGTCGTTGACCAGCTTCTGGTGGCCGCCGGCGCTGGCGTACACCTCGGCCAGGGCGCGGAGCTCGGGCTGCGAGCTGAAGATGAGGTCGAAGCGGGTGGCGGTCCACTTCTTGGCGCCCGACTTGCGGTCGGTGCCCACGAAGACGTCCTTGGAGTCGTCGGCGGCCTTCCACTCGGTGGACATGTCCAGCAGGTTGACGAAGAAGTCGTTGGTCAGGACACCGGGGCGGGTGGTGAGGATGCCGTGGGACGAGCCGTCAAAGTTGGTGCTGATGGCGCGGAGACCGCCGATGAGGACGGTCAGCTCCGGGGCGGAGAGCTTGAGGAGGTGGGCGCGGTCGACGAGGGTCTGCTCCTGCTTGACGCGGCCAGACGAGCTGCCGTAGTTGCGGAAGCCGTCGGCGATGGGCTGGAGGTAGTTGAAGGACTCGACGTCGGTCTGCTCCTGGGTGGCGTCGGCACGGCCAGGGATGAAGGGCACGACCAGATCGACACCAGCGGCGCTGGCAGCGCTCTCTACGGCGGCGGAACCGGCGAGGACGATGAGATCGGCCAGGGAGATGCGCTTACCGGTGGTCTGGGACTTGTTAAAGGAGGTCTGGATGCGCTCGAGGACGCTGAGGACCTCGGCCAATTGCTGGGGGTTGTTGACCTCCCAGTCCTTCTGGGGTGACAGGCGGACGTGGCCACCGTTGGCACCACCACGCTTGTCGCTGCCACGGAAAGTAGAGGCAGAAGCCCAGGCAGTAGAGACGAGCTTGGAGATGCTGAGACCCGAGTTGAGGACCTCGCGCTTGAGGCTCAGGATATCCCTCCCATCAACGAGCAGGTGGTTGATAGCAGGGATGGGGTCCTGCCAGATGAGCTCCTCCTCAGGAACCTCAGGGCCCAGGTAGAGGATGCGAGGACCCATGTCACGGTGGGTGAGCTTGAACCAGGCGCGGGCGAAGGCATCGTTGAACTGGTCTGGGTTCTTGAGGAAGCGGCGCGAGATCTTCTCGTACTCAGCATCGGCCCGGAGAGCGATGTCGGTCACCAACATTCTGGGGGGGTGCTTCTTGGACTTGTCGAAGGCGTCGGGGATGATGTTGTCGGCATTCTTTGCGACAAACTGTGGGGCGCCGCCAGGGCCCTCGACGAGCTCCCACTCGTAGCCGAACAGGTACTCGAAGAAGTTGTTGCTCCACCAGGTGGGAGTCTTGGTCCAGATAACCTCCAGACCAGATGTGATGGCATCGGCGCCCTTTCCGGACTTGTAGCTGTTCTTCCAGCCCAGACCGTTCTGCTCGATGGAAGCACCCTCGGGTTCGGGGCCGACATGGCTGTCGGGAGCGGCGCCGTGGGTCTTGCCAAGGGTGTGACCACCAGCAATCAGAGCGACGGTCTCCTCGTCGTTCATGGCCATGCGGCCGAACGCCTCGCGGATGTCGTGGGCGGCAGCGACGGGGTCGGCATTGGCGTTGGGCCCGCGGGGGTCGACGTAGATCAGGCCCATGTTGGTGGCTCCCAGGGGCTTTTCGAGGCTCTGGGCATGTGCCTTGCCGTACTTGGTCTCCAGCGAGGGGCCGGAGGCGAAGCGCTTGTCCCTGCCCTCGGGGAAGAAGCTGGTCTCGGAGCCCCAGTAGACGGACTCGTCGGCCTCCCAGGTGTCGGCGCGGCCGCCGGCGAAACCAAAGGTCTTGAAACCCATGGACTCGAGGGCGACGTTGCCGGCAAGGATCATCAGGTCGGCCCAGGAGATCTTGTTGCCATACTTTTGCTTGATGGGCCACAGCAGGCGGCGGGCCTTGTCGAGGTTGCCGTTATCGGGCCAGCTGGAGAGAGGGGCGAATCGTTGTTGACCCTGGCAAGAAAAAAAAGTTCCGGTTAGCCCTAGTTTCCAATTGAATCACATGCAAACCGAGGGATCGCGCTCTCTTACCTGGCCACCGCCGCCTCGGCCGTCGAAGACGCGGTAGGTACCAGCCGAGTGCCAGGCCATGCGGATGAAGAGACCGCCGTAGTGGCCGAAATCGGCTGGCCACCAATCCTGGGAGTCGGTCATCAGGGCCGTCAGGTCGGCCTTGAGGGCATTGTAGTCGAGGCTCTTGAACTCCTTGGCATAGTCAAAGTCGGCGCCGAAGGGATCCGAGGCAACTCCGTTCTGGCGCAGGATGTCGAGGCGGAGCTGCTCGGGCCACCAGTCGCGGTTCTTGGGGCCGCCGCCAGCGACGTTGGACTGGGCGTAGGGGCACTTGCTCTCACTCATGGTGACGAGGCTGGTGCTTATCGTGCGGTGTGGGGAGAGGAGAAGTCGTCGTGGTTCTGGTCTCCGGAGGTACGCTCTGGGTATCAATCGTCCAAAGAGAGGCATCGACAAAACAGAAAGCAGAGGAGGGGGGGGAGAACAGCGGTAACGGTGCAGCTGGCAGGTCGGCGGTCTTATACCGACGGCACGATTGCTTCGATTCAGGCTAGGGTGGGAGGGTGAGGGACGCAATTCAAAAGGGTAAGCAATGCCGATGGGAGAAAAGTCGGGGGCAGCATCGTCACTGGAGCAATCAACGTGTGTGCTGCCTTGACTCAGTCCAGGGGAGGCACAAGGTACCGGTACAAGCCCCGTCTGCCCCGCACTTGGAGGTTTCGCAGCGCGCCAGATGACAAAGCCCGCGAAGCTGTTGGCCGGACAGTGCCGAGGCAGTCTGGAGCCAGCGCTGGGCCATTCCCCATAGGGCCTGGACGCGAGAGGCCCACAGCAGCTTTGGCGGGTGAGGGCCCTGTTGTTGCCAGCCCAGGCGATCGCGGCAGGTACCGGTACGAGCTGGAGGTCAACGGTGACGGATTGCATCAACGACTTTGCCCAACCCCGAATCTCCGAGTTTGTCCTTTCCATGTTGGAAACACAGCCATCACACAGTGTACTGTCTCAATGGCCTACCACAACGCCTCCCTCCGGCTGCACTCGGATTGAAATTTTCTCGGCTCCCATCCAGCACAATCATCCCAGGTGCAAACGTCATATGAGATGACATAATCAAGAAACGGTGGAGGCAACGCGAAGCGACGCAAGAAGGTGGACCCACCTCTCCGCCATCTCCTGCCCACGGCCACTATTTTTGCCATTCCGGGCTTAGCCGCGATGCCTGCTTTCCCCGTTTCCAGCCTAGCCCCGTTTCTCAATTCCAAATTCCAAATTCCAAATTCTCTGGACCGCTCACTTTAACTCCCAAATCGGGGCATCGACGCCAGCCGAGAGATTTCAAATACCCTCGCCCTGAGTGAGTCTCCGGCCCCGCGGCCTCTTCTTCCTTTATGGGGTAGCCCGGCTTTCTCCGGATTTTCGGCAAGACAGGATAGGATAGGATAGAATAGTCATGTTTTTTCTAGTCGTTGATACGTATATGCTAGGTTAATGCTAATGTGGAAAATATGTCCATGGAAGTTTAGGTATGGGGTTATGCAGTGGTTTATCCCCCCCCACGTATACACAAGCTGAATCGACAACGCCCCGATGACAAACAGCCCGAAGAAAAAAAGAAGAAAGAGAAAAAAACGCCGTTACTCCGATCGTTGCATCTTGATATGTATCCCTTTTACTGGAGGAGCACCGTGTCCTCGTCCAGCACGCCATACAGCCCCTCAACCTCCCGCTCCATGACTCGCAGCTCGTCCGCCACCCGCCCCGTCACCAGGACGTAGGCGTACAGCAGCGCGTAGTCCCTCTCCTCGACCGTCGCCAGGCTGGCCGTGGAGGCGGCGTCGTCGCTGTTGCGGCTGCGCTGGGACTTGACCTCGATGTCGCGGATGCTGCCGGGCCTGCTGCTGGGGCCGCCGACCCCTGCCATTTCCGCCGAGTGTTTCTTTCGGAACTGGAACACCTTGGTGAGGAGGTTGTTCCGTAGCGCGATGATGTTCGGAACCGCGTTCGAGAGCGGGTACTCGAGCATGGACGAGCTGGCAATCACCTGGAAGATGTGGCACATGCGGTCGCACAGCACGGCACGCTCGGGGGCCGTGTACGCCAGCAGCGCCTTCTCGCCGGGCGTGAGGTGGCCGCTGCGATGCGTCACCAGCGCCATGGCGTAGAAGCCGTCCAGCACGCGGCGCATGCTCCTCATGATGCGCCCGTACGCCTCGAAGGGGAAGGGGCCCCGGAGCTCGAACTCATGCGACGCCGACTGCCGCAGGCTCTCCAGCCGGGCGGCGTACCTCGTCATCGCCTCCTGCTCGCCCGACCGCAGATAGCTACGCGTGGCCTCGCTGTCGAGCAGGATGGCGAGGGGGCCACGCCTCCAGATCAGCCCCATCTGGAGGCACAGCATCGAGAGGCCCTCCTTGAACTTCTTCCGCGCCGAGATGGGCCACATGACCCTGCAGATGAACAGACCCCACAGGATCCCGCACGTCACCGAGAGGCAGCGATGCTTGACAATCTCCAGCATGTCCGGGTCGATGCCGCCCTCGTCGTCGCCCTCCTCGACGTTGTCCAGCCCCGCGCTCAGGCTGTAGGCGTACAGAGTCGAGACGTTGTACGCGAGCTGGGTCATGCGACCAAGCGGCGCCTTGCCCGCGGCCACGATGAGGTAGAAATTCCGGAAACTCACGAGCCAGCCCAGGAACACCAGGATCACCGGGTTGCCCTGGCTGATGTTCCACGCCGCCAAAGAAAGCAGAGCACCGATAATCGTTCCGACAAATCGCGACGCGCCCGTAGTGTTGGAAGCGCCAACCGTCATGGAGCACACAATCATGAATGACAGCAGACCCCATTCGCCACGATAGTGGTGGTAGTATTCGCGCGTTCTCTCGAGGAACGCCAGCATGCCCCAAAGCGAGGCTCCTATGCCCACTTTCAGGCCGAATAGAACTGCTTCACGTTAGCAATGCGGGATACTTAACCAGCGACGAGGGAAATCGTCGATCCACTCAAGAAAGCACTCACTGTCGTCCCTTGCCAGCTTCCTCACAAAGCGTAGAGTCTTTTGCGAAACAATCGACAACAGCTTGCTCGCGCTGGGAGCGGCCTCCCAACTAAAGGTGTCCCTCCTGCGCACCATGGAGTCCGAGATTCCCCTCGGCGTAGCGTGTTTCCTAATCGGCTTGATGAGCCCTTCCTCCTCCAGCGAGGAGAGTCGCAGAGAGCTCAGGCTGCCCTTACGCCACCAGACCATCCACTCCCACGACAGCCTCCAGTGATCGCCCACGTAGCGCAGATCCTCCAGCGTCTCCAGGTGGACCTGGACATCCTCGGCAAATGCCTGCATGCTAGACGTGAAATGCCCGCAGGCTGCTGCGACCTGCTCGAGCTCGACCTGGTGCGCCGCCGAGTCTCGGGCTCGGAGTGCCGGGTGCTCGTACAGTTGCTCCAGCGCGTTGGTTCTTGCTATGCTGAAGACGGCGATGCTCTCGCTCAGCCGGCCGCTCGCGCGACTCTGCTCATTGCCATGGTCGAATTTCGACTCCCGGAGGATGTGGCAAATCTCGTCTGTGAGCGCGACCATTGGTTCCTTCAGCGATGTAATGAATAAAGTGAAAAAGTCAGGAGGGTTGAAGACCGGCTCCGTGTCGTCCCCGTCGTCGCTACTCTCGTTATTAAAATATATAGGTATGGTGGAAACAGGTGACATCGGTGATGGCGGAGGTCGAGAAGGTGCGCCATTGGGGCTGAGATAGTTCGGGTTGATTTGGTTAATTACCGTGTTGATCTGTCCGTAGATGTATGGGTTGTCGAGAAGAACAAACAGCGTGCTCGACGCACTCCTCAAAGCTCCGATGGACTGCGCTAATTTGTCCATCGATTTAACGAGCGCCCTCTCGGCGACGTAGATTGATTCGTGGCCAAGGAGGTAGTGCTCAAACTTGGCCTCCCTGAGATTCTTCATCATCTGAGGGTAATTCGTTCGGTACGCGGAGGATGATGCCGAGTACTCAGCAAGGGCCGGGTCGTCCTCGGTGCCAGTCATGAAGCCCCTGGTAATCATGGCCAGCATGTCTCCGAGGGAAGTGGATGCCTTGTCCATGGTCGTACGCAGCAGGGTCCGAGCAGAAACTCTCCAAATGAAGAGATTGACCATGGTGGTGGATGCGATGCCCATGAGGAGGATCAGGAGCACCTGGACAATCTTCTGGTTGGAGAAGACGTTGTCGATCACGGCCGTCTCCTTGGTCAGGACGCTGATGATGGCGAGAGACGCGAGGGTGCTTGCGACGTTGACCAGAGGGTTCTCCATCTTCTGCTTGACCCAGCCCATGAAGCCGAAGGCTCCGCCAAAGAACAAGACGACGACCAGGACGTGGGCCAAGGTGACCATCCCCCACACGGCACCAAAGAGCACCGAGGTTGCCATGGACAGCAGGCAGATGACCTCGGCATAGGCAATGGCCACGATGGCGATGATGACGGCCTCGATCATGGACCCAGTGGTCCGGGCGGGGTGGAAGTAGACGGTGATGGTGGCCACGACATGCTTGCCGCCGGGCTTGCCGAGCAGATGAGCGACGGGAGTCACAAAGGTGGCCAGACTGGCGATGGTGTAGGCCATGGTGCACTTGAGCACGCCGCGGCCCTGCGGTGAGTTGAACCAGTACAGCAGGCGCAAGGCGGTGTCCGAGACCTTGGCCCGGAACCGCTGCATCGCCGTGCCCGCCATCGCGGGGCGGTAGAGGCTGGGCGCTGCGGTTCTGTCGATGAGGCCCGGCCGGGAAAGTATGTCACTGCCAGCGACGGGTCCGGGGACGCAGATTGGTGATTGCTCTGGAAGTGGCCAGTGGTAGAGAGGGAGGCTGCCACAGATGGGATTTATGAGGTTGTTTGACGGCGCCAAGGCAGTGAGGGGGTGGAGCTTATGCCGTCTCTGGGGGAGGCCCAGGCGTGCTGTTAAAAATAGAGGTGGACATAAGACGGCCGGAGGAGGATGGAGAGCGCTGGGATACCTGATGAATGGTCTGAAGGCTTGGAGGTTTTGTTGACTCCTCTGCACTGTATGTGCCTCAGCTCGGCACTTCCCTGTCGAGCCCTGCCCTAATTGAACGCAATGGATGCGTCTTGCGATGAGGCAAGAGGGAAGAAGAGGCGGGCTGATGATGGCATGCGGCAATGGCGCCGTCAGGGCTCGTTAGTGTCCCGCTACAGCCGCCTCCCACAGCGAGTGATCAGTGGTCACAGGGCCTGGAGGGACCCCCACACCCGCTGCCACATGCTGCAGCTCGCCCGCCTGTCTCACACCAATGAATCAGGTGTGCGATAAGGGTAAGACACTGATCGGCTACGAAAATGACTGAAAGAGCCATTAGATGGATGCCCATGGACCATCTGTTGACTTCGCAGCCGCTGAGTGCGAGACCCAGGCAGCTTGCAAGGACGGGCGGCGGGCGGGCCCACACAGTGTATAAATTCTCCATCTCACCATGGACGCGTAGACTAGAAATAGGTAGGCAGCATCAAGCTTCCGAGCTTCAATGCAATCGGAAGAGCTACAGAAAGAAGCTCAGCCTTGTCTCTGCCATCTCAAAGACCAGCCACGCGTCCAGAAAGTTAATTTCAAGAAACACATGCTCCCAGCCTGCTACTATCTCTAAGTATGAGTACGCGCGCTGATGAAATCCAAAGACAGTGCACAAACCAGTTTTCGCCCACCAGGGGCAGTGAGAAATCCCGTCTGGTCTAGGAGCACCGATAATCCATCCGCGACTTTGATTCCCCGAGGGCGCCCACGGTGTCTGAATGTTGTGACCGAACGCGCGCCAAATATTAATAAGACGTGCTGTTCGTCCCAGTCTGGTCTGGTCACTGTCAAAAGTCCCAATTGATGCCTCAGCTTGCAAGGTAGCTACGAGCATGCATTCTGCTCAGCACGTAAGATGAGTGCTGACGCACAATATGGCTGCTTATTGATTTGACCAATCACAGTGATGATCTCGTACAATTTCTCCACCTCTTGCCCTAGTTTGGCTTAGCTCAAACCAAGTCGCCCAACTCAATCCCAGGCCAGTTTATTGTTCATTCTTAGCTTTGATGTTCTATCCAGTCGCAAAACACATCTCAGAATTAACTTTATACGCTATGTATTTTCAAAAGGGATATCAATGATCTTGTTGAACGAAAAAAAAAAATCAATACCGATATGCAATCGATACTTGCATCGTAAGACAAACCCCGTCCAAAATCCAAACTACGTGAATCGCGACGATTGTTTTTTTTGATATAGGGTAGGCAATGGCCCTGGACTCTCACCACATCAGCTGTAGCCACGACGTATGATCAGTCCTCTTTGTATCTTCCAGGCTCCAACTTCTTGATTTCGGAACTTGCCTCTAATTTAGGAGCGTATGAATGTTTAGTGATTATAATATTGAGCAAAGAATCCCGCGAAGGGCTGCTTTAGCCTTAGATTCACTACGTGGTCTGATGGTTGGCATGCAAGGCGGATTTGTGTGTTGGTCGAGCGAGCCCCTGAGCCACCATGACCATGCAGCCAACACCCAACAGCCATGAGAGTGGTCTGAGTAATAACCCACTCCATACTCACTCTTGCTTCCATCTCTTCCGCTCTCCTAGCTGTTTCCCTTACGTTAGTCTTTGTGTGTTGCTGTCAGCATGACTCTCAATAATCTCCCACCAGAACTTCAATCCAAGATTTGCTCTTATCTTGTCAAATCAATCGGTCCTTCATCCATCCATGCCTTACTCAGAACATGCAAACAATTATACGATGTTGCTCTCCCTTTCTCTGTCCAAATATTTCGAAATACAGCCCCTATACACATTGGTAGGGGTCCTTGCTCCGACACTCGCAATGTGCAATTTCTACGCTATATTCTCATCTCCAAGCCCGAGCTAGCCAACAAGGTTGACACAGCTATCCTGGGTGGCTTCACGACAACCAGGGAGACAGTGACAACACCAACCGCGGCCACCAGCACCAAAGAGGAACTCGCCATATATCAAGAGTTCATTATCAATGCCTTGGGTCCTCAACTGAGTGAAGCTGACTTGGCACGAAGGGACAGCTGGATCGCTCATCTGAAAGAGCAGTCTTCTGATGCGCAAATTTCCTTGATTCTGCTCGCATGTTCAGGTGTACGGCGACTCTACTTTGAAGATTATCAAGAAGGATCATCCCAGAACCAACTGTTCAAAAAGCCGGACTGTTTCATATTCTTGCTTGAGATGGCCAAGACCTTGTCAACATCCAGAACCCCTGGCTTCAACGCTCCGTTGCGGAATCTTCGTCATGTCCAAGCCCAATCTCACGAGGACAACGACTGTGGCTGGGAACAGGCTTTCAGACTCATGGCGCTGCCCCAGCTGAAATCCTATGAATCCCTCGACACAACCAGGCGTGGCAATTTCGCAGGAGACTCAACTATTCTACCCCTCATCACCACACCCCAGTCCTCTTCCGTGCGACACATCTCTCTCCACCAGTCCCTCGCGCCCGCGGCAGAGGTTCAGGCTTTATTAAGAGTATGCAGGCATTTGGAGAAATTCGAGTACATCAGCCCGACTTTTGAATCGATATCTGGTATCTTTGCCCGGGATATCATGGAAGCCGTACTCCCCCACGCTGGCACTCTCCATCATTTGCACATAAATTTCTCCGATGAATGCAAGAAGATTGGGTGGGAGGACAACCCCCAGCGGCTATATCTGGGGACCGAGCTTGCCCAAATGACGGCGCTGAGGCACCTCAGCATTGGGATGCAGGCTCTCACAGGGGAGTTTGACGCAGCGCCTACTGACGAGCAAGACACGCCGTCACGGATAGAAGGGGCCCCTCGGCTCATCGAATGCCTCCCAGAGAGCTTGGTAGAACTCTCTATTCGTGATTGCGGCAAGGCAATACTCGATCAGGCCAAGGAGCTGATGGATACAATCGAGAAAGGAGAGCGCTTCAATAATCTGAGACGCATCGTGCTGGTGTTCAAAGCCGAAGTAGTCAACGTCAGAGACATCCGGCAAGTCATACCTGACACAGGCAAAGAAGCGAGGCGTTGTGATCTTTGGGTGGCTTTCCAGCATCGCGAAGCGCGGTGGGTGAGCTCAGGAAGAGGACATACTTTTGAGGGGATTCGCGCCATCCCGAGCCTCTGTTCTCGAATATTCGCGGATGATCTCCGCAAGGACTGGATTGATTTTCGAGGAGCGCTTGCCCAGAAACTATATACCAAAGCCTTTTCGCCAGGCTCGCCTGCTCATGGAGTGGATGCGGATGAGAGAATGAATAGGCTCTTACTTCTTAAGCCACCGCACGAGTACCAGCTCGACGATTAACTGGGAAAGGCTGAGGGCGGTGCCATATTGTTGGCGTAACTATGCTGTGAGATGGCGGGATCGAAATGTTTGAGACCCTGGCCATGATGGCCAAGCTGAAAGTCTCTTGACATATGTCGATTTATTTGATATGCGAGCGAGCAATTGATAATTTCCGCAACTCAAAACCACATCAGACTAGACACCATGCGTATAACTCATGATTTGTTATATGTATTTATGACGAGGAGACTGTCTATTTTAGGAGTAGGAAACACGTGTAGAAAATAAATTACCTAGATGTGTATAAGTCTATGAAGAATATTTACGGAAACTCCTCCCTCAACCTGGCAATCGTAGTCACCATGTTATTGCCAGAGGCCCATCTTCCCCATCCGCCCTTTTGCCCCCCCTGATACCAAGAAACGACAGTCGAGGCAACCCCCCAGATATAAGCCGAGCCATCTTCCAGAGCCTCGAAAAGAGGGCCGCCCGACTGGCCACCAGCCAAATCAGACTCATCCGTATACATGGGGCCCAGCGCATCACAGTCCCACCTCTTCTCCGACATGACGAGGTTGCTCAGCCGATAAGGCCTCTTGCCCTTGCCAAGGTCCCCTGGATATCCCACATGGTCAAAGACCGTCTTGTCGGCGACGGAACGCTCGGCGACTTTGGCGCCGAAGTAGCCAACCTCGTCGCCGAGACGCTTCTCGAGGATCAGCACGGCCCAGTCCTCCTTTGCGTCGCAGATCCCGTCGCCGATCTTGGTGCTCACAAACGCATGCGTGGCCTGGGATGAGTTGAAAACGTCTGCGTTGTCGTATCCAGGGCGGAAGGTGACGGTGCGGTTGTTCAGGATGCAGTGTTTGGCAGTCAATACGTGGCGGGGGCCGACCAGAGCGCCGCTGCACATGTGGCCCGTGTTCCAGCTAATCTTGCCCACGGCAGACCACGGAGCGGAACGGTTGTTGTACAGGAATCGGTTGTCCTCGCCGAAAATGCGTCCCTCGAGATGTACGACTTCTCCTTCCATGCCTCGCTTCTTGTTATTCCTCTTGTTGCGCTTTGTGTTTCGTTTCCTACTGCAGCTGGGTTTGGTGGGCTGTGGTGAGGATGTTGAGCTGGTTGAATGTGGCGATGTGGCTGGAAGTGATGGCGTTGTCGCTGGGGTCGAGGTGGATGGTGTGACAAAACTGGACGGTGGGATAGAAGCAGAAGGAGTAATAGAAGCAGAAGGAGTAACAGAAGTAGAAGGAGTAACAGAAGCAGAAGGAGTAACAGAAGCAGAAGGAGTAATAGAAGCAGAAGGAGTAACAGAAACAGACGGAGTGACGGAAGCAGATGGCTTTGATTCAGATGGTGTGTTCGACAGAGATGATGTTGGAGAGACAGAGGGCGTGGGTGATGGTGTCTGCGTTGGCAAAAGAGAAGAGGCAAATGGAGTTGAGAACTGAGAGCTACTCGAAAGCTCTATGGAAGAAGATGAAAGTGAGAGCGTGCTGGAAGGCAAGACACCAGTCGAAATAGCGAAACTAGATGAAAGAATAGAGCTGCTGGAAGACCCTATTTTGGTTTTGGGTACGAAGGGCTCGACCGCAGGGAACGGTCCATCCAAGGGCGCATCATTGCTCAGAGTTATCACCTGTACTATGATGGAGCTTGCAGCACGGGCTTCGAGAACTGGGTTCACCTGTGCTACTGGAACTGCACTGACCCTGCAGAGGAGAAAGGCATAAGTGAAGGTTGAGAAACGAATGTGTACCATGATGAATGAAAGTTTTTTTCGTCTGAATGAATGACTTTAGTGAGAATTACTCTGATTACTATGACCAGCAAGACCAAAAGTTAGCTGTGTGCTAGTGAGAGGCATTCGGATTCCTTTATACTGGCGAGGTCCTGTGAAATTGAATAAAATGGCGATATATTTGGGAACTTTAGCCAAAGGAAGGATGTGTGTTGGCCCCGGAGTACAGAAAAGGCAACTGCCGAGTGCGACTTTGGTATAGGCTCGATGGAGCTGTAGCAAATTAATGAAGACTGCGGGAACTTTGAAGCTTATATTGAATCCTTGAAATCTAAACGAGTTAAGTCTGGTTCTGTCAGTATCTTGGCAAAATCAAGACAATGGAACGCTCGGCCCAAAAGATATGTCTGTTTGGTCTCCAGGAAGCTTGGGTTGTCTGGCATCAGAAATCGATATCAAATTAGATCATCAGAGTGGGATCTAGTAAGCTATCTAAGACCTGCTTTTTCGCAGAGCTCATCGTGCGCAAGTCTGAAACTCTGGTCGTAGGCAAAGCACGGCGAAAGAATCGAGCACTTATTGTGTACGATTAATCACGATGGATAATCAAACCTCGCTATTTTTATCGCATGCGCCATAGGAGGCGGGGGAGCAGACTCTTTCAAAAGACCCAATCCTACATAAAAGCCAAGAATTCAATACATAACAAATATCTTGCCAAAGTACTCTGGTGGTTGCACTTTCAATTGGCAACATACCTCCACCAGGAGGAACTATGGTCAATCATTTCGGTGATACGGATTCACTTCATTACCCATCAACTTGATATCCACACCAAGAAGAGGAGAGAGCCTCTCGACCTCGAGCAGAAAATGAGAATAATCATCCTCCACTACGCGAATAAACCAGCCTATTTGTCGCAGTCGCGGAAACTTCGTGGGGCAGCTCTCAGCCAGCAAAAATATCAGGCTCTGAAAAGTGTGCTCTGGTACCCATTGGCGTATTCCTTTCGCCCAAGCCTTTGTATCTTTTCCCCAACCCGTCATATCAGGCCTGGCCCGATTCCATATGAATGCCTCGTCTTCCATCATGCCGTGCGTTAGATAAAGGGTCTCGACTGAAGGAGGGATACCACGATCCAGGGGGGTATAATCGGGCCCAAAACCAGACAAGGCTGCAAAGGGAACATGTAGCTCCTTGATCCGATCGAATTTGACTAGATTATTGAAAGACCCGGAGACATTCATTTGTGGCCATGTATGCTTTAGACCGAAACCAACTCGGAACTGGATATGTAGTTTCTCTAACGTACGTTTGGTGGGAGAAATAGCGGTCATTATCTCATCTAGGTCTAGATTTGGGACCTTCCAGTCGTCGCTATGAACAGCGTCAATATAATCCCAAGAGTAGGTGAGTGATCGAAGATTACGCGTCAAGGAGAGTATCCTAGGTAGAAGTCCAGGGTCAAGCCATTCAATATCCAGTGAGGTTAGGTGATCGAGGTTTGGCTCTCCCTCTAGCCATTGAAACTTCGAAGGGTTTGCGAGCCAAAGTTTGACATCTACAAGATTTGGTAGATAGAGGGCAGAGACAGCTTCCTTAAATTGACCATTGTGATCTTGCTGATCTGGATCAAGACGTCTAACATAGGCTAGCCGCTGTAGCTGCGTAAACTTGGGGATCTGATCGGGGAAGGCCTCCTGTTGGAGAGCCTGAGAATGGGAATGAAGGGGCTCGAGTTGGAGAGCCTTGGATTGGAGGACTTTACCAACAAGCGTAAAGTCCTCGACGAAATTGGTTGTAACCGTAAGACTCCTCGTATTGGAGAGGTAGGCGATGAGGAGTCCAGCGAATGCGTCCACGTGACCGGCCTCCAGCTTCTCCACCCAGACATCGGTGTAGGGTGCTTTGGTTTTCTTAATGGCAGAAATGAATCGAGAAAGGGAAAGATTGCTTGGAATCTCTAGCCGCAACCAGTCTTGTCCCACGGGAACGCGTTCACCTCGGGCAGCTCTATGCCGAAAGGCATATCCCATCAAGCAAACGGTATCCACAAGGGCAAAGAGCTCTGGTCTGGAGAGAAGAGTCCGAAGAAGGAAAATGATTCGCGGCTTCGTATGATTGGACCATGCGAACTTGATGGTGGAATAAAGACGAGGCTCGGCATGGTAACGAATGGAATGACTGGTGAGGCATAGACGTGCGAGATCAGCCCTGGGGAGTAAGCTGACGATCTGTTGGATGATTTCGGTTGGAACATCGAGGAGGAGCGCCATAATTAGCTTGGATTTGAGAAAAGGCCCCTCTCACTGACACGTTGCCGACCTTGTACGCGATGTGCACGAACGGAGGCACAGCCGTGGAGTGATCTGGAGGAGAGGGGGAAGAGTCAAGGCGGGGGATGAGATCATGGATTGTATTTTTAGATTTTGTGGGCCTTTGACGGCACGCACCAAACAAAATGCAAGTTGGTTTGACATGGGTAAGACGCGTTGGTGGAGAGACGCGTTTGTGATCGACCGCTAGATGACGTTAAAGTGGCTGGTGGAGAAATCTGCGACAGCATTTTAATCTCGAACGTCTAGATAGCTTCAAACAGATTCAAAACGGCCAAGCCATTAGGGTGCGATGATGATGTTTTTCCGTTATGTCTGTTAGAAGAATGGGAAGCGGCAGTCTCGATATGTTGTTGATGTCGCGATAATTCATTTCGTTAATGTTGCGATAATTCATGCTGAAATGGTGGGGCCAAAGTGTGAATTCATACGGGGTTCACCAGAGGAAGAAGTGATGAAATGCCTCACATAAACGTAGCTGCAAATTGCTCCACCAAGGAATGCTCCAGAATTAATACTGGGCCCCTGTCGCACAAGGGATCAAGGAGCATGGATGTGGTGTGGGGTTGACACTCGCTCAGCGCGCGGCGCGATATCGCCAGGTGCCTCACTCCACGCCAGTGTGCTATATACCAAAACACCGGAGATGCATTTCAACAATTGGGGAGTGTGGTCTAGTTGGCAAGACGTGATTTGACTCCAGCCTCGACCCAGATTTGCCGAAAGGGGATCAACCTGCTAAAGCGGAAGGCGGTACAGCGCCTGGCGATGCATGGCAGCCCGCCTATCTGTACCTGGTGCAAAGTAGGGCACCGGGGCACTGAGCGTGAATCAAGACGGGGGTTCGAGTCCCCTCCTCTCCATTCTTTTTTTTTCTTTTTGCAAGTTTCAAATTCAAATCGTTGCCAAGTTGTGTGCCCAGCCAAGACGAGTCTGGCTGACAAGCGCAACTCGGATAGAACAGGGAAGCTGCCCCCTAAATGCCGTGGACTTAATCGCAGTGCTGAAGCGGAGATTTAATTTGATTTACTTCTATTCTAACTTTTCGGAACTGGCTGCGTAGGTTTCTGTTGCTTCACCAAGTATTCTGCCCACCCCGGCCCGGTATCCCCTCTTGCATCGAATCATCATGAGGAACTCTGCGCTACCGCACTATTAGGGGTGGCCTTGTAGACTTGAGCTGCAACAACTGCCAATAACTGACCTATTTGAGGCTTTGATGGCGTATTTCCAAGGCACGGCGACACGTTGGTGACCACAAGGTGCTCGTGAAGTTCTACACCGTACGTACAAATAGGCTTATTTTTAGGTCTGTTCCCAGTTTTACCCGCCGCCATCACCAAGCCACAACATAGCGATGACTCTCATTGGATTAGCTGCATTTTGGACCAATTAAGATTGCCAGCATTATAACGAATAAATACACTTTGTAAGAATAGCAGATCTTCTCCTGTCTTAGACTCCTCCGGCGCCCCCGGTTCCGTTCGACTCTTCGTGTTTGTCTGAAAACATACTCCCTGCCTCGCTTTCTTCAGGGCCCTTTCCTTTGGATCTATTCTGGACAAGGGCTTGCGACTCCTTCTCCTTTTCAGTCTCCTCAAAACTGGGAGGTGATTCCATATCGTCCTCTAACCCCGCAAATGGGTTGCTCGGGAGCTCTCCTGGTGATCCTGGCTGACAGCATTTATCTCTGTCTATGCTTTCCGGCATAACCATGACAGGCTGCTCGTCCTGGATTTTTATACACTCCTTCTCCATGACCCATCGCATTTCATAGGACAATTTGTGGGTATGTTTCATATTGTACGTGACAAAATTGGGCACAAGATGCTCCGGGTCCACGAGCCGAAGGTCTATTGCTTTGCCGATATCCTTAGGCTCCTCATCAGCGAAGCATCGAATTTCGACAAGGGGCTCCGAGTGGCATGCAAAACCGTGTATCAAGGTATATTTCTCAGACCCCGGGAAGGGAGGACCAAATTCACCCGGGATTTCGCAGATTGATTTCAGTACAGCCCAAAACCGGACCAACCTCGCCGTTTGTGGCACGTTCTCGAGAACTCCAGAAGACTTGTACCAGTTGGGAATGGCTTTGATGGTTAGAGAGATTGGATCTGGGTGATTGAGCTGAATGACGCTTGGCATCTCGATGACAATCTGCAGAGCCAAGCGAGGGACAGATGAGGTGTGAAAGAATTTCTTGACCTGTTGCCCCAGAGTCAATGGAGCACCATGCATGCCCGGAACGAGGCGCTGGGAATGAACAGTGCGTTTGAAATCGTGAAGCTTCAGCTGACAGTCTGCTATGGGAGGACTCAGATCCGCCAATCGTAGAAGGAGGGGATAATGACAGCGGACGACATCCTTGACCCCTTTCCTTTCGTAGAAAAGCTTGGCCTCGAGAAAATAGTCCACGGATGCAGAGAGATATGTCGATCTACTCCGGCATGTTGGCGGAAGAGGATGCCCACTGATTGATTCTTGATCAATAGGCAAGAAAAGTGGCATCGAATTAGACGCCTCGGCGTCACACATCTATAGCTGGGGTTCTTTGGAAGTCTGATGTTGAAGGGCCATTCGTGGCGACAGATTGCGTCGGGGGGGATATGAACCGCTCCCCTGAAGAGTGTTTTTGACGAGGCGAGAAGCATGATTACGTGGTTCAGGTTATCGTTTACCTGGGTAGCGAGACAGCCAAACAGATTGATGGTGAGAGATGCCTCGGGGCTGATAATGGCGGTCTGTCGATATATTCGCCCAACAATGGAATCGCCAGGGTGGAAGAAGACTGGGGCATTATGGAGCTCAATGCCCAGGTTGGGGCTCGAAGTCGCTTCCCTCGTGGCTTCGCGAAGCATCTTGTCGTCGAGGGCGCTGGGTCTTGGTAGCTTGTCTGCGTCGGTCTATCGATGGAAGCGTTTGAAATATCCACGTCGCTGGTGGTATCGCGGGTGGATGTCGACTGTCACTTCATCTCGAGATTGACGTGCAGAGATTGTGCACGATGGAGTTTCAATGGAAGAGGGGAAAAGAAAATGGAAATTCTGGACGATGAGGAGGACCACAAAAGGAGCAGGAAGCTCGTTGGAAGGAAGGAGACGAAGTGCTCCTGCCTGGTTCTTGCCATAGTCAAGCCACACCAAGCAGAAAGCTCGTGGATTCTTGCATAACCTAGACCTAGAGATTGAATGGAATTTGATAGTAAGAAGATTTCGCTGGAGAAATAAGAAATTTAGTGTTTGTTCTACCGAAAATAATATCGGTGGAGAGTGTTGCAGAAGCAGATAGGAAATCACAGTGGTCAACTAGCCCTGCCTCGGTTCATGTATAGCTCTTTTTCGACAAGAGGAATAAATCATCTTGTATCTTCGCCTTCTCTAATCTCCTCCGCCTCCTCCGCCTCCTCCACCTCCTCCACCGCAGCCACCGCTACTGCCTCCATCGCCGCTGCTGCTACCCCCGCCGCTGGAGCTCCCGCAGCCTCCAGGACCACCGCAGGCTCCCGAAGCAACCCCTCCGCCACAAGTCCCTGATGCACAAGCTCCCGGGCAACCGGACCCTTCACATGGAACGGAGTGGGGGTCATAGCCAGGATACAGCCCCGGTGTATAGTACGGAGGGTATACGTATGGCCCATACACTAGTAATTATTAGCTTTCATGGCAAATAATCGAGGGAATACAAGGGATAGATACGTACTGTAGTATGGATATCCCCAGTGGCTGTAATATTCGTCCCTCGGAGGCAGTGTACGCCCCTTCTTGCCTGCCCGCTTGCACGCCTTTTGATAGTTGTCCTCGAGACGACGCTGGTACGCGCGGCGGGCCGTATCGCTAAAACTCTTGGAAATGATCATCTTCGCGTTGCCTGGGTCAGTGAGCTTATAGGATACAGCGTTGTGCGCAGAGATGTGCGCCGAGTTGTTCGGGGGACACAGCTGGGCTGCCCCTGACTCATGAAATTGATTAGCGACTGCAAAGAGTTAGCAAGAACGGAACAAGTACTGAGATCAAAGATTAGGTCAAAGGCTGGGCTTCATATTTACTTGTGTCATTGGTGGAAAGACCCAGTGCTTTGCCGAGGGACGAGATGTGTGATGAGCGGACCGTCTCACAATACCAGCATGTGCATTCAGAATACACCTCATGGTACGTCTGCTGGTAGGTTTTGCTCGTCCACTCAAAAGCTCGACTCAGCTTGTCATCACTGATCTTATCATCATGGTCAATGAATTTGGCGTCTTCACTTGCAGATGTTACGGCTGTATAATATGCTGATGGGGAGAGTTGATGTGTGTGCCAGGCCTAATGAGAAGTGTCAGCAAGACTGGATGGAGCTCTGGCAGGATTTCTTTTTCGGAATGCTCACCAGATCAACGTCGAGTGTTGGCACGCATAGTTGAGTAGGGTTATCCTCCATGATCGCCAAAAACCTCTTGTACTTTCCACAGATTCGGGTCATTGTCTGAGGCGCAACAGGAGAGTGTAGCCAATCCAAATGGTACATTTTCTCAACGAAAACGCCCTGCCGCATTACAGCACCGCATAGATCCAGTGCGAAGGTTGAAAAGTTGTCCCAGTATCGGCTCATCATTTTGCGGATCGCTACTCCAGCTACTGGTGGGAATGTTGCTCTGCCAATCCTGTGGCTACTTGGCACTCTTGCGACTAGTTGGTCTAATTTTCCGGAGTCTGTAAGCGTGGCCTCAATTGTTCGCCGGATATCCTCCATTGTTGGAGGTTGGAAGCCTGGATGTTGAGATTGGGTCCTCAGGTCGTGGAGCTGAAATGACAGAACCTGCTGGATGAGTCTGTTTGGAAGGCGCAGGGGATCCTGGAGCTTTGCGAATGCGTATTCTGTTGATCGGCTCTTATACGACTTGGGTTTCCCACTCTGAGGCTCAAGTACCGTACCCGGCATCGGGACGCCTTTTCTTAGCAATTTCTTCATGTCAGTGTCAAATTTAGCGAGACTGAGCAGCTCTTTTGTTAAATTGGTTCCACAGCCATAGCAGGCATATTGGAACTCGCCGTCACCGTACCCGGAGCCTATCAGGCTAGGTATGTTGGCTTCATCCGCTCGCTCATCTGCGCCACAGGTGGTCCAGGCTATAAGGTGTTGTTTTGTGCAAATGGGGCAATTAACAGCCTTTTGCGTCCTGCCTTCGGTGTTTTCCCATGAATGATCCGTATTCGCAACCCACACAGCCTTGATATCGTCGGAGACGCTGTAGGCGAAGCTGGAGTCGATGGCATTGTTGATGAGTGTCCAGGGCATTCCATGCCACCAAAGTTGTCTGAGCCCTGCCCGCAAGCAATCTTCAAGATATGCCCTGGGGTTGAGCATGTGTGAGTGCCAAACCATAAGTACGTCTATACATCGGTGGTTAGGAACCCTCTTGTCGTTCAGGGATGGTTCAACGAGTATGCTGATCATACGTACCAAGGGGTGGCAGCTGCCCGCTCGACCAGAGATTTCCATTTCCGCCAGTGCTGGGGAACTCATCATAGGCGAGGCAGCCGTCGTTTTCCATATCTTGTTCTTGCAACGGGTTCTCATCGCTCATGGATTTCCACCAGCTTTCGTAACGATCGACTGCGCGGGCTACGAAAACAGCCCATCTTTTTTCCCTTACCTTGCTTAGAGCCTCTTGTTGTGCATTGTGATCATTTGGAACTCCATCCTTGGTTGGCTCGGGCGCTTTGATAATCTCATCGGGGCGTAGGATGTCGCGTTTCCCTTGGGCACGAGTATCCCAGAGCCCCCAAAGCCCGTCAGTATATCCTATGTCCTCCTTAAGGACTTGGAACGCGTATAGGAGCTTGAGATGTGCCAAGCATGAATCTGAAGTAGGGTCGTGTGGTCCTGAAGCGAGGCTCAAGTTGGCGAAAGAGGCGGAGATATCAATCGCTGGATGGGCATCCGCGTTTGCATTGCCATATGACGGTGGAGCTGCCTGGCCTATCGGCTTGTCGCGCCCGCCAAGAGGGTCCATCGGTCGTGTCTGATTTTGATGAACAGGTTGTTTTTCGAGGTAGTAACGTATGTCGTTTTATGAGGGCGACTGCAACTAGGTGAGGTCTTTTCTGACCTTCGGCTTGCTCTGAGATTGAGCACTTGATGTAAAAGTACACGCTTGTAAAAAAGTTAGTTTATAACAGATAAAGCTAACTGAAGAAATGGAAGCTTTATGAAAGGTATCAGACAGTGGCGCATCCAATGAACGTTACCGCGCCTTGGTAATATGACGGCGGCTGTGTTGACATAGCTGCCCGGCTTATCACGGACCCTTGGGGGCGGGCTGACTTGTGCTCGTGTGAGTGGTGCCTAGGGTGAACGTGGCTCCAGCAGATGCTCTGATGGGCCCAGCTTTGGCCATCGACAGGGTCTCGTTGGGCTGACCTGCTACGACCCTGGATCCTGTTCTGGTAAAATATTGACCGAAGGAGGAATTCCATCGCCCGAAACAATATGAGATGGAAAAAGAATATTAGGTGTGCTTTCGGAAGGAATCGGCGGGAGAAGGCACGGGACTCTAAGGTTGATAAGGAAGCACATGTTACCAGACAGCTGCTTGACAGTAGAGTGAGATAGACTAATAGTCAATTTTCCTGTAACGTGATGGAGACCGTGGCTGACAGACGCGCCCAAGCAAAGCTCATCATCCACAAGCGTCTCAAAAAATCTTTAACTAAACACTTGCTTGCCAATGCCAATGAGTCAACTAAATTGTTTCGTTGAGTATCACTCGAGGGGTGAATTGTCCTTGAGAGGGCTAGATGACGTTCCAAATAAAATCGCATGCTAGTCACGCATTTCACAGAGAACTCTTAATTGTGGCTTGTGGACGTATCGTATTTGAGTACACGCCCTCGCAATAGTTGCCAACCCAACTTGGAGCTTCTCATGATATACGTAAATTCAAGTCAGACAGCAGTTACTCATATGCCCCGTGACCAAAGAGATGATACTTTCAAATCTTACATAGAGACTTTTCAGCTCTTTTCTCCTCGAGTCCTACCTAGTTGCATATCGACTGGAGCAAGAGGTGAGACAAGCTTCCAACAGGTAAAAATAGCACGTCAAGGTGCAATTTCTCGATGCATCTAGGCGACGGACACTCTCAGCCAAAGTTGCAGGTTCCATGATCTAATTGAAATGTTCCGTCCAGCCCAATATACCACTTTGTACTTATCGCTAACATTATTGTTGATACAATAAGTGAGGAAATATCGTGCCTCCTTGACATGGATTTCATATTTGAAAGCTTGATCATACATAAGTGATTACAGGAGATCCTCCAACTCAAGTGTGATCAGCGGCGACTAGACTGCGTCAATGGTGTGGTCATTGGTAAAATATGGGAGGGTTATCCCGACCCCTGCCGCCTTCATATTGCTAATTCGGCGGGGATTAAAAAGGTTGTTTGTTGAGCATTGCAGGATCGACATCACAGCGTACCGGGAGCAAAGTGACAGATCATGAATAAGGGATGGTACTGATCATTTGGAGAATATCTTGTATTTTGGTGGCTGGGCATGGCTGTATCAGATATGTCACTGGCTTTTGATTCACAGCTCTCCATCACTTGCATGTGATCAAGCCTTTGAGTTTCAGGGCATTTCACGAGCTTCTATCTTTGTCGTGAAAGATCCATGTTCGGAGGACACAAATAGGCGAACTGAAATAGAGTAACAATGGCTGTCGTAACCGCAAAGGCAAGGCCAAGACGCGATCCCGCGCAGCGACCTTGGCTTCGCGCAGAGCTCAGCGTAGTGTATAATTCTCAGTGACTTGATTCAAAGAAAATGATACTCTGTTGGAAGTGCACTTTGAAAGAAGGGTATCTGCAGATAGCGTGGAAGAGACAGCAAAATTGTTCGCTGACTTGGATGATTTGGTTCATTGTCACACACTTCGGCCTGGCTCACCCCAACTTCACTTGCTTCCACATCCAAACTTCACCTTCGCCTAAGGTATGTCTGAACAGCGCCTCCCACAGGCATCCTCCGACATTCTCCCCATGCAACAATGGATTTCTGATTATAAACTGCTCGTCTAATACAGCATCAAGCTTTCATTGCGAGGATACGAGGGCAAAGAGCAAGCATCGCAACGCGGTCGTCCCTGAACCTACAAATAGAGGTAAGCTTAGAATGCCTCCCGAAACCCCATTCTGAAGCGCTGTGGGATCAAGACACTGACTCAAGGGTCAGGTTTCCGGTCGGACAACCACCCACGATGGGAGGATCGATTCTCAACAGCACCCGAGCGTTGCTGAAACAACGCGCAGATGCTCGCTGTGTTGTGAAGCCGGTCTTGGCGTCGCATCACATATGTGGCTTGTGGAACCACCCCGACAGTCAGCTTCGAAAGCAGATGCTGAGAACGATCGAACGGTTACCTGACGCTCAGGCCATCGATATTCTACGCAAAGGGTACCGAGACGCTGGAGAACTTCCTGTCACCATTTGCGTCACGCTAACCAAGCGCTCTTCATCGTGGGCGAAGATTGGTCGAATCCTCCGGAGATTGCGAAAGATTCTCGACAAACATGGGCTTCACGATATCCTTTGCGAAGTCATGGAGTCAACGGTCTCTTTTCATTCGTCCGTGCCCAGTGCTCATGTCCCGGAGATCACAACAACGGAGGAAGAGGGGAGCAGGTTGGTCTCATTTGTGGGCACCAGCATTAGCCCGCTGGCTACAACTGCCCCGGGGGAGTTTTCAGAACTGGCGGTAGAAGGAACACTGGGACCGTATTTGAAATGGAAGCAACAGGATGGTTCTGAGAAAACTGTGGCCTTGACATGCCGACATGTGGTGCAGGACGAGGCTCAGTTGCTTGCTACGATGAACGAGCAGCTGACACAACCGATCAATATCATACAGCCTGGTCCTGATGAATTCCGACAAATCCAGAACACCTTGAATGAGATTCAAGAACAAGCTGAATCGGGAGAGATCAAAGAGGAGGTCGTAGCTGCCCTCCATCAGCTATCCGCCGCCTTCCAAGAACTCAGTGCGCGGATTGTCGGCCAGGTCTTGTTTGCACCACGGTTTGCACTTCGCCCTGTTGTTCGCCAAGACAATATCATTGTTCGTCAAGATGACACTATTGTCAATCAAGAGGATCAAGCCAACCCTTCAAGTAGGGATCTCAAATGGCTAACCGACTGGGCTCTAGTTGATATGCACCAAGATGTGGCTCCAGATTTGGCTAACCAAGTTATTGTCTCGAGAGCCCAACACTCACGTCTCCTTGACCATGAGGCTACGATACGCGCCAGGAGCATTGGAGCTGATGATGTCACACTTGAGCTATCCGGCACAGTTTCCGAGTCTGAACTTCTGGCCTTGCCGAGGGACGAGAGCAATCAAGCAATCGTCGCCAAAGTCGGTGCAGCCACTGGCCTAACGTTAGGCTCGAGTAATGGTATGTGCTCTTCCCTTAGATCCGGGAACAACACTTGGAGCCAAGAGTGGTGCATCATAGGCATGAAAAAGGACCCTAACCAGGGCATATTAGCAGAACGGACAATGTTTTCTGCGCAGGGCGACTCTGGTGCATCGGTATGGTTCCTAGATGGGAGGATAGCTGGTATGCTGACGTCTGGCCGCTGTAGCGGATTTGTGGATGTTACCTATGCTACCCCAATTGAACGCTTACTCAACGACATCAGAGAAAGGGGGTATGATGTTGAACTACCTTAGTTTAGTTATGTGGACAAGGACAGATTGGAGTCACGATGAGCTAGTTAGCCCGCACAAACGCATGATTGTAATGCTCAGGGAGTTACTCGATGCTCGGCTAAATTGATGATATTCCAGTGAAAGCCATTCATCCCACATGCAAGACGACGATGCTTTAAATCTACCGAGCGGGGGTGTTTTTGCCGAGTAAGATACCCGAATCGAAAGATCAGTTACATCAGGTGAAGAGAATGTTTCAAGTTTCGTAAGGTAGTTAGAGCAGATGGTCGGGCTCGGTGTTCTCGATATGAACGCGTACGGGCCATGGCTTGCTTGACTATTATAATAATCATAAGATAGGGATCCCCCGTAGATTTCTACCTTTGAAGAAAAAACTAGGATCCCGTCGACAAGGATCAGACGAGGATCCTTTTTCTCAAACAGCGGAAGCCAACTGCACTCTTTCGTCAGCATCTTGATTCAGAAGCGAAACGGTCCGTCACATATTGCAATTAGCCAGTAGTAGGATAATGGATAAACGGAACTAAGGGTCGATCTGGTAAGGAAATATCAATTACAGCATGGTTGATGTCGCCAATAAGGCCCTGAAAAGTTTATGAAAGGAAGGAAAGTCGCGATTTCCTGACTCAAGAAAATGGAGAGTGTAAAATACGCTAAGAAGCTTGGCACCTATTCCTCCTAAGGCTATTCCGCCAAGCTCGGAGACACCTATTTAGTTCCTCTAGAATATGCAGCTAGAAGATGAATGGCTTCTCCTTTTATGCAAATCTTCGATGACACGGCCAAGGTCAACCCAATGGAAGTGTCTTTCGCATTCGGAACCCCTGAGAACTAGGAATTTGCACGAATCAAGATGGCTGGGAAGATAAAGTCGGCCTCTCAATTCGTCCGAGGTTAACTGCCGCTTGTTTGCACAGCCTTGTTCCGACGCACGTAAGACAGGAGGTTCGCAAAAAAAAATCCTTTCTGGGCAGGTGAGATTCTTGACGCCGTATAGAGATTGAAGATGCGCGGCCCGGTTTGAACTCCCGCTTCCCCTAAGCTACGATGAGGATAAGCCGGAAGCCCGCTCGATACGCCATAGCCATAGACTCGGCAACCATGTGTCGTGAATCCCGACCGTGTCCACTTTTGACAGCTGCAGCGGCAGTTGGATCTATGTGGCATCGACAAGAGTCTCCGTGGTACCCATGGCCAGTTGTAGTTATCAAGGGGAGGTCAGGAGAAGGCACCGAGTGCAGAGTTGTCTGGATATAAAGGGATACCTACTCACTTCAAATTTAAAGAAACACTCTCATCAACAGAAACTACATATCATCTGAACTACCTCTCTGGTCTCTTTGTTTCAATAAACTTGTGATTTCTTCCAGAACCAACCGCAACAACTGGCCTCAGGCTCACCCACTAGATTCCACCATGCCATTCTACTACAAGCATCATGGCAAGGAGCCCCCAAACCAGTGGGTTGCCTTTTGGCGAAAGGTGTATAATCCGCTTGGTTTCCAGAAGGGCTACAACTTCCCGCTCTGGTTCGTGTTCTGTGGCGCGGCTCTGGGCTTCTGTGCCTCTCGCGTAATGTATTTCGACTACGACAATCAGTTCAAAAAAGCCAACCAGATCACTGGTAACTGGTTCTACATGTCTCAGGGCGTCACTCGGACTGCAACCATCATGCACCTTGCGGCAGTAATCCCTACTGGCTTCCTCGTCCCCCTTCAGTTCCTCCCCACTGTCCGATACAAAGCCATGATTGCCCATCGTATCATGGGATACATCCTTATCATACTATTGATCATTGGCAATGCTGGAGCTATTATAATGGTGCCCCGTTCAATGGGAGGGAGCCTTGATGTTCGGACTGTGGTGGGCATGCTGGCCATTTTGACGACGGGCGCCGCTCTGATAGCTTACGTTAACATCAAGAGGCTTCAGATTGACCAACACAGGGCTTGGATGATGCGGTGCTGGTCATACGCTTTCGCCATTATTACTCTACGACTAGTACAAGCCCCCATTATGGCCATTGCGTCTCTGGTGGGCCAGACAAACGTTCCCATGAAGTGCGAAGTGATCAATGCCGTCAATGAGGAGAACGGTCCAAACCTCGCCCCGTACTTCTTCGCCGCTTGTGAAGCCGACCCGACTGCTTTCGTTAGCGTCAAAGCCAACTACTACGCAACAGCTGGTGCTGATGGCATCAAGCCTTTGCATGAAACCACAGCTGCGATTCAATCCGCATTCGGTCCGGCTGCTTTCCTGGCATTTGTTATCCACGCCATCTCTGTTGAACTGTACCTCCACCTCACGCAGGCCGAGGCTGCCCGCCTGAAGCGTGTCAGCTATGAAAGACAAAAGGCCAAGGGGTGGAAGAACCCTGGCGATGCGAGCTGGCTCACCAAAGAGACCTGGGGTGATATGGAGGCGTTCGATTACGAAAAACGGGATACTGAAGAGCGTGCCAAGTCTGATGGAGGAGCGGACTCCTCTCAGATTCATCAAGCGAACGAAGTTAACAACTCAACTTAGAAACAACCAGGATACCTTGCAGATTTCTCGGTCATAAATTGACCAAGCTATGCACTGTGATAGGGGAACTTAAACATTAGGGAGTATTTCAGGGGAGAATGGGCCCTGTTGTTCCAGAAGATTGTTGAGCAGTTTGTCTGTCTGAACCAAAAACATTCAGCATTTTTCATTCATTATCACTGAGTATACATGGGAGGACCTCCGTTGACTTGGCCAAAGGATTTCCTTTTCTAACCTTGAACGTTATCTTCGAACTTCAATTTTTGTGAACCTTCTTGTGGTATCACATCGAAATTATAAGTGTAAAATGGCTAAGAGCGAGACGTTCCGCTCTTCTCCGACCTCTTCTCCGGCCCCAATAAAAAGTGTGAAACACCTGATAACTTTAATTGAAAGACTTCTAATATATTGAGTGTTATTGGTAATCGGCATGAGTCTAGTTAGTCGAGGGAGGGATCGTAGTTTCTAGGTCATTGTCTGGACCAGTCAGCCCACGAGAGAGCCCTGGAGAGAGATGCGTATGTATCACTACCCTTGCTTATGTTAATTTATGGCAGTGCTTATGTGCACAGCCCGATCTGCAGCTACGAGCCCTGCCAAGAAATTGCCTCTTGACTGCCCTGTCGCCATTCCCCAGTAAAGCCACATTGGTGGTTGAATCGCACATTTTCGTTTAAATCGGGCGAATTGTCACTTCTCCTGGCCCAAGACCGCTTTGTTGTCGTGAGAGGCAATATATCCAGCAATTCTCAAAATGCTCCCTGGGAAAACGGAGGTCGCAGCACTCTTAAACAAAAGTAAACACACCTTCCAAAAATATAGGGACTTCGAGTATTCCAGACCAGTTGCAGCCGCCCACAATGGGATCCGCCTTTTATTGCTCAGGCCGGGCAGATTTCTCGACGACATCCAAAGCGATCTCGTCGACGTCTGCCTCGACGACCAGCTTAGCTATGAGGCCCTCTCGTATACTTGGGGTGACGGAAAGACAAAGCGTCCGATCCGTGTCAACGGATCACGACTAGACGTCTCGGCAAACCTTGAAGTGGCGCTGCGTCACTTACGCTCCCTGACTGCCACAAGAGTTCTCTGGATTGATGCGCTTTGCATCAATCAGGGCGACTATCAGGAGAGATCAGGCCAGGTCCAGAAAATGTTCCAAATCTACCAGCGGGCGACGAATGTTATCGCCTGGTTGGGCAAAGAGAGCCGGGGCAGCGGGGATTCGATGGCCCTTGTTACGGACTTTGCCATGTTTCTCAGGGCAAATGGTGTTGTCGACTTAGAATCGGCCCAGAATTTTCAGAAACGGGCCAAGAAGTCAAAGAAAGGACCCAGCGGAGACCTGAACGATCTTGGTTTCCCGTTCAAGGAAAAGGAACGAGACTGGGAATCCTTGTGGACGCTCTTGAGGCGGACATACTGGAGCCGGATGTGGATATTGCAGGAACTGGCTGCAAGGGGATATTGGGGTACTAAAGACTCCATGTCGTGTACTCTTCAGTGTGGTTTGGATACCGCATCAATGCACGATCTACAAATGATATTTGACCATTTCAACATCATGTGGTCTTGGTACTCTCCGAGTGAGGTCGGGGACTGGCGCCTTCAGCAGCCGTTCAAGTCATTCACGAGACAGGGCTTTATGGATCCCCCGGGCTTTACCATGTGCGCCACTCTGAGATTGTTTCACCTTGACCGTATTGCTGGGGGATCGACCCTGAAGAGGCTGCTGCACTTATCACACCCTCTGGATGCCTCAGAAGACCGTGACAAGATGTATGCGCTCCTTGGCCTCGTGTCCCAAAATCATGCAACGAGTCCAGACTATACGAAATCACTTTCGGATATCTTGATAGACTATGTCAGGAATAGCGTCGAGACAGATGGCTCTTTGAACGCTCTTTTCTCTAACCGCTTGTACCCGTGCGAGTCAGGGCTGCCAACATGGACGCCCGAGATTCGTAAGAAATGGCATGCTCCGTGCCAATGGGAAAAGCATGGGATCGACACGCTGTTCAAAGCGAGCGGCAGCAAGAAGGCAGATGTCGAATTCGTCCCATACCAGGACTTAAATCAGGAATCGGTAATTCTACGTGCCAAGGGTGCTGTCATTGGCGAGATTGACCATGTCATCGGCCCTTGCCGCATCGATGATCTCGTACAACGTACCATAATGAAAAGAGCCTCCCAATTTATCCACCGAGGAAGGTATGAGTTGTTCATGATGGAGCTCGGCCAATTTGCATCCGATCTCGAGTATGGGTCAGCCGACTACGGCTCCTTCTGGCGAACTTTGGTCTTGAATAGAAACGAGGACCGTAATGACACTCGGCAAGCCTCCAAGGATCTGCGTATTGGAGGAGTTATCGAACTGCGAAGAGACTGGTTACAATCAAAAGAAATGGCCGAGGTCGCCTCGGGTGAGGATGGCATCAAGCATAGAAACACCTTCCGCCGGTGCGTATATAGATGCGTGATGAACCGTACCTTTTTCAGGGCTAGGGGCCACACGTATACGTACATGGGCCTCGGGCCGTATGACGGCCGTCCTGGAGATCTGGCGGTCGTTTTGTATGGGTCTGATCAGTGCTTGGTGTTGCGACCAAGGGGAGAAGGGCTAGAGGGGTACAATGTGATCGGGACGGCATATGTTCACGGTGTGATGCAGGGAGAATTGGTAGAGGAGCAAGGCGTGCAAGAGAGAGTATTCGATCTTTACTAAGAGCTCTAAAATATATCACACAAATCATGCCATTATGTCAAACGGAAGATTCTACCATCTCAAAGCCCCCAATGCCGGAAGAGGTAATCTGTAAAACTACAACACACATTTGCCAACCGTTATTAACTCAAATACCTTTTGGGAGGATTAGGCTCGATCTATAGAGGTCAATTTCAAGTGTCACGATTCCATCGTCACTTGGCATGTCAAATTGCAGGTGCTCTCTTAATCCTCAACCATCTTAGGAAATGCAATGTCTATGTTGAAGGGGAAAAAATTAGATCTATCGTCTAGTATACATCCACTGCAGAGAACGTAACGCTCTGCTGACCCGTAGGGACGGTGCTGCCAAACTCAAGCGGTATCCCGTTGTAAGAGTAGACGAAGATATTAAAAACGCCGGCGGGGGTAGTAGAAGTACAGCCAAATGACGCTCCTGTTCGAGAACAGGTAATTCGCTTATAATGGTAATCCGAGGAGTTTTCTGGCAATCCATCATTCAAGTCCCAAATGTGAACGTACCCGGGGTTTTCGTAATCATAATTGCCCGTGTACTCGTTGTATATGTCGTAACCTGTTAAAAGAATATATCTGTTTTTGATGCCCTGGTATACCAAAAAGGTATACCCCGTCGAAGGGTCGACGTAAAACTGCGCAATTGTCATATACGAGGGGGGTTGTGCCCCTGAAGAATACACGAATAGACTGCTTGGGGGCTCTAGAGAATAGTAGTAAACAGGGCTACCTAAAGTCCCGGTCCCTGCTCCAGATGACAGTAGTGAGAATGCAGTTGGCTGGGGGATCAAGGTTGATGATGATGGAGTCGGAGTGGCCGAATCACTAGGTGGGACGGAAGAAGTTGTTGCTATCGAAAGACTAGAAGGCGTGGGTGTATTAGATACCACGGATGTATCAGATGTTGAGGACACATCTGGTGTGGTAGAGACACTTGGCGTGCTTGATAAGGCGTCTGGCGAAGAAGAAATGCTGGGCGTGTTTGATGAAGTCCCAGCAGTTATTGAAGTGCCACTTCCGGGTGTAGGGGTCAAATCCGTGCTCGTTTCAGGCCGTGTTAGAGTACTACTTGGGCTCAAGGCAGTATCAATGGTATTAGGAGTGGAATTTTCGGGAGTCGTTTCGGAAACAAAAGAGCTCGAGATAGGAGTAGCGGTAGGCGTGGCAGAGGACGAGGCAATAACTGATGAGGGAGAATCGCTTGGTGAGGGAGTCAAAGCGCTACTCCTCTGGCATTTGTGCTTGTTTGCAAGCCCTTCACCAAGGGTTGCCAACACGACGAGAGAGGCGAGCGGCCAACGCATCATTCAGATAGTAACGGCGTGACGCTGTAGTTTGACGTGCAAAGCAAGGTCCAGGTACGAGAAAAAGGAAGAGGAAGCGGTCCCTTCGTTTTAGGGGAGAGTGTGTATATATCCACATGTAATCTTGCATTGGTATGCCGCGCCTTTCAGATTTTCACCCGCGCTACTGGACGATGCCAATAATTCCCCCTTAGGCTAGACACTATGAGGATGGACAGCGCTAATAGTCATGGTTATGGGCATCGGTAGTAACGTGAGGAAGCGTCTACAGTTGAAGAAGACCCATCGTTTGGTGGGGATTGAATCAATAGTCTGTGTTTCGAGGCCCACCGTACAAGTTCCTGTAGCACATCGCGGACTAGCTTCATTTCGTCCCGGTTTATTATCCGTTCGGAGATTATAATCTTGCTGGGCGTAAAAAAGCCCATTACTGCGGTTTATTACTAGTTGTCAGCCAGCGACCCGTCCAAGTTCTGCGTGGGCAGTGGCACACAGATCAACACACTTGAGAGCAACCATCTACTATTCCAGAGTGGTATGACAGTAGAACGACTGTTTTCTCGCTGAGGCAGCATCACTCCGTAAATATAGAAGAAAAACGAAGATAGACAACTACCGGCCTTTTCTCAGATGGGTATTGCTGATTCTTACTTATCGAGTGTGTGCTGGGTGTCGGAGCCTATCAAAATGAATGAATCCTTGCATCTTTGGTCCAGTAACGAAACTTCTTCCCAAAGAAAATAAACACAATCATCCCCAGAAGAGTAATTCCTACAGTCATAGCCATTAGAAGCATCGTAGGTGGAATGAAACCGCTAGTAGTCGCCCAGTCGTTCATGAAGTAAGTCATGCCAAACTACATTACGCAAGTCAGATGGATACAAATGAGTCCCTTGTTGGAAAAGACTTACCCCAAACGTGTTCTTGCAGACAGTTGCAATCACCATAATCTCGCCCGTGACGGGCTTGTAGGAGTCGATCGCATAGGTGATTACAATGGTTGGTATCGCAACAACTTGGACACCAACTAGACCGAACCCAACGACGACCACAGCTGGCCAAGGCCACTTGTCTTGCACTCCCACCCCAAAAGCCTACTCATATTGATTAGGTGAGCTTTTTGTTTCATAGTGTTCAGAGACTTACGACTAGGCCAACGAGGGCGGCAGCAATGAATGGGGCCAGTGATATCAATCTCATCTCCGGCTCGCGAATCCCCCCATTCCGTTTCGTGGCTTTCTGTGAAATCCAGTCCGACCAAGGGCCAGCGACTCCAAGGCCGATAATACCTCCGGCCACCAACGCGAAGTTTGCATATCCTACCTGCGCGGGAGTGAAATTGTATGGTGGCGCGGCCAATGCCTGCGACTGTAGTAAATTTACGGCAAGCAGGGCGTTGGCGGCGCAGCCCATGGACATGGATGCCCAGAAAATAATCGGGAAGAAAAATATCTGCACTGGGGTCAAAAAGTGACGAAAGAGATGTTTAAGAGCCGCGCGGTCGATTGGTTGAAAGAGGTTGAATTGGGCTCGGCTTGGCCTTCCTTTGCCGACGTATTCATGTCCTATCGTCACTGCACCAGATGAGTCCAACGTCGAGCTTTCGGTTTTATGCTCATTCTGACCTATGGCGTTATTAGAGGGTTGGCTGTGATCATTGTACTTGTCGTAACTTCGACGCGTTTCGGGAAAGAAGAAAACCAGGGCGACCATGTTCAATCCCTGGGCAATCGTGCAAGCCCAGAAGAACCAGCGGTAAGAGACTCGGTCAGCGACAGCGCCAGCGATGACAGGGCCCAAGAATAGCCCAACGAAATAACACCAGCTAGACCAAGTCAGCCACAGAAGCATTCCAAGGACGAGATAGTCACGTACAAGTACGAGCCCACATATTTACCCCGTTCGTGGAGGAAGTACATGTCCGCAACAACGACGTTCATGATGCTCTCATTAGCTGAAGCCCCAGTGCCGGTCAGAATGCGGGAGCCGAGGAAGGAGCCATAGGAATTTGCCGTTGCCGACCAGATGAGGGCGGCCATGTTCAACAGACAGCAGCACATGAGTGTGATACGTCGCCCAAATATCTCGCTGCAGGGGATGATGATAAAGTTACAGTATCCAAGAAGCATAACCGTAACTCCAGTCTATAAGATGTTAATTTTTGGGATATAACTCTCAGGGTTTGGATGTTCCTACCAACAGGGCCACATCAGTTAAGGATCTGTTCCATGTCTCCATGAATAAAGGCGTCAGAGGGGCGATAGAAAGAGCCGGAATAACGCTCGAAATCACGAAGAAGCCTTGGTTGACCATCACCAAGGTTTTCCACCCGAGACTCCAATTCTATACACTGGTTAGTGATAAGATATGGGAACCATCTTGATTACCAACACGTACCAAAGGATCGTGCGGATCGTTTGTCGGCTGCGGAATTAGGATTGCGGAGGAGGCAGAATTGTGGGCATGGGCAAGGTGTTTCTCTTCAACATCTGCCATGACCTCGGTGCCCGGAATCATCTCAATCTGCTCTTCTTCCGTCGCTCCCCCTTCATGATGCGCAGCGTTTGGTCTGTCTTTCGTATCCATGGCAGCTAAGATGAACGGTTTCTTCTTTCAGTGAAGGCCACGATGATCCAAAGGGGAACAGCAAGCCCAAATGAAGCATGGAAGTAATATATAGCGGATCTATCAAGGACAATGCTAAATGTGATTAATCCCTTTGCGGGGCCCCGCAAACTTTGAGCTGAGGTCCCACCACCAGGGTCTAGAGCTTCGGCTGAAGAGACATGCTTCTGAATTCGCACCGTCTGGATTTGACACTAATCTATCTACGTACCTGGGTATTGCCGATGTCTTGATTCAGCTATGATTAACAATCCGCTGCCCGTGTTGTACAATCCCCCACGCCATCAGCGAAGTCTAAGACCAGAATATCCTTGCCCAGTTTGCCCTTGATGAATGCTACCAACTCCTGATGAGCTGGGTCATCCTTCACGAAATATCGCCTATCGTCGTCGCTTTCGAAGACAAGGATCGATGCAAGATTGAATCCTACAAGCCAATGTGGCATTGGAGATTAGCGAGCTATGCTCCCGCAACCTTGGCAAGCGCAGAACCTGCACTTCACTCTTAGCACTAGGCGGGACTTACCAAGGCTCCTGACATTTTCAGCTGGACGTGTTGTGCCGCATTTGATTGACCTGATGTACGGCTCTCCATTTCGCTTAGCCGCAGTAGCGAGATTCTTGATGTACTGTACTGCAGTACGTAGTGCCTCATGCTCCCGAAAGGAGTATAACACAATATGCTCTATTGGTTGCTGAGCCATGACTACAAAGTCCCCACTGACTCTGCTGAATTCCACAATGAGAAGGTAAATATTCGGAATGGTGTCTTTCAAACGATCCACGGTCAGCTTCGGCTTTAAATGCCCCAATTGTGGCGGGACCATGGCTTGTTCACACCCCCACGAATGGTCCCGCCACCACACACCGCCTTCAATCAAGAGTGTCCCGCAAGCACCCACAGGGAGACTATTGGTCCCGCGGGCTTGATCCAGTTCCAGATACTCATTATCCTACCGAATGTATTTTGCAGGGATCAAGGATCCGACCAATCCGGGGACCCCAATACGCGGAGCGGCCTTCATCTGCGAAGAGCCGGAAAAACATATCAATGGAGATACTGCTGCTGGCCATTAAACCCCACCATCAGTGCTTGACGCAAGAGAAAGTGTCAGTCCACTTGCTTTTGCTTCCAAACATAGTTACGCCTCGCAAAATCAGAAACAAAATGGCATCTGTTGCTACTCAAGTTGTACGTGCAGCCTTATCTGCTTTAATCTAGGTTGACAACCGTTGCTCATATGAGGAACAGTATAATCCTCTGCCAAATAGCCGTGGAGCTTCAGTCTCAGATATTGAAGCTATTGGAAAAGATAGTGAGCCAGCGGCGGAATGGCGTACTAGAGCAGGCATTGACATCTCCAAACATGTCCGTTTGGTGAAGCTTGTCCATATGCGATACCAACATCCCGACCTTGATGAAATCACAACATTCCTCCAAGACTTTGGTATGCACATTGTCAAAGCTACCGACGAAAAGAGATGGTTCGGAGGCTACGGTCCCGATCAATATGTGTACTATGCACAAAAAGGACCACGGAAGTTTTTGGGAGGGACTTTTGAGGTGGAAACTTTCGCCGATTTGGAGAAAGCCTCCAGAATAGAGGGGGCCGGACAAATCGAGGCTCTAGAAGATGCCCCGGGAGGCGGACATCTCTTAACTTTAATAGACCCTGAAGGCTTTCCTGTTAGCCTCATCCATGGACAAGAGCCCGTCAAGGTTGGAGAAATCCCCAAGCAGCTCACCATGAACTACGAAGCCGACAAACCAAGAGTGCGGGAATTTCAACGCTTCAAGGAGGGCCCAGCAGCTGTGCATAAGGTAATTACATGCCATATTTAGAGACTTGGAGAGAAAGCACCGCTAACCGACTCCAAGCTTGGTCATTACGGCCTCTGTGTGCAGAATTTCGACACGCTGCTGACTTGGTACACAAGCAACTTCAACATCGTACCTACTGACTTTTTGTACGTGCTCCCCGAGGGCAAGAGGAAAATTGTGGCCGTATTCGCACACATCGATCGCGGAACCGACTATGTTGATCATCATACCTTCTTCATGTCTACAAACAAGACCTCGCATGTTCACCACTGTTCGTTTGAGGTCCACGATTTTGATACGCAGCAAATAGGGCATCAGTGGCTTGCAAAGAAGGGCTACAAGAGTGTCTGGGGAGTAGGGCGTCACATCCTGGGGAGCCAAATTTTTGATTACTGGTGGGACACAACCGGAAACATGGTCGAACACTATGCAGATGGGGACGTGATCAACTCTGAGACACCCATAGGTTACGGGCCAGCCGGGGATGAAAGCTTGGCGGTTTGGGGCCCGGATGTCCCAAAGACATTCCTGGACTAAGAGCTACCTGGCCCTTAAATTATGCGGATATCATGTCAGGGTCTTAGCTGAATAGGTTGAGCAAGCACCTAACAGAATGAAGACATTCAACCTTTTAAGGAATGAAAAGCTCACTTACTCTTGTCTTATCGCGTGACACGTTTCAAAAGCACAATTAATTTTAGTAGTAGGGTGACATGAACGTCGATAGAGCACGTGAAGTATATCCTAATCCGCTACGTTTTCGCTTGTAGATGCCATTTTGCCCAGGAGTAACAATCATTAGACATCGAGATGGGGTATTCTATGGTACTAAATTTTATCTTAATCACTATGTACATCACTTGCAAGTTATTTATACGCAATATATGACTTGATTTGGTTTTATGTTTCTATATGATTTCGTAATATATTTTATCCCTTAGTGAACTCGTCCCAAAGACATTCTAGTATCGAGGCATATCGATGCGAAATTTCCCAATGGCCAATCCGGCGTAACAGATCAATGGCATTACAAAACATGCTTGGGTCAACCGGTAAACTCACTGGTAGGCCTTTAATGCCTTGAGTCATTTGTGATGAAAGTCCTGTCCATGATACCATGAACTCCGGCATTGTCGCCCTGCTCTGTGCTGGCATTTGCAAGTTTTCTGCTGGTCCGAACTTTGTGTAGCAATGAATGACAATCGCAGCTATGAACAATGCTCGGGGGACGTGGATGGCTGGCTCCACTGAGATGGACAAGCTCTCTGCTCGCTTGAGAAGCATCCATGCATGGAGCACCGAGCGACGGCCTTCCGGCGAAGCTGACCATACGCGAGCCTTGTAGGTGACTTGCTCTGTTATTATGTGCCCGTCCCGGCCTATGGCACGCTCTAGAAGATTAATATCGGCATAAAGAGCGATATGGGCCAAGTGCCACATGATTATTAGACATATGGGGTGGTGTCTTGGATCTTGAAGTGCATGGTCATGATCATGATGCCATTGGAGAAGAAGCTCTTGAAAATGCCTGATATCAGCATCACGCAACGGATGTCCACTAGTCTCTTGGATAGACGCTAATATGCCGGCTAATGAAGCGTACCAAAACATCATTGATCGACGATGAGGTAGCTGTGAGCCTCGGGGAAGTCCCCTAGGATAAGCGTCGGTAGATCTTGACAGCTCCGTGCTCTTAGCCGTTCGAACTAGATTTTGCCATTCCATCGCCGAAACGGCCGAGAACAGCTCATCAGAGCAACATTGAGGAAGCTTGGTTACTGTGTGCCTCAATAGTGGTTCGTGGTGAAACGTGGTGGCGAGCTCCGTATCGTGAACATGCAGAGCAAGAACGAGGCGGATGGATGCTTCTGCCTGTGCCCACCTCTTCCACGCATACTCTGGATTTGATCCGCCATCTCCGTCGATGGTACCTAACGAATCACGCATGTTGAAGAGCCCAGCTTGCCTTGCCCAAGCAACGACGGTGCCATGGAAGCTCTCAGTTAGGCAAAGATCCTGAGACTGTCCTGAGAGCATACCGAAGGTCTGCCCGATCGTAGCCGCCTGAGTTAGGGACAGAGCTTCCCCGCTTCCACGACGAATATAGCTCTCCCACTACGTGATGTTAGACAATATTCACTTTCCAGGAGGGAGTATGAGTGTAACTCACGGACGCTAGGATAGCCTTATTGAGAATTTGAAAGATTCTTCTACCCTGCACTGCTGCGTTTGCAGTGCCTATAAAAAGAGCCCCTATTGAACATATCGAGAGTAACACTAGCGCATTTTCTGACGATGGTCGGAACGAAGGTGCATGGATCAGTGGCATGACGGGATTGAATCGTGAGAAGTAGAGCTTGACGCAGAGATTCTATCCCAGTTAGTTGAAAGGCCACCGTCGTACGCGGCATTATTATTCACTCACCAAGAAGTCGGCTGAGGGCAGATTAGGGTTACTCATTCGTGGCTGCAGTCTATGAGAAAGCCCTTCCCGATACATGTCGTCCACGCGGTCTTGGTCGAGAAAGTGGTCACTTGACGGCTGAGGGCTGGCATCTCGAGAGAGTCTTGTGTGCCATTTCTGCTGTACTGCCGTGGCAGTAGTAGTGACGGCAGCGTCTTGTGAGGACAGGAATGGATTCAAGCGGCCGAATGAGCTCGTACCCAACTCCAGGGGCCGCTGGTCGGACGAGTCGATCGTGGCTGGGTAGTGAGCCCATTCCGAAAGAACAGTGCTTATTGAACTGTTCAGTGCGTTGATATCGAACTCTTCCCCAAGCAGCCAGGCAGGTTCTTGAATATTAAAACTAACAGCGGCGTTCTCGATATCACCGGGTGGATTGAGGATGTTTGTTGGGAAAATGGAAAAGTCGGGGCCTACAGGCCCCTCTGGGGCTCCTGCTATGCCCAATGTCTCAACTCGTTGAGTAGAAGGAGAAAGTGTAGAAATATCATCCAGCAGCTGGGATTGGGATAGCGACAAGCTGGTTCCTGAATGTGATGGAGGTGGCGATACAACTGCGCTATTCGAAGCAGTGTTAGCATCGTGACCAACATGTATTCTCGCATGTCGAAGCAGTGAGTCACTGGCACATGATCAGTTAACACAATTCATCAGACACGAGGACCATTCCGAGACAAGCTCACTGGCGACTGTAAGCCTTCCCGCAGTATTCACATTCAAACGGCCGTTCCTTTGTGTGGGACCGAATGTGGCGGGCCAGGTGCTCGGTTTTGGAGAAGACTTGACCGCATTGTGGGCATTTCTTCTCCTGAATCTGTCGACGTCGGGCGCCAGCTTGACCCCCGACTTGGCCGCTGCGAGTATCTGCCATCGAGGTTGTATGCAGGTGGAATCTGGGGTAACTCCAGATGGAGGGAGGGGCCAGTATTTCTGGCGGGGAGGTGGCGGGACTTGATCTGGGTTAGATTGATGGAGTTGCGGGGAAGAACAAACCTTCCCGGAGTAGCCGGGCTTGGAAACGTACACAAAACACTAGAGAGCTCGTCATCTGGGGACATCCCGGTGATGTTGCCACATGAACAATGTCAATATGATAAAGGAAATGGGTGACAGTAAGCAAGATAGAATAATCAAAGGAATCTTTTACTTCTATGTTTTCATATGATAGAAAATGTCCCCTGTTCTGGGTTTACGAAGGCCCCGCGGCGCGGTTGGCCACTTTAATTACATAGTGAGTTAGGTGCAAATATTTCAAACTAAACGCACAATTATTGGCTCACTACTTTGTATTGCCGTAAATCCGCAGACTTTCAATGTATTGGGCCCATGGCTTCAGCAACCAAGACGTTTGCAAACAGCCTAATAGTGAACCCAACTACCTGAGCTTCTAGCTTACATTGGTTCGTACTTGACCTTGTTGACTAGCGTTCCTATCTTCTCAATCTCAATCCTCACATCGCTTCCGTCTTCGAGGAAAACGCGTGGCTGGCGGAAATACCCAATCCCTGCCGGGGTGCCCGTCAGTATAATGGTTCCTGATTCAAGCGTTGTTCCCCGAGACAGATATGAGATCTGCTGCTTCACATCAAAAATCATATCCCGTGTGTGGCCATCCTGTAGGACCTTGCCTTGGTAAATCGTCTTGATCTTAAGCTGCTGGGGATCTTTGATTACGGAGGGAGAGACGAGCACAGGTCCTGTAAGACCGTGTTAGTGGTCACAATTTTGTCCATTATAACGACCACTGCACTTACCAATAGGGCAGCTACCATCCAGTCCCTTTGAGAAAGACCATTGCGACGTCTTCATTTGGAGGTCCCGGGCAGATACATCATTCGAGGACGTGTAGCCAAGCACGTAGTTCAGAGCCTCTTCTTCCGGGATGTCCCGTCCGCTCGTGCCAATAACAACACACAGCTCGGCTTCAAAGTCGCTCGTTTCATCCTGGGCACACTTTGGGATTGTGATTGCTGCGGGATAGGGATCTGACAGAGCCGTCCTCGGCTTTGCGAAAAGGATTGGCGCTGCTGGAAGCTGCAGGTTTGCCTCCTATTCAGAGGGATTAACACTCCGCCTCGGGATTCATGATGGCCCATGAGACCTACCTTTGCATGGTCTTTATAATTAAGGCCCAGACATCGAATAAAATTGCACTGCTCCCTGCTCACCGGGGAGAGCAACTGTCATGAAATCAGTACCGATCGAGCTATTTGTGATGGTTGCTTGGAATCAAAGCTTACCTGCTTCACCGTATAGACATGGGGTGTGATCTTTCCATTGAAGAGATCGCCTACAATCAGGTATGCTTTGATTTCCACACCGTTGACAGAGTCCAAACCAATGTCTCGCGAAGTGTCGACCAGCTGTCCCAGATGAACTTGGTTGTCTTCGACCGCGATGAATCGCACAAGATGTGTCCAGTCGGGCATTTTGGCCCTCGTTCAGTATCGATGAAGTAGCTTGTTCGGTTTCCCATAGAATCCAAACCCTCGAATCGGGTGTGCATTAAATGCACCTACCAATGCCGTATATCCGAATCAGCACCATTCCAAAGATGTATCGAGGTTCCGCACCCGATTCCGATGCTCACATGACCCGCCACAAACTGGTCCCGCCACAAATTGGACGTCCCGCAGACCCCGACAATCCGGGGTAAGACTGGCTTACTTTGGTAGATCATGCAGATTTAGGGGCTTATATTGAACGTCTCTTGAATTCAAGTGCCTACGATGGAGGTCACGACACAGAATCTCAACCACTTGGTTAAAACTTTCTTAGTTGACATCTCTTGTTCACTATGACGTCTGTAGAGACAACCGATGTGCTTGTCTGCGGATGTGGACCTACAGGGGCCATGCTGTCCGTGCTACTTGGACGGCACGGTGTTCAGAATATCGTGCTGGAACGCGACCTTGAAGTGAATGTCGATCCCCGCGGAATTGCTCTGGACGAGGACGGCGTGCGTTATCTGCAATCTTGTGGGATATACGATAAAGTATTCTCTGAGATTGGCCAATGTAAGTGTCCCTGACTGACTCCGCTTAGATGTATTAATAACGGTTGATCAGGTATGGGAAATTTCCGGTTCGTTGGCGGCGTTCATAACGATCTTCAAAGGAAACCGTTCATGGTGATGAACTACAACACTGTACGCAACACTTTTGAACACTGGACTCAGGGAGTTTTCAAACTAATCAGAATCTCAGACTGAAGGGGGCACTGGACACCCAGGCTTTATTTGTCACAAACAACCGGCTATTGAAACCAATTTACGGTCACGTCTGCTAGCCGAGCCTACTTCAGATCTCCGTCTCGGCTCAACCGTCACCTCAATCCATGAAGATGAGCACTGGGCCTACGTAACGTATCAAGAAGCGTCTGGCCAAGAAAAGCACATTCGCAGCCGTTTCGTGGTCGGGGCTGATGGGAAAACGGGTTTCGTGCGGAAGAAGTACCTTGAGCCAAGAGGAATTCGCCTAGAAACCGTCTCTCAGATGTCCTACGAGGAAACCTGGGTCGCGCTGAATTGGAGAATATCATTACCCACTCCAAAAACACATCCCAGATTCCCACTTTGGGAGAAAGGATACACGCCCGAGCAGGTATACGATGCCTTCTTCCCTTCAGATTTCCGGTTTTTGTGCAACCCAAACCGCCCTGCTATCTGCGGCCGATTTGGGCCAAGCGAAGATCGGCTATGGCGTTTCGAATTCGTCATTCGCCCAGATGAGGATGGCGACACAATGGCAAGCCCGCAGAAGATCCGTGAAGTGGTATTTCCTTATATCACACATCCGGGAAGCACCTACGGACTAGATATCAGTGCAGTACACTACCCAGATGACTGTATCGAAGTGCTTCGCTCACGGCCATTCAACTTTTCGGCTCGAAGCTGTAATAGATGGTCCCAGGACCGGGTGATTCTTTGCGGAGATGCCGCACATGTATTTCCGCCATTTGGAGGCCAAGGAATAGCATCTGGCTTTCGAGATGCTATCGGTCTCGCCTGGAGACTTGCTATCGCCACACGTCAACTATCCTTAATGAAGACTCCCAATTACCATAACTTATTCGAAGGGTGGTACAACGAACGAAAGCAACAGCTGGATAGGTCTTTGGCATCAACTGTGGAGAATGGAAGCTATGTGACAGAAGCGAATTGGCTTAAGATATTTCTCAGAGATTGGTATCTTTGGCTTCTCCAGCTTGTTCCCAGCTGGAAGCATCAATTGGAGCAGGGCAACCGCCGAGATGGGATGGTGAGATACTCCTATCAGCCCAACAAAAGCATGGCATTCTTGGCGCATCTGGGGGGCGGGATCAACTTTCCCCAGGTCTACTGTACCCGGCTCAGTCACAACAATACTGCAGGACCTATCCAATTCACGGATGACATCATTTTCGAGGAAAAGAAGAAAGGGCTTTTCCAGCTTGTAGTCTTATTGAAATCTGCAGACGAGGTTGTTGACGCCCAAGAGATCTTAAGATCTCAGGATGCCAACTCCGCCGGTTTACTTTGGATGGACGAAGCCACGTTCATTATCAATAGCACGCGTGCCTATTCTAGCCAAGGTTTAAGAGACAAGACAGTGCTTCATCGACTGGCAACTGGTGAAGAGTTTGCGGCAGACACATCCCTCTGCCAGGGTCGACCAAAACCTCAATATTACGATCCCTACAGAATGTCTAGAGAAGTATCCGGGAAACGATTTGTGATTCTGAGGCCCGATCGTTTTGTATTTGCGGCTTGCTCGACGAAGACAGAGTTGAGAGAGGCGCTTGTAGCTTTGGACTTGTTAAGTATAGGAAACCTATGACGGTCTGGCTTCCGTTCAGTAGGTCTTAAGGGAGCTGATGTTCATTCAAATGACTCTCAGCAATCGAGTCAGAATCTAGACTCTGAGTCATGTAGTGAGAAATCGAATTTTCGTATACACAATGAAACTTTTGTCGGATCGCGACGTATTGACTGGAGAAATGGTTCATGAAGAGCAACTCTGTTCTCTCATAAGATATTGGACAAAGCAACTTAATAACTACCCAACAATCAAGACACACCGGTTTTTCTCCCCCCTTGCTGACTTCGCGATCATACCCCTCTTTATGATGTCTGCGTTAGATTGCAAGGTTAGATGATTGCTTTGTCAGCTCTTGCAATCGATGGATCGTGATGAGATGGGGCGTGAGAATTTTGCCCTTTTTCGTGCCATTGAACGCTCCAAACTTTAGTGAGAGACACACGTTCCTCAAACAAAAAATCAAGCTTTTCATTGGAAATAAAATCCCCCTTGCCAATTGTATAGCATGGTTTCGGATTCAACATACACATACACGGCCATTGCTGCCCCACGAAACATCCGCCTTATCCACCTCCACCCTGGAAATGAGTCTGACCCGGTCTCTCTCTCTCTTGCGACTGTTGCCCTCGACTCTGTGCCCGATTATGAGGCCATCTCGTATTGTTGGGGTAATGCCGCGGACCAGCGCCAGGTAACCTGCAACGGTGCAACTCTCTCCATCACCAACAGCCTCTTCACCGGACTTGTCGCGTTTCGTCAACCAGATCGACCCCGCATTCTCTGGGCAGATGCCATCTGCATCAATCAGAATGATCTAGTCGAGAAGCGCGACCAAGTACTCCTAATGCCGGAGATCTACTCACAGGCGAAGTGCGTGCTCGTATGGCTAGGTATCTCCGATGATCCTGTTCACGGGCGTGTACCGCCAAGCGTTGCAGGCTCAATCCAAGAGGCCCTACAGATGATTCCCGAGTTCAACCCAGAAGATGCCTCGGGAATGGTAGCGACCATACAGGCGCTACACCAAGATTCGCAACGGTTACGTGAACAAGGCAAGCCGAATCTGTTGGATCATGACTGGCTGCCTCTGGCCTCACTTTTGTCGCGCCCATGGTTCCGCCGGAAGTGGATGATACAGGAGATCTCTCTTGCCAAGGAAGTTCTGGTTCATGTTGGCAAGGAGATCCAGTTCCCATGGCTAGACCTAGCACAGCTGATGTTCAGTATCGGGGTGTTGAATATGGACAGGGCGGCAGACCTGCAAATAGAAAAAGTGCTGAATCCAACTCACCAGGGAGAGCAAGATGGCACCTTGAGGGAGCCCATAAGTGACGGCAGAGAGGCCAAGACCATATTAAAGGGCACCTCGTTTACATTCTCCGCGGCGCTTCAATGCGCTGCGGCTATCTACATGGTTCAACTTTTTCGACATGCTGGCACGCTCCTAGACGGGGTTGTGGTTGCGCAGTTGTTTGAATGTACCGACCCGAGGGATCATGTCTACTCGCTTTTGAGCTTGATTTCCACAGGCCCGACCATTCAGCCCGATTACGAAGCGTCTCTCAGCGACGTGTTTCGCCGTTTTGCCAAGGCAATGCTGGTAGAGGGCCAGAGCTTAAAGGTCCTCGGCCTGGCACCCAACAAACATGTGTTCTACAAACCGGACGCGAAGGAGGTTGAGGGCCTCCCGTCGTGGGCCCCCGATCTGCGAGACATACACTCGAACATCTTGACCGGATCTACGGTCCGGCCCCAAGCATTCTTTGCCGGCGGAAAGAACAAGCCTATCCTGGACATATCTGCGGACGAGCGTATCCTCAGCTGTTCTGGTCGGATCATCGACACTGTCAAAGCCTTCTCCACAAGCATGGTAGACATGGTCCTAGATGACATGCCCGAGTTGAGGGCGAACCCGGCGATTTTCCTGCAGACTGACGATCCCCTGCTGGAGCGGAGGCAACGGCGTTTCGCTCGCTGGCTTGACGGATGCTACAGTCTAGCGTTTGGTCACCACTATGCGGCTCGAGACGTATCTGACCCTCAGGACGATTTGATGGCGTCCTTTGCGCGGAGCATGATGCATGATGTAGACGCGATGAGGAACCGCGCCGATCCAGAGTCGATAGCCATGTTTCCTAAGTACATGGAGCAGATATTTGACGATGTGGAAAAGGGTAACTTTGGTTTGGAAGACAAGTCATCTAAAATGTCTCCTGCCTTAAGAAACGTGGGGGAAAACGTCAGGAACTTCGCAATGTCCTTATTCTGTGTGACAGGAAATGGACGCTTTGGGCGGATCCCTCCTACTTCTCGTGCTGGTGATCTTGTCTGCGTCTTTGTTGGCGCTGAGACACCGTTCATCATACGTCCAACCGGCCGTGAAACATACACTATGATTGGAGAATGCTACATTGACGGAATAATGGATGGCGAAGCAATAGAAGGGTCTTCTCTTCCTGATGGATCCTTAGATACCATTGAGTTAGAGTAGGCACGCGTAAGAGAAAGATAATAAAGTTTAACAGCAATGGAAGCTGCTAGAGCCCGACAACTCAACACAATGCCAGCAAACTATATAAACTTCCTATGCATAACGTTCTGTACATATCAGTTCCATAACTGCATTTGCGCTAATGTCTTGGGTGAAGATGAAAACAAGCCTACATGCGACTAAGGGCAGATGCAAAATCTCATCCTTATTCACCTAAGAAAAATCACCTCTGGAAAATCATCATCAGGACCAGATAACAATCCTTCTTCTTCACCCAGCAGAGTAAACTGTATAAAGTCGCTCAAATACTCCCTGAGAACTTTCATCACTACTTCCCCCGTGACCTCTCCAAAAAACGCCTCCGCACCCTCTCGAAAGCCCGTAACATCCCCGATGATAGGAAAGTCGTAGTAACTTCCGTGCACTGAGCCATTTATAGTTAATTCCCTCTTCCACACGCTCGGATGCATTGTTTCCATAGCATGGAAGAAGTTCCGCCAGGTGGGTTCCTCAACCGAGCTTGAATTGTGACCGATCGAGCCAAAGCAAAGAAATGGGCGGTCCACGCCAGTGTATTGCACGTCGCTCCACATCGCACCATCGAGATTCACGCCTGAAACCAGTCGTAACTCTTTGGGTAATGTGTGAGCTGCTGAAGCACCTCCGTATGAATGGCCCATATAGACGGTTCTATTTAGCTTGAGAGTGTCCAAGACGAATGCAACGTCTTGTGCTCGGACATCCAGGCCAAGAACAATGTCCTCCTTGTCGTTAGGATCTGATCCCACCCTGCCGCCGAATATAATATCGCCGTTGGGGAATTGCACTATATCCGTTTCGTACGGGTGATCAATTACCACTATTTCGTAGCCCATGCTGGCGATTTGCTGTGCCGTTCCCGTATACAACGTCCGAGTGGTATTGTGGCCTGGCCCAAACAGGATTGTTGGGAACTTCTTCCATGCACTCCTATCTTGCTTGCAGCATACCTGAATCTCTAGGTTTCGGAATATGCCATTTAGCCATTCAAGGTCTGGAAAAGCTGCCTTATAGATCTCTTCCTCTAGGCTAGCCATCTCTGGTGTCATATACGGTACACGACAGAGCTCTTTGCAGCTTGATCTAGGTACAGGCGTAAAGCGAGATATCATAAATCGCCGAGGGTGAGTTGCATTGAAGGGGTCAACCCGGGAATTGTCCACTAATTCCGAATTCTCCCAGGCAACGTGAAATGGCCCTCCAGGGGGCGGAAAGAGCTGAGCCACGGCCGAAGCAACTAGCAAGATATGGTAAACCGTACCAAATCTCATTTTTGTGGTGTTCAGCCAAGATGTGGTGATGAATGAGGGAAACAACAACGGGTAAAGGATATATCGAAGGCACTATTTAAGTCCCAATTTCAGGGAGGCATCAAGAGATAAAGCGACCTTCCTATCACGGCATTCTCAGCGATGGATGGCAATTCTCACCACAACCCCGCAGTAAGATTCAACGCCAAAGTCCGTACTCACATTTGAGGCATTGAGTCTCCTGTGCTACCCTTGTAACATTCCCCTCACTATATTAGTTAACGCATTACCACATATATATAGTTCGATGAACGTGCTTTCTTTTTCTTTTCCTTTTTTTTCAGGAATTTTCTACTTTATCTTCGAAACATTCATTACATCTGTGCCTGATCGTTTCAATGTTGATAAGTGGAACTTGCAGGGTGAGACTACCGGGCTTTCTTCGTATAAGTAAAGCCTAATACGAATGGTTCTTCATAGTAATCGATGTCTAGAATGAATTGCATTTATTCAGCAAACCACTCTCGTGATCATTATCATGTCGAAACTCCCTCCAGTTGAGGGAGATAGAATAAATCAACCTCACCAATTGCTCGATTGCTTGACAATGAACTTTCAAGTGACAAGCAAGAAGTCTATCATAATAAAATAAATTTTCAAATTAAATTAAGTTATAATTGGAATTATACCCTCAGCTAAGCTAACTTTCAACAACTGTATTAGCACCAGCAGGACTGGCGCGTCGACGGCTGAACACTTGACAGCACGTCGAGTGTAGGGTAGCTTATGGCAACCAAAAGTAAGATTTCAAATTGTGCATTATTTATGCACGACCCACAAATATACGGGAGCCTGTGGCGCAGCCGTTATTTTGCAGACTAACTAGGTAGGGCCAGCGAACCGTTTTCTGTGGCTGAGTTGGGCACCAAACAAGGCGGAATGTTATTTAGCGCTTATATCGATCGACTAATGTTCGTTCGCCTCACGGTCTCCCAGACCAAGTCAAGACGATTGTAGATCTTCCTACTGAAATCCAGACATTTGGACAAACCAACGATCACTCACACTATCTAAGTTAGTTCTCGAAGCCACCATATCCACCTGGTATCTGTTCGCCCTTGGCTGGTCACCGGTCAACGCAAATCTTGATCCGCCCATGCCAACGGAGCCAATCCAACATGGACGTTTTCAGACAAGCCCAGAGTCGGTTCCGTCTGGCCTTGTCAGCAGAAGAGCAGGCCCAATATGGGCCCTGTGACTCTGTTGAGCAGCTTCTTACTGATGTTAGACAGTTCAGTCTGTTAGCCAAAGGCAACCGGCGACTCTCTGACTGCATGCTGAAAATCAAAACCTTTTCGGAGAATCTTGAGCCATATTTAGGTCTCATTGCCATGATTTGCGGATCTCACGCTGGGCGGACTGATGCAACTTTTGGCACACTGAGGCTCGTCCTCCAGGTAGGTAATCAAGAATATGTCTCCATGTCAGGCCTTGAAATAAAAATGTGGCATGGAACTAAGCGATACGCATAAAACTTTAGATGGCGAGCTCCTACGGTAGCTTCTTTGAGAAACTCTGCGATGCCCTTGACAAACTGGACGCAAGGTTTCCGCGGTACCAGGAGCTTTATGAGAAGCTTAGCTCGCGGAAGGCCGGGTCAGTGGGACCAACGCTAACAAATGCGCTGGGGAAAACCTACGACTTGTTATTCGAGTTCTTTCAGAGTGTCGCGGGGCTCTTTTCGCGACCAAACGGCAGTAAGTTCGATCAGTGTGAAAGAATGGCCGATTCTCTAACATTGGGGCAGGGACAAGGCACACTTTTTCTACCGTTGCTTCTCTTGCCCGGGAGCCATTTGATGTCCGTTTTAAAGGAATCCTGGAGAAAATTAGCTTCTACCACAATCTGGTCAAGGAAGAAATAGAGACGGAAAGAGTAGAAGAGATACAAGACGATCTGGTCAAACTGAAAGCAGCTGCGGCAGAACAAGCTACAGAGAAATTACAAAACACACTCCTCGAGAAGTTGAAGGAGATTCAAGCAGGCCAAGCACCCAACAAAGCCCAGTTGACTCTTTTACAGAGTCTTCTTGTTGATGGATTCTCCCGTCAAGCAACACTTGAATCACAAAATCGCCTACTTAATTTACTGTCTCAGTTCACGAACCACGAGGATGCCCGGATACAAGGTTCGTAAATCACTTATCCAAGCCGGAGGCTGCCCTTCTAATGCCAACTAGCTGAATTTAAATCCTCTGTAATTCGATGGATTGACCCGCCCGATTACAAGGAAAACCTCTGCGATGCGCAAGATGAGCGCACTGATGGAACTGCGGAATGGATCTTTGATAACCCCGCGTTTATCCAGTGGCAGCGTGGATTACCAGAACAGGACTCTCCGTCAACATCAAATTCGCCCAGCTCACTTCTATGGATCAATGGTAACAATCACATTGAACTATGTATCTTTCAAGAGCGAGACTGACATTATCAAAGGAAAGCCGGGCTCAGGAAAAACCGTGCTCGCTGGCTCCATTGTGGAAGAGCTCCGACGGAAACAAAAAAACCGGGCTATGGACTCGGCGGTTTGTTACTATTTCTTCAACCAAAACATGGGCAAGAAGAATAACCATGTCGACACTTATCGTGCTATCCTGGCGCAGTTGTTCCGCCACTGCCACGAGATGGACAAAGTTTACGACATCTTCGCCATGATAAAGATGAGCATTGCCAGCGACATTCGAGCATCGGAGCATGAATTAGTCGATACAATACACTTATGCCTTAAAGAAGTTCCAAGATCCCATTTCATTCTGGATGGCATTGACGAATGCTCAAATGACACCAAGCTGCTGAAAAATATTAGGATCTGGTGTGAAACAACACCAGTCAAGACTATTCTGCTCAGTCGGCCAGACGTCTCAAGCTTGAGGAAGGCAATCTCGCCGGCTTCAACCATCACTATGATATATTCGGAATTAGGCAGAGATATCTGCCGGTATCTGACCCCCGAGTTCGATGACTTTCGAGACGAGGGCCTTTTACCAAAGGATGCAGATATAGAAATGTTGGCAAGTCATCTCGTAAAACGAGCCGAGGGTATGTTCCTTTGGGCTCGCGTGATGATCGAATACTTGGCCTCCCCAGCTTTGAGTAAGAGGCAACGACTGGAGATCATCATGGAAGACACACCGGGAGGTCTTGATCGTCTTGAAGATCTCTATTGTAGGATTCAAGACCGGATTGATGCTCTTGACGGACCAAGCAGACAAATAGCCCATAAAGCGCTAGTATGGATAGCTCATACTCGACTCACACTCCCTGAGCTCAGCGAAGCAATCATCGATGAAGATTGGGGGTCTGATCGCGAGGAAGACTCGAATCATTTTGAGCACGCTGTCATTGTGTCTTGCCGCGGGATCATCGAAAAGAGGCCTAACGGGATATTCAGGTATATTCATTTAACAGCAAGGGAGTTTGCTCAGAATGGGCCTCAGAGATCTGCTCGACAGCCTTTGATCCCCCATATTCATTCTGCCAGGGCGCAGATTGCTCAATATTGCGTCGGATACTTCAACAAGCGAATACCTGCAAATCCACTATCAGGACAGCTGGGAGTGACTGCTGATTTCAAGATCATCAATGAGAGATGGCCCTTACTGGGATTTGCCTCACGGAACTGGATAGACTTCACGCTTGACGTCCTTTATACACACGAAGCTGAATTATCTGACAGCGGAATGGATAGTCTTCATACCGAGATCAACACCTTTTTGCAAAACCGATTCTTCGTCATGGTTTGGATTGAGGCTCTTTACACATTGTGTCCGAGTGGGCTTTTTCAATCGTTAGAGAGAACACAAACCGACATGGACCAAATGCAGTTGACGAAACTGGCACCAAACTGGCAAGAATGCTGCCAAAACTTGAAGGAGCTGATCCACGACGTTTGTCAAATACATCTGAACTGGGGTGAAACTCTGACAGACACACCATGCGAAGTCTGGGGCGACGTTGGTATCTTCCAGAAAAGCAAGTTCTTGGCGTCAACCAAGGCAGGCACTGTGGAATCCTTGGCGGCGACGTTGCATGTGAAGGGGAGATCAAAGGGAATCAGCCCTCTATTTAGCCAATCTAGAAGCTCTCTAGATGTCAAAAGGCTTGCTGTACTGAGCGTCTTTCCCTGCAAGTAAGCCGTCTCTACCATAACATCCTACGAGCTAGATATTGACATGGCAAACTGCAGATATTTTAGAGATGGTTGGGACAGTCATGCTGAGATTCCATGTTATTCGAAGGCGCGAAAGCGATCTGAGCGAGCGCGTAGACCCTCCCAGCAAACTAAAGAATTATACACCGGAGGAGCCGAGGATTACTCCAGTTATTACGCTCCTCCGATACCTGAACTACCAGGTGCTCCTAAGCCTCCGAGAACGAAAGCTGATTTCAGCGACGCATGTTCTGGATGGGTGATAACCTACGAGATCTTCTCTATAGAAACTACTGAGTCCAGCCGCCTACTTTTCATGGAAGCACCTGTGGATGCTCTTCCTGTTGAGATATGCCTCAGACAGAGCCTACTGGTTGACAATGAGGACTGGATCTGCACTTTCGCCCTATCGATAGGGCCGAACTTAGACAGATTCACGGTGTTGAATATGTTATTTGATGTGAAATCTGACCAAACTTACCATTCCAGAGCAATAGATTGGCCTCAGACATATCGACCCTTAAATTGGAGCACATCCAAAAAGATAAATTCTAATGGTCACTTTGGGGTGAATACCTACAATTATCATTTCTTATGGAGCTGGGATGGGCGATATCTTTTGTTTCGCGATCGCAACCTCATAGCAACGAAATGGGTTCAGCATGGGACTAGCATCGCCTTATTCTCCATCCAAGAGCCAGCCTTGGGAGAAGAGGCTATCAAATTGGTAAACTGTTTCTCTACCGATTCTTTTAGCACTGGGATACATGCTTGTCACTTTCACCCAACCCGAGATCTTCTTTTATTGAGAGACGACAAAAACTTTTACTTATGGAAGTTCCTAGATGGTAAGTGCACTTTTCCAAGTTGAAATAACCTGTATGAAGAGGATGATGCCCAGCTAACACTCAAATAAGAAAAAGAGCCTTCTGTTCTCCAGCTTGCTGATACTCAGACTCGTCAAGGGGTTGGAATTGAAGGCATCTCGTTTTCTAGCTGTGGAAAGTACATTGCCATCTCCTACAGAGGCCAGCCATGGCCAAAACTATATCCTTTGACAACCTTCCTAGGAGTAGATGAAAACATTGAGAGTTGTCATGAGACGATAGAGACATCAGCGGGCATAACTGAGGACTCGGCGGCTCATCCATCAGCCGCCTCGGGCGAAGTTGCCGCCCGAAATAAGGAGACAGAACTTACAACGAACCCCATCATCAGTCGGGCCACTTCATCTTCGGTTGTGGTTAAAAAGGGCAACGGAAATGAGTTTAACATGACGCGCCTGGATGTGACTCCGAAGGAGATCCAAATTCGCCAAAAGGATGAAAGACAAGACACTTCCACATCTTTAATCAAGCTACCCCAGTCTATTTCAACCAAAAATATCACCGCCGAGGTGACTGCGCCCGTTCCCGAAGAAAACCCTAAATTTCAGGTCATTCTCAATGCTGGACCGGCAAAAGTATTTCTAAGCAGCGATGGCGATGCCGCTGCAACACATCTGCCTCTGGTTGTTCGGAAAGACCCTCGAGCATTAAGACCACAACAATCAGATCAAATCACGGGGAGGGGTGCGAAGATCTCGCATACTGATAGAAATGCCGATGCTGTTCCGGCGCAGTTGACAGAAGCTGCTGATATTGCTTCATCGGAACCAGCAGCTGAGAAGCCACTTGAGGCGCAGTCACCGCAGGCGGCAATTACGAAACTCAAGCCTGAAAAGAAAAAGGGGAAGCTCACAAGTTGGATTTCAAAACAGATGAAGAAGTGAAGACAGTAGTCATTGTGTTGAGATGTCGGGTCTGGCATCCTCTATTGTTGTTTTTAACTTTATACTCGAACTCTCTTACGTACGTCGGGTCCGGCATTTTTCATTGCTGTTTTTCAAGTTATACTCAAACTCTCTCACAGCATAGCATCAACCTACTTATCTAACTCTAGCTAGCATCATCATTCTCTGCTGCATCATGCTCTACTATCTCCTTTAATCCAGTTATTGCCTTGGCATCTTACTCGAGGTTATTCTGTAGGTGAGTTACCAGCTCGTGTACTTACTATTGGGGATTACCAAGAGGCGAAAATCGATCAGAATACTGTTGTTTTCTGGCGATAGAGACAGATATGTTATAAAAGATGACGATTGTATTGTGGCCCGTGAAGCGAGCCGCCACAAACAAGTTGAGAATGAAATAGTTCATTTCCGTCTCACCTGTTAAATTAGATTTGAGTCCCGACGTCGTTCTTCCTTCTGCCCTGACAATCACCTTTCCTTGACCAACGCCTCATCCTTCTCCACATAAGCATCTACCTTGTACTTTCCAAACTCGCGGGCACTGATCCCACGCATAAACAGAATGTCAAGCTCCTCAAACGTCCTCCCCTTTGTCTCTGGCAGCCTGAAGAAAGTCCAAATGAGAAAGGCCAGGGCGCAGCCTCCCCAGAAAAAAGCCGTCTTCCCCTTCCAGTCCCCCGCGGTTGGATTTATCATGTACGGGTTGATGACGTTGCAGATAATCTGCGCAACATAGTACACGATGCGGCTGAGACAGACGCTCTTGTTGCGCAGACGCGTCGACGACACCTCGGAGATGATTGCGTAGCATATGGGCCCGACGGTTGAGTAGTAAATGCCAAGCCAGAGCAGCATCATGCTTGCTTGCGCGTAGTTACCAGCCTCTGAGTCCGGAGCCCCGACGCTGATGAATCCCGTAACCATCAAAACCATAGTAAGAAGACCGAGACCCCATAGATACAGAGTGCGACGACCGAAGATGTGCAGGAGATACCATGAGAAAATTGTGCCAACCGAAGCGAGACCAAGGCCGCCGACGGACATGCTGAAGGAGATGGAGGTAGGCAGGCCGGCCTGGATGAAAAAGTAAGTCGGCGTGCCTCCCAGTGCAGAGCCGCAAAACGGCTGGGCGGCAAAGGCTAAGCAGGCAATTTCAGTTCGTCGAAGATCCACGCCCCGAAAACAGTCCCAGTACGACGTCCCGTCGTCAACCCCCTTTTCGATCTCATTGGTGTGGACCATCATTGCGAGTGTTTGTTTTATTTGGTCAGGGCGGCTGGAAAGCCGAGCGAGTGCCTGCTCTGCTTCTCGATACTTTTCCATCCGAACGAAGTACCAAGGAGACTCCGGAGCAAACCATAGAATGATGAAGAGAGGAACGGGCCATGCCCACTGAATAGAAAAAGGAATGCGGTAAGACCACTCCCCAGCGGTCTCAGAGAAGGCCCGCTGAATACCAGCCGAGATGAGCTGCCCAAGTGCCCAGCAGAGATTGACGTACACGGTCAGATATCCTCGCAATGCCATTGGGCATACCTCAGAGGCGTAGGCTGGAGCCATCGTGGCGAACACACCCCAAGGGATTCCACAGAGAAACTGCCCAACCAGAAGTACGGGCAAGTTGGGGGAGAAGAAGGAGATGAAGATGAAGCAGCAAATGGCGACGAGAGAGGCGAGCAGAACCTTGCGATAGCCAAACTTGTGAGTAAAGTAGCCATTGGCAAAGGCGCCAATTATGGTACCGCAACTGACTGCGTTTGAGAGACCATTCTGCCAACTAGCGGTGACTTCGTAGGTGTCGGTACTGGCTATGTACTGCCCGTACTTGGCTCTGAAAGAAGGCTGGGCGAAGAAGGATTGGATTAGGACGATATCGTACCCTTCCATGATAATGGCGGTAGAGAGAAGGATGGACCACATAGCTGCCTTGGGGTAAAGGCGAATAGCGGTCCAGAACCCTAGTTTATGTTCTCCCTCAGCGGCCTCCTTGGCCATGGAGTGGTCGTTTACGACATGCTCCGCCGTGTCGACATGTTCAAGCTCGCCAAGGGTGGCCCCCTTGTGATCTTTCTCAAAGGACATGGCAATTCAACAAAGTTGAGGTGATGTGATGGTGTAGGGTGATGTCTGAGGCCCAAGGAGGCTCTCTCTCGTATGGCAGAGGGCTGAAGAGGGCTGTTAAGTTGCCTAGAAGACTGTAGATGAGTCTCGGTGGAGCTTCTCATATAATATATGTGAGACGCGGTTTGACCACGCGTATATCAACCCCACAAACGAACATTAGGCTAGAACGACACCGAGGGCCAGCACCCCCGAAAACCATGGAGGTGGAACTGGGGTAATTCGTTGTGGAGGCGGAGTTGTCATATTTCCTTGACACCTTCTTTGCCAGCTGAAGTCCCGGCGGGGAAGTTCTACCCCGCCGGACTTCACTTAGCGCCACGAAACTACGACTGGCTAAGAGGTCAGATGCCCTTTACCAACAGAATCAGGCCATTGAGCAAATCAGCACATGGTTTCTCGATCCCCCATACCAGAGGTGTCTCGGGTGCTGTTGGAGCCTCCTCCCTGCCGTCGATTCCTCGATTTTCCGGCGGGTGGCCGACAAGCATGTACACGCCTTGCTCCAAGATCTTACGGGGAGCCTCTGGAAGGGAAATGTCGCCAACTTTCGAAAGGTGACCAGACATCTTGTGGCCAAGTCGGACATACAGCTGGACCATCTCGTCGTCGCACGGTCGATCCAAGTGTAAGAACGCAGGTTCCGGATCTGCCTCTGAATCTTCTGGATGAGAACGCTGAGACGAAGTATTTTCGTTCTCATTGGAACTCTCAGGATTGCATGCCTGGGGCTGCTGCCTGGCAAGATTCACGGACGTACTGTAGGCCCATATTACGAGAGTTGCGATGAGTATGCCGAACGGCTCTAAAAAGCTGCCACTACTGTAGCGTCGGACATGCCAAAGTAGAGCACCCGAATGTATAACCGAAAGTCTTGCTTTGTATTGGTCGCGCAAAGCCCACTGGAGGATATGGCTCCGCGCTTTAGCAGCTTTGGCACTGTCAACTGCTGAGTTCAACAAAGCCTCCGTAGCCAATGTTTGCAGGTGCTGGGTAGGAGTCAAGAGGAAGAGCCGTGAGAGATGAAGGTGTAGAACAATGGGGGGTTCCCAGCCACCGGATTTACTAATCATGCCGTTGACATTCCAATGGAGTATATCTAGGCAGTCACAGGCACTATTACGCCACCTTGAGATGATTGGTAACGCGGGGGGCCAAGTGTCTTCGACTGGTCTTACAGGTGTGGATTGCTGTACCGCGGCGTTGGGAACCCAGAATATCAGCCTATTCTGGTGCTGAGAACTGGCTTCTCTAGTTCTACGAAGAATAGCGTAGATCAAAACCGTCGTACCGAGGCCTCCGGTGTTTGGAGGATGCCTCTTTTCCATGTACAGCATTTGTACGGCCTCGAGGATGGTCACTATGATTATATGAGACGCGTTAGCCTTCATAGTAAACACGAATGGCCATAACCATAGTCATGACAATAGAATCTCTAACCTGATGTCTTGATATGTTTGGCGGCTTGCTTTATAGTCGTGTGATCCCATAGATCGTCGCAAGTCGGCAAGGGGGTCACGCTCACGTCACATAGTTGCAATAGAGGCGCATGACCAAACTCAAACGTGAGGATAGAATCAATCAACTACAAAAACATTAGCCAATCAATGTTGATCGCCGTGGAGAGAAGAAATTCACATCGTTTTCAACTTACCCAGACCATGAGGCCAGCGCGAATTCTGGACTGCGTCCCTAGCCAACTTTCCAAATCGTCCTTGGTGTGGAGAGAAGTTATCTCTGGTGCCTTGAACAAGTCTAGAAACCGACAGGCATCTACCAGATGATATCTCTCCAACAGTGCTTCCCTTACCGCATTCCCGTTGCCGCTCCCAAGCACGCATACAACATTGAGCACGGCTGCCTGAACAGCTGGCAAGTCAGCAAATTTGCTCGGCGGGTCCGAAAAAAGAAGATTCCGAGGCTCAGAGGCCTTGTCTTTGTGCTCCAGTTGGGACAATGATGCTCGTAGAAGAGCGAATAGGACCTCGCGAGCCTGTTTCGCGTCCGGATTCGTAGAGAATATAGAGCCCACAGCTAGGATACCCAAACATAATATCCAATGACCACTTTCTTCGTATACAGAGGAATCCCGTCTGAGAAATGGATATGTGGGATGAAAGTGCCTGAAATACAGTCGATAGAGATGCTGGGCATCTGCAAACGGTGGAAAGGCACTTGGATCCCAGTTGGGAGGGTGGATATGAGATCTGGACTGGAGACTCTCAAGAAGGTTTTCATAAGCACGAATGGACAGTAGACTTCCTTGTGAGGGCGCAGATTTGCCAGAGTCAGACGTGAAGCTATTGATAGGAGTTGAAGCTTCAGAAGGAGAGTTTACTAGGCCTCCGACACTCAAGATCGATTGTCGTCGATGCGCGCGACCTTTGAACGATGCCCGAGCCTCGCTGCCATCGACATAATAGGTTCCTTCGACAGGGTTGGATATCTCTGATCTTGTTAGGCTGTCGCTGGGGCCCGGGGATGGCATTGGAAGGCTGAGGCTGGGAGTTGTTTGGCTTTCTTGTCTCGTAGGATGGCAACGGACTTCCGGTTCCACCACCCCGACGTTCGCGAGGTCTGGTTCCGTTTGCTGTTGCGCAGTAGCGGTCGTGGGTTGAAACGGCAGGCCACATAGGTCAGGATCAATGGCCCCGAATGTGAAGGGTGGGAGTTGACTGATCCAGTCAAAACTGGCCTGATACTGAGGCGACATCCAATTAATCGAGGGCATGACGAACTCCTCCCCCGCTAGAGGTGGGTTTTGGTTGAAGCTATTATAGAGGTCCTCGGGGTTTGATATTATCACATCGCCGTCCGGAAGCTGCATTGTGTCTCCGTTGACGACAGGGTTTACTGGTTGAGTCATTCCTTCAGCTATCGCGTTTGTGAACACGCCTGTCTCAATACCCGTATCGTTTGACGTTGTCTTCTGCATCACGAGAGCGCGCTCAATGTTGTCCGGTACGTTCGGGTCCCGGAGATTTGATGATACGGGCACCCGCGTCACAAGCGTGCTGTCCTCATCCGCAATGTACTCAAGCCCAACTGGTCTTACACTGTACGCGGCCGTCTCTGGGGATGGACCAAAACCGTCATAATTGCCTCTACTAATAGCATCGATCGGCCGGGTTATCGGGGAAGCCCTGCGCTTTCGAGTTGTCGGATAATTGCACTTGATCTTCTTCTCAGCGCAGCGCCGGCAAGGATCGGTTCTAGAGCACCGCACACGACTCGTTGCGCACTCTTTGCAGGCCCGATTAGACACGAGAGGTCCAGTTGAAGACAGAGGGTCGTTGCGGTGAGAAGCAGCGTGGCGGGATAAGGTGTCGACGCGAGAAAACCTTTTGCCGCATTCTTGGCAGGTAAAAGGCCGCTCGCTGGTGTGTGTCCGTATGTGCCTTGTGAGGTGCTCCTGGCGACGGAATGTCGCCTTGCAATAGTTACATTCGAAGCTGCCTGTGTCGTCACGCATTTTTGCCTTGGATGGACACTTCCAGAGTTCAATGCATGGGCATAAGCCGCCAACTCTTCGACATTGGCATATTCTAGAGGCGTTGAGGATGATGACGGAGAAGGGAAATGTCACAGTTGAGAAATTATTTCCTCGGTCGTCAACGTGGAAAAGAGTGTGGGGAAGGGAAAGGAGGCAGGCAAAGTCGGGGTAACCTTACAAAGTTGGTAGAGCACGCGAGAAAACCCCAGTCTAAGCCTATGATGGCTCGGAACATCAAACAAATGGGTCGATGCATCCTTTAATCCTTGGTAGTGCCCGCACCAATCAGGCGTCTTCTAGGGGGCAATAACACAGGGTTCTCATTAACTTGTACCTTGTTAGTTACCCCTGGTCGTCTACAATGGAAGTTTTATCAATTAATCAGTCGATTGATTCGCTTGGATGATTACCTACTTCTGAAAGCTACCTAGCTACATCGTAAATACAATCCATAGGTAGTTAAGCGGATGATTTATTTAGGTAAACCTACGCCCCTATGAGACTCTCTGACAAAGACAGGCATCCAAGAAAGAGGACAGTCTACTTCAACCGTTTGGCCTCCCTGGAAGACCGTCTTGTTGTCATCCTGTGTCACCCAGGTTTCTCCAGCAGGTAAATACGCCGACATCTTGCGTGCTCCGGGCTTGAACACCGGACAGCACAGAAAAGCGTCACCGTACATGAACTGTTCCTCAATCTCCCAACATTTTGCATCGTCGGGAAACTCGTAGAACAAGGTGCGCATAACAGGAGTGCCATGCTCATGCGCTTCCCTCATCATGCTGCGAGCGTAGTCCCTCATCTCTTCGCGCAGCAACATGTACTTCTTGCATATTTCATATACTGTTTCCCCATATGCCCAAACCTCGTTTGGCCCGCCACTGGGGAAAACCAGCGTACTGCTTTGCCTGGGTTCCCGGTCTCCATGTAAACGCATCACTGGGCAAAACGCACCCCATTGGAACCAGCGCACAAACAACTCGCGGAAACCCTCGTCATCAGGGTTGCCGCCGTGGAATCCCCCTATATCGGTTGTCCACCACGCAAGACCCGCGACGCCCATGTTCAGCCCGGCGGCAAGCTGGTTGCGAAAGCTTTTCCAACTTGACGCTATGTCGCCGCTCCATACGAGGGCGCCATATTGCTGACTACCTGCCCACGCACACCGGAGAAGGTTCACGATATTCTTCTGACCTTCGCTATCCATCCCTTCATAGAATGTCCGTGCATACTCACGCGGGTAGATGTTGCCTACACTCAAATTTGACCCGAGATGATAGCGGTAATTGTCAAAGTCATAGACTGAGTACTCCGGCTCTGCCTGATCTAGCCAAAACACCTTGATTCCTTTGGAATAATAGTTTTCTTTGGCCTTGTTCCAAAGATACTGGCGAGCCTCTGGGTTCGTCGCGTCGTAATACACAGTCTCTCCTTCGAAGGAAAAGTTGGTCCTCAGGCCACGTTCCGTTCGGACCAGGTGCCCCAGTTCCATCATCTCTTCGTAGTTTTCCGACCGCGTGTCAACAGTCGGCCAGATGGAGACCATGAGCTCGACCTTCAACTCTGCAAGCTCGGCCACCATTGCCTCCGGATCGGGCCATGCAGCCGTGTCGAATTTCCACTCGCCTTGCATCGGCCAGTGAAAGAAGTCCGCCACTATCACGTCGAGGGGAAGTCCCCGGCGCCTGTGTTCCCGGGCAACTTCGAGAAGCTCATGTTGGTTTTCGTATCGCAGCTTGCATTGCCAAAACCCAAGCCCGTACTCGGGCATCATTGGGGGGGTCCCGGTCGCGCGGGAATATGATTGCTGGATCTCAGCGGGGGTGTCACCCGCAACCACCCAGTAATCCAACACCTTTGTTGAGTACGATTCAAAGCTGGTGATGTTTTTACCCAGAACCGCCCGACCAATCGATGGGTTGTTCCACAGAATGCCGTAGCCTAAAGAAGAGAGGGCAAATGGCACACTGGCCTGGGAATTGCGATGCGCGAGCTCAAGGTCTAGTCCTTTGAGATCCAGGTGTGGCTGCTGGTATTGTCCCATACCGTAGATCTTCTCCTTCGCGCCCAGGCTTTCGAATCGCATCGTGAGGTGATAGTCGCCGCCGAAGATAGGCTTGAATTCACGTGCCTCGACCTCAATAGCGCTGCATTTCGGGTCAAACAGGTCCCGTCGGTTTCGGCTGTATTCCTCCACCAATATTTTACCAGACCCTGTTTCCTTTATGGTGATCTTGCCACGGCTCGTAATTTCAGCCGTAATCTTGCCGTTTGTGATAGTTGCCGGCCCTGCTGTGCCAGGACAGGAGATCTCTGGTTGGATCGAAGGTGGTTGCTTCAAAGCCCATAATTCAGGGGGCATAGATGCCAACTTGGTAGCGCGCACTCGGAAGGCGTTCGCACCCCATGGCTCTATCCAGACCTGCTCGCTGTCGTAGCGATAGATCAAGCGAGAGGCTTCCTTGTAGAGCATGATATAAGTTTTTCCAGATCTTATTAGATATTATGGACGATGGTGTAGTGGTGGGCGTAGCTTGGATCTCGCCGTTTATACAGATTGGAGGAGTGGAAATTTCCAAGAAATAATGGAAGACAGTCATCTACACGTCAAATATGAGGGTGTTACAATTCACGATTATTTTCTCCACTTCGTCTCCTGCCGAGAGTGGATCAACACTCCTTTGATTGTGTAAGATAGCTCCTATTCAGCCGACTCTGCGTTATGAGTGATTCAATTTCCGATGGAGTCTGGATGCTAGTCCTTGATAGATAGCTGATTGAAGTGAATTTGCCCAGTCGCGAGATCAACGTGACCCCCACCGGAGGCTAATCTACGCCTCCGCCGGACTTCAGTACTTCCCCACCGGACATATGCCAGGATAGGGGGGACATTACGTACTCTCACGTTTCTTACCAGCTGACTTCAGGCTGGATGGCTAAATCCGCCGATACTGTGCGCTATTGGTATCTCTATCACACGTTGGGCTGGGTTGTCCGCCTAGAGATGGAAGCCAGAGTGTACTACAGTACTGCACGAGGGCTCTTCTTGCTTCCCTCCTTACCCATCTCAATCCAGGAATCAGGATGATAACTCTTTCGGTTAGACAAAATATCACAGGTTCAAAAGAAATACAGAAATTATTAGAAAATTCTACAATCTTAACTGAATGATTGATTCCCTCTGTATTGTGCGACTGGTTGTGATCAATCCTTAGTCCTCTAATACCTAAGCTTTCCGGTTGCCGAACTCATTTTAGGTAACTTCTCATTTTTCCAGCCAAAATTAGCAAGGATCTAATAAAAAGTCATGGTTTCATTCCAAGTCTCTGCATAGAGTCTTTAGAATAGGGAGGAGCGTAGTTGTGGGAAACTTTCAACTCAAAATAGTATTGATATAGCGTGAAGTATTCAGGCCCAAAGCAGCCCTGCTATTCAAAGATGATACATTGTCTTTGCCTATATCGACGCGAATTCTACCATTCAGTATCTATTCCTAGTTCAATCGGTCCAGTATGGTACCTGTTCTGTCTCCGCTTAGGCATGGATACTGAGCACTTCATACAACTAAACCCCCTTCCCGTGAATCTCAAATGCGAACGCTGTAGAGTTGGACGGTGGCTCAACAGTTATTTTAAGCTGTCGTTGATTAGCTAAATTAGGCGGCCCGGAGACATTGTGAACGATAACTTACAAGGTTCGAATTGTACTCATACTGCGTAATGCCGAGGTCAACGGGACTACCGGTATCAGCTAGACTCCCATTCCAATCGAATCGATAAGCCTGAACATCAACAGATCCTTCTTGAGGGAGACCTATTGTGTCTAAGCCAGAGATTTCAATGTCATATGTGCTCTTCACCGTACGAGTTCCCGCAATGACTTTGGCGGTAGTGTCGGAAACTGTGGCAAAGACATCAAAAAGAAGATCAGAGGAAATGGATGTAGCGACCCGATTGCCTATCATCCCAGCATAGTACTTGTAGAGATACCATTCACCGTTTGGATGGTATGTACCGTCGACGCTGAACACAAGGTTCGCCATATCGTCATGCAAACCAGAGCCGCTCCCCCAGTTTGCGCGGAGGCAACGTGCGTTGTGTCGTTCGCATTGAGCAATGAAGAAGACGGAATTCGCCGGGTTCTGCTCAGATGGCCAGGCATATTCGTTGATATCCAATGGGCGGTCTGGCAGACTGTAGTTGGCTCGAAATACATCGAACTCTGGAATGGTTCTCTCTGGTTCCCTCTCCCAGCCCCCAATCTGGTGCCAGGAGTAGATATCAGGGATAATGTTTCCCTTTCCGGACACTGTTTCGACCCAGGTTCTCCAGGTTTCTCTGTCGAGACTTGGAGAGTGTGCCATGGAAGGTCCGCTTATTAGCGTGTTTGGAAGCTCGATCCTGGAAAAGACAAACAGTAATGAGCATGAGATAATGTTATCCTGTCTTAGGGAAAGGGCTTACCTGAACAGCTCGGTCGCGTGCACATAATACTTGAGATACTGCTCCCATGTACGAGCCCAGAAGATCTCGAGCTCTGGTTCATTCCAAATGTCAATCACAAGACCGTCAAGCATATTATTGGCTTGAATATCGCTGACAAGCTGGTTAATGAAAGCATCCACCTCAGTCCAGTCTTCGTTATCCCCAGGGAAGAGCGCATCATTGCCCGATCCGCCGTCTGCGCCCCAGAGGTCATGAACCAAGAGGATGAAATCGCCTCCAAACTTCCGAGTAGTTAGATAGTTGGACAAGGTCGAGTTGAACCGCCCAATGTATCCTTCGTACCCGCCAAATGCCCACCCCTTGCTGGGGTCAGGCAGCTGAGCTCCTCCCGCACGGCAAGAATTGAATTTGATGTCAGACGCGAAATTCTCCGGGATTGAGTTGTCCGCGTTGACACCGTTATCTGGCCAGCCATATATGAAACCAGACGCGAGGAATTTGGCATCTCCAATGGACTCAGCCAAGTTGACTGTCGCGGTCCCTGAAGATCTCTGGCCAAGTAACCCCGTTACACCAGTAGTAGTAAGAGCGCAAATAAAAGTGCGTAGCACGGCAAGCTTCATGTTGGGATTGAGTTGGCAGCGTCAAAATTGGTTATGAACAAGTTGTTGATATTTCAAGAGAGGCAGCAATGTCATTCCCGCACGCTTAGTCTTATACTGCCAGTGTCTTCGACATTTCAGACCAATCTCCGCCGGAGCGAACTGGCCAAAGCAAAGGAAGAACCGCCTGTTCCCATTCGCGCGGTCTGATAAATTATCTAGGCAGATAGAGAGACTTTGTGTGGACCAAGTGACCTTCCACGACGGGTAAAAGGCAGAATGACCATATGGTGTTGCCTCTGGCATGCGGGGAAGCATCTGCACTCCGCGGCCACCGGGGCGCTCCCCCATGATACTACCCCACGGGGGCAAACTTCTCCCACCGGATTCTCTGCGTGAATGAGGAACTCTCTAAGTGAAACGCGGGTCTAGTCCACCTTTCACCCTGCTCATGTTCTGTGCGGTATCACCTGACGTGATGTGTTGACTTTTCAGGAGCTGATTGGGTCTAATAAGCCCATTCCTGGTTCTGTATGCGCGAATTTGCTTCCAAAGAGCCCAATTAGCTTGTGTGGCACAGGGAAAGAATATCCTTAGACGCCTTTTGGTGAACTTTGATTCCAGGTTCTCTCCTAAATGGGCGGTTAGGAAGATTAGGTAGGAGCAGGTTTGCATGAGAATAAAGACTGTCAGACACGTACCAATCATGTGGGGAAACTCACAGCGCACTAGCAGTCGCTGTATACTTCGTCCGTACACGATATGGTGTCTTTAATTATGCTACCAATGAAGCTGGTGTAGCCATCAAGTCTCTTGAACCTACACAAGGAAGGTAGGGAAGCCGTAAGTTTTACAAGACCGAGTCGGTGAAGGCTTCACTCGGGCGGTCGGACAGGGTTGTGGCAGCACATCTCTTCTGCATTGCCAGCATGTAAAAATATAGTTCTCGTCAAAGTTTAAGACTAACTAATGGAAACGCCTCTAATCTCGCCAGTGACTCGTGTTTCCCTCCATTTTATCTTATGCTTAGTAACCCGATGCCACCAATACAAACGATCATTCTTCGGAAGTTTCATACATCCACCATCCAATTACAGGTTCAATAGTGTCGAGACCTGACGCGTCGCCGTTGTGCGGTTGGATCTTGGTGCCCAGGGGATCTAAATCTATCACTGGCCATCCGCTTCTGGTGAACCGGCGCCCGACAGAGCCAGCCAACAGCCTTGTTTGATACATGGTTCCGCTGTAGTCCAGCTTGACTGGAACGGAGGCATATCCAGCCGGGATATCATTTGTTTCGACGGGCAGGAAAATACTATTTCCGATCCTGCAAAACTCGAGTTCAGAGCCGAAGCCAGTGTTGCGGATGAGCTCTCCGTCTCCCGACCAGAAACAGAATGCTGTCATCCAGCCCGACAGGTATGTTGGCCCTGAGCCGCCACTTTTGTAGTGGGCAATCTTGTTCCAGAACTCCTTCACATCAACACTATTTGGCTGGTCAAACGTGAGGATGAAGTAGTCAAGAACTGTCTTGAGCCGTTCTGCAAACTGAGCGGGTTCCCTTCCCCAGCTGGCAATCTTGCCAAGACGATTGCGCAGCTTTGTCCAGTCTTCCCTCTCACCTTGAAGAGTCACCGAGGGTATTCCGCACATCATAGTCGCTTTGTAACTAAAGTGTTTCTGCAAGGTTCCCATCATGAGAATTGCTGCGACTACCCTATCATTGTCCTGAGTGGTAGTGAAGTCGGGCATAATCCAGTCTCTGAGCTGCGCATCAACAACGTAGTTTTGAAACTCGCGCGACGTGGCGACGGCCATCTGGCCAAAGTCGATTGTGTGAATGGTACCGAATACCTCTTTTTCGACTTCCCTTTCCCCCCCGCGCGGGACAAAAACAGATTTTAGTTCCTCGGCATGCTTGTTTATGTAAAAGCTCAGCTGAACAAGGATGGAGAACCAGACATCTTCGGGTCGAAGTTTCAAGTGGTAATGGTGACTGTATGCTTGGAATGCGGCATAAACGAACCCATTGCTCGAGCCGTGTATGTGATCGCTGGCCACATCCTGAAAGGAAGATTGAATCATCGTCTTGCATTTCCGAGCCTCGTCAGAGCATGCTGACCAAAACAGTTCCGCAGACGACGTCACCCCAGGCTGCTTCCAAGCTATAGGCGTGGTCCTCGCGGGGTACACTGTCACAGGCATCTTTCTCTACCGAAAGGGAGGTGGCAAACTGAGATGGGCGACGAGGGTCGATGCGATGACTGATGACGGCTTGTAGGACTTGGGGCGGGTGTTGTGGATGGGCCAAGTTCTGTCCAGTCACCAAGGTAGTACGCGTGTGGTGTATGTACACGGCCACCAGGCAGCAGCCGCCAACTACAATCAAATTAATAGTCGGCGAGTCTTGAACTGGCCACTTGGCACTGGGTACGTACCTTCTGTAATGAAACCAAACCATCATACTTGCTTCGTGGCCTTAAGCATCAACCTAAACCCTAAATCCGTGCTTAATGTATGCATGGTCTCCCTTCAGCGCTGCTTTGGGGCGGCTGGCCACTGCGATAGCCACTCAGCGGCCCCGACTTGCACGAGCTGATTTGCCTGTGACTAATCCCCTAATGGTGTTGTCAGCAGATATATTCATTGTGTTGAGATGTCGGGTCTGGCATCTTCTATTGTTGTTGTTAACTTTATCCTCGAACTCTCTTTCGTGTTGTCTGCAGATAGACGTGCGGCTGAGCCTGAAGGGCAGTGGTTGGCACATTAATCTTTCTCCGCTCCTTTATTTAGTTCAGCTAGACAGCCACAACATCAATAGTGGCATCAGCTGGCTCATAGTTTAACCAAAACGAGATGGCCCCTCTCTGGCATGGAGGTGCTGATCCCCGTGATGGGTGCTAGGATTATGTTCAACGGGCAATCTATTGGTCGGTTGTCTACACTGCCTCCGGTGCTTTTTCAAATATAAGATGCTGACTACCACCTCCAGATCAGACAATTGAATTGTCATGTTCCACTCCAGCCCAGCCTTTTTAACTTCCAATCGTTCACAATGGCACCCGTCTACGCTGATCACCCCTTCCCTCTGATCCAAACTCCAAATTACAAATTAAAAAAAGATGGCAAGCAGCCTGAAAGCTTCGATAACACCGCATCCTTGATGGGCGTTATTCATAACACGATATTGCTGGGCCTCAATTCGATTTATCTCCAGGCTCCAAATATCACACCCAAGGACCAGAAGGCATTCTGCGCCTACATATTAAAATGGCACGAATTTCTCGATCTGCATCACAAGAACGAGGAGCTCGAATTCTTCCCCACTGTTGAAACGCTAGCTGGTGAGAAGGGGATAATGGAACCCAATGTCAAACAGCACCAAGCCTTTGAGACCGGTGTAAATTCGTTCATCTCCTATGTCAAGGATTGCCAGAATGGCAAAGAAAGTTACGATGGAGAGAAAATTTCCCAACTGATTGATGAATTTGGGAACACTCTTGCGGGTCACCTAGCAGACGAAATTCCAACGCTGTTGAGTCTCAAGAAGTACGGTGATAAGATGGACACATTATCAAAGGTGTTTGATGAGGACGGTGCCAAATCAATGGTCAGTTTACTTCTCATTCTTGCAATACCGAATATCATTTCGATTTCGGTTCCCACTCGCGGCTAACAATTCAAACAGAAAGCGATGGGCCTGAGTGGGTTGTGCTTCTTTTTCGCCAACCAAGACCTTCACTATGAGGAGGATCTCTGGGCCGATTTCCCACCTGCGCCGGGTTTCATCAAATTTCTTTGCCGTAACGTTGTCTGGTGGAGTAACACTGAACTGTACAAGTTCTCCTCCTGCGACCGCCTCGGTAATATGAGACCCTTGTATGCGGCACAATGAAGTGTGAGCAGCGGTACTGTAAGTGTCTTCAAGTGCGGCTCTAATTTGCTCGTTGAGTATCTAAAACCATATTAGTCTTCATAATCGTGTATTATTAAAATGTGATTACAACAAACAATTCATCTTTATATTATCCGCTTCCACATATCTTCTAGCCCAAATACCTCGCAGCCTTGGTAAAATTTCAAATACCTGTTCAGGAATATGAAAACAAAATCTCAACAAACATGACCGTATGACAAGGAGCCCGGGCATGAAAATAACCTGGCGTAAAGCAGCAGATCGCTATTGAACTGAAACCACTGAGATCTGTTGATTCTCCTTCCCTTGTTACTCTTAACGGCAGCTAGAACGCATGCAGTTAGCTTATTTAATGTTCGGCTACCGTAATTGTTATCTCGGGACCCATCCGTGGCCCAGATTATCAGCGAGTGAGCGAGCGGGGTTTTCTAATCCACCAATTCCTCGACATCCCTCTTGCCACTGAAGGCTTGTCTGCCTCCTACATCCCGTGATGGACATAGGTAACTCTCCTTCAGATACTGGTACACGTTCAAATCCTATTTCAGGCAAGCGAACGCGGAGAAAGAACTCCAAATCCCGGCAGGGCTGTTTGAGGTGCAAAAGCAGGCGGGTAAGTCTGAATGGAGATAAGAGTGTTTCGTCTTCGGCCTTTCAGCTGATATCTAGCAGGTAAAGTGTGATGAAGTCCGACCAGAGTGTGGAAACTGCAAGAAAATTAGCCGGCAATGTCCAGGGTTTCAACAGGAGCTTCGTTGGTCAAAGAGGCATGAGCGAGGCGTTGTACCGCCATCCAGCGATGATAATTCGGCAAGTCGAATCGTGGACCTAGAAGCAATTCGAACTGTCCGACGGATCGTAGACACCTCTGACGAATCGAGTATTCCTCATGGTCGACTTAACACATCGACGGCCAGCTCCGAAACTGTCGCTGATGACTGGTTGCTTTCGCTGCCTACAACCTGGCAGGCCACGACATCAAGCTGCGATGTACAAGCAAACTATAACTCGACAGGAAATAAAGACACCAGCATCGAGGCCTCGATCGGCTGGGCATCTCAATATCACTCACCGGGCATCTCAACTCCCATTTCTACCCCTAAATCTCTACAATCTCCCGCCCATCTACCAACAACCCTGATTGAATATTGGTTCCGCCACGTTTGCCCCATGTGGTCGACTTTCGACTCTGAAGTGAACTGGAACAGGCGACTGGCTCGAGGTACATGGACCACATCAAAGGCTGTTTTCTTCACAATGCAGACCATGTCGGCAACGTGTTTAATAGATGTGATGCCTCAGCTCAACAAGACCTTGGAGTCGGCGCGAGCACAGGCCACATCGACCATCCTCGAAGGTATGGAGCAGGCGAGAGACGTATCTCAGTCACCCAGGGTGGCAGCTGATCTAGTGTTTGCGGTATTTGGACTTGGGACCTCATCCCACTGGGCGGCTTTCAGTGACCAGAAATACCCGTGGCTGGAGTTTGCTCGCGAATTGCTCTCCATCTGGAAGCTTGAACTCTCCAAACTGGACGAGCTATTGCATGAGTACTTTTGCCAGGCTCTCACCTACTGGGAAATGATAGCGCTCACGGAGAGTTGCAGCTCCATCCCTGCCAAACTGCGAAGAAAGCGACGACAATACCAGGATCGACTTCGTTTAGCGATGCACTTGCCGGATAGCAACGACACATCCTATCAAGATACGGAGATGCCTTGGGTTCCTCGCCCAGATCTCTTTGGAACACGGCCGAATTCATGGTGCGGTGTTTCGAAGGAGGTCATCGACGTCTTTGGGCAAGTTTTGGCTTTGTGCCGCGGCGCATGCGACACTAACAGACCTCGAAGCACGCTGACTGTGCTGGCGACGAGTAATGTTCTCTGTGACATGGCTCTTGCCCACGAATTCCAGAGAGAGCTTCTTGGTATGGACTTTGATGCCCTGATTCTTCAGGAAGAGGATCACGGCTTCCCCGTACAGACACGAGACGACAGTACGCCAATCTCACATCTGCTGTTGACTGCGGAAGCCTATCGGCAAGCTTCGCTTCTACAATTGCATCTGAGTTTCAGTGACTTGGAAATGATAGAACATGGGAAGGGTTCTGCTGGTACACCATTCAATGGAGAATCATCCCAGATGAAAGGAGATGGGCAGGCGCGAGCGGAATTCGTACTTAGAATGACACTCGAGCTCGTGGAAATACTGAGACAAATCCCTGCCCAGTCCGGTTCGAAATCTATCCACCCAATGCTCTACGTTTCTACCGCCGCAGGGCTTCGATATGATACTTGGCCAGAAACGCAAGATATCTCCCAGGCTTCTGGCTCTGCTAAGGCGGCCAGTAGCCTCACAAGAGCTACGTTGAGTGATGACCGGGGCCCATTTCTCCCAGCGCACGCTATGGAGATATCAGCGGCGAGGAGGTTTGTCTGGACACGGCTGAGCGGTCTCCAACAGGCATTCCCGGAGAGGACTAGTGATAGCACATTGCGGCTTGTTAAAGCAATATGGAAAGAGTACGATGACTCACAGTTTGGGCGTTCGTGTACACATTGGCTTGACGTAATGGCGGAGACTGGTCTTGGTATTACCTTGTGGTGAATAAAGAAGCTGGCCAACGTTGGTGTCAGATGGGCACGTTTTATCAAAGGCTGATCAAGTATTACTATCAATCTGATTTACTCCGTTCCTCACCCTGTTCCATCACCATTCAGTGTGCTTCGGCATCTCGTGAAAAGACCACGATGCGACAAGAGTAGAAGTCTACTAACTCAGTGTCATCCCTGCTAATCATGTCAGTCCTAAAAGACTTGGACCATCCTGGAACTACCAGGTCCTGGGGGTCATCCTCGTTGCGATTCTCATCGTCAACTTCAACCTCCACCGTCCGTAATGCACTATGGGCCTCATCCATAAGCAGCGTAAGAGCAACTCTTGTTGCTTTGCTATGGGAAGGACGTATGTGAATAGATTCAAGTGTTGGTGGCAAGGAAGTCCTCAATCCCATTTTCAGCTCATCCTCATCCTCTTCATTGAACTCCCCGAGCTCTTCAACACTGATCTTGAGGCTTCTCAGGCGGCTCAGTGCGCTCAGAGGTCCTATGTGCCCATCCACGACGTAATATTCTCGAAATGCTATGGTTTCGAAGTCCAGTGACTCCAAGCTCTGCCCATACCTTCTGAATACAACGCCCATCTCATCAAAATTAACTCCGTCACCATCTGCATCTGCAAGCATTCTGATAACAGGGGCAAGGACTATATGAAGATGGCGCAGGCGGCAGCGGCGCAAAGCATTGGCCAGGCCCCTCGCGTCAATGAGGCAGTTCTTGAGTTGCAGAGTTGTAATATTGCTCACAGCATTATTCCACTTCATAGCCCTGACTTCCTCTTTGGTCCAGCGAAAGGCGAACAGCCGAAGAATCTCGAGCCCGGGGTTAAGAAGAACACCCTCGATGAAGCGAACTCTTTTGAGGAGGTAACGGCCATGCCGGAGGCGCACCTCCCTTAGGAGTGTCATAGGGTTGCCAGACACGGGACCAAGCAGTTGGCCGACTGGGACGTCGCCGGACTCGTTGTTCCCGTCTCCATCTTCAGAAGCGGTCTCGGGTCCAGTATCATCAGCAACATTGTCATCATCTATGTCGCCTTTGCCGTTGAGAGCCATCGCTAAATGATCGTCTTCCACGTCTTGCCTGCCACTGAGATACGCTGCGATGCCCCTGATTGACGACAGGATGTCCGTGTAGTCCAGAATCCGCAGCCGAGGCGCGAGAAGGAGCAGGACAAGGGCCACATTCCCACTCTCTGCCTCCACCCATCTTTTCAGCCATCTCTTTTGCCTCTCATCAAGATGCTTTGGCGAGGCCCCAAGCTTCTTGGCAAAGTAGTCCACGTCAAAGTTTGAGACCCAACTATCAACACGGAGCCCCCGAATATTGTTACCGACCAACGGATCAGCGCATAGGGCATGCGTGAATGTGTCCAGAAACTCATCTTTCGCGCGCCATTCGGACCGGAACGCCAGAGTGCGGTAAATCAGCGGGTGCGCGACACTGCGAAAGCGATGGCATACTTTTGAGAGTGCAATGAGGTCGCGAGGTCGGGGGTGCTGAGGCTCCCATTTGCTGTAGCCCTGCTCCCAGTCCTGGAATGGGATCGGGGTCTCACAGTGTTCGAAAATGCGATGAAGGATCTCGACCGGCAATGAGATCATCATTTTGCACGTCTGGTCGACTCCGGGTAGGCTCATCCTGTCAATAGCGGCCACGATATGCCTGTTTGTAAGAGGAAGAGGCAGCGTAGCCTTTTGTTCAAATAAATACACCGCGCTGTGGCGGCGTGCATTAACGGGTGAGACAGACCCGGTTTTCTTTCATTTAGGGGGCATGTGTATTACTGCAGGCTGCAGCTAAGCACCGCTTGATAGGCTGTCAGTTGAAGCCATCCCCAGATAGGTACGCAGTGCGAAGCGCCCAGCCAGCATGGAAATGCGAATTTCACGCTATCGGGTAATTGAGTTTCATCGATTAGGTTGTACAATCTTGCCTATCTTACTCATACCGAGTTTAGACCACGTCTATTCATTCGACAGGTAACATGGCTGCCCCAGCCCAAGTTCCAACCCAAACCTTATCCTATAGTACTATCGGCCGTTTCGCATGTCTCTTCTTATCATATATACCGAGGTGATCATCTAGCTCGCACTATGTAATTAAGTGGTGAAAGGATTGCAGGCGATGCCCAAACGATCCGCCTCTGCTTGCAGCTTCTTGTTCTTCCTCACCAAGTGCCACTTGACCACGCTCGCCAGGCAGATGGCAAGCCCCGCGAAGACGATCTGCAAGATCATGGCCATGGTGTACCGGGGCGCGTCCCTGTCTGGGAAGAAGTAGGGCGAGATGACATTGCCCAGATGGCCAAAGATGTTGACAATGGCGCCGCCGGCTGCCCGCTTCTCAGGGGTCTGGCCGAGCGTCGACACGGCCCAGGTATACTGGAGGGTGTTTGCGGAGAAGCAGCCAGCCGCGTAGAGGAAGGTCATGGCATACCGGACTGAGGGGTTGCCGGTCGCGACAGTGACGATGAATCCGACGACCGAGCATGACAGAGGAATGATGATGTGCAGACCACGTTCACGGCGGCGATCAGAGTCCCATGCGACGTAGAATGTGCAGAGCGTGCCCCAGACATAAGGAGGGGCAGTCATCAGTAGTGAGGTGATTCTGGTCCCAAAACCTATTTCATTGTTAAATACGACACAAAGGAAATCTTTGAACCTTGAACCACGTACCTAGTCCGTTCACGATAGTAGGGAAGAAATTGTTGAATCCATATGAGGAGGTGATGAAGATGTTCAAGAACAAGAACATGTAAAGCTTAAGATCCGTGACGGCAAGCTTAAGTCCGTGCATAACGGTAGACTTCTCGGAGTACTCAACTCGGTCATCGAGAATTCGCGCGGCGGCTACTTTGCGCATATCCTCCGTCATATACCACATCGCGCCTCCACTGGTGGAGTCGGGATAGTTGGGTAGGACAAAATAAGCTGTGATTGCAAAGAAGCCGCTGAGAGCGCCCTCAAGAATGAAGAGCCACTTCCATCCGGCAAGGCCCATGGGGCCATCGAGGCCCGCGAAGACGCCGGCAGCAATCAAGCCAGAGAAGGCTTGGGCGAGGACCAGGCCGGAGTAGAGCAGGGCAACGCGAAGAGCGAACTCCCGGCGAGTATACCAGCAAGACATGAGGAAGACGGCCTACATGACACGGTACTTAGTAATTAGAGTAGCAAGCAGCAGGGTTTCCACGTACGCCAGGGAATAGTGGCGCTTCGACGATGCCTAGAATAAACTGGACGCCCCAGAGACCCCCAGCGCTGGTGCAAACAACGGTGAGGGCCGAGACACCTGACCAGACGAAGGCAGCGACAGGGAGGTAAACGGACGGTCGCAGTCGGGTGATGAGCATATTCGATGGCAGCTGGGCAACCATATATCCGACAGTCAAGATAGCAACTGCGGTCTGAAAGAACATTAATTTCCAATTGCCGTTGTGCGAAACCGTTTCAACGTACCTGGTAGTCTCCATCTTTGAGATTGAGATCCTCATTGAAAGTATTCAAGCGGGCCTGGGCAATGTTTGTACGGTTAAGGTAGTTGAACATGTAAAGAATCCAGAGTTGTGGAAGCATCCAGATGTCCAGCTTGCGGACAATCTTCTTCTCCAGCTCCTTGGTGTTTTCTATCCCAAGTTGAGCGACGTGATTGATGTCCGCACATACTTCCGTCTTTTCTTGGACGTACGATGGGACAGTGGTCAGTTGAGCATCATTAACCTGGCTTCCTGCCGTCTTCTCTCCGGCAGCACTGGTATCAGTGTCTACCTTGATATCCGACATGTTTGAAGAATGCCTTGACAAGAGAAATTCGGAAAATGGGAAAGCAAGTGCGAGTAAAGAGTCATGGCATAGCACAACGATATGCATCTCTCCTTTATAGTTATCCCGGGTGGCCTGACCAACAAATTTTCCATGATCTCCGCATCTTCGCAAGGGCACTCTCCCAGGGTTAGTGAGGGAATTCGGACATCGGCCGAGTACACAGGGGGCCCAGAATGGCACTGATACGATGGCCAAGGAAAAGCCAAGGGGCGAAACGAAAAGCAACAGCTTGCCAAGGTGAGGGGGAACATGTCATCTGCGGCTCCATCACCGTCATGGTCCGAATAGACTTTGACGGCTACCCTAGCATATTCTAAGCTCATGCCAAGCCAAGCAGCTAGACAGCCGAGTGAGTATCTCCTGCCTATTTGGAGACAAGGGGATTTTCTAACCCACACCCCAGTCGTCCGTGCCACCCTTAAATTGCAACGTCACGGTTACACACTCGCCAAGATAACATACATAAATGCCTCTCTGACCGCTGGTCCCATCGCGTGCTCTGGTACTCCGTAACTTGGATGACATCTTGAAGGTAATCACAAGATCATCACGGATATCCCGGCCGGAGACTGGCGTGATCAGCTATAGGTCTCAACGATAAATCAGTTGTTTCTATAGTAGCTGAGTAGGAGATGAGTATGTATACTTTGCCACTCTCTCAAACCCTCATAGAACTCATGTATCGGCGACAGGTCTGTGGTGATGATCGTTACCTTCTTAATTCCCGCTGCACTTCAAGGCCCAGATATTCTGTTAAGAATACAGTTAGCGTCTGAAGGAACACGCAATAGAAGGCTTCTAGATTATTCCGAGTAATGATGAAAGATACCATAGATACACTTATATGCATTGGGATGGAGCAGTTTGGGGTTTGTATCTTGATGTACTGCCAAGATTTGGGGAGAAAATGGGGGCTTATGAATCGCCAACGTTTGTAATGCCTGAGACCAGCAGAACGCTTACTCCTGGTCCATTGCAATTCGCCAATCCTCACTCCAACTCTCTTGGCCGAGCTTGGCATATGGGGAAGAGTGTGGGGTTGTTGCGGCGCATGAAAACAAGGTTATTCAGAAGGTTGTTTTCTCTCTCCGGCCGCCCGCGATTATTGATTTTCCCGCCCCCTATCACACCCCCACCCACCCATCCTTTTCTTATTTGCGTTGATATTTGTCGAGCCTGGCTCCTTGCTGTCATATCGAACCGGATTTTACGCGTCAGCACCGACATGTGGCCAATCAACCCAAGACTCACTCTCCACAAAAGGGACCCTGCCAGACTTGGTGGTAACATTCCTGGCTTGACGCGCTTCATGCCATTATTTTGTTTCGAAAGGAGAAAACAGGGATACGCGGGATCCTCGAGACCAATTCTCCACCATCTGTGTCTACCTACAGGATCGTCCAAATTCCCATCGCGGCCCCACGCTGCCAATTTTCTCTCAAACGGAGCGTGGTTTTCTCCTTCCTACAGGGGATGTAGCCGCCAAGGCGAGAGGCGGGAATTAATTCAATCGGTGAGAGACAGAGAAAAAAATGGAAAAGATTTTTGCCACTGTTCGCACAGAGAATTTTTCGCTACATGCTAGCCATGAAAGCGCGTGATTTATTACTCGTAACGTGTTGGGAGGTGGATCGATGATACCCTGAACCAAAGAGTTTGATCGGGAGTCGGCAAATACATCCTCATGACCAAAATATGGAGCTCAAGATGGAACAGGTTCATCCCGCCATGCATTGGCCTTGATGTCTTTTCATTATGATACCCTTCTAGAGCAAGAAGTCGAAGAGAAAATATAGAACACCTTGGTGATCAGCCGATTGGGCCACGCCCTGCACCATTCACGTACTCACTTCTCCCTCGGTTCGACCGATGACACCAATCAGCAACATGGAGACTAACCGCAAGCGATCACAAAAGCCCAAAGTCAGAATAACTAGGTGCAAGAACTCTCATGGAGAAGTTTAGTGATCTGAAAAGAAGGACGTTGATATATGAACACCAACAAGGTAACATATATCAGGTTGTAATCTATTTGTCACCCTGTCTTGTTTTTGAAGCCTTGACATCACACAATTTACGAAGATATCTAAGTCTCCGTTGGTATTCCGTTCGGATATCGCGGTCCGGCAGGTTCAAACCCGTCCACGATGTCGCTGATAGCCTTAGACTCCTCCTCCGTGAGATCAATCACTCTTGTGTTTTCCTGAACCCTTGAAGTTGTGGTTGCGCCCGGAATGGGGATAATTTCGGGCATATCGGAGCGCTTGCTCACACTTCTCACCCAGGCGATTGCAAGTTGTGCCATGGTGCATCCTTTCTTGTCGGCGAGCACCTTGACTTGCTCGGTAAGCTTCAGATTGTGTGCAAGGGCTTCACCTTGCAGGCGAGGGAAGTGTGAAACAATGCCGAGGTGTTTCGTGTCAGCATCAGTTTTGAACTGACCAGTCAAGATCTAGCGGAGATGGTCAGAGTTAACTCAATAATGAAAATACGTTAGAAAAAACGCCGAGAGAAGAAGATACTGACTCCACGGCCCAAAGGCGAATATGCAACAATAGGGATGTTGTACTGGGCGCACGCTGCGGCAACTCCATTCTTGAGGATATTCGGGGTGAACATGCTCAACTCGACCTCAACCGCGGCAATTTTAGTGTGCTTGACAGCCTCGTGGATTGTATCCACGCTGCACTCGGAAAGAGATATCCCCCCAATCTTCCCAGTATCCACGTACTCCGTCTTCAAGACCTCGATTGTTGTTTCCAGAGGCACACGGTGGTCTCTCCTCGAGATCCCAAACACGTCAAGCTTCTTCTTACCGCCTAGCTGACGAAGCACATTATCAACGCATCGCCGGACGGCCTCGGGTGACCCGTCAGGGACCAAAGTCTGCACATGCTGGAGGCCCTTGATAACTATGGTCACGCGGTCGGCGTCTTCTGGATATTTGGTGAAATAACTCTTGATAAGAGTCATACTGTTGTACTCCGGAGTTCCGTAGAACTCAGCCCCGTTCCAGAGGTTGGCACCAGCCTCAAGGGCCGATTTGAGGACTTCGACAGCCTGCTCGATAGGGATAGTTTCTGGTCTCCAGGTAAAGCCTGGGAAGTGAGATATGAGCCACGTGTCGTCTAATCAGGGTGCGCAGTTGCAATGAGTCTTACCCATCAGGCCATACCCAATAGGGCCGACATTGTTTTGCAAAATCAGTGGCATCGTTCTAGTGGAGAGCTGGTAGTCAGCTTAGCGACGGTGAAGAAGAATCAAGCAGGTCAAGTGTATGAGGATAGTCGGTTTGAGGCAATTGCGATCCGGAAATAATTATAGCCAGAAATGCATCGCTCTCGCGTCACGGTGACGCTTTTAACTCCGCTCAAACTCCGGTCGGATCACACGGTGGGATGCACATTTCTAATAAAGTGGGATGTTTGAAAACGCAAACCGAGAGGGATGGCCCATGGATCATTGGTAATAATGGTCATCATTTAAAATAAGACAATATCTAATCAAGTATAGTGTGAAATATTGTCTTTAGGCCTTTCGAGGTTCGGGTGTGACTCTTTCTGCTGCGCTCGTCACTGTAGCCTACCTATCTTAGAGTTTCCTTGGTTAATCAAACTCCGCGAAAATAATACTAAACACAGCAGCGAACGATTTCTCAGAAAGCAACAGACTTGTCACTAGGCAAGTTCTGGCATATGAGGAAGAGGATAGAAAGTTCCCACAACCTGTGTCGATGAATTCTCAAGTTCTGGAACAGGCGCCGGAGCACAACATACACCCGTGACTTGTACAGATGTGTCACCAAGCTCTGAGGCAAGAGAAGGAGTATAATAAGCCTGAGAGTCCATTGAAGTGTCTCCCAACTCCGGTGTTTGCGTGGTGGATGTCTCGACCTCTTTTTTTAAGGCTGCATTGAAAAGATCCCAGAAAACCATTTGGGGATTCTTCTTGGTCCAAGCCCCAAACATGTGCGTGAGAGCGCCCGTGAAATGCTCCTCTTGAATGAATGTCGTCGCACCAGGATTCACTTTGCTCGGACTGAAGTAGAAGTTGCGTTTCCCAGAGAAGCCCGGTAGAGTTGCTTCCCACGAGAAGCATTCAGCTGAGTTTTCCTAGCGCAGACCGTCTTAGTTACGTGACAACTGTTTAACTGGTTGGTAGTCTATGACGTACCTAGATATATGAGCGAAAGGTGACTCCATGGATGTTGACTCTCAAACGACTTCCGATGCTCAAATTGAACTTGGTCTCGTTTGGGCGGTTGGGAGTGATCTCCCAACCCTGTTGCCAATATTTATATCTGGGAAAGTCCAGAAACTACGTGACATCTCAGTCTTTCGTCGTTTCATTCCAGAGGGATACCGAAATATGGAAAACATACCACTGACCGGACGGAAGCTGGTGAGGCTTTGATCTCAATCTGGGACGACACGGTGATGGGTCTACCCATGGTGTTTGGAAAATGAATCGTCGAAAATAATATGGTTGGTTGTCAGTCACGAGAGGGATTGGCGGGTGGTTTTGTTTATCGTATTAGCAATTACTGGTCGGCGGGTAGTGCTCGCTAGGGCCAGAAAATATTAGATTTGGTGCAATGTCAAAAAGCCTTAAGAATAGAAAAAGCTATTCCTCTTTTTTATGAATTTGTTGACATATTGACAATGAAAGCTATCAACTGAGACGTGAATGTTCGGCCGAACTTGATCATGCCGATCGGCCGATGCTTCCATTTGGCCCTTCTCCCAAAAGTCTCAAGTGCCGGACGATGACCGATGGAAGCGTTATTGGCTGACCTAACTCCACCATCTGACATGCACCTGGCTCCGAAAAACCCCGAGCTGAAGCCGATCTCACCAAGCGACTTGCGCAGGGGTGTCTCGCGCCAATCTCGGCCGTCTCTCGCGCCCGTCAAGCCCAACCTGAGACGGCAAAATTGATGGTGAAGCTAAGGTACAAGAATAGGCGTAACTAAGGGGAGAGTGGAGAAATAAGTAGGTAGCAGAAATTGTATCTTGGGCGATAGAAAGACCACTTTATGCAATGAAAAGAACAATTCAGCAGTATGAAATTATTAAAGTAGCAATGTATACTACACTATCTCTTGTATTTGTATTATTATTGCCCAATAATCTGATAATATTGGTCGAGACTTGAAGAATACGCTACTTAGTGTTTGGTAATGTTTAATTCAAGGTCATTCAGTTGACAATTTATGTTGATGAAAATCGTGATGGTTTTCCTTGATCTGTATCTCTGACCATATTACATCATTGTATTAACTGAATATCTACGGATTGACTTAAGGTATCGATTTGAAAAGCATCCATCTGTGATATCTGCGTGTCTATTGTTAACAGTTCGTTGGGATAACCATTATAGGGTACCCTTTGGAAAACTTGCGGCTGCTAGTTGAAGAACAACTCTCTACTCTACCCTTGGTACATTCGCTGGTAATGCGATACCTCAAATCACTAAATGACAAACCGCAGAGAGCTCAAAGTCCGGTCAAGGGCAGTGGGATTTTAGGAAGAGTATGTGAGGCCCCAATTGATTGACTGCCATTGGGGAAATCTTGATTCAATATGGAGATATGCCGGTTATAAAGAAGAAGATGAAAAACAGCTTAAATAGCAGTGTCATTTTCTGGTACGCCCGCTCAAATCTCAACTCTGAGATGTACCACGTTCCATCCACGAGCTTCCAAGTCTCATAGTAGAAACCCCCTCCCCTGAGTGCCATCCATGTCCCAAGGTACTTGTGGTAGAGCTGGTCCTCCACGGAAAAGATCGAATGGACTTCATCAGGCGCCACCTGGTCAAAGGTGCCCGGCCCAAGGTTATGCAGAGTTTGCAGCTGGGAAAAGAACCCGGCGAAAAAGGCTGCGCAGCTCTTGGATGTATCGAACACCGTCAGCTTGGAACCGAGCGCCAAAGGCTTTCCGTCGGTGCTGACGTAGATATATCGAGCGTCTGGGAGGGCGATATTGTTTGCCCACTTCTCCCATTGCTTTGTGTCGGCGTATATACCATAAAGTGCTTTCTGGCTGGAGATTGCCAGAGCTACTTCGGGTGATGGCGGCGCCATTGTAGACGACTTGTTGTGAAAGAAGAAGATAGTATGCGAGAACACCCTAGCAGAAGGTCATGTTAGTGCGATGAACCACCCAAAGCACGATGGCAGGCAAAGAAGTGAAAGGCCAAAGTCAGTATGGGGATAGCTCAGTGAAATATATATGGCAGTCATACGACATCTATTCCAAACAAGGAAATTCGGCGCAACATACTCCAAAAGAAGCATCTTCTCCAAGCGGGGCGCTTACAGGAGGGTTACAAATACCTCCTCTTAGTTTTCACATGCGATCGACACTGCGATTTTTCACGTCCAATCACTCATAAAAGCCAAGCCACCATCCTCCCCTCCTTATGACTAACGTAGCACCATAATACCATTTATCAATGGGTAGAATCTTATGGGGAACAAAGGGGGTAAGTAACCCTACGAAATGCGTATCGCGATATTAGGTGACGTTCCAATGGTGTGCTAAGTCGAATAAATCTCGGTTCAGTGGTCAAGAGTGACTCCGGAATATTTCAGTTGATCTAGGTACTTAAAGTTAAGAAGAAAATCAACAAGGAGCTACTTTGCTTAAAGGATAAGGAGTCCGAGGCTAAGGTAGAAATAGATAGGTATGATGGAGTATGGGGGTTCTCTGGCGTAAAGGAAGTGATAAAAGTGTCTGAGGGTGAGTATAGGTTAGGTAAGGTGGCCTCCTCGAAGAGATTTCACGTGACCTCCCTCATCATCACCAATGAATAAATTACTTCAATCTAGGTTGAAAAACACGCCTTTCAATGAATTCGCTTCTATAAATTATTTCAAAATAAATCGAACAATTGAATGACTACATCTGATTAATTGCACTTCAACATATAGTGACATAATGAACCGCCATGTTAATGTTCTTAAAGACTCGCCATTCATCCGTTCAACGCTTTGGTAAAGCTGCTTTCCTCCGCGACTTTCAATCCTAGTTGCTCAAGAGTGATGTTACTGAGAATTTGAAGAACCGTGATGTCTGCCTTGTACTCGTTCGCGAACCAGTTTTTCAACTCGAGCGCAATGAGAGAATCCACGCCGTATAGATGGACGGCCCGTGATGCGTCCACATCTGCAATTGGAATACCGAGGGCGTTCGATAGCTTCTTCGTTAGGGCCTGTACCACTATTGCCCCGGCTTCGTGCAAAGATTTGGACGCCTTAAAACTGTTCCGATCTTCCTGGGCCGCATCGGATCCCGAGTTGGCGTTGGTACTTCCCGTTTCATGGTACATAGTCTTGAACAATGGGTGTGCCATCCACTTCGGAATAGCGTAACCCCTAGCTTGCAGAGCGGCGGGCGAGCGAATACCGAGAACCACCTGGGCTTCCTCTGGTTTCAAAAGCGGTAGCTCTGGATCGCAATAACGTTCAAGTAGCATCTCAAGCTCACGCATTGTCGTGGGCTCGTACCACCCAAAGCTTTCCAAGGTGCGCGCCAAGTGTTCGTCTTCTGCCACGGCACCCTCACCAACAACCATTCCCAGGTCGAACGAAACGGCCTTTTGGCGCCTTCGAACTCTACTGACTGCCAGAGAGTCCTGGAAAGCATTACCCGCGCTATAATTTCCCTGCCCTTCGCCACCAACAACTCCTACAAGCGAGGAGAAGAAGATGAAGAAGTCGAGGCCATTGGGTAGCAGACGATCAAGATTCCACGAGCCGGCAATCTTCGAAGTGGTGCTGATCCTCCACTCCTCTTCGGCCATGTTCTCGAAATATTGATCCTGCTTTAGTCAGTCAATGTGAATTTGTAGACGGAGAATGCCAAAGTGAGGCCATACCTTGAGCACCATGCTGGATTGAATGCATCCAGCGATAAGACCTATTTTTTGCTGACAGCTTTGAAGTCCTATTTCCAGATTTCTGTGGTCGGATACATCGCAAACCAACACCTCTACCATGCAACCGGACCCTCGTAGCTCTTCTAGCAAAGCTAGTCGATTTGGGTCTTCATTAGTACCCGTACGTGACAGCAGAATCAGATTTCTCGCTCCCCTCTTCACCATCCACCTGGCCACGCTTCGAGAAATGCCTCCAAACCCACCAACGAGGAGATAGCTGTGGTCCGGCTTGAAAGCCCACGTCTTCTCGGGCTGGCATTTGACAGTCACCTCTTCTTCGTCGTCCATGTTGATCACCACCTTCCCTCCAAACTTTCCACTTTGAAGACTTCTGAAAGCAGATTCTACTTTCCCAACACCAAACTCAGTAAGAGGGGCCACGGGCTTGATGGCGCCCTCCGATACGAGCCTAAACACATCATTCAGCAGCCTTCTCATAAGCGCAGGTCTATGGCGCCAGATTCCACTGAGATCGACACACGAGAAGGAGATATTGTTCAGAAGCGGCCTCATGCTTAGGCCACGATTGTCCAAAATGTCCTTCTTGCCCAGCTCAACCCAGCGGCTGAACGGTGCCATAAGTTCGGTCCAACCAGCTTCGAGTAACTCGCCAGAGAGACTGTTCAGCACAACATCAACTCCATAACCATTAGTGATACGCTTCATGCCTGCCACAAAGCTGGTGTCGCGCGTGTGGAAGATATGATCGTCCCGGATCCCGTACGTCGTCGCAACGAGCTGCCTCTTAGCGTCGCTGCCCACCGTGACGAACACCTCGGCACCGATATGCTGGGCTAGCTGGATGGCCATCTGTCCGGTTGCCCCAGCCCCTGCGTGGATCAGGACCTTTTCATCGGGCTGAAGACCAGCGACGTCCACAAGTGCACGGTACACAGTACAAGCGGTCCCGGGCATGCTAGCCGCGTCGCGCATGGAGAGACCGTCAGGTATCTTGACCGCTGTACGGTAGTCTGCACGAACACACGACCTCACTGTACCGTCGGTGAGTACTACGACGCGATCCCCAACTTCAAGATCGGCAGATGTGCCGACGGCTGTGACTGTTCCTGCTGCTTCTACCCCGAGAACTGAGATTTGAGGAATACGTCCCAGTGCTGTGAGAACATCGAGGAAATTCAGTCCGGTGTATGCGGGCTGGATGAGAACCTCATTAGGCTGAGGGGCAAGATGTGCTGTTGGGTCTGGCACGAAAGTCAGAGTCTCCAACAGACCCGGCGTAGTAATTGTCAACTTGATATTTTGTCCACCAGGGCTGATGAATTTCCTTTGCACTTTCTTTTGCTCGTGGGATTTTTCGTTCACATAGGAAGAGATTGCCGGTGAAAAAGAGAGTCGTGGAGTCAGCAGGGCCTTCGTATCCCCATCTGAAGTCCAGGAATATTCAGTCTCTTTCGTCTTGGACTGCGTGGTATGCTTCCTGAATACTCTAATAACTGCCTCTAAGGCATTCGATTCAGGCCGATCAGCGCCAAGATCTGAAATATCAAGACTGAGCGTGGTGAGATTGATATCTGGACGCTCATTTCGAACGCTTCGGGTGAGACCTGCTGCGATTGCGTCTGATGGAGATGTGGACTCAGATGACACCCACACGATGCTATTTCTTGTCGAACAGAGATACTTAAGGGCGCTGAAAATCCCCAGACCAGTGTCAAAAGGACAAACAGAGTCGAAGCCGGAGATAAAAATAGTGTGCTCATTGTGCGAGGGTGCGACTTGTGCCTCATCCCACAGTTGCAATTTCGTCCCGGTATAGCCATTGTTAATGAAGGACTCAAAAACTGCCTTAGCTAGATTTGATGCCCTAAGAGATGAATTCGGGGCCAGAATGACGGAAACTGGCCTTTCTTCTATCACTGGTGGCGACACAGCGACTTCTTTATAGGATGTCAGAAGCTGCCCGTTCCATTCCAACTCTAGCTCTCTCTCGAAAGGCCCCCCCATAGCTTGGAGATTGATAGCATCTGATGTCGAGCCTGCGTAGAAAATAATTCTGCCGCCGGGTTTGACAAGAGGGGCTAACTCCGACAGATGTATATCGAGGTCCGGTCCCTGCCTGGAGGTAAAAATCAAGTCATAACTTGGTTTGGGCATGGCGTCGAGGCCATTATGAATAAGGTCCTCAAAGTCAATTATGGTTAATTCATTCATACTCCCTGCCTGGGCGGTGTCTTCAATCGGTAGATCCTTGGTTCGATTTCTAGCCACCAGGTTGTAGTACCCAGCTGGGCCTTCAAAGTCCTTGAGTAGATTCCAAAGAGGAAGCTTGGAAATATCTTCACTTTTTTCAGGAGCCACTTCAAGCATCCGTGTGTTAACATTCTGATGGAGCAACAAACTCATTAACTTTAAATGTGGATTATGCTCTTTGAAAGCGGCCGTCGTCGACAAATCCGAAGTGCAGTACTTCTGCAACTCTCCTGAACTCATGCTCTCAATATCAGGCTTCCAAGACATGTTGTAGAAGGGCTGTCCGTTCTTTTCCTCTTCGTTAGCCGCCTCTCCGCCGATAATAATAGTCTCGAGCCCCTCAGCAAACAACACCACGCGCGAGTCTTCCATGCTGAGAACCGAGATCTCTGATTTGGTGTTGCGGAACCCCAGGTATTCTGCCTTGGAAACAGCTTGAACGTGCTTTGGCGACACAGCATGGGAAAGAATGTCTGCATCAATCCAGAGAGTTTCCAACTGGCTAGGAACCATTGTAGGCACAGGTCGGCCAACACCTGCTCCAAGACTCACCACCGGCAGCTGAAGGACGCCATCAAGAGCCGTTGGGTGGATGAAGTGCGGTGTAGCGTACTCAGGCTTGCCTTTCAATTTCCAGTTATCAAGCCGGATGCGCGCTGAGGCCATACCACCCCTCCAGTCATATTTGATGTCGTCGAATACTTGGAATGTAGGCCCAAACTCCAAACCGGTCTCTCTGAATCGGCCATAGAGCTTCTGTCTTCGGATTTCCGCTCGACAGACCCCGAGCCGGTCGATCGTCTGTTGTCGGCGACGGTCCTCTAGAAGCTTGTTCTCCGTCTTCATGTGCTTTGAGGAGCTTTCGTCTGTCATTTTAACGGTTATTTTGCCAGTACAAACTTCGCGCCACTGCTCTCCGTCGAGAAGTGTTATCTGGAATGAGAATTGCCGTGAGTTGGCACTGTTGCTGCTATTTGGATCAATCGGTAGAAGACCAATCTCAGTGGATGCGCCTCCTTCGGGTGAGGCAATATTGAGAGCTGATAAAAACGACACATCCTTCAACAAGAATCCTGCAGGACGCCGCACGTCAATGTCAGAGACATACTGGGCTGCAGCTTCAATAACCATCACAATCATCCCCGCGCCAGGATAGATCAACGCTCCCGCGATCTTGTGATCCTCTATCCAGGGGTTTTCGAGCGTGCGAATCATATTGCGCCAGCGAGGCGCTAGAGGGTTCCAATTGAGGATTCGCGACCCAAGAAGATCATTTCTTGCATGCTTCTGAAATCTGTGATCGCGACTAACTTGACTCTCGTGCCAGTATGTTTTGGAATGGTCAAATGGATATTCGGGAAGATCGACCAGACACTCTTTGTCATTGTCGCTGATGCCGTTCACAGCTTCGAGATCGATAGGGAAACCTAGGCTGTGCAAATGACCAAGAGTATCGAAAATACGGTCCAAAGAAGCATTCTTCTTGTCCATGATACTAAAATACACTGGTGGGAGTGTAGTAGGGTTTGTAGACATGGTGTCTCGGATGGCACTTCGAAGAGCTCCGGTAGGTCCTACCTCAACGAAAGCATGGAGAGGCTGTCGTTGAAGAAGAGTTGCTACAGCCGGTTCAAACTTGACCGGCGAAACAAGATTTTTTACCCAGTAGCTTCCTTGGCATAACGTGTCATGGTCGATCAATTCAGTCGTGACTGAGGAAACCATTTGAGGGTTCTCAGCACCCTGGGATCCCGGCTCAAGGTCAGTTAGAAGAGAAGCATACTTGGACGCAACATCGTTGAGGATCGGAGAATGATATGGTGCCGGGACAGCCAGAATCCGTAGAAATATACCATCAGCTCCAAGCAAGCTCTTCAAGGCCTTCAATGGACGCAGCGGCCCACTTAGAGTCACGTTCTTAGGTGAATTGATGCAGGCGATGGCAACACGAGAGAGACCCAAGGTTTCCATATTGCGTTCCAGAATCGATTCTACTTCGGGCACTGGCAGCCCAACCACAAGCATACCAAAGTCCTCATTAAGCGAAGAAAAATGCTCTGAAATAACTTTGCCTCGGTGGAAGGCGACCCGGCAAGCGCTCCGTGCGGATATGGCACCACTTGTGTACGCTGCCGCGATCTCGCCCGAGGAGTGGCCAACAACCAGAGACGGCCGCACGCCGTACGACCGGAGAAGATCGATCAATGCGATCTGGATGGCAGTAAAAATGGGTTGAGAAAACTCTGCACTGTCGATTCGACTCTCGTCGGCTTTCTTCGAAAGTTCCTCTTCCAGGTCCCAGCTTGCGCCAAGCTCCTTGAAATATTCTGCAAGCCGGGTGAGGGTTTGGCGAAAGATTGAGTTTCCTAGAAACTGGGTACCCATAGTTGCCCACTGCGCTCCTTGGCCAGTGAACACAAACGCCAACTTTGGCTCGTTAACTGAACGAATTGGTTTGGGCAAGTCGAGCGAACTAGGCTTGTCAGGGGAAACCATGAAAGCCTTCCATGGTAGATGCGTCCGTCGTGCCGAAAGAGTATAAGCGAGTTTTCTCATATCAGCGGCCGTATTCTTCTCCAAGTATGAGGAATATTCAACTCGCATTCGCTCCAATCCTTGCTCATCTGCCGCGGACCACACGAGGAGCAGCAGGGACTCTGTCTTCCCAACCCCATTGATTGTAACCCCGTTTGTTCCATTGGATAGTTGATGCCCAATACAATTAGCTAAATCACCAACAAGGGAATCTTCTCCAGAAGGGTGAGGCTTTGAGACCTTCGCGGCAAGAACGTGATGGTCCCCGTTCTCAATCACGACGTGAGAGTTTGCGCCACCAAAGCCAAAAGAGTTAATGGATGCCCTCCTGACTCCCTCAGGCCACTCAATGGTCTCTTTTGGAAAGGCCATGTTCCATTCCGTTCCCAGGATGTTTGGATGGAGCGACTCAAAGTTTGCGATCCTGGGGATGATGCCTCTTTCTAACATCAACACAACCTTGACCAGACTGGCAATTCCACTCGTGCCTTCCAAATGCCCCAAATTGGCTTTCACTGACCCCATATATAGAGGATCATCAGGCGAACGATGGCCCTGGAATATGGATGCCAGTGCTCTAGTTTCGACCTGATCTCCTTCTGTCCCAGGAGCATGAGCTTCCACATACCTCGTTAGACTGGGATCGAGGTTGGCTGAGCGGTAAGTTGACGCCACGAGGGACTGCTGTGCGTCGAAACTGACTTTTGTGATGCCTCCTACCGATCTACCATTTTCGTTTGACCCTGTCGCTCTGATCACGGCCCGGATCGGGTCACCATCAGCCAACGCCTTCGCAAGAGGCTTCAACACGAGCACCCCGAAACCCTCGCCACGGCAGTAGCCGTTGGCACGGGCGTCAAAGCTATGGCATGTCGCATCTGGAGAGAAGAAATTAAGGTGCGCAAGCGGCGACATGGACTGTGGTGCAAAGAAGAGATTGGCTCCTCCAACGATGCCCATCTCAGATTCTCCGGACCTAATACTCCTGCAGGCAAGATGCAGCGCATTCAAGCTGGCAGAGCATGCGGTATCCAGTTGCACGCTGGGGCCCTTGAAGTCGTAAAACCAGCTGATCTTATTTGCGAGCATGGACATGGCCATGCCCGTGGCCGCGTGCCGGATCGGGTGGTTGGTGTCCTTGTTGTACATCAGACGGTAGTCGTCTGACGATACACCGGTGAAAACACACGTCTTAGTACCGGCGCAGCGCTCGATGGGAATGCCAGCATTTTCCAGAGCGCGATAGGTTGCTTCCAACAGCTTGCGGGATTGGGGATCCATTGCTGCCGCCTCCGCAGCACGGATTGAGAAGAAGGGAGCGTCAAACGCAGCAATATCCTCCGTGATGAAATTGCCTTGGTTGACTGGTAAGGTCTCTAACCGGTTTGTGTCTGGATGATAGAACGCATCGGCGTTGAATCTCGACCCAGGGACTGGTGCTCTCGAACAGCGGCCAGCTGTGATCATGTCCCAAAAGCCATCGGTTGATGAGGCTTCTCCGCCAAAGCGGAATGAGAGGCCCACGACGGCCACGGGTACCCCGTCCATTGCGCCGACGTGATGAAGTGAAAAAAATTGGAGGGCAGTTTGAGAAGATGGGCTAGCGAGAACCTGATCTACCCTCTAAGCGGGGTGAACTCGCGACTGGGGCAATGAGGTTTGACCTATCAAGAGGATAGTGTTGTGAGGGGCAAATCAGACCTTCTCAAGTCTCATCCAAGACTGGATATCCAGTCGACTTATATCTTAGTCCGTGGTAGATGAATTCTCCATAGTGCTACCGGTCCTGAGAATTGGACGTGGTGGCATATCCCCATTGTTGTGAGGGTCAAATATAGGGTCCAGATCTGTCTATTGACATGTTCCCACTTTGATCTAGGCTCATTTCAGTGCGGCTGAGATGGGAAACGTTGTAACGCTCGCTGAAAACGGATCTCGGATCGCTGACATCAGCCAACTTGAACTGGCAGGGAATGATAACCTTGATATGCGCCTTTTTAGCTCTAAGAAGCTGAAGCAACTCGTGATAACATTCTACCGTTCCTTGCCACTCGCTCATTCTCATTTGAGCAATTAGACTATTGAAAGACACCTCCCCGTTCTGGATGCTAAGTGGGAGTGGACGCGCATGCCATGAACGCGGATAAGTCAATATTGGTTCTCTAGTGGCCCCGAGCTGTGTAGCCCTGTTGTAAAGTGGTATATCCGAGCTCGTGATTCAGTGGCTGGAAACAGCGCTATTGATTGGCATGCAGAGGTCCAGCCCAGTTAGGATCGTGCCCCGATGAGGTGTCCTGCAGCTCTGTGGAGTTTAGGAAAATATTCAGCGTCCCACATCTTGAGACCCTGGCAAGCCTGGTTCACGGGAGTGGCAAAACGGATTGACTGCTGCCTTGCCAACCCCTGCATGAGAAGCCCAGCACTTTTGACTTGCTTCTAACCTACCTCCAGGTTTTGCCAAAGAGCAAAGATACTACCTTCACTATCAAGCCTTGATTGGGGAAGTCAGAGGAGAACCCTACTCTTTACCAGGCATTTACTGGTATATGTCGTGTTCATTCTTAGGCTCCAAAGGCATAGTTGGCTGGTTAGTAACGTTACTCGTTTCCTACAGTATGCCAAATCAGGAGTTCACGCACTATGATCTCGTTTCTTACCAAAAGTTTACATGAAAAAAATAATTATCAAACTTGTTTATCCTGCAGAGTGGAAATTACATATTCATGGTTGTCTTTAACGCTTACTGTCGCCAAAGCAGCATGTCATTTGATATGATTGACTGAAACAGCATATTCTAGCAGTGCCTCTTCTATAATATTGTTCTAATTTGATGTAATATATGTCTCTCTATCTCCCTAATTCCAGGTGTCAATTGGGCGTTCCAAGTTTATGCTGTAGCACACGAAGCTTGCTAAAGTACGCGTCTTTATCCACATATGTGCCTCTCAACCATCGTGGCTTGCCAACGTCGGCCATGTCAAATGCCCTCCGTGAATGGAGTGTCCTTGTGTTATCAAACAAAACGCACTCTCCCGGCTTCATCTTCCTCTCGAACAAATACTCTGGCCTCTGCAGCAATGCGTTGAACTTTACGGCTGCCTGATGCCACTTGTCTACTTTGCTGTTCAGCGCAGAGACAGGGGATTCAGTCGAAGGCTCCGGGTGAATGGAGGAATCATGTAGGGAGAAGGGTGCGAGGAATGGCGGCCCCCAATTGATTTTGTCCATGCAGTCCACAAGCGAGGCCTCAGTCCAGTCAAATCCCCCGTCTCGGCCGTGGCGTGCATGCATCTCTTCCACATAGTCTTGGATATGAGTATAAACGGTTTCACCAATGCGGAGCTCCTTCAGACCAATAACAGGCTTGGTAGTTTTGTAAGCATTTGAATCAGGATGATTGTAATGGTAGTTCACGGGAACCGTGGCAAGAATGTCAAACGCCTCAATATCCGTGTGAAACAAGTCGACGGCCGCTTTGTAGGCATCTGCAAACACACTAGCGCCTCCAGAGGACGCAGACTGGATGCAGTGAAGGAGTTGGATATGAGGTGGTTGTTGGAAGTAGAGCAAGTCTGTGTGGAAACCCAGATCATGCGATGTGTATGCAGCGTTGATGGCGGCCGGGACAGTACGAACTATCATTCTAGTTAGCTAACATCATGACAAGGAGACGGGTAACCATACCGTCCCATGTGTAACCGTAGAATGTGTCTTTGATCGGACCGATTCGTGTTGCAATAGTGGCCAAAGACTCTTCCACGCCAGGAATACCAGTCACAAAAGCAACTCCGTGTGTTCGAAGCTGACAGATGACCTGGTATAATGTTTGGTCGTCTTTCATATATTCTTGATAGTCGTAGTCAGGAAGATCGAGTGGTTCTTGAGTCCACAAGACTTGAGACTGAACATGCTCCTTGAGAGAGCCGGTATGGGAACCGGACGAGGTGATGTTCCTCAAGGTTGTCATGCTTAACTTCGTAGTATGATCAGTCGGATAGCCCGGTGCATCGTTCTCCCAAGTGATGGAAACGGCATCCGAGACGGCGTCATAATTCACCGTTCGGCTTTCAATATCTGCCGGTATGTCGGCGGCAGAGAATAACCTCTGGTTGGTCGACTCATGGACACAAGCCGGGCAAGAGCAGGAGTCGCGCAGCAAAACGTTTGAGAAATTGACTTTCCGGCCGTCGATTAAAATAGGAGTATTGGAATAGTATGCCTCAATGGCGTCTTTCCCATCGGAAGATGCACTTTGCTGTGCATGGATTGGCTCAGGGGTCGAGGAATATGGGCGATGCGTTGGGCGCGGGTGATAAGTTATCGTCGGCGGCACCTACCAGATGGCGGATCAGTTGTAAATCCATGATAATATGAATATGGGTAAGTATACATACTCGCAAGGTTGTGTGTCCCTTTTGTTTGACGCTCAGACTCTCCCGAGGGGGTTGATGAATCGTTGAGAGTGATCGTTTGATATAGAAGGATACACTACGGCACGGATATGCCACTTCCTTGACCGCGAGCTTTCGAATAGCTTGCATTGTATAGACTCGCAAAGCATTTGCTTAAAAATCAAGTAAGGTAAGTGGTTCCCCAAGTTATTTAGGCGTCGGATGGGTAATAAATACTGTTCTCAGTGCAAGGTAACGCCACGTCTTGCAAGCCTCCCAAATTAAACTTGGCCTAACTAATTACGAGAAAATAATACGAAGATCACATTGCAGCGGATCATCTCTTCGGCATATTTTGTAGTGTATCCCAGAATGCATGACTCCATGAAAATCTAGTTATCACACGGATATTATCACCGTCAAAGTGCCTAGGCACGGTAATCCTGAACCAATCGGGAGCCAGATGATGCGAGATGCATAGCGATTTCCTAGTGTAATTCGATTTAGCTCTGCCGCTTTATCTAAACACAGAACTTGAAGTGATACCTCCAATGATATCGTATTTTATTTCTCAATCCCCGTTGTGGAGTTGATCAACACACCCTCGGTTGCGAGGCAGCTAAGCCACATCTGGCGAAATAATACGACGTGCATACTTAGTAGAGATGACTCGGCGAACAACTATTGGCATTCATGTGAAAAAGGTTGCTACAAAATTGATGAGGCGAACACCGTCGTATTGAAGTGCCTTGAAGAGTTAGGTTGAGTTGGAGTGAAATGGTGATTTAATAGGACAAACGTGATAGGCATATCCAAGGCGCTGTATGATAATTTATAAATCAAGCGAGAGCCTGTTCCCGATCCTCTAATTCGCCTTCATCATTGCAACATTTCACTCTAACTTGCTTAATCTCTCGTACACCCCCAGGAACAACACAACGACATATAACCGAACGCAGCTATGGCACCGAGCGCAGACCCTGTTGTGGCCCAAGAGACCAAGAAGACACCGCTGCAGCTCATTTCCCAAGGAGCATGCCTTCCTGGAATTCCCAAGCATCCTAGTTTTGCAGGACAGCGGCAATGGATGCTAGAAAAAATGGCTCTAGCATTTCGTGTCTTTGCCCGTAAGGGATATACGGACGGGATGGCTGGCCATATCTCTATCCGAGACCCAGAAAATCCACATACCTTCTGGACAGTGAGCACGCAAATTCCTCTCGGCTATCTTCCGTAGGACTAACTTACGTCATAGAACCCATTAGCAGTACATTTTGGCATGCTGAAGGCAAGCGATATGATTCTCGTCAACTACGAGGGCATGCCGATTGGCGGTAATTCTAATCCTCGTCTTCATGTCGAGCCGAGTAATACTGAATCGTGCTACAGGAAACATGAGCAGGCCAGCAAACGCAGCTGGTTTTCTTATCCATAGTGCCGTGCACCAGGCTCGTCCTGATGTTATTGCCGCTTGCCACACTCATAGTGTTCATGGTATGGCATGGAGCGCGTTTGGTCTGCCTCTGGAGATGCTGACACAGGATATTGCGTATCTATATGGTGACGCCCAAGCGGTATACAAGGTGCGTTCATTTGATATAATCAAGCCCTACTTGTACGATCATGACTCTAAGGCTCTCTAGGATTTTGGAGGCGTAGTACTTACCCAGGAAGAGGGTGATAAGATTGGAGCTGCATTAGGTACGTATAAAAAAAACGTCCAACAAACTTCTAACATGCAGTCTGACTCACTTTGTGGTTCTATAGGTCCCAAGGGAAAAGGGATGATCTTGCAGAATCACGGTCTACTCACAGTTGGCTCAACGGTCGACGAGGCCTGCTTCTTGATGACACTCATGGAGCTCGGCTGCCAATGTCAGCTTCTTGCAGAGGCCGCGGCAGCGAATGGAATACCAAAAGTATACATCCCCGATGAAAGTGCGAGATATACTTTTGAAAACTCCAGCGACCCGGAGACTCTGTACTGGGAAGGGCAGCCTGATCTAGAGTATGAGGCGTATCTGTGTAAAGGAGAGCACCAAGCTTGATATCACCACAGTGAAGCCTATTTCCGCGGGAGGTTTTGACCGTGTATTCAAATAACCACCGCTTATTTTACACGCAGTTGCATGTGGATACATCATGAATATGAGACTCGAAAGTTTCAATCTTATACGGGTTTCGGTTGCTTGAACACCCACGGGCCGCTGCGATCGAATAACTGCCTCTATAGATAATGAGGACGAGCATGACTGGGTGATTTCGCATTGAATCAACGAATGAATAGAAAAAGAGAAAGAAAAAGATATAAAGATCATCATAAGGCTAAAAGGCGCAAAAGATTGCGTCCTTTCTTTTAGTATGAAACCACACTACCAAGCCATTAACCCCTAATCCGGGAAAGCATTGAAAAGAGGCGCAAGATGGCTATGTGATGGAAGAGCCTTAGGTGACATTCTGTCAGCATAGCCGGTATTACATAAGTGAGGCAGCAACTTCAAAGAAGGCGAACTGAAATAAGCCCAACGACAACCCCGCCTTCGTTCGTCGTCAGGCAAAAATAAACATCTCGATGCTTGCTTTGGTGAAATCTTACGCAGAGGCCCTGCTAGGCAACCGATTTCGCCTCGATGGATGCCAGAATGAAGAATAGCGACTATACTGTTGGCTGGATTTGCGCCATCAGCACGGAATATGTTGCCGCTCGGGCCTTGCTTGACGAGGAGCATCAGGACGTCGAGTACGAGGTGCCGCCCCGGGACAGCAACACCTACACCCTGGGAAGATTCGGCAAGCACATGACTGTGATTGCCGTATTGCCGGATGGAGAATACGGCACGTCTGCTGCCACGGGAGTGGCCAAGGATTTACTCAACGCCTTTCCCAATGTCAGAGTCGGTTTGATGGTGGGGATCGGTGGTGGTGCGCCCAACCAAGATCACGATGTTCGCCTTGGAGATGTTGTTGTGAGCTCCACGTCGAACGGAAAAGGTGGAGTGGTTCAGTATGATTTCGGGAAGACGATCCAAGACCAGGTTTTCCACATGACGGGCTTCCTCAACTCGGCTCCAAGCGCACTGCGCACAGCAGTCAGCACACTCAAGGGTCGCCATGAAATGGATGGCCATGGCATCGAGAAGATCATTGACATCGCATTAAAGAAAAAGCCAAGACTAAAGAAGAAGTATTCCCGGCCAGGTTCGAGTTCGGATCGGCTCTATATTCCCGAACTTGTTCATGCGAACGGATCTTGTTGTGTGAGAGACTTTTCCGGGGGGGAGAAGGACCTGGTTCCAAGAGTAGATCGAGACGAAGGAGACGAGACTGTCATCCACTATGGGCTGATAGCTTCAGGTAATCAGCTTATGAAAGACGCCTTGACGCGAGACAGACTCAGCACAGAGTCCAATATCCTTTGCTTCGAGATGGAAGCAGCAGGACTGATGAATTGGTTTCCCTGCTTAGTGATTCGGGGCATTTGCGACTATTCGGACTCGCACAAGAACAAAGAGTGGCAGGGCTTTGCGGCCATGACGGCGGCTGCTTATGCAAAAGAGTTGCTGTATCAGATTAAACCAAACAAGGTCGAGGCCGAGGAAAGAATTAGCAAGCTTGGTTGGTCATCCCCAGCTACCCACCGTGAAAATAGTTTCTGACAAGGCTACCGTAGTTCACGAATCCGTATCTAGGACAGAAAAAGTCGTGACGGACATTTGGGCAAAGCAACACAAGCAGGAAGACCGCAAGGTTCTAGACTGGCTTACGAGAATGGATTACGGTACGCGTCACAGCGATATTTTCAGGGATCACCAGCCTGGTACTGGTCAATGGCTCCTCGAATCAGAAGAGTTTCAGTCGTGGACGAGCCAGAACGACAAGACCCTTTTCTGCTCCGGCGATCCTGGAGCTGGAAAGACTGTCCTTTCTTCAGTGGTAGTCGAGCATTTGCTGAAGAATAAACCAAAGACAGTAGGACTTGCCTTGATCTACTGCAACTACAGAGAACAAGCGAGCCAGACAGTCGAAGGCCTTTTGAGCTGTTTACTCAGACAGCTTTGCGAACCTCTGTCTCCATTACCAGATCAATTGACAAGTCTCTACGAGAATCATAAAGAGCGGCATACCCTAGCATCTGCTCTACACTTATCTGAAGTCTTGTCATCTGTAGTTGCGGCATACTCAAAAACGTATATCGTAATTGATGCTCTTGATGAGTGCGAGAAGAAGCACCGAGAAAAGCTCTTGAAGGAGCTTTTTGAATTACAGGCGCAAAAAGGAATCAACATCTTTGCCACATCCCGAAAGATATCCGACATTGAGAGTATGTTTGAAGGCCGTGCACACAAGGACATTGTTGCAACAGAAGCCGACATTCGGAAATATACCCACGGAAGGTTGGAAGTTTTGCCCGATTTCATTCGGCGAGACTCGGCTTTACAAGAAGAGATTATTGTAGCAATCGCTAAAGCAGTTAGCGGGATGTAAGTATATCGACATTTGTTATTATCTCTTTAATGCTTTCGTCGGTGTCTTTTTATTGGCAGTTGGAACTAACAGTGTTCAGGTTTCTCCTGGCCCGACTCTATCTCGACTCGATTGAGGGGGCAAACAGTATCAAGGATATTCGTACCTCTATCCAAAATCTTTCCACTGGGGCTGATGCGTACGATTATGCGTACGACGATGCCATGCAACGTATACAGGGACAAGTTCCAAACAGGGCGAGCCTGGCGATTCAGGTGCTGCAATGGATAACGTTCGCGGCGAGACCGCTCGAAGAGGACGAACTGCGAGCTGCCCTCTCAGTGGAGCTGGACGCGCCTGAGTTTGACCCAGAGTGTCTTGTACAGGTCGATATGACTGCCACCTGTGCCGGGCTAGTGACTATAGACAAGACGAGTCGCATCATACGTCTCGTCCATTATACGACGCAGAACTACTTTGAGCGAAACATGGAATCGTTTTTCCCGAACGCACACAATAGTATCACAGACGTTTGTATCACGTATCTCTCCTTCCACACATTCTCTGACGGTTGTGCGTCAAGTGAATCGAAGTACGACGGTCGTTTGGACAAGAACCCCCTTTACCACTACGCTGCTCACGCATGGGGCATACATGCTGCACAAGTGTGCAACTCAAGCAGGACCGATGAGAGGATCTTGTCATTCCTTAAAGACCAGAAGTTGGTCGAGGCTTCGGCCCAGGTTCTGTCCTACGGCCTGGACTACCTCAACCCTGTACCCCGGCCAGTGGTGACGGGGTTGCACTTGGCAGCATACTTTGGCCTCGAGGGGGCCACAGAGCTGTTGTGTACAGGGAACAACGTGAATGTTCTCGACGACAAGAAAGCTACGCCGCTGTCCTACGCTGCAAAAAACGGCCAGGAGAACATCGTGCGTTTCCTCATCAGCAAGGGTGCATTTCTAGAAACAAAGGATGATGAAGGACAGACACCACTCTGCTTGGCGGCAGCCAATGGCCACGAGGACACTGTACGCGTTCTTGCTGAAAAGGGTGCATCCGTTGATACACAGGACAGAAATAAACAGTCACCGCTATGTTGGGCAGCAGAGAACGGCCACGAGGCTATTGTGCGGTTCCTCGTTGAGAAGGATGCATTTATTGAATCTCATGACTATCTATATGGACGAACGCCGCTATGCTGGGCGGCAAGATCCGGCTATGAAGGAATTGTACGCTTTCTTATCGAAAAGGGGGCAGCAATCGAGGCGGAAGACAGATATGGACGAACACCCTTGTCCTGGGCAGCAAGACATGGCCACAAAAGCACTATACAGTTTCTTCTCGGAATGGGAGCGGCGATTGAAACGCGAGATCATTTCGGATGGACACCACTCTGCTTTGTAGCGCAAGAAGGGGACGAGGACATGGTGGCTTTCCTATTAGACCACGGGGCATTCATTGAAGCTCAAGATCGCTTATACGGCCGCACGCCACTCTTTTGGGCCGCAAGGTATCGTCGTGAGGCAGTTGGCAACCTTCTCATTGAAAGGGGGGCGTCGGTTAAGATCGAACAGCAAGAGGAAGATCCTTTTCTTGACTTTGCAGCCGGATGTGGCTGGGACGCAGTTGTGCAATCACTTGTTTCCAGGGGCGCTAGGGTCAGACCCTCAGCACTCATTCAGGCAGCTAAGAAAGGACGCAGAAGCACTGTGGATTGTCTCATCGAGCTGGGTGCATCTATAAAGGGGGAGGACCGCAAGGGACGAACCCCGATATTCTATGCCGCGAAAAAAGGGCACACGGACATTGTGCGCCTCCTCGTGCAAAGAGGAGCCTCGATCGAATCTAGAGACTGCGATGGACAGACTCCTCTTTTATACTCACTATCCAAGGATAGTGAGGCTGGGGCACAATGCCTCGTCAATCTTGGCGCCTCGTTGGATGTGCGAGATGATGAAGGTCGGACATTCGCATCGTGGGCTATGTCGAAAAGAATCAAACGGTAGCACTGACCAATGCGAATGAACAACAGATGAACAGGCCCACGAACACATGAACAGACTGTTAAATAAATACACAACTACTATCAGCTTTGTGCTTGGATTTCTAAGCCCAACCTTGGCAAAGAATATTAATACCAATGCTCCCCATCAAACCGAGCCGGCAACTAACACCCACCTTTATCAACTTACTTGCCATAAGCTACAGGTATCGAATGTACAGCTGGACAGGTATTCTTCGGTCACATCAGAACCACAACCTATCCACTCATGCAGCATTCGGTCGACGGTATCTGCGGTGCATCTGGGTTAATCTCCAAAACACACAAACGTGTCATAAAGCCTGCATTGGATACCTTCCGGCAAGTTTGGGAGAGTCGATCATAAGTCGAATCCGGACGATTATCCCAATGATCAAACTTTTCATCGCCCACCATGTTTCATACATGCCAATCCTAACGTGTGAGGATGTTAATAACTGGAAACTGATTGGTGTGTGAATACTCACACATCACTAGACTAATGTGGCCTCTTTGTTGAACGCATTCTTCATGTTCTAGTTGAGACATATATTGTCATCTCGCCTTCGTTCATGATTGGTGCGCATATGAGGAGGTTTTAATTGCGGAGAAAGCGTCGAGCCGTGATATCAAAAAAACGCTGCTTCCATGACGAAGCCACAAGCCACCGCACTACCTGTTTACCCACTCGTTTATCGTCTTAAAAACCACGTCATTTTCTATTTGCGGGAAACATCGCCACCTTTCTTTCTCATAGTCGAGACTAAGCAGTACTACAGTAGCCAACATGTCTATGTCCATCGAAGATGCTGCCAAAACTCGTCCGGGATTCCCCCGCCCATTCCCTAACACGCCGAACAATGTTCTTGAGCAGCTGAGTCTCAAGGAGAAAGTAATTGTCGTGACTGGAGCAGCCGATGGGATTGGCCTTGCAGTGGCGGAAGCCATGGCCGAGGCTGGCGGGCATGTCGCTCTTTGGTACAATTCGTATGTCTATCGTCTTCTACCACTAAAGGTCCATTCCATGAAATTGACTCAGCATTGGTAGGAATGATGCCGCTATTTCTCGGGCTGAGGAGCTGGCGAAGACGCATGGAATCAAATCATCAGCGTTCAAGGTCGACGGTATGTAAATTATGAGAGGCCGAGATAATTGGACTAACGTCCAGTGTTTTTTAGTGTCCAATTCCGAGCAAATTGAGAGGGGTTTAGCTGCCGTGGTCGAAAAGTTCGGAAAAATTGATGTTTTCGTTGCTAATGCTGGTAAGGATGATCAAGTTAATACGCAGCTCTCACTCTGACTCATCAAAGGTATGGCACTCTGCAAGCCGATTCTGGAACAGACACTGGATGAATACAAAAAACAAATGTCGGTTAACGGTACGTAGTCCTTCTAAGATCAAGTTAATTACCCAGATATTGACGGCTCCAAGTTGATGGCGTGGTCTATTGCTCGAAATTAGTAGGCGCCATCTTCAAGCAACAAGGCTTTGGGAATCTCATCATCACATCAAGCATGAGCGCGCACATTGTCAACGTACCCGTTGATCAGCCTGTATACAATGCAACAAAGGCCTTCGTTACCCATTTTGGTAAATGTCTTGCCCGCGAGTGGCGCGACTTTGCACGAGTAAATATTGTGTCTCCTGGATTTTTTGATACCAGGATGGGCGCAGGCCCAGAAGGCCTCCAGGAAGCGTATCGAATGTCTACCTTGGGTAGGCAAGGACACGTGAAGGAGATCAAGGGACTTTACTTGTACCTAGCTAGCGATGCTAGTACGTACATGACGGGGAGCGATGTCCTTATCGACGGAGGGTATGTCTTGCCGTAGATATCTAGGCAGATCAGCAAATAGTAAATGCCACCGAGATTCTACTGCATTTTCACACTTGCGAAGGCTAGATCCCAAAAGCCTACACAATCCATATCAGCAAGTGACCATTACCAGTTTGTTCCTCTGATACACCGATGCTGATATGCCCTCCACTTTGAGGTCTTGATAAAGCCAGTAGCCTGGCCAAAAAACTGCAAATGGTACAAATTTCATTTTTCATTCTGTCTGAATTCCTGAAAAAGCAAGCTAAGATATTGACCATCGTTATTTGCTCCCCATAGAGAGCCACCATTTGTCATGATTTCTAAACCCCAAGTCTTCATCATAGCAGACTCGCAGATCAGTCGGCGAGCTGCAGCCCACGAAGTGAAATCCGAGCCCTTACTGTCGCCCCAGATCCTACATCAAACTGATCCTCAAGATCCATAGCGGGAGCACCCAGTACGCTTGAAAACGGAACCGTGTAGCTCCCTGAAACCTCTGTCCCGTTCAAAAGCGATAGCTGAAAGTCTGGGGGACTGTCGGCAATTTTATCGGCTCTGATAGGGAGCCGGAAGGCGGTATCAAAGGATGGGCTGAAAATGTCCATGCCCGGACTGTAAGTCTTGATGGGTGTGGCAAACTCCTCATCGCCCCATGATACCTTGACACTCGGCTTGAGCTCGTCACGTTGACCAATCAGTCCGGCAACACCAGCAATGAGCACGGTCGCAAGCCCGCAGATTTCTCCCTCGCTTTGGCTCTCGATGCCCGAAAGAGCGCCGGAGTCCTCTGTGAAGTTATAAAACTTGGCATGCACTGTCAAATTGCTCTCGGTGGGCTCGCCGTTGTGGACGAGGTTGAGCTCCTGTGTGCCACCAGCTACAAGCAACTGCTTGACAGTGGTAGTAGCAATACCAATATCATCATCACTGCCGGGATCTGCATCATTTAGGTCAAGAGTGATGATCTGTTCGTAGTCTGTAACCAGAAAGTCGTGGGTCTCGTTCCACTCCGGCTCATATGTGTCCTTCTGAGTCGAAGTGCGCCACTCCGGCTCAGCACCGAGATTGACTTGACAATAGCAATCTGGAATGTCCTTGACGAGCTTATCTAGCAGTCGCTTGACCCCTCTCTTTTTTTCGCCGGTGATACCGGTGGCTTTCTCAATCGTGAGGCGAATGACGCCATGATGGTGTTGAAAAGTCTTGAAGTAGTCGTTGGAAGGATCGAGCTTGACAAGGTACCGGTTGGGTAGAACGGTCATGGAAGTTATGATATTCAGAATGGATTTGCGGACCATTTTGTTGATCAGGGCAAAATCGGCAATGTTGGCGGCGTCGGTAAAGTCCAGTTCAAGAGTTGGCGGGTTGATGAACGCGAACTGCACGGCTCCGATCTAGAAAGAAAGAAAAACGTCAATATTAGTGCCCAAACATGTGCATCTTGTTAGATCTTTCCATACCAAAGGAATAATGTCAGTCAAGGGACAGAGCAACACTGCCAGCCTTCCCCTCAATTTCACATGCTCGATTCCCTAATCAAAGAGTGGATGGTCAGAAGCTGATAGTGGTTCGATATTGGCAGAGGGTAAGTGGTGAGTGCTTACAACTTTGGGCACCATTTTGCCCTCGAGCTCGATATCACACAGGCCATCCCATTCCAAGTCCATGTCAAGCTTGATGCCCTCAAGTTTGGTCTTGTGGACCTCTACGTTCGAGAGCTTGATCGGGGTGGTTCCAAAATCTATCTTGGTAAAGCGTAGTGTTGAGAGAGGACCAGGCAGCATTGAGTCCAGCATGGGCTCAACCACCTGCTTGAGCATTCTGCCCCCAGCGATGTTGATGTTGGGCCATAGATGTGCAATTATGTCATTGAGAAAACCTTGTCACTAGCGAGTTAGATGATGTTATCTATTTATTGAGACGGAGCGGCGCCAAGTAGCACATCGAGGGATACAAAACGAGGAACATAGGGAGCCCTAGAAAGAGGGGCCGACCAACCTGCAGATTCCGCGCCTCGAGAGGCAGTCAAAGTGTCGACGAGAGAAGCCATGGCAGGCTTTAAAGTATTATAGAAGAATAACAAAGGATTCAAAAGGTAAGCAGAATAGAAGCTCCCTGATCAAGATAGACATATAAGTTGAACGGGTGGTGCTGGAGTGGGAGATTTTGAGGGGTTTGGCTTGAGTGCAGCAGTGCCCGTACGAGTATTTATTAATAGGTGACGAGCTAACTTTGCTGACGTCATTACATAATAATACAGGATTGTTGCCAACAGTCATTCACTGCCTCAACCCCTCCTCGTACAGCTTGATTCATGCGAGAGGCAGCCAGACGGGATCAGTCATCCACCAAGACTGATAGGTGGATGCGATGGATTTCTTGTATAAAATCAATGAGGACCCTGTCCATGCCACCACTGGACCCAGACAAGACATATTCCCTGGATCACTGATGACGAGGGCACGGATAAATATGAGCAATGTGGAGAGAGGCGAGAGGCTGAATGGGGGCCGTGGTACAACCTTCGCCAACAGCCTACGTAATTTTAGAGAGGCAAACATCGATTGTGAGCGGTAGAAGGCCTCAGACGTTCGAGGATTGGGCTCACTCCCGCTGAACAGGGGGCAAAGATGTGGCCTGAAGCTACGGTGTTGAAACTAGCAGGCATCTCTATTTTAGAGCTGCTAGAGGCGGGCGATCCCGTTGGTCATCACCGGCTAATGACGCCCGCCCAAATAAGCGAAGCCACTCACTCACTTTTGGTAGCGATCTTCAGGGCATTGAAACTGTCTTACTTGATTCTCTGCCCTTTGTCACATTGAATGAGTGGGTGTTTCTTGAATGTTACCTTAATTCATTTACAGTTAAAAGCGAAGATTGTAGAGCATACGCCCTCACCAGCATTGATTATTCAAGGCCAAGTAATACATCACTCACATTCACGCAAATAATCCAGTTTGAGACAATGCCCCGACAATACAAACTACCTGTTGGTAGGCCCCAAGAGACTGTTATATCGCCATTTAAAACTATATATTTTCACATATATATGTGTAGTTACTTTCGTTATCCCAGCTGGTCTCAAGCCTTCCTTAATGCCCAAAGATGTCTGGCAAAAATCTGTCTAATTATCCTCCAAGCCAGATTCCATAGCATTTACGCTGCCACATATCACTGCAGCCTATATACCATCGCATATGTAGCTTAGCTACAAGAAAACGTAAAGTCATGCGAGCAACAATCTTAGATACCTAGGGAGCCATCAGTCCTTAGCGATGCCTCAGTGATGTCGCATCACTGGCTTCATGTTCTGGAAGTGAAGTCGTCACACCATCATTGACAGGTACGGGAGTATGTTCACAAGAGATCCCCAACAGGAAGCTGCGACAATGAATGCAACAACTCAAGCAGCTGCTTCACGCCATGGATCTCGTGGATCGTCAAAAGAAGCAAATGCATCTTCATATGATTAAACGAGTTTTAATAGCGGGTACCCTACAGCAGGTGCCTCTTGCCGTTCCCCGGAATACGAATTACGAAACCTCTTCGCCAGGATGTATCTAAGGCGGAAAAATCTTCTCCTAGATCTAGGAGGCAACAAGCCTCGCAAATTCGACATCGTGTGACCGGCATATGAAGCTCACCCCCACTTATACAAGGGACCATCCGGCTTCTTGAAGCACACCTTAGGGAGAACATCTGGGTTACACGTCAGCCCAGATTCCAAATGCTATGGATCATGAGGGTAGCATTTCACACTCGTACATTACCCCCCGAGGGTTCCATCACTGACTAGGTGCAATTTATCCATGCCTTCATTCGTAAGACGCGGCCGGACTTCCCTTCCGACAATACAACCTTCATTTTACCCGACCTCACGTGCACCACTACTTTCGGAAACAACCGTACGAGACCTACAGTCCCGATCTTATGAGGTTGCGATTCTGTTAGGGAGTATCACCATCATGCAATGACCATAAATCATGCCGGTGTATTTGTCTTACATATATTGATTTATTGTAGAGTCTGACTCCATCATGTGTGTTGTCTGGTTTTGAGAGTTGGGATACAATTAGGTAAAAGTGAGGGCTTGTAGGGAAGTCTCTCTCGGGTCATGAGGCTCCTCGGTTACAATAACGTCCAGCTGAGTTCACGATGCCTTCAATCACGTCCTATCAGTTTTTATTGCGTTGCCACAACTGTCGTAATGTGAGGGCAAGTGATGCCTTCTTCCTCATTCTCTGCGAATTCTGCGGGATGCTTTTAGATATAAAAGCTGCTCTTAAGTTCGTAGCTCTAAGTCCAATATCCTCTTCATCCCACAATCAAATTCTCAGAGCAGTCTCACAAACACAAATACTCTACCCAGAGCTATACAACCTCCTAACAATCCCTCAAGTAAGCTTCTCCTACCACCTTTGACAATAATTCGGCAAACTAATAACCTACCTCGGCCGCTCAAAAGACGATAAAATGTCTTGGACACCAGTGTACGCCCAAGGAGAGCCCGGCAGTGGCATCGGAGGATACGATCTCAAGTCAAAGGCTGATCGTGTCTTTGCCCTCGATTACAATTCTTCCGGCCAACTCGACCATCTTTGCCTGTACCGCCCCGGAACAGGTGCATTCTTCATCATACGCAATCAGGCAGGGACCTTCTCTCCTGTCTATTCGCAGGGCGATCCCGGCAGCGGCATTGGCGGCTTCGATCTCAAGAATGTCAACGATGTCGCTTTTGCCTTCGACTACGAGAGCACAGGCAAGCTGGACCATATTGTCCTTTATCGTCCTGGATATGGCTCTATTTACATTCTGAAGCGATCCGGCACCACTTGGTCCCCCGTTTATGCGCAGGGTCACTTGGGAAGCGGAATTGGAGGGTATGATCTTAAAAGTGCAAACGATCGTATCTTTGCTTTCGATTACAATCACTCCGGGTGCCAGGATCACCTCGCCCTCTACCGACCGGGAACAGGTGCTTTCTTCATCTTGAAGAGATCTGGTACCGCCTGGAGTGCGGTGTACGCGCAGGGTGATCCGGGTAGTGGTATCGGCGGATTTGATCTGAGCGAAACGGCGGACAGAGCTTTCGCGCTGGACTACGACAGTACAGGCAAGTCGGACCACATTGCATTGTACCGGCCCGGCACTGGAACGTTCTGGATCCTCAAGAACTCGAGTGGTACTTTCTCTCCTGTTTTCAAGGAGGGCGACCCCGGCAATGGCATTGGAGGTTATGATCTCATCAGCGTCAACGATGTAGCCTTCGCTTTTGACTGGAACAAGAGTGGGAAGAACGATCATATACTCCTCTACAGACCTGGAAAGGGTACTCTCTGGGTCATTGAGCGCTCTGGGACGACCTATAAAGCGGTGTTTGCCGAGGGTGATCCTGGAAACGGTGTCGGTGGTTATGACTTGAGTAGTGTCGAGGATAAGGTGCTGGCTTTTGACTATGAGGGCTCGAAGAAAGCTGACCATTTGGTCCTTTACCGTACCAATGCTACTGGTACAATTTGGATTCTCAAGCACACCTAGGTGGAGGTGCCTATGGAAATTGAATGTTGATATTCAGGCATAACCCTGGGTTACATTTGCTCTACTTTCTATTTGTTGCTTTTTTTTTGTTATTTTGATATTCATTCTTTCTGTTTTCCTTTACCACATTCCTTTGCTTATTAGTACTTGATCAAGTTTATTTAAACAATACATACTTAAGTATACAAGCCCCATTCGCAGATCATGTCGAACCGGAAGCAACCTCGGTAGATTATGAATAACCGCAATCTCAAGATTAGGGAACCATATCAGTCTCCCCTCCTTTGGTTCATTAGTAGACGCTGGGATGAACATGAGTCTCAGAAGGGCGTTAGTAGGAGAAATAAAATGCCATTTCGGAGTGGTTTGTTATTGTGTATTTCTACATCACGGCTCGGACGACCGTCTCCCTATTTTCGGTCGATTAAACTCCTGGTAACTTCTCCTCCTCTTAAGGCAGAGCTGATCAACACACAGCATTCGTGCTCTGTCTTCTTGGCGCATCTAATGTAATTCATCCTTAAGCCACCTGAGACTTCTGCCGTGGAATGTACATCCTGTGTTATATTCAACGTCTTAGCTCATCACATCGAATATTCAAACTCCCTCATCCATGAAATCTTAATATTTACTATCGCCACGAAGAATGGGAAGGGGGAAGTCTCTCAACAGCAAAGACTCATTTCTGATAATACCGCACTTCAGTCGGTTTGAACCGAATTCCTGGCGCTCGGCCTTCTCCTTGATGTTCAGGGGCGATGATTTCTGGTCCAGCCCAGCTGAACTTATATTCGCATTTGTTACAATACCATACATAACCAACATTGAAAGTTGGCACTGCTGCCCAGACTTGGCCAAGATCATTGCACTCGTGACCAAGCATGACTTTCAAAAATGCATCATTCGGAAAGAAACATATTCGATCATCTCCGTATCTCATGCAAGTAACCGAAGCAAAACTTTAAGAAATTTCCGGTCATCCAAGATCAGGTCAATTTATATCCGCCGAGGTGAATAATCAGGACTCGGCCTCGGAAATGGCCAGAGAAATCATCTTACAGCCCTATAATTATTTTATTAGATCATTCAGTACGTACTCAAACCGGGAGGGTATTAATTGAGATTTGGACTTACGTCAAACCCGCCTTCAATCACTTTTACTCCCCGCTCAGTGGAAAGCTTTGAGTAAGACGTAAAGCCTCCCGTCTGCCCAAGCCAAGGAGTTGTGCTGTGGCTGAGAAACCGTACAGCCCGGACGCCTCGCTTCGTGGTTGTGAGAATTATGCCGTCAAAACACTCCAAGTTCACACATTCTTGGTCATGACTTTCGTATCCCATATGACAAGGCGGATCGTCTGCTGGCCAGAACGTGAATCCGCAAACATATTTCGCGTCACCGAGCCTCGTGAAGCTTACACTAATCTGCGACAGGCGTGCAGGAATGGGGACTTTGTGGAGGAGGTGGATGCGGGACACCTCCCGGATATCGAATCCTGGGCGTTGTTTGTGGCACCTTGCGACCATGCGAAGACTGTGTTCGGCGTCCATGGGAGCAGTGCGATCCATTTGGCCGTGCCAACGAAGCTGAAGTGTGCCTAGAATCATTGGAACCAGTTCCCAGATTCTTCGTCGATTCTTGAGATGCTTGTCGATCGACGCATATCGGGTCAAGTCATACAACCTACGCCAGTCGAGACGATCTTTCGTATCCAGGGCCTCGAAAAGCCATGAACGTTCGTGAAACTGGTGAAATCTAGAGGCCCAGAAGGACTGGTGATCAAATGAGGACAGGAAAGCCCTCGACACAAGACGGATGTTTGCCACATCTGTCGTCGGCAAGTATTGGGCAATCAAGCAGCAGATCTCGGTCGGCAGCCTCAGGAAACGGTCCGACGGATTAAGCTGGTCATCGCCTATGTTAATGATTTCAGTATTTAGCCGCGGGAGTTCTCCTGTTACTATTTCGCTCCGCCCCATTGCAGAGTTCGAAAGCAGTTCATCAACCTGCGGACTCCGGAGAGGGTCGAATGTTGAGTACGGCCGCAGCGGGTGTTCTGGATCAGGAGAAAGCCGGATCAACCAGGGATCGTAGCCACATTCATTCTCGACATCACGCATGCCATGGTCACGTCCCCAATCGACCGTCTGGTAGATTTCTGAGTAAGGTAGCGACGCGAGGACTTCGTAGAGCCGCTGGAGAGGGAACGAGCTAGAATGGACTGTCTTTTCGAGGAACAGCAGACATGAGTCGTGAATGACATACTCACGATCGGGGTACAATGAAGTGGGCTCTGTTATCGTGAAGGAGGGCTGATCTTGGGCTTGGTCTGTTATATCATGATCGGCCGGCATCGTCTGCAGAACGAGAGCGCCCGACCTTTCTAATGATGCTTGGCCACACACTGACATGCGCACTTGATAGAAAGGGTCAGATTAATGGTTTAACTCTGAATGCATCAGTTACTGTTCAAGACAAAATGCATACGTGTAGAAAAGCCATGATTTTGCGTCGAGACAGGTCCAGGAAGCCAAGAGGGCGCATGAGACCCGCACAATGCGCAATTCTGCCGTACTGACTCCCTCTGCATATTAAGTATATAGGTATGTCACAGTGATATCGTAGGCGAAGGTATTCACGGAATGTGGGCTTGAAATATGCCTATCGAAGGTGGCAAATGAACAAATGTTTTCTCAAACATCCATCAAAACCGAGAGATTTAATCAAGAGAATCGCCAAATGAGGAGAAATATAGGCCTTGCAATACTGCTCCTCGGCGTCATATGTCATGATGAGCGGCCATCCGTCATTGAATGCGGGGAAGACCACATCCGCATACATCTAAGCGACCTTTGTACAAATAGAGTAGAGCCCATTGGCGGAAGTAAGCAAGATGTCACCCACCCTCCTCGATCTGGACAGGCGCAGAATTGTTAAGCCACTTTCTTGCTAATCAAGTCGAACCAGCTGACCAGCTTGAGGGCCGAATAGGATCGGATAATGTGCCAGCACACTTCCGAAGATGAGCTCGGGATCCTGGCGGATGCGGCATGCATGATTCTTGTCTTTTTGCAACTCTTGAAATGAAAAAGGCCATATCGAACAGATTCGACTTGTCGCCGATACTAAATATATTTATTTGCATTTTCATAAGTGGTTGGAAAAGTTCATCCACAAATAAGGTAGTTCACATCCATCTCTGTATCCAGCCATTTGTCAAGGAATGTAAATGAACGCACACGGACTGAGTAGATGAGAATTTATGAAAGGCCGCAAGTTGACAATAAACGTGCTTCATTCTAGAGTCTCATACATACTGTGCTAAAGGAAGTCAAAGTTTTGCCTTCAGCTGCTTCAAACATTCCTCGGACGGAAGGGACTGGAAAAATTCATCCCACGACTCCTTCGATGCAATGGGAGCGGTGAAGTAGTCCCTCATTTCCGAGTTTTCAAACTGCGGCATGACCTCTGCCAGCACTTCTTCGTATATACCCGTCAAGCGATCTTGATCTATAGTGTCATAGATGCTACTAGGTGCCATCGCAAGGCACAAACTTTCGTAGAGGGTGAGAATTTTCGGTGAGATTCCTGCTTCCTTGGCGGCCTCATAGGCCATTCGGTGTCCTATTGATTCGATCAACGGCCTTGAGCGTGGCAATATATGCCGGTTGTAATCAGCACCGCGGTGGGCTTTATATCCTCCTATCTCAGATAGCTTGGTCTTAGCTTCTGTCATTGCTCGCATTTCACGTTTAGCCAGTAGGCTGGAAGGGTCCAGCGCCTCAGGGAGGCGATATTTCTCTCCGAGAAGCTCTGATGCTAGACCTAGATGAGGGCGAGGTCAGTAACATGAGATAGAGAGTTAATCGGAACCCTCTACTTACGGATGCAAAGCACTAGTGTATCACCCTCAGCGATAGCGTTCCCCTGGAAACTCAGGGACATGTTGCTTATTTGATTGTATGAGAACAGGCCCTGCCAGCCGCACCGCTCTGAGAGTTCAGTCAGGATCTTAGACGCTTGGATAACGGTAGTTTTGAAAACAACTCCCAGAGCAGATCGAACGAGAACATGGGCTTCGGGGTTCATGAACTGTTTGATAGCCCAGCGGGCATACGCCTCTAGAACGGTGGCTTGAACGTGCCCGTTTACAATAGGGCGATACTGTGTGCTGAAGGACATGATTGGTGTCAAGTCACCACTCTTAGTTGATCCAATCGTTCTCCGTAGGCTGTATGCAGCAGTAACGTGCGTTCCGATCTTGATCGCGGCGATACCTACCATGGAGAGACTAATGCTGCCGATAGGAACGCGCCAGATTGATCGCATGAATGAGGCACGCTCATCAAGTGGCTTGTCCGTAGGCCCCAATAAGCAGTATGGAGGTAAAAGAACCCGGTCAAACGTTGTGATGCAATGGTCCAAGGGTTTTGTACCTGGGCGCACCGGCAGTATCTTGGAACTAATGCCTGGTTTCAATCGCCCTCCCTCGCTAAGAGGAACAACAAAAGGTCTCACACCACGATCCTCCTGGTCGACAATCAGCCGAGCAAACAGGACAGCCGTTCGAGGTATTCCCGATGCTGTGGTATTCGGTGGCATAGATTTAGCAGCGCCAGGATGCGGAGTGTGCAGTTCAAAAGAGCCATCGGGCTGCAGTGTCGCCGTGGTCTCCAAATTGCGGACGTCCAGCCCGTGATCTAGTTCTGTGAGCATAAACTGTCCGTTTATATCAAATTTGAGCATTTTCTGGACGAGGTCTGCAATCTCAGGAGATTTCCTTGCGAAGGGAATGATGGTGCCAAGGCACAGATTGTAATGAATCACAAGAATAGACAGGCAAGTCGAATCTCGCGCCACGAACGCTATCCCAATGTTAGTAATGCGACCGGGACATTTCTGGTAGCTAAATACGTACGATCCGTATGCAAACTCCAGAACTTCGGGGTCAAGTATAAGATGTCCTCGGCTGTGATGCCTGGTGTTTGGTTAATCCGACGTATATCAGCGTAACGAAGAATGCGAGAAGCCTACCAGATGCACGGCATACCGACCGAGCTCTTTCGTAATGAATTGCCGTGTTATCAAGCGAGGGGTAAATTTCCAAACCCATTTCCTTGTCTTTGGACCAGACATCTTGCTTTAGAGGATGTTTTGGATAAGCCATTGTCGCAAACTATAGGTGAGAGTCAGATTCCAACTGTAGGAATGGAGGCGGATGGGCCACATTTATGGACAGGAGCGCTCCTCAGCTACTGACCCTTTCCCACAGTGATACCAGTATGTTGAAGCCAAGGCAACAGGTTTAGACGAGATGCTAAGTCGATTTTCTTCAATTCAAGTAGCCCATATATGTCTCGAGCTTGGCAGAGGGCTGTGCCAGCAGTCCAGATATTGAGACCAGCTAAATTGTCGCTTGGTTGTTTAGTGCTGCCCAACCGTTCGGATCAGAAGTCGTCGACCGGATCGGATTTCTCCCCAACGAGAATCACGCCAGGTTATCAATTCGCCAGGTATCGCAGAGCGGCAGATGCCTGTCTTAAATTGTTTACGAATACCTACACGTCGGATCTCGTATAAGCCACTGCTTCATATTGTCTTGCAACGTGGCGACGCGCAGTATCCTCGGCGTCATTGATCGTCCCACTCGGCTTTTTTACCTTCAGCAACTATTTTCCTACCTTGTAGACTACATAGTGGCGTTCTTAGCCGCGTAAAACTTGTAGATGTGAGTACCCAGCTTCAAAGCAGCTGAGCCGGGCATGTCTTGGCCGCGCCTCAAACTAACGAATTCCGACAGAAGGGCTCGATCCTCACGCATGAACTTCATTAGATGGGCATTATAATTCATAATACTTGTATAATATAAGACATTTGACGTTAGATATTCCAATAGTGCAAACTGATAGGCTCCATCCCCCTGCATGTAATTCCAAATCGACGAGGTTGGACTCAAGCCGTTACTTGATGTTGCTAATTTCTCGCCATACGTCTTTTCAATTTTATCAGTCCATCCGCAAAGATAGTAATCAATAAACAGGAAAATAGTTCCATCAATAACTGGGGAAATGCAATATTGGCTTGTGTCAATGATCAGGCAAATATCGGGAGCTGACAGCCAACTACATCAATTTTGTCCATAGAAACATGAACCAGAGGTTAGCATAAATCAAAATAACAATTTAACATCACAAATTTCATCCAAATGCATCCCGCTACTCGGCAGCATTACTCGCGCACGCCCAAGGCTTGGTCTTCTTCTCACTCGCGATCGCCTCGATCGACCCCCACAATCCCAGAACGCAGAGCATAATACCAGACACAAGCAGCAGCACATTAGCCCAGAAGCGCAATGACTGGCGCCAGTTGCTGAACCAATCCCCCTTGTGCATCCACAGCCAGAAGATACCGGGCAGGCCGTAGGAGAACCAGCTGACGAAGGCGGCAGCGATGAGACCCAGCAGGCTGTTGAAGACAGGGATGGACTCGGCGATGATCATGGAGAGAGCCCAGATCACGAAGGTGACACCCCACCAAGACACGGTGGAGAGCCTGGTCCGGCGTTCTAGATGCTTGGTGTTGCGGAACAGGCGGACGAAGATGTACTTGGCAGCCACATGACCGTAGATGACTCCGGCGATGACCTATAATATTGTTAGCATTGACAGGGCCCAATAGGGTGCAGGGGGTTGGGCGTAGTGATTACAATTGTTGGGATAGCCACTCCCCAGATCGCCTTGCGCATGGCTTTGCTTCCGGCAGCTGAAAGCGCCGGGGAGGGCACATTTTCACCAACGTATACGTAGATGACAATAGCGGCGATCAGGTACAAGGATGTATCAATAAATTGCAGCAAGGCCATGGCTTTAGGAAAGTCCTCGGGCTTTTTGAACTCGCTAATGACGCTGAAAAAACACGAGTGGCTTGCTACAAAAGGGTAAGTTGATGACCTTCATGACCCAGGAAGGGTAATTGGAGGATAACTGACAGAATGCAATGGCGATGTTGGTGACTCCGAGGAATGCGGTGGGGAAAGGGAGCGATCGAGCGATGGTCCAGCTCCCGGCGATGGAGTGCCCAACTGAGACATCACCGACGGTCATCAAAGTGGCAACAATGATGGACAAGCAAGCTGATGGTGCGATGGTTAGCTTCTAGGCGGGCGGAAGAAGGCGGGAGGATGAGACAGCTTACAAGCGAGAGACATCCAGCTGGTATATTTGAGGGTCCGTGGGAGGTTGAGGACCCAAAAGACGCCGAGGCCGACTACAGCCCAGACAATTGTGCACGTAGAGCTATTAGTCAAGGTGTTCATGCATATGGTAAAGGTCAGAAGGTGGCTGCCCATGACCATGATCTGGAAGATGACCTGGGCCCAGCCGAAAATCTCCTGGAAGAGGGCACCCATGCCAATGGGCTGCCCGATGACCTCGAGAGCATCTCCAAAGTTCTGGACATGGGGATATTCCTCGCGGAACTCGGCTAGTACCAGGCCCGAGTATGTAGACAGTCCGCTCATGATGAGGATGAGGATGATGCCTGGAACCAGACCGACACTGGCCATGACTGAAGGGAGCGAGAGAATACCAAGTGAGACAGTCTCGGCAGCGAGGACAATGCCACCTTGCCTAATGCGGAAGAATTTTTGTCAGAAGATCAAAGCGTCGTTTGAGGGTAGAGAGATGGGGCAAACGAAGCAAAGCGATGCTTACCACCAGGTCAAAGTCTTGTAATCAATGAGGGCAGCCTGTGAGGCGCTCTCGACGTCCTCATGGCCCGAAACATTTTTGTCGCTTGGAGTATTCATGGCGACCGGAATACAGTGTCTCTTGTGAGCTTTTTCTTCTGTTCGTCGGCCAATCTGGAAGATCGATTGGGTACTCGTCCACTGAGCTGGCTGCGGATTTGCCAATGATCACCAAGTCGGCCAGAATTGTGGAAGAGAGATGGGAAAAGAAAGATGCGGGAGCAAGGGGGAAAGATTTAGATTTTGGGAGAGAGAAGGAGGAAGTCCCTTTCCCAATTTTTAAAACGAGGGGGGGGAAGCTCTGCGTTCAAGTAAAATGGATCAAGGTGGAATGGACCAGGCCTTTAACTCGACGCATGCAGAAACTCTAATGTAACTTCCTCTCCACGGGGCAACAAGTGATGATAAGAAACTTAAAAATGAAGGACAAAGGAAAATGGAGCATTACTCTAAGATGAGAGTTTTCTCATTGCCTGCCTTGGCGCCTGGCCGGGGTTAAAGCAAGGAATTTGGTAACAGGGTCGTCGAGGCTGAGGAGATGGAGGCTTTCCCAAGGATCATGGATGGATTTAGATGGATTCAGAGTAAACTAGCTCCACAAACTTACCGAGCAGCTGTTTCTAGAAGGCCCATGGAGCGTTTCTCGCAGTCTGTAGCCCCAGTCGGACCTAGAAGTTTCTACTTTACGAGTAGGCGATGAAGTAAAAGTTATCAGATAAATTGCTCGGTTGGAGTATTTTTCTAGTCATACCACGAATTATACACGTTATTATCAACATGCTCGCAGCTATTAATAAAATCCTAACTTGTGTGACGACCCAGCCCTAGGTCCAAGTTTGACGAGCCCCTGGTTGACTTTCAATCGTCTGCAAGGGGCTGCAAAGCAATATTTTACAGTCATCTCTAGCAAAAAAAGCATCCCAACACATGATCATTACTTTTTCTACTCTCACGAAGTGCTGTGCCGAATTCAGAGATGTGAGAGAAATCCAACATTCACTGTCTCACCCGTCATCGCAAACAACTCCAATTGAGACAAGGCTGGCTTCGACCATCCGCGTTCAATTTTTCATCCCTCTAATCGCCCAGGCCCAAGAACATCTAGATTTATCTGTACTTTTTACCAGCTCTCCAAAATGAAGCGCGAGAATCACTTAATGTGACATGTGACTTTGTCATTCCTTTTTTTTTTTCGGTTTGGGTTACGGTTTATGGTGCGCTTTCTTATCCCATACGAGCTATTTACAGTTCCAGGTCCAAAGAGAACCTAAACGAGTGCTAGTAAGGCCATGAATGAAGGAGAACATATTCTTCCTCTCAATTAATCTGTACGTGCCGGGATCCTGAAAAGGCCGCTGCCTCCTCGTCCCCCAAAATCGTACTACACCAGAGCCGACGAGCTATTTCTTCCTTCTGAAAATGCACCGGCCAGGTGATACTGCTGAGGACCTCCCGAGCATTTTCCCACTGCATTGATCCCATCCCTCTTAAATCAATCCACTTTCGAACGAGCCGGGAGAAGTGCGCACTCAGCTCTTGAAAGAAGCTCTTCCGCGACTGCACATCGGCGTGAGCTATGCTAAGGATCCCGACAAACAACTTCCAAAGCCACAATTCCTGCCGTTGCTCTCTTCCTGTGACAAGTTCTACAAGTTCGGCCTGTAGATCTCTCTCTAGGATAAGAAGACCACGTGAGTGAAGTGGCGTCTCAGGGGGTGAGCCGGAATTCCAGATCCCCAGCACAGAGGTAAGGTACATTCCCTCAGCAACATTGAACCCTGACCACGAAGATAGCAACGAATCATTCTCCTGGGCGGAGAGGTCGGGATTATGCGAAAGTGACTTGGCGTGTGCATCAATGGATGCAACAAACATCTTAGAAGGCGCGCCACTATGCCATAGATGATACTGAGAATCAACGACACCATTCCGTGAAGGCCGTTCAAATCTCATATCATACGCTTTTGTGACATCTCGGAGGGACTCAAGCATAGTGCTCACGTCAACATGGCGGAATGGCTTCTTCACAGCTTCGAGGGGGATGAAGAAGAATGGAAATAGCGATACTCCTTTCAGTCGTGACAGGCGCTCTTCTTCATCCGTGTGGGCATTATAAATCATATCCCGAAGTCTTTTCTTATCTATTGGTCGCTGAGGATCGCTTGATTTGGGTATCATCCTAATGAAGTCATTGACTTGACTCTTCAGACCATGCATGATGTTGAAGGCTCTAGACAGGATGTGAGTTTGTGTGATTAAATCCTTGGAACTCAATTGGATGGTTGGGCTTACTTACAAGATAAAATATCTATTTAGGAGCTCTCCTTCGATGCTTTGGCTGAGATCAAACCCGGGTTCTGTAGCCGAAAAATGATCCATATATGCCAATAGACCTGCTAAATGTGCATCGGCAACTGCGAAATTCTTAACGCAACACTACCAAGCAAGTGTAAGTGTGAAGCCAGTCCGCCACAAAAAAAGGACAAAGCAGTTTACCTCTGTGATACATAATGTAGCAATTAGTTGACAACACTTGAAGAAAGTGGCTGTGTCCGGTGTCCTGTCCAGCCATCCGTTGACTTGATGTATGCCATGGAGCTTGTGGGAAATAAAAGCGCGTTTGAATACTCGAAGCTCCCCAGTGTTCCAAACGTGATGAATTCCAGCAATAATGAGCGTATTTCGAAGCGCCACTGGTGTCTTGACCGCCGAGTCAACACTAGTAGGCACTGGTCATTAGTTAGATGTACTTCTGCTTTGTTATCAATCAGACTTATTACCAAACATTGATCTGGTGTGATGATAAACCGCTAAATGTCCCAATAGCTTGGCGATCTGTCATTAATCGTTAGAATGAGATCTTGTGTATATATACAGCGAAGACTTATTCGGGACCAGGACTTACAATAGTGAAGCAATTCCTTGGAATTGAAAGGCATCTTGATCGGGAGGGCGTTAAACGGATCTACGGCGTCTGACCGGGGCAGTTTCCATCGACGGATCATTGTTTCCTTTTCTGTTGGCTGTTTTTTTCTTCTGCCACTTGACTCCTTCTTTGCCGAAGGGAATGTTTGATGTTGGTGGGAAACTTGGAGAGCCCAAGGAGTTTGCTGTCCCGGCAATGCTTGTGCTCTACGATCACGAAGCGGAGGCCTAGCTGGGCCATACGAGCACGTTTTCTTTTTGGCTATGCAAGTAGTGCTATATCAATGTGATATTGTCAGCAATCAAATAAAGAAAAACCCCGCGAGCAAACCCGGCCAAACGACAAGGTTGCCAGGGCTCAGGAACCTTCTTGGGCGCCAGAACAGCCCAGGCGCAGAAGACTTACCAATCAGGCTTCTTCTCATCGCAACGAATCCTCCCCTTCCTGCAATTTATACAGCCAGTTCGGCTTCTTGTGGCAATGGCTCGGTCCATCTTCCCCAATATAGCGCTGTGAATGACCCCTCACCAGTTGGGTCAGTTGGGCTTTTGGCGCATGCATTGGCTTCCTGCGAATGATCCCACGCTCACTGGACACCTGGCCAGCTTCGATACGCCTATGACCATAGGTTTGCTGGTGGCTAACGGAGTTTTGGGCAAATCTCAGCACCCTGCAACGTTCGAATCCTCCTTAGGTCCCGTGACTTTCGGCGTGATAACTCCGGCAGTTCCAGTCATCACTATCATGTGTCAGCCCCTCATTATTACGAGCTTCCGTATGAGGTTAGCTATCTTTAACGAGGACTAAGAAATTATGTTTCGGCCACAGTAAATTGGCGTATCGATCAGCCACAACAGAGCAAGCCTCTTCGTTTCGGTCTAACCTATAGCTACAAATCCGAAATAAATTATTCCAACAGAGGCGGCAGCCAATCGACAAACCTATTCACAATGGCAGCTATATAATTTGCTGTCACCGATTTTATTGGGGAAGTCTAGGTGAAGCAATGAGAGTTGTTGCGTGCTAGCTTCGGCTTATAACAAAAGTTCCTTTGACAATGCCATAGGTTCGAGATGAAAAAAAATTGTATGTTTCCATTCATTTAGTTCGGGACCTACTCCCGTAGTTCCAGCTCTTATTACGTTGCATCTAGAAGCAAAACGCAACATTACGCAAGTCTATGTGACGTAAACGGCATAGATAACCGGCCGATGACGTTACGACTTCTTCCTCTTTGTCTCCCAATTGGATTTATATATCTATCTGTCTGGCAACCTCTGATTCTGAAGGCTAACAAGATTCTTTCTCATCTAAAACCATTCACAATGGGTGGAGGCGCAGTGCTCCCGGGGTTCCCTCAGCCGAACCCCACGACTTCTTACTGGCAACTCCCACCCCATCCCATTGCCAATCATCGCACCACGCAATCGCTACCGACTTCCACGGCGTTTGACTACATCATCATAGGCTCTGGAATATCTGGTGCCGCGGTGGCATTCAAGCTACTATCTCGGGATCCGTCCCTTAAAATCTTGATGCTGGAAGCTCGTACCGCCGCTTCAGGCGCCTCTGGCCGTAATGGTGGCCACTGTCGTGCCGGCTTCTGGCTCAACCAGAGGAAGTATACCGAATCTTTTGGGGAAGACGAAGCCCTCAAGTTTCTGAAGCTCGAGGAGCAGAATGGACTGGATATTGCTGATTTCGTACGCAAGCACAACGTTGACTGCGATTTCCAAGAAATAGAAACAGCGGATGCCTACGTGTCCAACGAAGAATGGAATAACGCGCTCCTAACCATGCTTGCTAGAGAAGATCTGCGAAAGAGAAGACCAGATGCCGCCACCCTTTCTGAAAGGACTGTGTGGAGCGGCCAAGAGGCAAGGGACCATTTGGGGATGCCATCAATAGTTGGCGCGGTCACATGGCGAGCATACACGCAAAACCCTTACAGGCTTGTGTGCAAGATGCTAGAACTCGCCCTTGAGAAAGGACTCAACTTGCAGACTACGACTCCAGCACTGGAGATAGTGCCTACAACCTGGCAAGGGACTGCCTGCCGATGGGAAGTCAAAACAGATAGAGGCAATGTGCATGCAAGCCATGTCGTCTTAGCAACAAACGCCTATTCAAACGCGTTGCTTCCTAGGCTGAGAGCGACGGGCTTCTTGACCCCTGCTAGGAGTCAGGTGGCAGCACTGAGACCTGGGAAGAACATGACTGGTAGCCCAGCGCTGCGCGGAAGCGCGGGCCTCAATGATTTGAATGGTGTCGGCGACTATTACATGACGCGGCTGCCTGGTCTTGAGGGCGAGGGTGACATATTGTGGGGAGGTGGCCGCTTCATCTCGAAGGAATATGGAATAACGGACGACTCCCAGATCAACCCCGATATCGCAACCTACCTCCATCACGCTCCAGCCAAATTCTTTGGAAGCGATGTGTGGGGAGAGGAGGGTGATGTGGTCAGAGATTGGACTGGCATTACATGCTACACTCCCGATTCGTTTCCCCTTGTGGGCGAGGTGCCAGGTCAGGCGGGACTTTGGATGTCAGTGGGAATGAATGGGCACGGTAGTAAGTGATGACCCTAATGCTTGTTCCCAACTGCTGTTCTCTATCAACGCCAAGGGAGCAGAGACTGACATTCTCACAGTGGGCATGGCTTTCCGGAGCGCGGAGGCTCTTGTTGAAATAGTAACCACTAGGGAAGAGCCTGAGTGGTACCCAAAGCTCTTTCGACCTGGCAGAGCATGGGGAAAATAAGAAAAGTATTGTCCTGCAAACAGAGGACAGTAACTTAACTGGGTATCTCGCTGAAAGATATTGGAAGCTGGAACTCTGACACGGATCAACTTCAGAACCTCTAGTATTTCCACTTCTGCTATTCTGCACGAGCTTGCAATACAATTGGAAACCTAGCGAACATCCATAGCGCGATTAAAAGAACCTAGCATTTCATTCTTTGCTTGATGGTGACTTAATATTATTTCTTTTTGTTCAGTTGCTCGCCAATCTTGCTCAGCAAGGCAGGAAGGTCCTCGCCATAAGTATCACCATCTTTCATTATAACCTCCCGTGCGTTCTCGTCCCGCGGCTCAAACGACGCTTTGTACGGCAAAGCCCTCATCACTAGGCCGTCGGTGCAGCCATCGGCGTCAACAACTGTCAACTCTCCATCCTCCGATCGTCCAGCTGTGATGTCAAAGGCCCACAGAAGGCGAGCCATAGAGACCCATATCATGTTTCGAGCAAAGAATCTTCCAGGGCAAGTCCTTCTACCGTACCCAAATCCAGCCACCGGCAGGCTTTTTAGCTTGTCACCGTCCATCCAGCGCTCGGGAATGAAAGAGTCGGTGTCAGGGCCAAAGACGGCCTCCTCGCGTGTGACAGCCCAGTGGTTGGCGACCACGACGGAGTTTGCGGGAATCCTGTAACCCTGGTACTCGCTTTCGACCTTTGTGAAGTGAGGAACGCCGCCTGCTCCTACTGCCCTCCATCGAAGAACTTCCTCCAACAAGGCACTAATGTAGGGCAGACGAGGCATATCATCGAGGGTTGGCAGCCGGTTGCGGCCCACCACCCGGTCGAGTTCCTGTTTAGCTTTTGCTACGAAACCGTTATCTTGTGTGATAATGGCAATGATGAACCAGTTCAACGTTTCCACAGTCCCGTCCAGCGAAGCATCGACCAAGGTGCCGAATTCAAAGGCGAGCTCATCGAGCGATATAGGCAAGTTCTCTTCCTGTACAGTCTGATGAAGCTGCTTAGTGAAAGTCCACCCAGGCGCCTTGAGACCTCGGTTGAGATTACCGATATGGAGTTTTCGCTGCCGTTGGTGATGAGCCTCCGCCTTGGCTTTCCATGGGGCAAGAGGGCCAGGTAGAATATTGAGCGCAGGGAAGGTGTCTACCAAATGCGCGCCAAGCTGGACAAACTCGGAAAATTCGTCGTCAAGTAACATGGCGTTGACCAGCTCCGGTGCTTCTGCGTCCTTGATACGGAATCCATAGAATAAAGCAAAGATGGTGCTGGCGGTGGTCCTCTCGAGGAAGCCGTGGATATTGGTCCCCTTTCCACCTGCATTCATGAGGAGATCGTACATCAACTGCTTTGACTCGATGGACTGGAATTCGAGGTACTTGGATGATGCGTTCTGGCCCAAGACTGTCGCTTCCAGTCTCTGGCGCACTTTGAAACACTCATCGTAGTCCATCAAGAGCACATTCATATTCTTGAGGGCGAGCTCCTGCGCTACCTATGAAATGCAAAAATTGACTAGTTAGAGGTGAACATTATTGGGTAGATGAGGGTGGCATGAAAACTCACAAACATCTTTGGTCTGTCAGAGAATGTAGCTCCCCTCTTGGCCAGGAGATCGTGAGCTGCCTGAGAGGTGGTGAGGACAATGACATGTTGTCCAAACACGTTGAGGTGATAGATGGACCCGTATTGCTTTCTCCATTCCGCAAACTGTCTCCAGGCAAAGGTTTTTGGCACCTGGTGAACGTTCCCAATTACTGGCAGTGTGGGAGGCCCAGGAGGCAGCGGTAACGATGGTTTTGTAACAAGCCACCTCACGAGGTAAATTGTAATGAAGCCGAGGGCTCCGGCAGTCACAATAGACACAGTCAAAGCCATGATGGTAATGAGATGGCAGCCAGTGCTTGGATGGTTGAAGGCGGCTAACAGTGGTCAGGATTAGGAGGAGAGAAGGTTCCCTAAATATACAAACCCGGCGAAGAATTCGCCCTACGGTCCTTAGCGTTAAGCTCTATTATATGATGACACACTTGTCTTACATGCATGTGCGTAAGCATGGCAATTATTTTACCCCATACGGACAGAGGTAAGCAGAGCCCAGTCATTGGCTCCTTCAGAAGAATTCAGTCGTACTGCGTATCATCCGTCGGGCTTGGGACATGATATTGAATGCCCAGACCTGGTTCCAAGCTAACTCACCCCACAACCCACGTCATGGATCAACCCTTCTTGATCCTTTCTGGAGAACCAGGGCATTGACATGCCCCTCGGCGAACCAATTACAAGTAGAGCAATATCAGCAGCTTACTTCTTTTTTAGATGTGGTCGATACGGTTCAATTAGTCTCACACTGGAACTCGTAGATTATGGCGTCCGCGCCATCGGGTCGGCCGTTCGCTTAGGAGTGGGACAAGAAGACGGATTCACCGCCAATAAAGTCACAACAAATAAGTCACTGACGATCTGAATGTCATTATGCCTATTAAGGTAGCTATTTTCGTGTGCTTCCACCGTTGTTGCCACAGATTCGGGATACCAACTGGTAATACCAAACTTGTCAAGCAATCAAGATACTAGGGCCACAAGGCCACGATGCATGAGAGCTTTCAATAACGTCAAAGGCCCCGGGTCTGTTACGGCCTAGTTAAACTAGCACCTCGGATTATTCCATCACTCTCAAGCTTAGATAATTATCGACAAAAACGTTTCAATATTGTGTTCAAATCGTCATGTGTAAAAGTATATTGAAGCGTGATATCGGGACACTCCTACACTATCCACGAACTCGGACCAGTATAATACATTAAAACCACCAGCTATCATCCAGAGAATGCATCTAGCTGGATCCACCCAATTACTATTAAGACTAATAGATTGACCGTCGACCGTTACGGGGCTCATCAATACATGAACGCTGGATTGACAGTGTTGCACATTCGTAGCGGCTTACAGATGCAGAGCCAAAATAAGGGGCACGATCATGGCAATTCCGACCTGCAGGGACCCAGCCGACGAGGTGATGCCGGAAGGAGTGGCAGAAGGCTGCACGGGGGAATTGGCACCAGTAGTTGAGGGAAGAACACCGGTAGCGGGGATCGAAGTGGCAGGGACCGACGAAGCAGGAGGGCTGTAGACGCTGGTCCAGGTGTTGTTTGAAGAAGGGTAAGGAGCGCTGGGGGTGTGGATGGGGCCGCCGGATGGAGCAGGGCCGGATGGAGCTCCGCCAGTAGGGGTCTCGCCCGCAGGGACGCTGGGAGCTGAAGATGCGGTCGTGGAAACGCCGGTGGAAGCAGGAACAGAGACTGATGGGCTAGCCGAGGGGCCACCGGAAACAGGAACAGAGACCGAGGGGCCAGCAGAGGGGCCGCCCGAAGGAACTGGGTGTTGGGTGGATGCCTGGGATGGGCAGACGGTGACGGTGTCGCTGATAGTGACGGTGGGAACGGGAGTCGCAGTAGCACTAGGAGGGGGTGTGAAGGTGCTAGAGGTAGGCTTGCAAGGCACAATGGTGGTCAGAGTCTCGGTGATGGTGGGGACGGGTCTCACGGCGGAGGCAGGAGTCGTCGTGGGGAATGAGGTCTGTGTAGCAGGGCAGACGGTCACAGTTGAGTGAACAACTGATGTGACGATGACTTGGGTCTGGGACGCAGGGCAGTTAGGCACGGAGACGTGGCAGCTAGTAATAGTGTAGGTCGTAGTGCTGCTGATGGTGCTCGTGACCAGGCCACCGTTGCCAACGCTAGTAACAGAGGCACTGGGGGTAGGCGTCGGGGTGCTTGGGGAAGTAAGACCGCTGGTGGAACGAGTAACGGGAGAGTTGAGGCCGCTGGTGGATGGAGCTGAAGGAGAAGCGAGACCGCTGGTGGATGGAGTTGAAGGGGAGTTAAGACCGCCAGTGGCATCGAGGTTCTCCTTGCCGTCACGGCCGGACAGGCAAGCAACACCCTTATCAGCGCGGGCCAGCTCAACAGAGACGGTAGGAGCAAGGCTAATATCGAGGATATCGGCAACGTTGATACCAGCTTCGACAGCAATGCCAACGTTGAGACCGAACTCGTTACCGACAGAGACAGCACATTCCTTAGTCTGACCAAGAGTGATCTTGTGCTTGACCAAGTCAGCCCAGATGGAAATCTCAGCACCTGCATCAAGGAGGTCAAGACCAAGCAGTTCAACATCGGCACCGACGCTGATGTGGGATCGAAGGCGGAGACCAAGCAGAACATCGATATCAGTAGACAAATCAACGGCAGCACCAACAGTGAGAGGCAGGGCCTTGACACCAAGTCCAGTGAGGACACTGCCACGGACTTGCTTGGTCACTACAGAGAGATCGATGTAGTCACCCTCGGAGAAAGAAATGTAGAATCCAGCAGACAGGTCGACGGCAGCGCTAACACCAACGACGAGATCGAGCGCAAAGGCAGCACCCAAGTCAATCTCAAGAACACCAAGGTCGATGGCAAGCTCGGGTGAAGCAATGAGGGTGACGGTCTGGAAAACACCCGCCGAGGCTGAGAGATCGACATCCACATAGGCCTGGAAGCTGGCAAGGTTGAGGCGAATGGTTGGTTCTGCGAGGAAGTTCTCGAGTGGTGCCAGACTAATCTGACCCTCAACATGAGCCTGGTTCAAAACGAGCTCAAGTGAGACGGCCGCGGAGGTCTCGGTCGCAGCACCAACAATCCTAAAACATGAGTTAGTACACGTGCTGTAAAGACCTTTAAAACTCCCGCGTGGTTCTACTCACCCGCTAAAGAGAACATGGTTGTCCCAGGTCTCGGTCAGGTCGCAGACTGCTGGGATAACCCCTCCGACGAGCCCTCCGACGATGGGAGTGATTGAGGTAACTGGCTTGACGATATCATTGACGATATTTGGCAAGTGGGCGGAGGCGACGCCGGCCAGGCCAAAGAGAATAGATGATCTCATTATTTGTGTATTGTGAAAGAATGTAATTAATGAATGACTGGACGTGATAAATCACAGGTGAGTTGCTTGGTTGAAAGAATGACTGGGCGTGACAACGCTTGAAGGGAAAAGAAGAAGAACCAAGTAGTCAACGGCTGCGTTGCCCTTAATATGTCGAGTGACCATTTCCACTATGCTTAATTCTTGAATTCCCCTATACAAAAGATTCAGGGGCCATCATCGAACGATGGTTGGTAAACCCCCGTCAGTCCTGACGATCACCTTCTACTGCTCCGGCCACCTCAAATTGAAGCACTGGCGATCACCAAACAGAGAGTTACGCTCCAAACAGTCGGATCCATTTTAATAAGTACCAGATACTGTGGTTGGGTAGGCCATTTATTCAGCAAATTGTGCTTGTCGCTCATGCAGGGTTTCTTGTGGCGCCGGCAGATGGAGGATTCGAGGGGAAAGTGCCGATCGCAATGTTAACCAACATGGCTAACCAAACGGCCTTTAGCATTGGCATGGTCCCTCGTAAGTTAATTTAGTTGACAACCGCCACCGCGTGAGATCAGCGCTGCCATCAACGGCGGTATGACGTCTGCGCTAGATCAGTCAGGAACGGTGACTACAAACATGAAGGTTGAGCTGCTGCTCTCACTCGCTCAGCCTAACAATCCAAATCTAACAAGAGTTTGCTAAGAAAGTTCCAAAGCATTCAGGCGAGCTATGTCGTATCTGGTGATCTTAATTACGGTCTGGGCGGGTCTATGACGATCATATTGGACCTTGTTATGACCCTAATGGCTGCCTCCAGAGGGTCCACGAGGTCTCGTGCGTGGTATCAGGAATGGCATGCGCACACTTCTACCCTACGCTCAGGAGTTACTGGCCTTATTTACCGCTAATATGGCACTTTCAGTCTCGTGGTACTGTTCGTAGCACCTTCGAGCTACTTCATACTCAAGTTGTAATCATGAAGATGAGTACCACTAGCATATCAAAGGAGCTTCTATTTCGCCCCCTCTCTTCTGCTATGCCCACTGAGGCAATTGATACTGTGACAGTTCCTGTTGGAGTCCTTACAAGCCGAGCATATGTTTCCTAAGCTCCAGAATGGGCTTTACTTTTGCAATCTCCGGCCATTGGGCACCAAGAGATTTGACTTTTAATTGTAAGAATTGCCCGGGGGAGAGCATTCCCAATTTTAGAGACCTTCATTGTGATGGATAAAGTCGTAACTAATTATGTAGAAGAGATTCAGATTTCCGATCAATTGAGAAATGAATATTGTCACTGGTACGCAAAGCTGCCAGGACGGGGCCTCATCAGATGCACTGTTCGATGCCGCCGGAAAGTTCTCGTTCAACTACAGCCTAGCAGGTTAGCACTCATTACACTTCCTTCAAGAACCCACATTTCTAAAGCGAGCCGGTAAGGTAAATGTAATTGACAGAGTATTATCAAGGGCCAAGACAAGGATGATAACTTTACTCCACGCTATACCAAAAGTACACGAAACTCACTAAGCACTGGATGAGGACAACTACTAAACTTTGGAAAATTCTCAATGCCTATTGGTGTGGGTATTTTGGATGAGAGGATCTGCATTGAGCATGGAGGCTAAGAGGTGAGTGAGAGGGAATAAAATCAGGCTGAAGCGATTATCCTGTTCATGCGCCCGGAGCGGCTCTGACAATGTCTCACCAGAGCTTCTTTAGACGTGAATTTCCCCGCATATTGGTACCCAGAGTTGCTGGGGAAAAGCCATTGATAGAATGGCAGGCATGGTTGTATCTCACCACTCTTGCCTAAATTGGGTCTGCATGTATCATAGGGCCCATTGTAGGACGAGGATGTGCTTGCTTTAGCGCACCAATGGATTCCCACCTACTTGCTACTTCAAAGCTTCTCAGACCTGATTTTTGCCACAGTACGAACTATAGACCGCATCGAGGTTCAACAACAGCTATTTTTGTACGAAAACTAAAGATAAATGGACGAGCCTGGCGGGTCGTTGGATCGCCTCTCTCCTGGACTCTGGGCCCTTCTCACTGACTGGCCGAGACATCCACACAGCCTGCGCCAGCATCAACCTTTATCTCCTTCGGTACGGCTCAAACTCTGATGAGAGGGCACTCACCTCCTCCTCAAGGGTGTCGACAAATGTTGAAATTAAACTGAAGTAAAGTCAGCGTCTTTACACTCGAAGCAGCTTCGTCTCGGCAGATCTTCCCTTGACAGTAGCCCTGATTCGGCAGTTAATTTGGCGACAAAGGTAGAGGAAGATGGAGTCCACTTGACGACACGATCTAAGAGAAAGGCTCCACGCCGAAGTAACAATCAGTCATTGGGACGCCTACAGAGAACACCACTTCGTTCCTTACTTGTTGCATATGCGGGCACCGTCGAGAACCTCTATTCATCGATTCAGCCTATTCAAACCTGCAGAGTTTCACTCTCAACCCCGCGCCGTTGATGTCGCTCAACGTGGGGTCCCTATATTCTTGGCGCGAAACCTTGGGCGGTTAATACGACAGGCAACAAAGTGGATCATCGCCGTCTGAAGTTGCAACCAAAGCATGATCGTGATAACCAGCATGAGTCGCATCCCTTTCTTCTCTTATACCGATCTCTGATCAGCCCATTCTCTTGTCCAAAACCGCACCGCTTTCGCATTAGTTTCATCACCATGGCTTCCTTCCACCATGTACTCATTACTTTGTTCGTGCTGATGGCGTTAGTGCGAGCGGATAATGGTACTTTTTTCAATCCAATACTCCCTGGATGGAACTCTGACCCTTCTTGTGTGCATGTCGATGGCACTTTCTACTGCGTTACATCAACATTCATATCTTTCCCCGGGATGCCCGTATACGCTTCTACTGATCTTATCCACTGGAGGATGATCAGTCATGTTTGGAACCGAGAAAGCCAGATGCCTGGTGCAAGCCAGGCTACTAAATGTTAGTCGTTTGGTTCTTCATCTTACTACCTACCTGTCTAGAAAATCTAACACAGGGCAGCGCAGCAAGGCGGCTTTTTTGCAGCGACAATTCGACATCATGATGATAAGTTTTGGGTAGCATGCGAGTACTTGGGCCTAGAAGGAGGCATGTTGGGAACCATTTTCACATCAACAGACCCCTTTGATGAGTCTACTTGGAGTGATCCCTTTACATTCCTGACTCAGGCTGGGGATCTAGACCTTTTCTGGGATGATGGAACCTTATATATCCCAGGGGGTGGTACTGGTGCATTTCTACAAAAAGTGGACTTGGAAGCCGGCAAAGTCATCAGCAACACCCCCCTCTGGCCTGGAACAGGCGGCGTATGGCCTGAGGGCCCTCACCTGTATCGGAAGGACGGCTGGTACTACCTCACTCTGGCGGAGGGTGGCACGGAACTGGGCCACTATCAGGTTATGGCTCGATCGAAGAACCTTACTGGACCGTACGAGGAACACCCAAACAACCCTATCCTCACGAACCGCGGTACAGACGAATATTTCCATGTAAGGGCCCGCCAACGACTCATACAGGAGTCATGAAGAGAATAGCAGGCTAACCACAAGTGTCAGACTGTCGGCCACATGGATCTGTTTCAAGACCAGGGCGGCAATTGGTGGGGTACTGCCTTGGCAACCCGTTCAGGGCCTGAGTGGCATATTTACCCAATGGGCCGCGAGACGGTTCTTTTCCCTGTCAGCTGGCCTGAGAATGAGTGGCCCACGGTTGAACAGGTTAGAGGCAAGATGAACTGCTCTAATCTACCAGCAGTCAACACAAACCCTCCAGGAGAGGGTCCAATCGTGTCTGCCCCTGACGCTTACGATTTCCCTCCAAGCAGTGCCATTCCCCGCAACTTGATTCATTGGCGCATACCTTTCGACGGGGCTTTTTCAATTGGTCCACAAGGAGGTTTAAAGATAAAACCGAGCGCGGCTAACCTTACTGGCGATGGTGGAGACATGGATGGCCGCTCTGGCTTGTCGTTTATTGCACGCCGTCAGACCGACACTCTCTTTGACTTTGAGGTTGATATCCAACACATTCCACAGCACATTGGCGAAGAGTCTGGCGTAACAATATTTCTGACACAAAATAACCACGTCGATCTCGGCATGGTGCTCCTTCCGAGCGAAAATGATGGAGCAGAGCCAGAGCGTGTAATTCGGTTCAGAGCCATCGGTGAAGAAGCACCATCAGACATGATTCTACCCGTTCCAACGTCTTGGGATCAGGGTACCATTCGCTTTCGTGTTTCAACCGTCAACTCCACTCACTATATTCTCGGGGCTTCATCCATTCAAGCGATTGATAACGAAATTACTTCGGATTTTGTATCGGCGAGAGTGGTCAGCGGTCAGAGCGGGCCTTTCACCGGCACGCTTATAGGTGTCTATACGAGCTATAATGGCTTTGCATATGGAGATTCTGAAAGTGAGGCTATTGTCACTCGATGGAGATATACCGGTAAAGGACAGTTTCGCACATCTCAGGGCTAGGTACATGTTTAGATACAAGTAATTAAACTTGCTAATAATGTCCGCGCAGGTGTAGGGTGTGGGCTGACTCGGCTCCGGCTTCTCTCCAGCTCCGTCTTCAGTCTAGTGAAATGGATTGAGCTGAATTGCTTGAGGGCTGCTCTATATGCATTGAGCCATCTGGAAACTCAATAACGAATAAAGACTTATTCAAGGGAAGTTTTAATTATTGCTACATCTATCACGTCCAGAGATCTTTCTTTTTTTAGTTTATGAACTTTGTAAGAAACCACGAAGTTTTCTTATTATATGCTTTTAGGAATAAAACTATCAATCTGGTTTTGAACATATTCAAAAAGCTTCTCCTGGAGATCGTGATCTTGACTGGCTTTTGATCCTAGCTCGACCTTTCCAACCGGACCATAATACCGACCGCTCTGAGCTTCAGGGCTAGCAGCAGCCCAGATCTGGGACAGCGCACCCTTGTCCACCGGTGTTGCGAACAGCCAACCGGCTGTATATAAGAAAGGCCTGAGAAAAGTGCCCTTGGATTCATGGTGAAGGTTGGTGGCAACCATGCCCGGATGCACACAAATTATCTTGACCTGGCTTTCCCGCTCAGCCAAGGCCCTCGAATAGTGAAGATCAGCGAGCTTCGACGTTGTGTATCTCTGGGTAGTTCGACGATCCGCCATGGTGGTGCGGAGTTCGCTGAACTTATAGACATCGCTGGGAGCCATCGCATGTGCGGCAGAGGACAGCATTACGACGCGTGTCTCTTTGTTGACCTTTGATGTCTCGCGCATGACTGGAAGCAGGAGTTGAGTGAACAGCGCGGGACCAATGACATTCGTGCCGAATTGAATCTCATGCCCCTCGGCGGTAAGTCCCTCGGCAGTCATCATAATACCCGCATTGTTCATGAGAATATCAAGTCGAGATTCTTGCCGGAGGAATTCTGCGGCCGCAGCCTTGACGCTCTCCAAGCTAGCTAGGTCAAGCGCAAGAAACCTGATATTATCTAGCTTTGGATTTGCCGCTTGAATCTCCTGTATAGCCTTTTCGGCCTTCTCCTTGGATCGTGCCGCGAGGTAGATGCGGGCGGGATTGCGAGTGCTCAGTTGTTTTACGCTTTCATAACCGAGACCTGCGTTTCCGCCGGTGACGATGATGACTTGCCCATCAAGGTCAGGAATATCCTGGACGCGGAACTCAACCATGATGAATGATGGTACTCAAAGAACTCGAGGTGGGTAAGAGAAAAAACTAATGAGAAGGACCAAATATGCACATAGCCTTGGACAAGTGATTATATATATAGCTATCAGCGCTCTATGGCACCCACGATGTTGACTGCATTCAGCAAGTAGGCGAAGCTTGATGCAATCAGGTTCTCCACATTTCCGACAGGGGGGTAAGCAGATTGCATGCGCTGAATCATGAAGGCGCATTTTCCCGTCAAACTGGTTGAACAACCATGTCCAACACCACATTCGGCTCACATCACCTTATCGAACTGGTCCTTCTGAGCGAGTTTAAACGACATAACCGAGGACAGGATGACCCCGCCTACACTTGGGCAAAGCAATGTTGAAGTCGTTTAGCCGTTTATTCTAACGATGCTTATGCCGTAAAGCTAAGATGTTAGGATGACATCAATAACGGCCCTTTTTTCGATTTAGTGTTAACCTTAATGCGTTTTATCAACTGATCCGGAAACTAAAACGACCTTGCGCTGTGCTACACGCCACCTCCGTGTGAATGATAATCTAAGCTGTTGGTTGTAGAGGCTTCCTTCCCACACGTAGTTCTCGGGCGCCTGCCCGGATGGTGGGCCAAGCTAGGAATAGCCTTGCTAGTTGCTTACTCCCCTGTCAATCAATGCAATCAACCACACATGAGTCGATGACTCGTGGGGTGACCCGCCCATCTGTGGGACTCTACCGTCCGGGAGGAAGCCGATGTCACTTTCACGCCAGCGATTTTTGAGCTGGTCATGATTCAAATTCGTCCACAAGAAGAAGTTATTCCGGGACTAGTGGTTCTATGAGGGATTCGCATCACTGTCCCTCCAATAGGCTCGCCCAATATCTTACATATAGAGGGTGTTTGCGGTCACATTTCACTCGAGGTGTGGCAAAGAACACATGACTTTCAAACCATGTTCAGTCATAGACGGATCAATCAAAATTAGATTATTAAGTAGAAAAGTGAATGTCATACATGAGAGTTCCTGTAAACACAGTGAGACTCCTCGTTTGAGCGGCACATATTGGAATGACGGGTGGCGTCTGAGATTCTGGACGCTAATAGGTCAAGAAACTCGGGCTTCTTTCGTAAAAATTCCAACTATTGCGTTATTTCCTGGGCTGATTTGGAGATATAGAGATCACCTCGGCTCCTCGTAACCTGCGCCAATGATTCGTCGCCTCCAGAATCTCTTGGCAGTCCTCCAAAAGGACGGCCCACCTATTGATGAAAGAAATACCGAATTCCCACTGTGAAGCCTGCCATGAATCTCCCCAGATGAGCACGGGGGTCTCCGTCTTCGATTCCAGGTTCAATAAGTCGCAACATAGCTCATCGCACACCGTGTCCTCATCCAGTTCCCCTGATTGGATACCCTGAAGAATCCTATCCCTCAGGCTAGGGAACGGAAACAGGTCGAGCCAGGGATGATGAGGCACTGATTTCTGGAGTTCTGTGGGCCTGAGGTGGTCGGGGAATTGTCTTGATAGTTGTTGATTACCTGTGGAGTGACTACTGGTGAGCAGCATGGGTGAATCGTCATCATCGCTGCCTAGAGCCTCTACCGGAATCTGCAATATCTGTGCGTTCCTCATCAGTGCGTCGAAGGCGTTAAGGCGGCTCAGGGTAGGCAAGTCTTTTGGGACAGGACGGCTGAGTGACCAGTCTTGGTAGGCACGGTCGAGGAAGATCCGGGCTTGCTGGGAGAGCAAAGCACAATTAATGAAAGCCAGAAAATCGGGTAAGCTGTGGAAGACAGGCAATGGGCCTTGCTTGGTCAGCACTGCGAGATGGCATGCCACCGCTGTCCGAGGTATTGACTCCTGGTCTTCATCGTTGGTGGCCGTAGGGAACGCACGTCGCTTCTTGCCTAGAAATGGAATCTGTCAGCTGGGGTATCAGCTCAGCGATAATGACGACACTCACGATGGGCTCTTTGATGAACTCTGTTCTGTCGCCGTCGTCGTTCCTTTGGATCTGTAACGCCTCTCCAATTGTCGCCTTGGTCCCAAATCTCCGAAGCGGCATAGTCCTTCATAGTGATGGCTTGAACCCGAAACAAATGGTCATTCTTCTCGCGCTGGCTCCTTTCAGGGGACTCTTGCTTGCCAGGATGCCCTGCGCTCTCCACTGTGTTAAATTTACATACCTTACGAATACGATTGGTGGACGGGAGGAAGCCGAGTCATGTGACCCCGACCGAACGAGCCTGTGGCGACAACCTCCTGCTAGGTCGTTGACATTGGCAGTAAACTCAGACACTATGGATTCTGAACAAGGCGAAAATAAATTAGGAATTGTTTAGGGAGCACCAAGTGATATAGTTGGTGGGTTTTTTGTGTTGTGACATTGTTTTCTCTCCCCTAACTTCACACACCTGCGTCATAGTTGGTTCCTCACTCTCCACAATTTAAAGGTTTCTACCTCATATATGAGCCAAAGGTAACTAATTTGCGAAGGTAGGGAAGAGATTCATATTGACAAAAATACATTTAGAGAAGGGCCCTTTTGTTTATCATGATTTTTTTATAGGAAGTCCCTCCTAGAGTATGGTGTACGTGGTATAGGGTAGGCACACTCTGGTAAAGTACTGCGAGCGGCCCTGGTTTCTACTCAAGCTAACAACACAATGATTCATTCGCAGTAACATGACATCATCAATGAAGTATATCAAGCCACGGATGAAGGCAACAATGTAAAGGAAACCCGCAGTGTCTCTAGTCTCCAGATCTTCAGATGGAACGACATGGTAAACACGGCGCGTCAGTGGGGCAGATTGTTACCCCAATTAGGAAAAGGGCGTTTCGTGTCTGGTAAATCCGCCTCACAATCGTTTCTCCGTTATGAAGAAACTGGAGATTGCGCTAGTGCTGATTAGGAAACCAATCTCTTGTAATTTGGCTAATCCCAATTGCTCCATTTCTTCGCCATTGCCTGTTTGCGGCCATTGGTCTCGATCGGAGATAAGCAAACCTTCGGCAGTTGGCGGCATCACCACTAACTCACGGCACGGATGGAGTTGCCAACACAAAGTTCAGCCTCCACCATCAAGGCTCTCCGGCAATTCGGACTTCCTCAATCGCCTACCTCCGCTAATACCAAGAGCGCTGGTGTAATGGATCTTGAAACGAGATGCATAAATAAGGGCCATGATGCTCTTGAGTCTACGGAATCATACCACCATCACCATCACCATCACAATCAATCATCAACACCAAGACTAGCTCGGCATTCCTTGAAATACCAACCGACAAGCATCATTTGATTGGGTTTTAAATTCCAGTAACTATCACGATAACACATCATGTCTCATACCATTGTTGGAAAGAAAGTTGGACCAATTGGCTACGGTCTGATGGGTAGGTGCTATACAGCTTCGTCAAATTACAACCGCAATCGCTAATGACATCTGCTCAAAGGCCTGACCGTAACTGGCTCTGTCGCTGAAGATAAAGCAATCGCTGCAATCAAGACGGCCGTTGACTCCGGTTGCAATTACCTCAATGGCGGAGAGTTCTACGGCCCTCCCAACGCAAACAGCCTGATTCTGCTTCGCAAGTATTTTGAGAAGTATCCCGAGGATGTGGAGAAGGTTGTTCTGAATGTCAAGGGTGGCATGAGTCCCCAGCGAACTCCCGATGCAAGCAAGGAAGGCATCATCCGAAGTATCGACAATTGCCTCAACGCATTGGGCCCTGTCGGTCGGATTGATCAATTTGAGCCCGCAAGAAAAGACAAGAATGTCCCATTCGAGGAGACGCTTGAAACGATTGACGGCTACGTGAAATCTGGGAAGATTGGTGGCATCTCCGTCAGCGAGCTCGGGGCCGAGACTCTCCGGAAGGCTGCTTCACAATTCAACATCACATCACTGGAAATCGAACTCTCGCTATTCCGAACTGAACCAATCACCAACGGGCTCCTTGCGGCTTGCGCCGAATTGAACATTCCAGTTCTAGCTTATTGTAAGCCGGATGATTCCCTAATTTAATGTATAAAATGACTAACAGAAGATATTAGCACCTCTTTGCAGAGGCTTCCTTGGTGGTCAACTCAAGTCTCCAGATGATCTTCCCGAAAATGACTTCAGACGAATGCTTCCAAGGTACCAAGGAGAGAATTTCAAGACCAACATCGAGTTGGTTAACAAGGTCGAGGCCCTGGCTAAGAAGAAGGGCTGCACAACGGGACAGATTGCCATTAATTGGCTCCTGAGCATTTCGAAGCGCCCTGGCATGCCTGTCATTATTCCCATCCCGGGCTCCTCCAACCTCGAGAGGATAAAGGAAAACGCGACCATTATTGATCTGTCGCCTGCGGACATCGCAGAGATCGATGCAATCCTCGAGACTTTTGTTGCCGCTGGGGACCGATACCCGAAAATGCTTATGGGTGATTTGGACCTTTGAGGTAAAGTTTAACACTTGAATATTGCGGCACTCAACTCTATTATCTGAAGCGGTCAACAAGACATATTGAATAGATAATTAATACTTCTTGCACGATGAAATTTTTCCAAGTGATTATCTCCTCAGGCTCTTCCTCTTTAACCAGGGTCACTCCTGTAGCCAGATCCATCCCGAGTCCAAATTTTATATCTAAAGTACAAAACAAAAATCGCCAGGAACGCGAGGTATGACTAGGAAAAGCTGATGACAGTTGGAATGGAATGTGGTAAAAGATGTCAGTCGATTAATAAAATCTTGTTCGGAAGCCCGGGGGAAAATCCCATGGACAGGTCTTTGTTATTTATATACCTATCTGGGACTCCCCATTCGCTCTCTTTATTAATATGCCGTTGACAATGTGTTTACATATTGGCCTGGCATGGCATAATTCTTAGAAGACGGCTTTATTTTTTCCGTCGTTTCTTGGCACACTGGCAGTTTGATATTTGTCGGCCCGGCAATATAGATTTCACCAATGACGTGATTGAATTCATCATTCGTCTTGTCTGAAAACGTGGGCATACATCGGAGAGCCTCGATATGGTTCGGCATGACCCCTCATGCGCATCCTTGAGGCATCTCAACTGCCAGAATCTGAACTGAACCCCGCTAGCAGACGGTAAGGAGCTCCGCATTGCCGATTTCAACATCCCTCCCCGGACGATCACCGCCCGTGACCTCATTGGGGATCATTCCCCGGTTAGGACTCAAGTAGTTGATTTCAAGGCCAACACCAAATTAATGGTCAAAGGTATATAATCATCCTGCATACCTGCAAAGCCGGCCTTTCTTTTGGCGGAGTCGAGCAAAGCCCTGAAAAATAGGTTCGCAATGTTGTTCCTTAAAGTAACCTCTGGCTTCTTGGCTTTTGCAGCCGCAACCCTTGCAGCTCCGGTATCAGACAGAGCAATCGCTGCCGCCGCTCAAACACTCGAAGCTGAGGATGCGGTTCTCACTGGCACGCAAATTCTCACAGAGCTTACAGTATATACAGGTACATGCTTGGAGACGTGTCGTATTGTCACGGGACTATATTTGTGTTAACAAGGCCATTATTCTAGGTACTGGTTATGTGGGTGGCTTTGACGAGAGTTCCGATAAGATCACCTTTACTGTCAACAGTGATGCTTTGACTTTGTACGATGTCAGTATTCGATATGCTGGCATATATGGTGCGAAGAGAACAACACTTGTTCTTAATGGGGGCTCAAGCAGCGAGGTCCAATTTGAAGAAACGACTACATGGGCCTCTGTGAGCGGTGGTCAACTACTCCTGAACCAAGGTTCCAACACAATCGATATTGTCAACAATTGGGGCTGGTGAGCTATCTCAGCCTCTGAGAAGTAAATCGAGCTAACAATTTAGGTATTTGATCGATTCCATTACTCTAACACCCTCTGAACCCCGTCCACCACACAACATCAATTCTCGCTTGGTCAATCAGAGGGCAGACATCGATGCTAGGAAGTTATACAACTACCTTCGGTCCATCTATGGAAGAAAAATCTTATCTGGCCAGCAGGGTCTCGACTGGGCAACCTGGATCCAAGAGCAGACGGGAAAATTCCCGGCTCTTGTCTCACTTGATCTTATGGACTACAGCCCGTCTCGTGTCGAGCACGGTACCACTGGGACTGCCATTGAGGAGGCCATCACTCATGCCAAGAACGGCGGTATAATTTCTATTCTGTGGCACTGGAATGCGCCTACAGGTCTGTATGACACAGAGGAGAATCCATGGTGGAGCGGATTCTATACACGTATGTATCCCCTGTCCGCTCTTGAATACGTCGGTTGACATATTTGCAGGTGCTACTGATTTCAATATCGCAACAGCTCTTGCGGACACGACTAATGCCAACTATACACTCATTCTTCGAGATATTGATGCTATTGCCGTCCAACTCAAGAGACTCCAGTCAGCTCATATCCCAGTCCTCTTCCGCCCCTTGCACGAGTCAGAAGGCGGTTGGTTCTGGTGGGGAGCTCAAGGCCCGGAACCCTCTAAAAAGCTCTGGGCGTTGCTTTACGATAGGCTGACCAACTATCACAAGCTAAATAATTTGATTTGGGTTTGGAACTCGATCGCTGAGAGTTGGTATCCTGGAGATTCCACTGTTGATATTCTCAGTGCAGACGTGTACAGCACTGGAAATGGGGCAAGTGTTAACAGTCCCCCTTGAGCGACCAGATCTAACCGCGAATAGCCCATGTCGACCCAATACGGACAGTTGATCGAGCTGGGCAAAGATAAAAAGCTTATTGCAGCATCGGAAGTCGGTGGTGCTCCACTGCCAGATCAACTGATTGCCTATGAGGCTCACTGGCTTTGGTTTGCCGTTTGGGGGGATAGCTTCATCAACAACCCTGTCTATAACCCTACTGACGTGCTTAAAACTGTGAGTGTATTATTCATGTCGCTGCATTTCGGCCAGCTTGGTGTAAATGATGACTGACAAATGGGTAGATTTTCAACCACGAATATGTCCTGACGTTGGATGAGATTCAGGGATGGCGAAATTGAGGGTACTGTGATAGACCAAGACATGTGGAATTCGATACACTACTAGCTGCATTAGGATCTTTGCTAATGATATCGTGAAGCTTTGATTAGACTAGGAAGAGTTTGGGACTACTTGGCGTAGTCGACCCTCCTGCTGAACGAAGTGTTCTTGGAGCTCGCACCTAGTTTTGATGTTGAACTTCCTGTAGAGGCTCTTTGAGACTAGAATTACGAGTATACCTACTAAGATTTTCAACCGAATAGGTTGCCATCCTCTAGGAGCAGTAGTCCTCCGCAGTGAGACAATAAACGGGCGATGCATAGGATGTGCTGATTAAATTAGCCAACAGGATAAGCAGTACAAATCATAATTGGCCTGAATACGCTTACATGCATTAGGCTGGTGCAGGTTGGCACACCATGTAAGCACGCATAACGTGGCCGCTCTGCCTCGCGGACTGCCTTGGCACCCAACGGAGCCTTACGACAGAACTACACGGTCTCCCGTCTTTCCACAGCCCATCTTTCACATCTGAACCTATCTCGACAGCACGCACCGGAGTCTCGTATTCAGGACAGCGCTTGACGGACAGTTATGGAGTCGCGGATTACTGCCTTGTACTCCCTGCATCGCGAGGTGCAGGCGGCGATTCGCGATGCATCGATCAATTCACCCACCAGCGGAAGCTCGAACCTCAAAACCAACTTCTACTCCGACATATGGCCAAGTTTGAAACCCAAATATGAAGAATTTGTCGATGGAATTGTACGCTACTGTAAGGAAGAGCTGCAAACCCGAAATATGAATTGTATGGTTCTTGGTCGAGCGAAAACCGCCGAGTCGGTCCAGAAATCACTCGATCGTCGCGAAAGAGACCGCCAGCGTCCCTATATAGGCCTTGAAGATATACTCAAAACGATGCATGATCTGGCCGGATCCATGGTTATCCTGCAGTATCCAAGCGACGTGCAGGGAGTAAACGAGTTTATCGCACAAAGCTTTCGCGCAATCCAACAGCCAACGTATTGGTCTCGCGACCGCCAGCCCGGTCTCCAATGGGACTCGCGATTTGGAAGTTACGAATCCCACAATCATCATGTCACACTAAAAGGAAATTCTGACCATCCTGCTGTTGGTCCTGGTGTTATTTTCGAAATCCAAGTCACCACTTGTGGGGACTATATGTATAACCGGCTTGCGCATGACTGGTATTACAAAAAAGCCCATGGACCGCTATCACGGAAGGACGAGATAGTCCTGGATATGATACATGCAGCTGCGATCATGGTGGAAGTCGGTGGAGAGTATATGAAAGAGAGAGAGGATGAAAATCGCGGCAAGGCCGGGCCCGAATATGACCTGCTTCAGGTCATCCAGCTTGCGCAGGGCGCTGAGGAATGGAAGTTCAAACCTACCAATCTGCCTCCAATCCTCCAAGCTCTCGAAGAGAAGGGCTATAACTCTGCCACGAAACTGGAACACCTTGCTAAGAACCTTGGCCCTCTGAAAGAGGAAGGCACTTCTGGCCATGATCTTGTAGCTCAACTACTCGAGATTATCTCCCGAAAGTCCAAGCGCCACTTTCTCGTCCCATTTGGACAGAACGAGGGTTTTGTTGGCAGGGAGAAGACGGTCAACTGGCTTCTCGAAAGAATCCCTCCCAGCACAAGACCGAACGACTGCCAGCGAACCGCCATCGAAGGCCTAGGAGGAACAGGCAAGACCCAGATCGCCTTGGAGGCCGCCTACCGCGTTCGCAACAAACATCCCGACTGCTCCGTCTTCTGGGTCCCAGTGCTAAGCATATCAACATTCGAGAATGCGTACCGAGAGATTGGTAACGCTCTTCAGGTGCCAGGAATTCAAGACGAGAAGGCGGATATTAAAGCGTTGGTAAAAACGGCATTAAATCACGAGAATTGTGGCGAATGGCTTTTGATTCTCGACAACTTGGACGATACAGAACTCGTCACCGACTTAGCCGGCTTCCTTCCCTCGAACCCCAAGGGTTCTATCCTATTTACGACGAGAACTCATATCGTCACAACCAGGCTGGATATCGTGCCAGAGCGGACAGAAAGTGTCAAGGAAATGAGCCGAGACGAAGCCCTCGAAATGTTGAAAAGGAATACAAAGGAAAGCCAGTGGCAAGATACCGCCAATACGTCCAAGCTCCTTGATTTCCTTAACGACTTACCCTTGGCTATCCGACAGGCATCCGCATACATATGGCAAAACGACATCACTACCACAAAATATCTTAGTTACTGCCAATCAAGTGATGAAAAACAGATCACGATGTTAAGTAAAAATTTCGAAGATAGGAGCAGGTATAAAGACATTCGAAACCCAGTAGCCACGACTTGGCTGATCTCCTTCACCCACATCTCGCGAGACAAACCACTTGCTGCGCGGTATTTGAGATTCACATGTTTTTTAGCGGAAAAGGACATTCCGGAGTCCATTTTACCGTTCAGAGAAGACGAAATAGAAAGGGACGAAGCAATCGCGGCCTTGCAAGCGTACGCATTTATCACGAAGCGAGAGGATGACACTGCTTTCGATATTCATCGCCTCGTGCGCTTGGCGATGCGCAACCATCTGAAAGAAGAAGATAGAATAGAAGCAGTTACTACTATGGCCCAACATTTGTCCAAAATATACCCGTTTCCCCAGCATGAGAATCGGGGCATATGGATGAGGTATATGCCACATGTACTGACAGCTGCAGAGATGCTTGAACAGTCAGCAGACAAGGATGCGGCCGGGCTGCTGTTACTTTACGTCGCAGAAACATACGCAATAACCGCCAAGTATGAGAAAGCGGAAGAAGTATATCGGCAGGTACTGGAGCTTCGTGAGGAGATGCTAGGCCGAGAGCATCCCTTTATACTTAACAGTATGAATAATCTAGCGAATGTGCTAGATAGACAAGGGAAATATAGCGAGGCGGAGCAGATGCATCGGCAGGTCTTACAGTTTCAAAAAAAGATACTAGGCCGAGAGCATCCTAATACACTGACCAGCATGAATAACCTAGCCCCTGTGCTAGATAGACAAGGGAAATATAGCGAGGCGGAGCAGATACATCGGCAGGCATTACAGTTTCGAAAAAAGATTCTAGGCCGAGAGCATCCTAATACACTGACCAGCATGAATAACCTAGCCCTTGTGCTAAACAATCAAGGGAAATATAGCGAGGCGGAGCAGATACATCGGCAGGCATTACAGTTTCGAAAAAAGATACTAGGCCGAGAGCATCCTAATACACTGACCAGCATGAATAACCTAGCCCTTGTGCTAAACAATCAAGGGAAATATAGCGAGGCAGAGCAGATGCATTGGCAGACACTACAGCTTCATGAGGAGGTATTAGGCCGAGAGCATCCTGATACACTCAGCAGTATGAATAACCTAGCTATTACACTAAAGAATCAAGGGAAACACAGCGAGGCGGAGCAGATGCATCGGCAAGCGTTAGAGCTTCATAAAAAGGTGCTAGGCCCGGAGCATCCCAACACGATATTATGTAACGACAATCTTCAAGCTTGTCTGAAAGAAATCCGGCAGAAAAGGAGTCTGGTGAATCTTCCGGATCCAAATCCAACTTTATCTACACGCGAAAAAGGGATAAAACAACGTATGAGGAAGTTATTTCAGCGCCGACCCGCTTAGAAAATAAAGGCATGTTCTATTCATAATACCGTTCAATATCACGCCAACTTCTCTCTGCCGCTGCTGTACCGTAAAGGTATGACACCTCACAAAGTACTCGAGAGAATCTCACGGCGGACTCGTATCACGCGTCGAAAACCTGGCGAGTAGGGTGCGATTGTATTTCGATAAACCGCGTCCATCACGTTCCGCCGAGATAGTATACTACTCTGCGTCCAACAGACTTCGCAAAAGCTGGCTAACTACTAGCTACCTACTCCACGCCAAAGATCGACCTAACTATAGGAGAAGTGTGGCAGATGGTCTCGCATCTTCCGCTGAAGAAACGAAGCCTACTGCGAACGGCTACTAGAGCCATGGTAGTGGTGGTGTATCGCGAGCCCTACCCACCTGCGGAACATACTCACCTCGTATGACTAAGAGCGGGCTAGAAAAAGGGGTACAAATCCTCTCACCAAGAGCTTCTTCCCAAAGAGGCTGATCCTCACAAGCCGCTTTGAACATGCTTTCTTATATACAATATCTTTACAGTAGTCTTGCATTAATCAAGTGTCACTCTAGATAAATTCACGAGGTAGGGCTTGTCTAATCCTTCCAAACCCTGGGCTGATCGGGATGCCCTTTCCCACTCACTGTGCACTTTCAGGGGCTAATAATAAGCAGTTGTCAGATCAACCTTAACCTCAAAAGCCGGCTCATCTAGATGTGGGGCTTATGGGTACCTGGCCTACACGGAGTCAGCCCGACTCGTGAGATCCACGGCATGCCTCCCCTGACAGGCTGACAGCTACCCATGGAGTATATTATATAGCAGGTGCGTAGTACAGGCATACTCATTGAGTAAGTATTGGAGAGGAATTTTCTGAGTTACTTCGCCACATTTGACAGGTTCTGAGAGTGCTGTGTACGAATAAGGCTGTCGACTCGCCCACACATCGGTCTACACACCTAGTGTGATCGGATATCGGTAGGCCCGTCTGATACAACTGAGACACGCGTGATGGCTCGTGCTACCTTTACACGCCTGGATTGATGCCTACCTGCCTCCTACATTTCTGGCCCTCCTCCACCCACAGACCCTGTGCCATCTAGGCAGAAATAAACAATTACCTGAGGTCCTAACAACTCAAAGATGCGCTTCAATCTGTTTCCATTTCGATCATGGGCTACCTCAGATTCACAGTCACTAGCTGTCAAAGCTCCGTGCTTAGATCAAAGGTAAGAATGCGCTCGGACTGCCTGATTAAACAAACTGAGCGTTTTTCTTGACTCTCGCTCTTCAGCCTTTGACATTGTGGCTTGGACAATAGAGGCTTCAGCCTGATGGCTGCATGAATGAATGCTGTAAGTGAGACATTAAGCCCCTGAATCTTACGGAACCCTTGGAAAAGAAATGTGAATCGTTACAGTTACTGGCCGATCGTTCCCTTGGCAGATACAATGGCTCCTCCTCCTTACAGACGCCACACACACTACCTTTCTATAGGTCAGGAGGCCAACATGTCTTGATTATCAAAACAAGAGCTCAACCAGTAATGTCACAGCATCATATCCTCTATTCCTCTTCTAGCGGTGGCGTACGGATTTCACATTTGTGAAGGCTTTACACAGCCGAGCTGGCTCACTATTATTGACAACTTGGTACGTGCGGTGTCTGACTTTGCCAAAGATCTGTTGCCCACTTTGTTCCAGAACACGTCCGCTTCACCGCCTCTTAGCCATCAGCTTGCTTTTCTGTAACTTATTAATAGAATTAACAGCCACGCCACCGCATATTGGCCATATATATTCTCTTAAGGTGATGACAGTCAAGATTGCACATAGATACTTTGCCGGTAGCCACAGATTGAAACCAGCGGCATAGAGCACCGAGATAACTAGGTATCCCCTGGCGCGACGATGAAGATCCGCATATTGGTGCTAGCTGTCCTCAAAATACGCAGTGCTCTTTCAGATCCCTCACCTTCGGAAGAGGTCTTTCGCCGAAACGGCCCCCGGGGTAAGACCGAACTCATTCCCTTATTCACTCTCGGATCAGCTGACTTTAATTCTTCGAACCTTTCCACAGCCGTCATCCTAGGCAAGTATCTATACATCGACGGAGGTTACGTCTCAGGGCCAGCGGCTCCGAAGTGCTGTACGCGCTTGCTCAATACTACTTTACTCTCAACCTTGGCTAATGGCGGCATCCAGGCACGACCACCAAAGACACGTTCGCTATCGATATATCCAAGTCTTGGGACCCGAAAGACGCAAAATTTCTGAAACTTGCTAGCGAAACAAGAAAGAAAGGCGTTTATAGAAGTGGCTTCGTTGCCGACGAAAACAAGCAAGCAATCTATCTCTGGGGGGGTAGGAGAGATATCAAACCATTGGACCGCCAGCTTTGGAAACTCGTGCCCGATGGCAACGGGAACGGCACATGGAGTTCCGAAATCACCACGGGTATTGCCGGGCTGGTCAGTACCGAGTCTAGTGCTCATACTGTAGCGCAGGGCTTGGGGTTCTGGTTTGGAGGTGGCATAAATGAGCTGACTGAACGTACATCGAACGCAGCGGCTATAGGAACATCGGTTTCTGGATATGTCACCTATAACTTCACCGCGAAGACATGGACGAACCATACCGATGTACCTGATGCAATCAAGAGTCCATGGGCTGCTACGGCCACTTATATTCCCGACGTTGGACCTAATGGGGTAATAGTTCTTATTGGTGGTTTGAGCAGTACGAACTCCCCTCTTGCTATCGATTTCGGAACTATCTACCTCATGGACCCGGTGACTATGGTGTGGTATAATCAAAAGGCCTCGGGTCATTTACCCGCCCGTCGAATGGATCACTGCGCAGTAGGCGTACAGGGAGATAACAATACCTACGAAATGTGAGTCAAATGAAACAAAGACAAGCAGAGAAACCTGGAAGAAGCTGGGGCCTAGAGTGAGAGTGGCTGACATGTTTGGCTATCCAGTTTTATGTATGGTGGGGCCAGGGATGCCAGCGACGAGGCGGGAAAGGACACGCCATTTGGTGATGTTTGGGTGCTGAGTCTCCCAGGATTCGTTTGGCACCAGGCAGATGGGGCAGGAATTAACCCCAGAACACATCATGCCTGCGTACGTGCTGGGAACCGACAGATGCTGAGCATTGGTGGTGTAAATACGACAGGATCAGATGGGATGAGTACCAAGGACTCCTTGCCTCAAGGCCTGGGAATCTTCGATATGACGAGAATGGAATGGAAGGAGACCTACAATGCCGATGCTGAGCCATATGCAACTCCAGAGATCATAAAGAAGTGGTATGCCGATGGGTGAGTACGTCAGTGTACAGATACCGGACCAATTTCGAAACCAATTAACGACCTTTTAGGGGAGCGGATTCTGTAACTTGGGGTGACGGAGTCCAAGACCTTTACCAAAACAAAACTCCCTCTCAGCCAAAGACTAGCAATCAAAGTCTCTCCGTGGGAGCTATCGCTGGCATTTCAATTGGCACAGTCGCGGGCGTGATCGCTCTAGTGATAGCCACATTCCTTTTTATCCGAAAATATCAGAGGATACAGACGGAGAAACACCATGAGCTCGAAACTTCCTACCCCAGGCCGGATGGATCATTGTCGGCTGTGACTTTAGTGACCACGCGACCACAACCCACCGAACCGTATTCAACTCACCCAGAGCTCGGTGGAGACACTCAGCGCATTGCTATGAGAGATAGCTTACAGGTCCCGGGCCAGATCCCCGCGGATAGACGAATGGAGCTTCAGGGGGATTAAACTGGCAACTTAGACATTGTGCCACACAAGGAGAACTACTTCGAAAGCTAATGCTTTGACAAAAGTTGATACAGAGTGAATTTCATTGGGCTTCGGATGCGAAAAGTCAATAGATAATAACCCGGGACTTGTATTGACAAGCTTGTGCTTCAAGAAATCAAGTTACCAAATTTTCTCGTTGGGCTAACATTACTGACTATGTCATGAGATATTACAGTCATCGCGAGTCTCAGACTGGAGTGAAGATGGAGCTTGCCATAGAAGGACAGAATACAGGGCCAGGTTTTATATATTAATTGTCATAATGTAACTATAGCTAGAGTGAATTTGGGGGAATTTGGGGGAATTTCGCGGCTTTCGAACTTGCTGAAACTAAGAGATAGGCATGAGTCGATGAACTGTAACGAAAGGCGGATGTATTTGCTGGAGTTTTCGTTCTTTTCCAAATCACTTCGAATCTCTCGGATTAACATTGGATAACGGTGGATGAGCAACAACTATACGAAGTTGTTACTCTCAGCGAAATAGTAACATCATCTATTATATATCACATTTTAGTGTGTGCCATAATTATTTAATGAGAAGAATAGCTAAACATACATGAGGTAGTATCGTGAGATTTCACAGGCTTGTCAATGGCTACGAATTCATTGTCCCCGGCCTGAACCATTGCAGGGAAAATGTACCGCCATCACTCGTCCATGCAGGGTCTCCACTCCACGCCCTATTGTTGTTGACGATGGTCCAAGTTCCGTGGAACATCTCCCCTTTGCTGTTCAAACCAAACACACTCACCTTGCCTGAAGAACCAAGAACGACCACGGGGGCACTATTAAAGCTGCCCCCGAGGTCGTCCCAGTCCGTACTCCAACTGGAGTCAATGAGTGCCCTATGTTTCAAGCGGTCATCCGTTCCCACCGCAACCACATCGACGCGAGAGTCTGAGACCACCAATGCACTTGGAATCGATTCAAATGCTCCTCCTATATTTTCCCAATTCCCATATCCACCCGCGGTCGTCCACAATAGATGATACATGGAGCCATCAGGGCTAACGCCAAAATAGTCACTCCTGTTAGAATTTGAGGATATGGCAACAGGGTCACCCTTGAAGCTCCCTGCCTCGCCTTTCCAGCTTTGCCAAGTCGAATTATCCCATCTTTCAACCCAGAGATCATGCGGCGCATTAGACCCACCGCCATAGACAACGACATCCATCCGGCCGGGCGAGCAGGTGACCATTGGCGAGCTTGATAAGTAAAGTCCCAATGGTTGCCACCCGGAATACATAAATGATGTTGTGTTCCAGTTCATCTGGTGGAGGGCCATTGTAGAGCCGCGCACAAAGACGTCCAGCACGCCTGAGTCGTGGGAGCAGCTTGTTGGCGGCGATGTTGCGAACCCCCCGAGACCGAGCCATGAGGAATCCCACGTACCGTTCTTGTAAGCCATCGCGGAGAGGCCATAACTCTTGTCTATAACCCATACATTCGTTTGCTCGCTCTCAAATGTCACGGCAGCAGGCTGGCTGGCAAATTGGCCACCAAGACTCGTCCACTGATTCCGCCAGTTGGAGCCGTCCCACTGCCGATACCATACCGCGCTGTCGGAACCAAGACCGAAAAAAAGCTTTGAGTCTGCGGACGCAGATGGAGAGGAGTCTTGAACCACAGCGATCATGGAAGGGCATACCGTCAAGCGGCAAACAGAACCAGAGTTGTTTGGCGTTGTGGTCGTGGTTGCTGTCGCTGTGGCCTTGCTTGGACTGGAGTTTCCTGTTCTATTTTGGAGGAGAGTTCGCCGTTAGATTTAAGAAATTCTACTGACTGAATGGAACTTACGAGTTACTCTTTCCGCCCAGTACAACTCCTAAAGTGACTCCGAGGACTATCGCTACGACGACTAGACCGATGGCGACGAGAATTAATATTCCCTTGCGCGTCTTCCACCATTTCTTCGGCGGAGGGGAGGCTGCTCCCTCCTCAAGTACCGGGGGAGGAGGAGACCATATCTTTTCTTCGGGTCGGCTGTTCTCCGCTGGCTTCAATTCTTTGCCTTCGCCTACTTGTGGGGATACTTCTTTATTACTGAAACCATGCGGTAATGATGATTGTTGACCTTGATCTATAGAGGTTTGCGGTAGTTCATGCACTACTTCAGGGAAGTTCTCGGGCGGTCGAATGGGCAGATTATGGTCGTAGTTCATAGTTGTGCAAGAAGATGATGATTAACATTTCTGATCTGAACGCACAAATGCGTAAACGGTAGTATGAAAGGAAGCATCAGGATATCTATAACGCCCCAGCACGCTATCTCGGCTGCCGGCACCCGGGATCGCTAGTGTCAACTTTCCGTTGGCCTAGACTGATCCCATCAAGCCGAGTTAAGATACGTGACAGCCGTTTATGGACCAAGGAGGAACCAAAATAAACACAGATGCGGGGAAGAGTTTTAGGGCTGAAGTGTTAGGTCCTCCTTCGTAATATCTCAACGAATGGAAAGTATAACCCACGTCACTGGGCTGTTCTGGACCCGCCACAGTCGTAGCCGACACTTGAATTGGGACGAGGCTATTATGAACAGTTTTAGGAAGGATGACTTCTGATGAGGTAGTGAACCTCGACAAAGCCAATGCTATCCAACCATCCGTGACGATGGGGGTGAGATTCAAGGTGAGCCTAGCTGGAGTCAAGACCAGCGGCCAAAAGTGACGTATCTTACACGTTAGGCTCGAGGGAAGCAAAGGCGTTATCCTGGCTCACGGCCAATAACCAACTGAGCTGGCGTTTGGTCACGTTTTATCATAGCACCTAGCACTGGGATACGATGCTCATCACTCGTCGAGATCTATTTCATGCTATCTAGGAGCGTATGAGTTTCCAGTCATGTGGAATATTCAAGAGCTCCTCCTGGATTGCCCAAACCATCCATCTAACACTGTAGGTATAATTATCTTAACTTCTAACCAGTTAAAAAATGTAATCCCACACGTCCTAGATTCACCCAGGCTCTTTCATGCAAGAAATCATCGGGGAGAAAAGTGGATGAGATTTATTGAAATTATCTAGTGACTGAAGAAGAACGACTATCGAGCATCCGAGGCCTACACAAACGACTACCGGGCATGAGACACGAGGAATATATCGAATAAGCTGTGGCGATCTCAACAGTGTTAGGGCTTATGGAAAAATTACGTTTCTGATCATCCTGTCTGATGTGGATTGGCACATGAGGGGGCTACTCGGCCGTACATGTAGCATTCGATCCTCTACCCGAGGTTGTGGGGGCTAAAGCCTTCAGGAGAGACGCAAGTGGCTCCTCAATGCTACAACAATGATTCTAATGCAGTGAGATCTGCCTCGTAAGGCGTCCTCATATTGAGCGTCTGCATGATGATTAATAATGATCTACGCCTCCCGCCACAAACGGGCAGTGCTGTACAATATTCTACTTGTCAGCCCTTCATTGGCTGACTCCCGTGAAACCTTTTTCCAAAGTCCCTCCCAATTTCTTACAATTCAATGCTACAATTGAAAATTGTCTTATGTAAAATACCTCCTTCATCTGGAGCCAATTTTGTACTGCCTGTAACTTTAACAACTCTTCCGATCGCTGTCGCAACTTACAAGCCCTGCCATCAAGATGGCATATGACAGTCAGACCGATAGGTCTGTGTCGCCCATCCAGTCCATCTGCGAGGAGAGCATCACAGCGCCGAGTGCTGTGAGCTTGCTACAGCCGAGTATTGATGAGCCAACCCACGAGGCCTTCGCTCACGAGGCTATTGATGAAGTCAGATTTCATCACCAGCCGAGTCCCTTGTCAAGGACCATGATAATTATCACAGATATTTTCGCACTTGCTCTCGGCTTCGGTCATTTTGTATTTGTCTGTTTAGTAGCATCATACCATGGTCGTCCTATAGATTTCAAGTATGGTCAATTTCAGGCTATCCTAACCACGGTAGGTTCGTTTGAATAACAAAGCAGAGATATACAGAATACTGATATACCATAGGCTGCCCCAATTTTCCCCATGGTATTTGCATTTATCATGGGAAGACTATTCTACCATTCTGCCCGGCTGCAGCTAGAAATGGGGAGCTCACTTGGTACTCTGGAGCAACTTATTGGGAGCCAAACATTAGGCGGTGCTGCTGCTCTTCATCTTAAAACAGCAGCTTTTAATCCTCTAGCTGTGCTAATTTTTGCTTTATGGTCATTCTCTCCTCTCGGCAGCCAGTCGCTGCTACGTATTCTTCATCAAGAAACGCCGTCGGACTCTACGACTTTTGTCTATCTGAACACTCAGAAAGCCCACCCTAATGAAATTCTTAATGGCTCGATGAAGAATTCATACATCAGGAGCTTGAATTCAGATGTGAATATCGCGGCTGGGCCGACTGATCCTTGGGGGAATACCAAAATTCCCTTCTTACAGCCAGCGGCTCTGGATCTAAAGGATAACCAATCTTGGCATGAGCTACCGAAAAACCAGACGAGGCCATACTCAGCATTATTTGGTGTCCCCATTTCTCATTTAATGCCTGGGAACAGCATGATATCTATTGAAACAACCTATTTGGATCTGGACTGCGAGCCTTTTGAAACGAAATGGGATCAGCCTCACGAGGTTTCCCTCGACGAGACAAAGCTAAATCAAACGGCTCTAGAGGAAATTGCTTTTTACACGGAAACAATGCTTCGCAACTATACTGGAGTGATTGCTAATGGAAGCTGGTACGGATATCAGCAGGGTTCAAAGAGCAGCAATGTAGCACGGTGGAATATTGCCCTAGACCGTTTTATTGGCACAGATTGGCTCGCCTTCAGGGAATCTAGCCTCAATGCTTTCCAAAATGAAACTACAATCGAGGCAGGCTTGACCAAATTGCTCGTTCAATTTGACTATCCACAGGATCAACATGGTGGACGGGTATCCCTAGGGAGACATCTCTTAATCAGGAGCGAGTGCCGCGTGTCGCAAAAGTATGTCGAGACCCGACTCTCTTGCTCAGCCATTCCTGAAAAGCTCCGACCAGACTGTAATGTGGTAGCTCAGCGCGCGTCTCTCACACCGCACCCGCCTGAGAATCTTTCCATTCTTTCTCATCCCCAGATATTTGGCGCCATTTCACGGCTCGTCCCCTCCGTCTTCCTGGCTGAGAAAGAAACTCTGAACTACATCTTCAACGTGGCTAATCTACAAATGATCGAGGATCCGATTCCAGCGACCAACCTCAGTACACGTTTAAGTCAGGCCATCAACACGTTCTATTTGGTGCATCAGATCTCTAATTTCATGGACCCCCTGGAAGTGCCATCGTACGAAGTTGGTGTTCCCTTTTTAGCCCCAGCGTGGACTGTTGGCAACGCCACCAGAACAGACGCGTATTATGTTTACTTGATAAACTGGCCTTGGATGGTTGTCTCTCTGGTCTCATGCCTGATTCTTGTTCTTGCAAGTATCGTGGGAGTGGGATTTGTACACTCAGGGCATGGGCCGGAGGTGCTAGGCTATGTCTCTACTGCTATCCGAGATTCTGACATTGCCGGGCTACCTCCTCAAGCAGCACAAATGGATGGCGATGAACTATCAAAAGCAATGAGGAAGAGGCGTTTTCGATATGGCCGAAAGATTAGTGAAAAGGGGCCGCCTACGGTTGGATTTGGGCCTGAGGAGGATATAATAATTCTGTAGGAAGTAATTCTACCTCGGTATACTTAGGGGCTCAATAAATTATCAGTTGTTGGCTATGAGCTTAACCAAGTAGACAACCCCCCACTAGGTCTCCTGCACAGAAATTCCGGTCAACTGACTGCTCAGCTCCCACAATCGGTTCTCCCCCTGCTCATCATAAGCATAAGCAGTATACACTGGGTCCACAACCGAGTTCATATCTTTCAAAGGCTCACCGACACCACATGCAACGAGGTATCGTATTCATTGTGTTCAGATGTCGGGTATGGCATCTTTCATTGTTGTTTAACTTTATACTCGAACTCTCTTCAGTATCTTCATGCTTGCGAATTCGCACGGCCGTACAAAGAGAGCGGCGTTCTCTCTGTGTCTCTCAATCCCGGCGCTTTGGATTCCGAATTCTGGCGTAGTCAAGGCAAGGTCACATTGACTCTTCTCCGCAGCACTGTTCTACACCCGCCAATCTATGGAGCTTACACTGCCCTTTTTGCCGGCTTTACGCCTCAAATAAGTTCTGAGTACTCAGGCAGCTATGGTATTGTTTTCCTCCGTTTCTTCAATCACCACCTTGAGGGCATTTAGACGAGACTAACAACGGACTATTTGTGCCTTGGGGTAAACTTTGGAAGCTCTAGTAAGGTATGTTGGATGCGGCCAAGACAAAAGAGGAGGGAGGCACTGGGGTTGCAAAATCGTTTTGGGACTAGAGTGAGGAGCAGGTCAAGCCATAAATCCGAGAGTAGATAGTGGAATGGGGACTGTGTGAACAACAGATTATTGAATTTCTAGAAAGCGTTATTGGAGTAGTGGATATGCTAGGTTTTCAATATCTCTACTGGCTTCCCCTTTTGTTAGAATCCTCCAAAATTAGCTTTGACGGCTCTTGCGAATTGGCGTGCGATTTCCTTTCGCTCATCCATCAAAGTTGTAAACAATGGCCTAGTACGAAATCGCTTTCTGAATGAAATATTAGGATACTAGGATACCGGAAAGTTGTCTGCTTACGGGGCACTAGGAACAGTAAGATAATCTTCATCCTGTCTAGTCTGAGTTTGATGTTACACCCTTGAGAACCAGCAAGCGTCCGCCCTCAATACGAATCATCTTTCCATCCATGAATTCTCCGGCTTTACTCATGAGCCAAAGCGCACAGCTGACCATGTCTTCTTCTGTCCCCGCCCGTTTTGCCGGGGTCTCATTAACAAGATGGATGTTAGAGTTACTGTCGTTGGTTGTCATTCCAGAAGGCACAATCCCAGGCGACATGCCATTAACGCGAACTACCGGAGCAATTAGTCTCTTTTTGAAGTTTCTTTCTTGTAGACCTCGGTACTCTTTGCTTACTGTAAAAGTCGGCGAATTCCATCGCCATAATGCGTACCAGATGATCAACGGCTGCTTTCGACGTCTGGTAGCATGGGACAAACTGATTGTTATGTACGCTTGCGGGACTACTAAACAGAATGACGCTTCCTCTTCCCTCCCCCTTCGCGGCAGCCTTGCCGAGCAAAGTGATCAGGCCGGCCGTTAGGAAGTATGGTGCGAGGACATTGAGTCGCATAGTATGCTCCCATCCGCTGTAAGGTGCTGATAACGTCGCTGATTCAAGCTGTTCTAGATTGTCACCTGGCTTGTAGGTCGTGCTGTTCATGTACCGAATAGCCGCACAGTGAATCAGCGTATCCAGACACTGGACCTTTGACTTGACATTTTCTACCACGGCTTGAACTCCAGCTTCTGTAGAAAGATCACCGTGGATTCTGTAACGATCAGCAAGCTATTAAGTCATATGTTATTTTCAATTTACAGTGTACTGACGTCTGGACTTGAGCGGGATTGGAACTTGAAGAGCTGATTATTTTCTCCAGCTCGAGCTGTGCTTTTGAAAGAGCCTCTTCATTAACGTCAATCAGAATGACGCTACATGAATTAGCCACGCAACCTCGCGAGATCATGAGCCCTATCCCAGATGCTAAAGCCAGTATTAGCATATCATTGGGGGTTGTGTGAAGCGCGGAAAGCAACTCCAGGCCACGGAGATTCTAGCGACTCACCACCACCAGTGACCGCCACGCATCTGCCCTTCACGTTGAAGAGCGTCCCAATTTGCAGATGTTCAGCCATAATTGATCGTATGATGTTGAATGATTGGGGTAGTGATTGTTTGGATTCTCTGTGGACCTATTATTCTGATCAAGGGGGAGCCAGTGATCCTCCCAGGCAACATCTAGTTCCAAAGTGCACACTTCCAGTAAACGGTTCGATCGGTCCTTCGGCTGATCGCATTTGCCCGCTAGCTGCTCAATCTTTAACGGCGTTGTGTGTTGCGCAGGGATCAGCATGACCCCATATGGATCGGTGTATCGCGAGTAAATCTAGGAAATCAACGGCCATCGCCGTCTCGCCCAAGTGGGGATGCCACTCCAAACTGTAGCTTCCGCGGTAATGCTCTACTATGCGCGAATAGGGCGATTAACTCTGGAATATTAATCGCTATGTTCGAGAAAAGCTCTAAAGAACGCATGCTTTATCATATCTTCACATGTCTTGTCATTCCTTTCCTGCTCTCTAAGCGCGTCTGCTGATAAATGTTGTCAGCCTAAACCCATCGCCGCCATGATAGCCAATATTGGCCACAGCTTTAGCCTCAATGGGCCAATAGCATTTCTCGCATTGGTCGTGGTGATAGTTGTTTCCCTCTTGGTATATCTCAATTTCTTTTATGTCGATATTCCCAAGATCAATGGCATTCCCGAAATTCCCAATGGAGAGCTTTTGGCTGGCCACCTTTACCAGCTTGGGGCTGATCATGCTACCACTGCCGAGAAATGGTCTGCAGAGTATCGATGGCCAGTTTTCCAAGTCCGCATGGGCCGCCGTCGGGCTATCTTCCTCAATTCTTTTGAGTCTGCCCGAGAATGGTTGGTGAAGAACAGCACAGCCACTGTCGATCGACCATGGTTCTATACCTTCCATGGTGTCGTTTCAGCAACTTCTGGTATGTTATTCACCTCAATCCCTTCCGAGTACCAGTAGACTTACGATTGGCATATTATAGCTGCAACCATCGGTACCAGTCCTTGGAATGAAAGGACGAAGAAGCAGAGGCGTGTTGTTGGCTCATTCACCACGGGGCCTGCCATGGCGAGGGCACGTCCCATGATTGACATGGAATCTTCTGCCGTCATCGCGTCACTGTACCGTGATACTGACAAGGGCCGGCAAGAAGTTATTCCTCACGTATATTTAAAGCGACTTGCCTTGAACATGATGCTCAAATTTTGCTATGGCACAAGAATGAACTCGGTCGCAAATCCACTTCTGTTGCAAATTCTTGAAGACGCGACTACAATTGCTAGGTAACGGACCTGACTTTCACGGATTAGCTCTGTAAGACTAATAATTTGAAGCTTCCGTTCAACCAACTCAAATCCACAAGATTTCATCCCTCATTTACGCTACTTGGCAAAGAGCGATCGCACTGCTACAGCTCTTGAAGTTCGCGCACGTCGTGACAACTGGCTTAACTCTATGCTGGACAAGGTGAAGTCAGCACTCAAGCCTAGTGAAAGCGACAAGAAACCGATTGCGGAGATGCTGCTAGAAGACAATACTGAGGGTTTGACACAAAGTAGGCTTCCTCCCGTATACGGTTGCGTTCTCGAAGCTAACAAAGATGTAGTGGATATCAAGACAATCCTGGGAGGGTTGATGTCCGGAGGCTTTGAAACTGTCTTTTCAACAGCCATCATTACGATCGGACTTTTGTCAACCCCTGAGGGGCAGATTCTCCAGCAGGAAGCTTACGATGACCTCATGAGCGCCTACGACTCCCCCGAGGAGGCGTTCAGAGACTGTATGTCAGAAGAGAAGAGTCCTTACATTGCTGGAATGGTTAAGGAATCCCTGAGATTCTATCCACCACTTAAGATTCTCCCTGCTAGACAGACCTTCAAAGAGTTTGAATATAACGGAGCGAAGATTCCAAGAGGTGTCTTAGTCTACACGAATACGCAAGCTGTCAATCATGGTAATTTCTCTCGGAATTCCTGAAACCTTACCTCTGGTATACTGACTTTGAGGTATAGACAAGTCGTCCTATGGGCCTGACGCTGATAAATTTCGCCCGAGGCGATGGATCGACAAGGAGTACAACGTTCCAGCGCCATATCACTTCGCATTTGGAGCTGGAGGACGCATGTGCACCGCGGTCAACTTCTCCAACCGGGTGCTCTACACAATATATGCGCGACTGATTCTTTCGTTCCGCATTACTGAAAGTCAAACAAATCCCGCCAACACGCATTACATCCATTACAAGCGTGATCCTTCCGAATCCAACTCCATCGCCTCCGAGTTCAAGGTCAGATTCACTCCAAGAGATAGAGACGTACTGGAGAGATGTCTTACCCAAGCCGGTGGGCGCCTGGCTGATTTTAATGTTGGCGAGGACTCGGAACCTCTGTTTTGAGGGCACAATCTTTCATCAGAATCACCACACTATAGAGTATTACCATAGGTGCTTTCCTGAATATACCAAAAGTTGTTAGAGGGAGATACTTTCATAGCCCCCATGGAGAGATATTGACATGGCATAGAGTATTTATTGACTTCTTCTTCTAAAGTCACGAATGCGAGAAAAGGATATTGAAGAATCTGTCATGCCTTTAATATAACATTCCAGCTACCACCCATGTTATTGAGGCCCTGGAGGCTTTGACGTAAACGGAATCGGGGCTTGTGCTAATGTGTTTATCATCTCGTTTAGACTTCATTGAAAATAGTTAATCTTATTTAATTCATCTATTCTTTATACTGTTCGTTGTTCATTTTGAAAACCATTCCATCTTTCATCACGAAACTCACACCTCGCAACGCTGAAGGATGCTCGTGCGGATCACTGTCGAAAGCAATTATATCCGCTTGCAATCCTTCTTCAAACCAGCCAAATCGTCTCCCACAAAGATCACCCCCACATGCCTCCCAACCTCCAACGGTGCAGGACTCCAGAACATCACCAATGGGGATACCTGCTTCTATCATCAGTTCTAATTCCCTGGCGTTGTCTCCGTGATGGTATGTGCCAGTATCGCCTCCACAGGCAAGGCGAACCCCAAGCTCGTGGGCTCGCTTCACCTGACGAAGGATCTGATCAAAACGCCTAGCATGGAGCTTCTCAGCAATCGCCAGCGTGGGTACCATGATCACCTTCTTCTCCACCATTTTCTTGAACATTTCGTCGGTAGCAAAATAGACATGCTCAAGAGTGTTGACGCCCGCCTCGATCGCCCCAAGTGCGCCCTCGAGGGTGCAGCAATGAGCGGAGACCGGGCAGCGCGCCAGTGCGGCTTCTCGTACAATCATGTCCATCTCTTCCTGCGAGAAGACCATGTAATCCGGATTGGGATCCTTTGGCGGGTGTGTCACGCTTGGTATATAGGGATGCTGCTGTGCTGGCGGCGATCGCATTATGCGTCTTCTATAGTCTGCGAAGAACTTGATGATGTCTGCCCCAGCAGCCACACGACGACGCACTGCCTGGCGACATTGTTCGACACCATCAACGGCATCTGCACCAGCGGGAAGGCAGTGTCCACCCTCGGAGTTTTCTGTGCGGCACTCGAAGGACCCAGTGCTGGCAATGATGCGTGTTGCAACAAATAGCCTGGGTCCCGGGGTCAGACCTCGAGCAATTGCATCTCTCAGGTTTGCATCACACTCTTTCATGCCTTCTGATCCTAGGTCCCTACACGTTGATGTAGTCAGCGTTGATGCTCTGTAAAAGCATGGTCTTGTCCTAAGCAGTCTGGAAACTGGGACAGGACATACCTGTACGTGGTATAGCCTGCCATCAATGCAGTCCGGCAGTGGTTAACACCACGCACAATTCTCTCCGTCATACTCTCATCTCTTTTCTGTTGGAGCGCGCCAGCTTCACTAATTTACCACAGTCAGAAAGCCCGTTAACCGTTTCGTATGTTTCAAATGCGCATTTAGAGAAATACTCACTCGTAAGAATGAAGAAATACATGGGTGTGGGCGTCTACTAGTCCCGGCATCACAAACTTTCCCCTTAGGTCAATATCTCCATCTCTGAAGATTTCAACGAACGGCCTTCGAATATCATCTCGCTTAAAGACCCTCGTGATCAAACCAGAACTTGGATCAACCGTTATGGAGACATCGCGGAGCACTTTTTTCTCCTTCGGATCGAAAAGGGAAGTAGTATGGACTGTCCTTGGGGCCATGGTGAAAGACACACAATTTGGATAAACGTGACCTTCAGAAGGGTCACTGATGTTTCAAAGGTCATTTATTACCTAGCAATGAATTTTTAGTACTTTCGCTCTGCTAGCGAATGGCCGCCGAGTGAAAGGACCGTGGATTAGGATAACCGCGTCGCCGAGGAATCGGAGTTGAGCGCCTTGCTTCACGATTCTAACGCGGATCGCCGAGGGACTCAAACCCCCGGATTTCGCACCCCACAGTATCCACCCTCAAATCTCTCTCCATCTGACATCACGAGGTGTGCAAGTTCGGGGCTGAAATCGGTGCTTTGACGCTTGCGGGAAATTGTATCCATTGTGGGGAGGGGATGGCGAGCAGATGGGCCGCAAGGGGTACTATTAACGTTCTAAGACCACCCTTGAAGTTACGAGCATCTTAGACATTCTAGGTAAATAATGTTGGGTACTTCACACTTCCTATTTCAGCTAAGATAGTCTACTTGAATTCAATGGGTCTCATTCTAATAAAAGTTCTAAATTGAGTAGAAAAGTTGAAAGACTGATGAATTTGCCTATCTAAAGTCTCTAAATCTGTCTCAAAATCTTCAGTAAATCCCCAGTGACTCCCATAGCAGTAACATCCCCACCAGCACCGGCTCCGCGGATTGTGAGCGGAAGATTACCGTAGCGCTTAGTATAGAAGTTGATGATGTTATCGCTGCCTTGGAGATTGGCAATGGGGTGAGACTTCTCAAACCACTCAAGGCCAACCTTAGCCTCGCCGGAAATGATGTCCACCTTGCCGACAAAGCGAACAACTTTGTTGACTTTACTTGCCGCCTCTCTTTCTTGCTCCAGAATATGGTCGAAACTAGGGAGCTTCTGGAGGAATTCTTCACTAGAAGCGACTGTCTGAAGTTCCTTAGGGATGAGGCTCTGGACTGGAAATGCTGAGAGTGACTCGATGGGAAGTCCTGCCAGTCGTGCTAGGATGGTAATCTTTCTAGCAACATCTAGACCGTTGAGATCATCTCGTGGATCCGGCTCGGTGTATCCTAATTCTTTCGCCTTTTTCACCTCGGCAGACCATTTGCCCCCTTGTCCCTCTGGTGGTGAGAATGTGTTGAACAGGAAAGACATTGTGCCTGAGAATACCCCCTCGATCAGAGTGACCTGGTCTCCAGTCTCTACAAGCTCACTGAGAGTTGAGATAATGGGCATCCCAGCTCCGACCGAAGACTCATGGTAGACGAATGAGCCTCCAGCGCTAGCTGATGTGAAGACATCTTGCCAAAGTTGGTAGGTTCCCGAGAATGCCTTTTTATTTGGTGTAATTATGCTGATCCCATTTTTCAAGAACTCTGGGTATGATGCTGCCATCAGCCCAGAAGCGGTATTGTCAACAACGATGACTTTTCCAGGAGCTGCTGACAGATACTTGATGACATCAGGAATCTACGGAGGGTCAAAGCCATCAGACTCAAGCAGCGAAAGTGCATTGTCAATGTCAATATCGGAGTAGTCGTCATGATATAGAGCTCTGTCGATGATAGCGAAATAGCAAAGTCGGATACGGGGAGATGGTCGACTCTGAGCCAAGTAAGCGAGCTGCTTTAAGAAGCACGCCCCGACACCTCCAGCGCCTTCATTGAGGTTAGATCCAACTGCTACAACTTCAAAGGGTCGTGATTCGGAACAAGGGGTAGCACACCAATAACTGCAACATGAACTTCCTTGACGGTCGGTGCCATTTCGTAAAGTGATCAAAATATTGAATATCCAGGGTACCAGACAAGAAAACAATCTGGGTTGGTTAAGGCCAGAATAACAGAGGTGTTACTTGACAAGCTAGCTTGGTAGAACACGGAGCTCGTTGCACCGTCTTATGCATCCTGAACCCAAGAGAATTTACAACAAGTCACGATGTACACCGAATCAAGACACTAGATTGACTTATTACTAATTTTGATAAACGAAATGCCCACCTTGCGAAGCTGTAGTACTCACCAGCCTTGGCGGGAACGGCCGAATGGTCAGTGGCAGTGGAGCCGTCATCGGGCGTGATGGCCGCAATGACAAATCTCGACGGGGATATCCGATGCCTGAAGAACTGTTCCTGAGGATCAGATAAATATTCTTTGAATTTTGCGGGTTTCAGAACAATCAGAAAGGATATTTCAAGTACCAACATTCAAGAGGTCTGCTCTATTCTGACCCTGCTAATCATTGCTCCTTTCCACAATTTCGTATACTTGCGCTGAGATGTCTATTCTACCATTTACTGTGGGTTTGCGCCATATCTGCAATTCTTATCCTCAAAATATTCTAACATTCATGTTCAGCTAAAAGATCTTTCCCTCTTTCACGAGGCCTCCCTCCTAAATGGAGAATGGGTCCAGGCGCAGTCGGGGAAGCGGTTTGATGTAGAAGGCAAGTTCCCAATATCGCGATCGGCCATAACATCTTCAAAACTTACTTACTCATGTATTTCCAATAGATCCCGGATCAGAGACAGTTTGGGCTCATTGTCCTAACAACTCTGCCGAAGATGTTGATCAATATGTAAAGACATCACATGCAGCTTTCACTTCATATCGTCAGACAAACCCAAGGGAACGGGCAAAGATACTCCTCAAATGGCACGAACTGATTACAAAGGCCCGAGAGGATATTGCTAAATTGGTCGTTTGGGAGACTGGGAAGCCCATGGGCGAAGCTCTTGGAGAAGTTGATTACGCTCTAGGCTTTGCTTGGTGGTTTGCGGGTGAGGCTGAACGAATCCGGGGTTCTGTAGCACAGCCGTCCGTTTCAAGCCGCCGCACCATTGTTATCAAGCAGCCCATTGGTGTGTGTGTGGCCCTTGTTCCCTGGAACTTCCCAGTGGCAATGATTATCCGGAAGGTGGCTGCTGCTATTGCTGCCGGATGCTCTATCATTGTTAAGCCCTCCCCTGAGACTCCCCTAAGCATCATGGCGCTTGCAGATCTCATTCAACGTGCAGGCCTGCCAGCCGGAGTCCTTAATGTTATTTCGACGGATAATGTCAACACGCCAGATGTTAGTGAGCGACTCTGCAAGCACCCTCTTGTCCGCAAGGTCACTTTCACTGGAAGTACAGTGGTTGGAAGCATTGTTGCCAGACACTGTAGCGAGGGGTTGAAAAAGCTTACGATGGAACTAGGCGGCAACTGCCCGTTTATCATTTTCAACGATGGTGATTTAGACCAAGCTTTGGCGGCCCTTATGATTCTCAAGTGGCGTACAGCTGGCCAGGCATGCACTCATGCCAATCGAGTCTATGTTCAAAGTGGAGTCTATGAGAAGTTCACCAAGATGATAGTCGACGCCACCAAGAAGCTCAAGGTTGGGCATGGAGCCGGAGAAGATACTTCCATGGGCCCTCTCACTACAGGTCGAGGGATCAACAAACTTGAATCCCATGTTTCTGATGCTATAAGCAAGGGAGGCAAAGTCCTTTGTGGTGGAAAACGACCAGATCATCTGGCCAAGGGCTATTTCTTTGAGCCTACTATTATATCTGACATGTCTGCGGATATGTTGACCACGAAGGAAGAGATCTTTGGTCCGCTTCTTGGCCTCTACAAGTTTGAGACTGAGGAAGAAGTTGTCAAGGCAGCAAATGATACTTCAATGGGACTCGCGTCATATTTTTTCACAAGAGATACCAGCCGGACATGGAGAATGCTTGAGAATCTAGAAGCTGGAATGATCGGCATGAATACAGGTTAGACTCGCAAACCGTCACATCCCGAATTGTAAACTAACAGCCCTCGACAGGAAACTCCTCATGTGCAGAGTCTCCATTTGGAGGCATTAAGATGTCTGGATATGGAAAGGAAGCAGGCAAGGACGTCGCAATCGAGGAATATCTCATTCAGAAGACCGGAACTTTGACAGTTGATTCAGATTAGCAAATCGAAGTATGCCTGATTATCAGCTGAGAGATACTTTAATCCTTATTATCACCCCTAATAACCATATTCCGTTCGCACATCATCAACTCACGGATTTAGTGTCCTAGAATTTCATTTTTATTAAGGCAATTGAGTTTAATATTGCCGCCTTCTTAATATCAGAGTGGTCTGGTCGCCAGAGCTAGGCATTCCAGGAAAAGGGCCGTAATGATACCCGGGGAACCCATCGTCCACCCCAATGCATAGTCCCCATATGTCAGACTCAGCAACCATGGTTCGACGGCGAGGAGTGTTGGTCGTCGGTGGATGGATGGATCCGTTTCCACTCCGAGCCGCCTTCCCTTGCTCCCGCGGAGAGCCGAGGTTTGCCGCATCATCTCGCCAGATCTGCGCATTTATGCATAGTATCGTATAACTCTCTAGTTAGTTGTCCGAAACTCGGACGCAGAAGGGTGGGTACGGGAGCGGGATTATCATGCCAGGGTTCTAGATGTTGGTCGTCCAGCCTGACAGCATTTGCATAACATGATCCAGCCAACTGCGACATATAATCTCTCAAACAGGTACTTGCGTCAAGCAAGCTTATCAAATAGAAGATCCATACCACTTTGAGGGTAACAGTAAGGCAACGATGCAGTTGGATTACGTATCCTGCAGCCAACAACAAACCTCGGACTTCAACCATCATCACCATTGCCAACTAGTGACCCGTTATTAGGCCCTCCTCATTTCCGCATGTATGTGTCAGTCATCGCCCGCCTTTTTCATCTATTACATCAACAACATTCACCCTAGTGCCTGTGACGAAGCCGCTCCTACTCTCTACCCTCCCTACCGGTCTACCCATCTACGCCACAGCCCTCGACTGCCACTCGCCCAACATGACTGACTACACATCTACGCGCGAAGACTTCCAACGTGCCATGGAGTGGAGTCTGACTGGCCCTCCAGAAGAGGCCATCAAGTACGTCGAGGCAACTGTGACGCCTGATTTCTACCAGTTGATGAACAATGAGCGCCTTTCCTACGACGTCTATGCCGCGGGAATCGCTGAGTGGCGTGGCAAGGTCTCTGAATACAAGCCAATCGTGTAAGTCCTCACCCTCATCCTTCTCTCCGAGCGTTTCCACAACATCACCAATCTCACAATGGAAACTTAGACACGAGTTTCTTCGCGACGGTGACCAGCTTGCGGCTCGCATGACGGGAACAATCAAGGTTGATGGCGTGAACACTGACTTCGAAAGTTTCATGTTCGCCAAAGTAGACAAGGCCAGCCGCAAAATGGAGTATCTGATCGAACGGTCCATCTGGGGTCCTGTTGGTGGAGCGTCGACGAAGGGTGCTTGACTGCTTGAGCAAGGAGAGAGGGGGGGAAAGTACTTTACCTACCTAGGTATATTTCGATCCATTATTGTCCTCCCCTAACAACCATACTACATTCCACATCACCAACTCACGGGTTCGGTATCCTTTTCATCTTTTCATTGAGGTAATTGAGTTCACTATTGCCACCTTCTTAATCGTGGGACTTTGTGAACCTGTCATGGCTCTAGGGTACATATGTAGGATGTCGAGAGCGCGGATAGCAGTATTCGCGCCACCAACCATCTTGATCAACACACTACCACCACATTGAGTATCCTAATTACCCGCACCAGGCCCAGTTCTTACCACTATCGTATTTGCACGAGGTTCCCTTAGCACAAGTGCTCTGAGTTTTCCACTTGCCGTTGGAGCAAACGAGAATGGAAGTTTTCCTATGCATGGTTAGTATATCTGCCACTTTAATGAGGGAGCAAATATAACTCACGGTTGGCCTTTTATGGCGTGGCAGGTAACACTACCGGACTTGCTGCAAGATTCTCCGGCTTTCGCTCTGACGGATAAGTTGGAAACTTCGGCCTCAGCCTCAGAGGCGGGGAGGGCGTTGATCAGGCCGGAGACGGCGAGGAAGAGGGAGGCAATGGCGAACTTCATTTTGTCTCTGAGAGTAGGTTTCTTGATGATAAGCGGAAGGAAGGTTGATGATAGCGGTGATGTTCTACAAACTCGTGTCTCATCGACGGGGACCTGGTTGACCTTTTATACCCAGGTCGGAGTGATATCCAAAACGCTCTGTTGATTCAGTCGTAGCGATTGAACCACTGGTAACAAGAACTTCAGTCAATGTGGCGTACTGGCCCTGTTCTTCAGAGCCACCGGGTAATTTCTTTGGAGGCTCGTGAGATATGATCTTTGGTAGTACTTTAGTGAACCCCGTCCTGATGCCTGCCATACATGACACATGTAAGCTTGGCATCTCCACTTGCATTGGCAACGACGGGAGGCGGAGAAAGATTGGTTGGTTACCATTCTTGAGGACTACGGTTACGCAAACAGACACTTGAAGCAACTGAGTCTCGAGACATCACACCTTAGGCATCTTGAACGAGGCATATGCCTTGGGGCTCACCGCAAGATGAATACGAACGCCTAGTAGCGATGTAACGCTCTTGGCCACCAAAGTCCCAGACCAGAGATACAGGGGCACCTTCCTTTGGTGTGAAATGGTTTGATTTGACTGAAATCAAAGCGGCGAATGTATTGTCGGCAATTGCCCGATTCTGACTTTCGGCACGAATGGTTTGATTGAGTTAATTCCGCAAGTACCAGAAATTACCAAACTTGAAAGCTTGGAGCCGACTGCATGATGTTGGGAGATATAGTTCAGTTCCTTAGCAATGCAGTCAATTTTCCAAATCACATTCCCAAGTCAGTTAATTCGAATGGTAGGACCACAGTAAGAATACAACATGGATGGTGGCCATTTCGACGAATCCCTCAAAACACTATATAGGCGTTAAGCTTCCATCCAGTAAATATCTTAGAAATCTACCTAGTATTTACTACTACTACTCTATCTCCCTAGGCTTTTATATAGAATACAGTGTGACGTTTCTTTGGGAGACTTTAATATAGTTTCGTAGAGGATATACGAGGTATCAACCACGTATTTATACCCCTCGAATCTTTGCCCTCCATGCTTAACTTTACTCCACGCCAACACATAAACTATGCCCAAACAAGAGCACTAGATGGACGACTCGAGCATGTCTACGGAGGGGCTTCTCTTAGCTCTTCCAAGTGCACAGTGCCATTAAGCTCACTCTCTTCTCGGTGTTCTGGTGCGAGGCCATTGTCAAGTTGAATATCTTGGTGAGAGTTTGAGTATAAAGTTAAAAACAGAAAAATAAGATGCCAGACCCTACATCTCAACACAATGAATTGCCAGGTTGAATATATTCGTCCAACCCATCGCTACTCGCTGATATTATTCGTCTCCCAACACAATGAGGAGCAAAGCCAGCTGTGTAATCCCAATATAGATGGCTATGAACAATTTTATCACAAGCACAAGCTTCTTTATATTTACAAGGGTTTAGTTAGATAATAGATGTATAGGTCATAAAAAAATCAATCCAACCAAAACAAGCAGATTGATGCCATACCGCCAGCATCTCAGAACAAATGAATAAGCTTCGCCTTAGCTAACAGTGGAGTTTAACCATCCATACCAAGCAATTGAAACTTGGCAAGACTTTCTCAACGGGGAATGGCTGGGCAAATCCTGATCCACTAGGGGGAATCCAAGATATTTCGCTTTGCCGATAGCGGTGGACAATCCGCTCCACAACATCTTGCGGCAAACTCCGAAGAACCTTCGCATCTGGGCGCGGTTCGCCGATGGCGGCTTCTCGTGTAGCAGTAGTTGCTAACTAGCATCGAGCTAAATCCATATGGTCGGTGGCAGTACAGTTAAATAGAAAAATAATTACGATGCTCTATTGAATTCGTGAGCGAATATGACCATTGAGCTTTGTCACCTCCTCAAGAATCCGCTATCATGACCCAAACAACAGCCTCTCCACCTATCTGGAACGGTGTTCCTGAGATTATAGCCAGCGGATCTCCATACGAAATCGGCTTCACACATGGAAGCCAGATTGCAGACAGGATCGCTGTCTGTATGGAAAACTACCAGCGTCTGTTTCTTGAGACAGCCGAAGCTGATTGGCCCGAGTCAAAAGCCCGCGCTGCAACATACCTTCCCTCACTCGAGCAGAATGAACCTGATCTGGTCGAGGAAATGAAGGGGATTGCTGCTGGTGCGGGTGTCGAATTCCTGGATATCCTTGCCCTGAACTTGCGCAGCGAGATCTCCTTGACCAACTACTCTGACGGTTGCACTTCAATATGCATGGCAAACCAGTCAACTTCAGAGGTTTTCGTCGCCCAGAACTGGGACTGGGTCGGCGAGGCGGGTCTATCAACCGTCTTTTTCGACATTTCAAAAACCGGCAAGCCTCGGATTCGGATGATGGGAGAAGCAGGAATTGTTGCCAAATTTGGTATCAATGATGCTGGAGTGGCTATTTGCATGAACGCCATCCGATGCGGCACCGTATCGAAAACCCAGCTCCCAGTTCATCTCGCCATGCGACGTGTTCTTGAGTGTCATTCATTCGACGAGGCTTTCGATATGCTTTCGAAGAAAGGCATTGCCTCTTGCGCTAATCTTGTGATTGGAGACAAGAGCGGCAAGATCGCCACCATCGAATGTACACCCAAGGGACTGGCACCTATCTTCCCCGACCCAGGCTCCTCTACCACTTTTCACACGAATCACCTTTGGTCGCCGAACATCCCTAAAGGAATCAAAGATCATCCTTCCCCCAACTCCTTCTCGAGACTGGAGCGAATCAAAACCTTGAGTGACGGCCAGGAGGGAAGCATTGCCAAGATTCGAACGTGGCTTTCTGACGAAGTTGGCACACCTACATCTATTTGTCGATCAACGCCACCCAATACAAAGGGGATCGAGCGCATGGAAACCCTTGCTACAATCATTGTAGATCTAAAGGCTATGAAGGCCGAGGTGTCTTTCGGCAAGCCGTGTCTTAACCCTCCAGTTCGAGTTTTAGAGGTGTAGAATTCCACTTAAGGCAGGATAGAATAATATTCGCAATAGATAAAAATTTACGTAAACCAAGAAACTCAAATTTATTCCAAAATTCAGTGTGAGAATGAGATATTTTGTCGCTAGGCATGGACTTGTATCGGGAAAGGTAGATGAACCTTCAGGACCTTAGGCAATTTACCCTCAGATACGTGATTTTCTATTCATGATATATAAAGGAACCCCGGATACTGCAATGTTATGCTAGTTCAAAATCCGTGGGCATGATATCCCACTCAGGCGCCCATTCCAAGAACTGGAAGTTATCCAGCTCCACATCATCAAAGAGGAATGCCTCGACTGGCAACTGAATATGCGATGCCACTCTCTGGTTCCACGTAAGGGAGCCATCGGATAAAAGAAGATTCCGTATCTCCTCTGATATGGATGTTTTATCAGCAATTTCATCACTGCCAGGATAATACCACACAGTGATTCTCTCAAGAAGCGGTTGAAGTCGCTGAGCACATGCCGCTGCCTCATTCCAGCGTTCGCCTATGTTTCTAAACATCTGGAGGCATTGCGGAATGCGGCTCTTGAGAAGTTCCTCGGCGAGGGGGTGTATTACGTGACAATTGTACAACGTCCAGCAAGCCTCCAAGGCGATAACAACAACTTCGAACAGTATGTGGACACCGTGCCAGGGGTAAAATAGCCTTCGTCGGCTCTCTTGGCCATGGTAGTCGTCGATCAAAACAATCGCCGCTTGGAGTACCTGCTCGCGATCCTCATTCGTGCGATTCATAAGGCGTGGCGTCGGGCGATGAATCCTCGCGCGTAGGTGGTGGTACTGCACATGTTTGAATTCAAGCATCCCGTATTGAGTGTAAACCTGTGCCGCCTCATACCAAGTCCCCAGGCGTGTGTTAATGTCAATGATCCAAGCTTCGATACTCATGCCACTACTCTCAAGAAGGGTGTCCTCGAGGTGCAGGACCCTATGCACCTCCGTCTCCAAGGCTCGGTAGAGGCAAATGTGGCTGGATGCTGACTTTCTCAATAAATCCTCATTCGTAAAAAGAGAGTTGAATCCTTCTTCAACAAACAGCTCGCGCTGGAACAAGTCAGTCCCTTCAGTCAACGCGAAAAAGGAGGGAAAAAAAAGGAAAACTAGAAAAGGGCCGTGGAGATTCCTATTGCTTACCTTTGTTGTGATAGCTTCTTCTGGAAATGAAAGAGGGAGGCGTAGATTAGTACACAATGACCGCTCCATCCCATAAGTAACCCAAAATAATTCCGCGCGGAGCCGGCGATGCTCAAGGTCAATATTTTCAGTGCATTCCCTGTGAAGGCCAAGATTGAGAACGATCCTCACAGCATCAGAGATACAAGTCCAGTTATCAACCCTCTCTGGGCACATGTGTGCATAGTGGGCGAGAAGAAGAGAAATCTGAAGTGATTTTATCTCACTCTGTTCTTCAAGGACCTGCAAATGCTTCAATGCAGAGTTAAAGAAGGATTCCGAGGCAGCTCTTGCCTGGTCTTCAGCTTTCCAGGTCAGGGTCATAGCCGATATCGCTAGAGCGATGAAGAGCACAAAATATTCGAAGTGGCCTATACCAGAGTCGGCGGGGATTCCGTGGAGGAGAAGGGAGCTGGTGTCGCCAAGTTCGTCCATCCCGGTGCGTTTTACGATGTTCTGCAGCATCGCCTCGGTGATGCAAGGATATTGCGGCAAATGCATGTCTGCATAGTTCCTGATCATACGTGATATCGCAGAAGAGGGTATGCTCTTCAAACTGATTAAGTTGCTCTTCTTAGGCTGACTTGGAGATCCGTCCTGTTCCGTGGAAGAGTGAGAGACGTGAATAGCCGAGTCAGAGCCTCGATCTCGAACAAGCGCAAGCGGAGGACAGGAGGGACGGAACACAAGAGCTGATGAGATCTTTGAATGTAAATAAGAGTTGGAACTAGGCAGCCCAAAGGATATGGTGGCCTGGGCTACTTTAGATGCCATTAAGTAGGGAGTGTTCTGTGTCCCGGCCTGGAAGTTCAATACCTGACCTTCGAGCTCGGCTACGCGGGCTTCAAGAGAACGAACCAGACTGTAAATTTAGCCGTAAGCATAAGATATGAGACGTGGAGAGAAGTATACTACCTTCTCGGGACGGCAGATTTAGTGACAGGATTGAAACCGAGGCATTCTGTCTTTGCCAGCTTGCACGGTGTGCATGCGGGAAACTTGAAATCACACTGCTCTTTCAAATTAGTCTCCAGCTTATACCCTAAAAGCAAGAGAGAAGGGCTGAGAAATAGGAGTGAGAATGAAGCTGGTGTGCTCTTCTGCCTTGCCTTCGTTTTGCGCTGCCTACACCTAGCGCAGACCTTTGTTGACCGTCTATGTGACCGCTGCATCATTGGCGATTGGTCCAGGAATTGTACGCTGATTCTAGGAACGAGGCATGCTTGCTGCTTGCTGCTTGCTGCTAGTGCTGGTGAGTCGGTATGGAAAGGATAAATGGGATTAAAGGATGAGCAGGGGCATCTCTGGTGAGATTACAGCGCTTATACCCCCGCATTAACTCATCAAAATACCTTGATAGCGGGTCATGACGATTCATATTAGAGCCAGATAAGGCACTAGACTGCCATGAGTCTTGCTAGTTTGAAAAGATGGGCCGGCTTAGGACTAACTCTAGGGAGTTCCGAGTTCGGCTACAGTGAGGAGAGGAGAAGAGGGCACGTGAGACGGGAACAGATCGAGAGGGGAACATCCCAGTGGCCATCGGCCAGCCACATGCCCTGGAATGAGAGTTGACCAAGACCTAAAGACTGCCTTTTACTGCAAATCGCCACTGTATCTAGCTTCGCCAGCTGTCGTTAATCCGGCTAGCCATTAAGCGACCACGTTCGTATCGCCTACCATGCTTCCAACATGCACAAGATGTCGCACTCGGCGAATCAAGGTTCGTTCCTGGGCGTCTGGGCCTCTTGATGGGCATTCTCTGGATCGATTGAGCTGACCTTTGGGACAAAAACCCCTGTAGTGCGATTCACAGCTCCCTGCCTGCGCCAATTGCACCAAAGGCGAGTCTGAATGCACCTTTCGAGACGAAGCCGTGCAAGAAGACATCCCTCGAAGGTAAGTTATTCTTCTAGATTTTATGTGATAGCAAGTCATGGTTGTCTTTTTCCCAATCAATTTCCACGAAAAAAACTAACTTCGGCTCAAAGCTATATCCAATCTTTGAATGACCGCATACACGAACTAGAATCGCAAATCTCACTACATCAACAACGCCCTCAATGGTATGTTAGAATACCATGTGCTTCGATGATAGAGAGAGCAGATGATCTAACTCTTCCATCCTCTGACAGCTCGAATTCTTCTGTCACCTCATCGGACCAGCCTTTGCATGTCTACGCCCCAGGGCCTGGTTCTGACTTGAATCTTGACCTTTCTTTCCCATCCCTTATTACCATGATTACATTTGAAACACTCCAGGTAGCTCATGATATTTCTGACCTGGAAATACCTTCTGAGTTAGAATTTACTCTCCCAAATCCCCCGCCCCTAGAGAGGTCTATTCTCTCTCCCGTCATAGTGCGATCGCTTCTCGGACGATACAGTCGCTACGTGCACTCTCAATATCCTATTCTGGAGCCCGATACTCTCAGTAATGATGGTGCAAATTTCAAGAAACTAGCCAACAACCAGAAGGTCAGGATTCTTATGGCCTGTGCCATTGCTGCGGCACGCGAAGCTTGCCGGGCGCCAATCTAGAAAGCGTACGCTCAGGTCTGTAGAGATTGGGCGAGTGAGCTGATATCGCCAACCATCTCCACGGAGGATAAAGATTCCTTAACCATCATACTACTACTTGTCGTATATGAACTGGCTGATCCAATGAGAGGCCTTATCTGGGAGCTTCTGGATCTAGCTACGCGGACTTGCTTGCAGCTGGGCTGGCTCCACGCTCCTCAGTTCACAGATCAGTCTTCGTCAATCCTCAACGAGGGATCTCAGAAACAATTCAAGGCACCATCATTAGATCAACAACGGTTGGTGTCTGCATTAAGAGACATACATGGGTACGTCGGTCAATTCCCAATCCTCCCTCAGAGCCCCTGTTTAACTCTTGTTCCTCACCTCTGTCGGGATAGATCTCTACAATCGATATATCACAGGCCCAGCATGATGGATGCACTTAAATTCACAACTAGTGACAAAGAAGATCTTTTTTCCGCTCATATCCAACTTTATGATCAAATATACGGCAGCGGTCGAATCTACGAAACCCAGGGGTGCCCCTGTGTTGGAGAAGCTTCAACTCTACTTGAGAAAATAGGGACTTTCCAAGGCAACCAGGACATAGTCAACGAAACCATTCTGCTCTTCCTCCCAGTTTGCGTTCGCCACAAGCAATGCATATTCTGCTTCCAAGAGCCCGATGGAGACTTCACCCAAAAGACAATGGGAGCTCTGCGGCTTAAAGTTGCCAGCGCGGCGTCGAATTTGATATCCAGCGTGCACGCACTATCGCAGGGGACGGAGGGATTCATCTCCCCATTTTTAGGAAGCGCAAGGGCGTTTGTCTCCGGTTGCTGTATAGCAACGGCGATTGCGAAACGGTGGATTGTCGCTGCTGACTTTTTCAAAGATATTCTCCGGTGCACTGAGATCCTTACCCATTTTGCTCCCCACTGGAAAGGCGGGTTCAGGTATTTACACATTTGGCGAAGCATATTAGTTCCCTTAGAGCTGTCTTAAGAATACAATTGAAGAAATCAAACGAGATGTACGACTGTATTTGGTCCCAGAAGTTTTCGGTGGAAACCATCTAAAGAGAGTGCCTGTTGGCTGAGTTGTCAAAATGCTAACATTCTACTAATCACTTCATGCAAAGAGATTTTCTCGCTTAATAAGGCCGGAGTGTCTTCTCCAACCATTATCAATTAACTATTCACCACCAAGAATCTAATGAGCTAGTATAATGAATACCCTTAAGGCTCTATGTTGCGTACTATGAATTACATGGCATATCGGAAGTACGGGTTCTTCCTGTCCGTCACATCCTGCTCTCCCAGCAAACGTCCCTCGTTCTCCTGCTCCTCCTTAGAAAGGCCGCTTTCAGCAGCCACGCGGTCGCGTCGTCTGTTCTCATATACGTACCAAAGCCTCCACATGATGATGACAATCACTTCGAGACCAAAGCAGGCAGAGCATGCAATTGTGCCGCTGAGGTATCTGGGGGCATCTACGGTTCGGAAGACCTGGGCACCAACCATGTTACCGATACAGTACGCAATAAGTGTCAGCGAAGATACGACAGTTCGCTTTGTTCCACCAGCAACGTTCGATGTGACTGTCACGGATTAGCATAGAGCGAGAACTTTTTACATGCAAGAAAACTCACCAAGACTCCATCCGAGGAAAAGGGCCAGCGAGAAGACGACCGTGATGTCGAACATGCCCCATTTAAGCCACTTGTGTTGAGGCGTATTCGGATACAAAGACATGACAAGGAGTCCAGCAAATGGTAAAATGCATGCCACGATCATGATATACATGCGCTGGTTCTGGAACTTCCTCAGGTACAGGGCCACGGCAATGAAAGTCACGACGTATATAGCTAGACCCAGTTAGCATCGTGTGATATTTCGGAGTCAGAATCTAATTTACCATTGCGAGGCAAGCTGAAAAGCATAGATCCCCAGGTGTCGAATCCGAAAGTCTCATAAAGAAGAGAACTGAAGGTTGTAATGCCGCTAAGATATTTACGTTAGTTATCAGTGGTGTCAAGATGCTGATAGTGCAGCGTACCCATTTGGAATGCAGGCCAAAAATGTATTGGCGAAGCCGAAATAGACCTGGGGGTCCCTGAAGCATTCCCAGAAGTGATCCCAGTTCCACTTTTTGCTTGTTGATTCCTCACCAATCTGGTTTTCGGCGACTCGGGCGATGCTGCAAGTGGTCAGCAATATGAACTAGATATGTCTTAAGCGAACTTACGCCATCTTCTTCTCTTCCTCACTCAGCCATCGAACCTCCTGGGGCGAACCAAGAATAAAGTAGCAGAAGATTGCTCCAACCAAGGTCAAGGAGCCAAGGAACAGTGAAATAGTCCTCCATGCAGATATAGATCCCTTGTCTGTGACATATCTCGCGATTCCGTACAGCATCAGGTTGCAAACAATTGTGAAGAAACCCTGCGATGACTGCCAGAACAGAGAGCGGTTGGCATGTTCCTTGGTTCGGTACCAGGTTCCGGTGATGAGCAGGAATCCGGGGGAGATGTTGCATTCGAAGAACCCCTGGAGAGCTCGCAGGGCCATGAGTTGAGACCAGCTGTTGCACGCACTGATGCACAGGAGGCAGATCGCTAGATTTCTGTCAGCTGCAAATCAAGGAAATAGTTCCAGAAACTTTCTTACACCATCCAATCATATAGAGTGTAAGGACTCGACCAATTTTATACTTCTGAAGAAGCCAAGTCGAAGGAAACTCGCCAACCAGGTAAGTAAGGTAGAAGCTTTTAGTCGATGATATTAGTTACCAATTTAATGAAGAGATTACAAGGTATAGCACTTACATTGTAGTCAGCCATTGGAACTCTTGGCCAACAAGACCCAAGTCCTTATTCATGCCAAAGAGCTGAACCTTGTTAGTGCAGCTACAGGGTGCCGTCGAATGGGCGAAAACCTACTGCCTGAATGCTGATGGACGTTTTATCAGTCTGCTGGATTCCATACATGAAGAACCTATCGCAGTTAGCTGTCTGTCTTATTGTTTTTTATATTAAATGCTGCTGGCATGCGACTAACATCATAGGAATTAGGTAACGATCGATCTTTCTTGTCAGTTTCTTGTACTGCTCCTCAGTGTATTCTATTCATTCAAGTCAGCGTGGGCCTCATAACATAGATATGACGGGGCACACCATTTGTATGTCCCATAGAGACCGATTCGACGGGTGCCAGCTCCAACGAGCCTGCATCGACCTTGTCCTTGGCGTCCTCGGTCGCCATTGTGGAAATTGGAGTATTCAAAATTTTCTGTGAAGCACTGAAGCCAATGCTAGTGATGCGAGAGGCTCTTGGTGGTATCAAGGAGGGGGGAAAGAAAGAAAGACTTGACTCTTATACGAGTCAAGATCCAACCAACTATCCAGGATATACCCCGGGTCGGCGGTTTCGGTGGAAGCAGGTTGAGATTGCCAGTTGGCGACTCGCAACACCCAAATCCTGACTACGCCCGTTCTCAACGCCTGTGGGGAACGGCGGGTCGCGTGGATAAGACTCGAAATAGCGGCGACCAGTTATCTAGCTTTGCTGGCGGCCCCTAATCAGCCTGGCCCCTCGGAGATCCCCATATCTGAGGGAGAAACTGACGGGCATCACCGAAATGCGGAGATACCGCACCGCACCATGCCCTTGGGTCTCAATTGTCCGGGGTAATGTCATGTTGGCTTCAGATTTCTTCAAATACAGAGTGATAAGCTAAGAGGAGATCGGAGTGTGTGTAGAAGACTTCGAGCGAGAGACAACCCTGCCCTGGATATCGATTACCGACTCAACGAACCACCATGTCTGATCAAGGTCCCACCCCAGTTCCCAATTCAACCAAGTCGTTTTGGAAGACGCAGCCACATCGTCTCGATAGTCACCGCAGCACAGCTCAGCTACCGGCTGAGAGTGACGTCGTTATCATTGGTGCTGGGTTCGCCGGAGCTGCCCTCGCCCACTTCATCTATGCCGACAACCCTTCCCCACCGTCAGTGGTAATCTTGGAGGCTCGCGAGGCATGTTCTGGCGCAACCGCCCGAAATGGTAGGTCGTGTGCCAACAGGAAAGCAAGTCACCCCATGCTTTGTTCTTAGCTAATCTAATATCCAGGGGGCCACTTAAAGCCTGATGTCTATTTCAACGTGCCTAAATATATCAAGAAATACGGCAACAAGGCAGCCGTGGAAGTAGCCAATTTCGAGGCATTGCAAGTTTTGGCAGTGAAAGAATTGGTTGAAAAGGAGAAGATTGATTGCGAGTTCACTCTTACTCGAGCATGCGATGTCATACTGGACGAAGACTTGGCCAGGGAAACAGAGGAAGCATTTGCTGAGCTTTCAAAGTCAGGCGTGGCGAATCTCACCGATGTTCATTTCACACCTCGTAAAGATGCAGAGAGAGTACATCAACCCCTTTTGGCATACACAAATTGTCAACAAAATGCTAACAGACTAATCACAGGTTTCCGGTGTCAAAGGTGCTCTTAATTGTTTTACTTTTACGGCTGGCCATGTCTGGCCTTACAAGTTGGTGATGCATCTCCTCGCTGGCGCAGTAAATAAGGGAGCAAATCTGCAGACGAACACCCCCGTCACTCATGTCTCTGAAAAGCCGCTCCTTGACGGCCGCTGGCTCGTGACAACAGAGCGAGGAACAATCAAAGCCAAAAAGATCTTGCTAGCCACAAACGCGTACACGTCACGCATTGCGCCTGAATTCAAGGATCACATTGTTCCCGTACGGGGCATCTGCAGCCGAATCGTTGTACCAAAGGGGTCACAGGCCCCATTCTTGCCGCAAACCTACAGCATTCGTCATGGTCCATCGCTGTACGACTATCTTATTCCCCGCAATGACGGCAGTATCATCGTCGGCGGAGCAAAGCCTAGCTGGTGGTCGGATACCTCCCAGTGGTATAATGTATCTGACGATAGTAAACTCATCGAACCGGCGTTGCCGCATTTTGAAGGCCTAATGCAACGAACATTCATCGGCTGGGAGAAGAGTGATGCGTATCCCGATAAAATATGGACTGGAAGTAAGTCTAACCTGAAGAGTCTCTCGTGATCTAGGGCGTTGACTGACCCGCATCGTGAACAGTTATGGGATATAGTTCCGACTTTATGCCATACGTCGGTGAAGTTCCTAAGAAGCCTGGCCAAATGGTTTTGGCTGGGTTTTCGGGCCACGGCATGCCACTGATCCTCCTTTCTGCGAAAGCAATCGTCGAGATGTTCTTGCATGGGAAGTCCTTTGAGGAGACTAGTGTCCCTTCTGTGTTCAAGGCCACTCAAGAGCGTCTGGATAGCACAAGGAATGAAATCACGGAGGGACATGGATCGGAACAAGAGAATCTCAGGAGCAAATTATAGATTAGCATCATGATGTTTTCCCCTAGATGTAGTTATTGTAACTCCAACACTTTTGCCTAAGAACTTGAATGTCGTGTATTTGTTTCTTTGACCCTATGAATCATGTGCCATAGGATATTTGAAAAGTAAGTCCCGCCATCTTCAACCTATCAACTAGGTGACAAAAGAGATGACAGATCAAATTTAAGAGCAGCCAGAGCGGTTTCCGCAATAATTAAAACAATATAACAATATACAGCGATACACGTTGACAATTTGAGTTACCGGGCACAGACCTGCATATAGTGCTTGGGTGTGCCAAGTTCAATGCCGTCAACATACCAACTACTGGTTGCTCCAAGACCTTGCGTGACTCAATTCATCAAAAAAGGAAGATGAATTGAGATATTCTTCATTGAATTATTTTATTTACTATCCCTGAAATAGATTGCCTATTTACCAGGAGCATAGGCAATAATTCCATCTGCCAGAGAAGACAGGTCCTCTGCAATCACCTCCATTTCGCCGAAGATATCCTGACAGGTCTCCTTTTCCCAGGTTGCTGCCCAAGCACCCTTGAATCTACAGAGAGTCTCAGTCAGTATTCAGGAGTTATCAACGTTCATGGAAATTAAATCTCTTACCCGCAGTTGCGAGCGGCTGCTGCATCCCACATATGTGCGGCGGCAAACCACACATCAAGATCCTCCTTGGGGAACTTGTCTAGGATGTACTGGTATGAGTCTGGGGCCGGCTTTCCAATTCCAATAGTGTCACATGAGACAAAGTTCTCCGAAGGGAAGTTGGCATTGGCAGCTTCCAGATACCCTGCTACACGCTCAGTGTCACCCGCTGTAAGAGCCCAGACGGTGTAACCAGCCGCGCGAAGCTTGGAGAAGCACTCCAGCAGACCAGGTCGTGGGGTCAGCTTGCGGTACGATGCCAACAGAAACTCGCGGTCCTCATCAGTGGCAAATGCGCGGGGGTCTTTTATACCCGCTTGCCATAGTGTGCGATAGAAGATGGAGCGGAATATATCAAAGAACTTGATATATTTGCCTGAAACACTGAGGTAAGTGTACTCCCTCTCCCCCGCTTCCATCCAAGCGTAACCGAAGATACGGGAGCCGATGCTCTCCTTCCTGAATCGCTCTCCTAGTCTGGCCTCAACGGCTTCAAAGAAAGCATCATAGGAAACCAACGTTCCTGGGACGTGTTAGGGTAAATTGCTTGAGGAGCATAAGGTGCAGATCATTAGATGTTACGCACCTACAACGTCGAAGACGACGTGCTTGTTAGTTGAGGTAGACATTGCGATTGCGAGATGGTTTACGCTTTGGATTGAAGCCCGTCGGATTATTTGTTATGCCAGCGACAATCTAATATCGCCAATGGTGATATAAACCTGGTATAATAAATGACGGTGTCAAGAGTTGCATCTGGTTTGGGACGCACCCCTCACTAAGAAGCGTTCGGCGAACCGCGCTAGTTAGACAGTCTCAGACGGAGAAAGCCGACGTGACATGACTGGTGACTGCGTTTGTTTCCTCCGATAAGCTAGCCGGGGTGGGCCTGGGATTAATTGTCAGTATCGGAATGCAGCGATCACAGCATGAGGCAGCGTGGTCAAATACGATCAGTATGGAAGCTCTGTCCCGAGCCTCCCCTAGGCTTCTCACACTGGCATTGATTATTCTCCCTAGCCGTAGAGCAGTCACCGATTTACGAAGACAGATATGATGCGGCAATCTAGAACACAGTGATGGCTACCCGGATATTATGCCCAGGTGGAAACACTCCGGTGGCTGGTGGGGAACTATCTGCAGCTTTACCGTTTGCACCAGCTATAGCGGCGGCTGATATTTGCCAAGTCGTATGGCAGCTATGTTTGTACACAACTCAGATATTACGGTGTAGAAATTTGACATAATCTATGCCCATAATCTTATATAGCTAGCTATTCATGCACCTAATTCAAGAAGCGAAGTGGCGGTATCTCTAATACAGTCTTAGAGCGGTTTAAATTCAATCCCGAGTATTTCCCTCGCTCGTGAATTGTCATAACCGTACACATCAGCAGGGAAGTCGTCCCGCGGATTTTCTGGAAGCCGGGACGAAAGCTCAGGATGAGTCTTCCGAAGCCCATCCACAATTTGCTTATGCGAGCAGTGTCCCGCAACGAGAAAGAAACGCTTCCCTCCAGCTTCAGGAACCTCAATGGCCCTCACGTGCGCAAGTGCAAGGTCTCTGACATCGGTGAAAAGAAACGTGCCCGTGGGAGGCAGGGGGTTGTCTTTGTATTTACCCTGGATAATATCTCGAATGTTCAAATTTGACGTGTTGAGCCGATCAAGATTCTCGAGGTGGTGAGCAATGGGGCCATAAACAAGTGGCGGGTTGATAGTGGTAATATCGAATGAAGGCTTTTCTTTACCCAAAAATCCCCATGCAGCTTTTTCTGCAAACGTCTACATAGCCACGCGGTAGTCAGAAAACTGCTAGGCTTCAGGGAAATTGCAAAGACCTTTACTCACCTTGCTTCCACGATATGTCTTGGATGTATCTGACAAAGCCTCGTTCCATGTGACAGGATTCCATGAGCTTTCATCATAAACCTTTGGTGGAGATTCAGTGTTTACAATGGCTGCAAACGAAGAGGTCACAACCACACGTTTTACCTGGGAAGCATACTCCTTGACAGCCCTGAGAATGCCCACGGTTCCATTGATGGCCGGTTCGAGAACATCTAGAATAGGGTCCTCAAACTTGGCCAGAAACGGAGATGCAGTATGAATCACGTAGTCGAGTTCAGGGCTAGACCGAACGACCTTGTGCAAGATTATGATTAGCATCACTCTATTTTTACATCCAAGGGAAGCTTAGAGGGCTCACAGCATCGAAAGCGTCCTTTTGAGCAAGATCGCCCACGATTGCATACGAAAGTTTGGCCTTCAACGTCTCGGTTTGCGCTTTGATAATCTGATCGCCCTTTTCCTGCGAGCGCACCGTTGTGATGACGGTGTACCTAACATATGTAAGTGTTGGTAGGCAGAAAGATGCTCACTCATTAGGACCCCTACCCCCGCTCAAGGAGAATCCTGAGAATGTGAGCAGCAATAAAACCGCTTCCACCTTTTCAACACCAGTCAATGAACTAGCAAGAGACAAGAGATGCAGGTGGGGCGCGGCTTACCAGTGAGAAGTACCTTTGCCATCTTGGCAATGCCTTAGAGGTTTTGGGTTTTATTTGTTGCCCGGTTGTGACGAAGAGAGAGATATTCGCTTCCCAAAATGGAACAGACAAAGCCGTTATAATAGATAGTTAACTTCCTAGCTTAAGGGCTAGGAGCAAGAAACTCCCTCCCTTACTCAAACTCTGACACTGGCTTCGTCGGCGGAGAGCGTCAATAGTTGCTCCACCAGCGCGGAAAGCCGACCAACTAATTATGTGGCAGAATAAGCAATTGAAATTCCCTGGTGTAGAAATGCCCGGGTTGGTGGCGGCTCGGAGTAATGACATGACTGGCTATCTGAAATTACCTTGTATCTTGATCGAAATATCATGATCACCGGCGCCTCTGCTAAGAACACTTGTCCAGCCTCTTGGATGGGAATTACATTGCCGGCAGCGGTATACAAACGCCTGTTGCGCAAATAGCCATAACAATACTCTACACGGACTATCATGGGGCTTCCCTTCGAAAAACCGAGGAATCATCAAAGAAAAGCTGGTGCTCCGTCTTCTACACATTATTGTGCAGTGCTCTACCAACCTAAACAGCTGCGTGGTTGTATAAGTTCCTTTCGCTGTAAAATACTCACAGGATGCTGTACGTCCAGCTAAGAGCCCCCCCTCCAAGCAGATTCTCTCGTCTCCTCTTCATGTGGTTCTGGCCCATTGCGTAGGTATGTTGGAAAGCATTTGATGGGGCAAATCCTCTTGTAGCTCGCTGCCACATCACTGTCAACAGCGCCCATGTCATCTCTCATTGAAGTACAGATGGGAAGAGCAAGTTCAAAAATGAGGTTTAAAGGGCCACCTGCACTCCTCAGCACTATCATGTTCGCAGTGGTTTAATTCGTTTAGCTTTCTGCAAAGCCCAAAGAGGTGGATGAAATCACGAGAACACCTTGCAAGAACGACAAACATTACTGAAGACGGACGAAGTCCGCTTGCGTTTCACTTTTACTGGGAGTATTGAGACTGCCGTCACATATTTATAACGGCTTGTTGCGGATTTAATTGCTGAATTCAGTGTTCGTGGTGGTATAATTTAGAAGTACTACTTTTTCGTGGCCATATGAAAGAAAGTGACTACTCTTGTTTCAATTTTGGTTTCAAACAAAGCGATCAGACCCAGATTTCAGCTACCTACGTCCTACACTCGTTATGGAACTCCTGGCTAGCCACCGACAGTCTCTAGATTCACCGTGTACTCTTTGGCTATTGCCCTCGATCAACATGGTGAATGTTTACAAAGGCGGAAATAAGACTTATTAAATAAAACTTACTAATGTTCGACTGTCAAAAAAGAAATTGCTGGTTTGTAAGGATGACTGAAAAGAACATCATCAAGCTGAAGACATCGCCATTATATATTTGGACGGTCAGTACCGACTAACTGTCCTTCAAACCCAGAACGTAATTCCAACAGAATGCCTTCTTCACCTTAAACGGATGATGATGACTGAGGTTGGGGAGGAGTAAAGTGTTTACAAGCCCTTCATCCATACGTTTATGCCATGAACATGATACTAATAGAGCATAAAACGCAATCCAATAAACAGACATCCCAATGGGAAAAGTACCAAGGTAGAAGAAGAGCAAAGAGAATAGAAGAGAATAGCTAAATGAGCTATGTATTGCAGACTGTGGTGTGTTTTACCCTAAAGGAAAGTTAAACCGATAATACTATGCAATATCTCTACAATATCATTCATTAATTAAATATAACCAACATTGCTTTGAAACTGCAGCATCCAAATATGCACCATGGATAGGTAATGTTACAATTGAAACAAGTCCAGACACCCATGATGACTTATTATCACCAGGAAGCCACCACACATATCAAAGCGTGAGGATGGAAGCGCCAGCACCAGTAGACCAGGAGACCTCCTACCCACAGCAAGCGTAGTGGGTGTGGGCTGTGGTTGGTTACAGTGGCTCGTCGCCTAAAGCCCCTGGAAGGTCTCCGCCAACATATACGTGCAGGAGTGGAGGCTAGCTTCGGCATCACTCGGCGGCACTCCCGCTTTCCCCATTGAACGATCGCTGATGGCTTCAGTCATGACTAATATTACGCCGTCGCAACTGCAGTGGAAATCCAGAGATATTCAAAAATGTCTCTCCCCGCGACTCCTCGCTCCTCACCTCCCAGATAGCAAAGCAGCAAGTTCACAATGTCTCGCCAGACGCTCCGCCGAAACATTCCCACCGGCACAGGGCTCAAAGCCAGTCTCGCCGCCCTCGAGTCATCCAGCCCAGCTGAGATCAGCATCACAGCCCCGCCCGACACTGTATGAAACCATCTCAGTTCTTCCCGCATCCCCTTCCAGCTTATTCACAATCTACAGGTCGACGCCCTGACCGCCCAAGGCGACTCCTTCACCCTCACGTCCTTCACCGCCGCCGACGCCCACGAGCTCGGCCACCTCCTGTACGCGCGCCTCCTCCACGCCTCCAAGCCCACCCTCATCTCCATCGCGACGGCCAGCGGCCTCGTCCTCTTCCAGACCACCACGGGACCCGGCGTCCAGCCCGACAACGAGACCTGGGTCCAGCGCAAGCGGCGCTCCGTGCTGCGCTTCGGCTCCAGCAGCTGGCTCCTGCACTGCAAGTTCGCGGGCGACGAGGCCGCCTTCGCCGCCAAGTTCGGCCTGAGCCCCGACCAGGCTGGCCAGTACGCGATCCACGGCGGCGGGGTGCCCATCCGGGTTGAGGGCGTGGAGGGCGTTGTGGCCGTCGTGGTTGTCAGCGGGCTGAAGCAGGAGCAGGATCACGGGGTCATTGTTGATGTCATCAAGGAGAACTGGGTGCCTGTTAATTGAGGTGAGAATGGAGATTGCATAATTCACAATTTCTGATTCCTTGATGCATATCTTTGTGAATGCGCGTCGCGAGTGGAACAAAACAAAAAGCCCCTCAGATGGGCGCGTCCTCTGGCTCCCCACCTACCCTGTATACCGCCAACCTTGGTCTTCGCATTTTGTAGTCGCCTGTGGGATCAAAATACGAGGGAATACCTTGAATTCGACGGTTTCCGATTATCGGAGCGGTGATTGCATTACATGCCAATGCAATGATCTAGAAACAGCAGGAAGATAGAGGTAGATCCTTGCCCGATGCAATCCGTCGCGCAGCATCAAAGCCCGAGGTAGGATGCGGGGAGAATGCGGCGAGGAAGTATAAAAACACAAGGACACAAATGAGCGGGGATAAGTTTTGATCATTCCCTGCCGCCAGCCAGCTGTATCTGATCCTTCGTAGGGATCAATCCTGTTGCCTCAATTACCTATAGCCTGAAGCGTACCCAGTGAGCAACCGCAGCAATGTTGTTTAAGAGTAGCAGCCCAGACATTGACTGTAAGTGACGGCGTACCCAGCACCACTGGAGCCACGTCTGACCATGATGTTCGTCCAGTGCCCAAAGACCTCACCGTGTGGACTTGGCTCTTCGCGTCTCCCCATTCACCGCTCGCCAGAATCCCCAGCAGGGATATCAGAGGCTTTACAGATGCTATAACTGGAGAACACATAAGCTACAGCGATGTCAAATCACACACCACACACGCCTCAACTGCATTAGTCAAGGACTACGGCCTCAGGGAGGGGGACGTGGCCATCGTGTTTTCACGGAACACCGTCTGGTATCCCGTAGCTGTTCTCGCTGCCGCGCGCGTCGGCGCCGTGGCCTGCGGAGTGTCTCCCGAATACAACGTCGATGAACTCACATACAGCCTCAAACTCAGCAAAGCCAAGTTCCTCTTCACCACCGAAGGGGGGCTGGAGAGAGCCTATGCGGCAGCATCAAACGCAGGAATCGCACATGACCATGTGTTCCTGCTGGAGCCGAGCACCAAGGGCGGTAAGACGAGCCTCCAGGACCTGGAACGACGTGGGCAGCAATACGGCGATGACGGCCAGGTCAGCCCGTTCAAGCTACCGGCCGGCAAGACGAACGGCCAAGTCTGCGCGTACCTTGGCTTCAGCAGTGGGACGACGGGCCTGCCCAAGGCTGTGATGATCTCCCATGGGAACGTGATAGCGCAGTGCCTCCAGATTCAGCAGATCACACCCGCGTCGCACGACAAGGGCCTTGCGGCGCTTCCATTCTATCACATCACGGGTATTGTTCATCAGCTGCACCTGCCTGTGCTTCTGAATGCCAATACCTACGTCCTGACGAGGTTTACAATGGAGGGATTTCTCAAGGCTGTGCAGGACTACAAAATCAAAGAATTGCTGCTGGTGCCGCCCATCATCATTCGCCTGGTTCGATCCCCGGAGTTGGTTGGAAAATTTGACCTAAAACACGTCACGCGCTTCTCGTCGGGTGCCGCGCCATTATCTCAGGAAGTCCTGGCTCTACTGCAGAGACAATTCCCCGGCACGGGCTTCAAGCAGGGTTATGGCATGACAGAGTCGTGCTCCTGCATTACCGCACACCCGCCGGAGAAGTACGACTACAAATACGCTCACAGGGTCGGTGCCGTAGTCGCCTCGACCGAGGTCAAGGTCGTCGATCCGGAGACGGGGAGGCAGTGCGGTGTGGGCGAGACGGGCGAGATCTGGGCTCGCGGGCCGCAGATCACCATGGGGTACTTGGAAAATCCCAAGGCCACGGCGGAGACGTACGACAAGGACGGGTTCCTACACACGGGGGACATGGGGCATTTCGATGAGGAGGGTCTTCTGTCAATCACGGATCGGCTGAAGGAGATGGTCAAGGTGAAGGGCATTGGCGTCGCGCCGGCCGAGCTCGAGAATCTGCTGCTGGGACACCCGATTGTCAATGATGCTGCAGTGTGTGGGATACAGGACGAGCGGGCAGGGGAGCGACCCAAGGCGTTTGTTGTGCTGGCGGAGTCTGCAGGGTCGGAGCCAGAGCGTGCGGCTCAGGAGCTGATTGATTTTTCCAAAGCGAAGACGGCGAGGCACAAATGGATTGCGGAGGTGGAGATTGTCAAGGAGATACCGAAGAGCCCGTCGGGCAAGATTCTTCGACGGAAGCTTCGCCAAGCCCCTGGGAAGAGCGGGAACGTGGTTGTTCGCGATGATGTGCGAGCGCGGTTCTGAGCATTTGGTGGAAGAAGGTTGCTGGTCGGAGTAGCCAATCAGGGCGCGGCGCTGCGATTTGCTCGCTGTTGCCTGTGGCTTCGACTCACTGTCCAATGGCTGGGCCTGGCTGGGGCTGCCTAATGTTGATTGAAAGTATATGATGGGAAAAACAACGTACTGTTTCCGAGCGCATAGCTCATATGGTCTAATTGAAAAGATACAGAGAAAATTAGCATTGCCCCTGCACAAGGTTGACAGAATGCTCTCAAAGCGAGCCACCTCTTTTTTTCTTCTTTTTTCTGCTGGCGATGATATTTCCTGCCTGCCCACATCACGCAGCCTCGGCTAGGAAACAGCGCTCTCTCCCATACCGCATTCAAGGCCCTTGGCGTGCAAGCCACTGTGCCTCCTTGCATTTTAGGAAAGACCACAGAAAGTAACCGCACTTGGTTCGATTCCCGAACCTGTTTCTTTTTTCCCCCCTGTACCTGCTTCGTCTTTGCTGGGTTGACTTCGTGGCTGCCTAGTTGATGTGGCCAATAGGGCGCCGTCTAACCAAGCCTCAAATCCTCTTTCCACCCTGTGAATACGACAATGAGAAGCAATTGCAGATGAACAACATGTCTAAAGGAAGGTAGTTACGGTTTTTACATCTGGCCACCTGACTTGTATGCCCATTATCTGCTGTCCCCCTTTGCAAATCAAACCTATTGATCGGTGGCCTTACTTTCCACCTGGAACCCATTTGAGCCACGGTAACCACGATTTGGAAGGCATCTACTGTACAAAATGACGCGGCACTCATTGCGGCTCTTCCCTCGAGCATGCGGGATTGACGTCACAGTGTAACATGCGCTGATTCCCGAAGATCGATCCCCGGGTGTGTTTGGCTGCTGGTCCGCAGCATATATCAGCAGTCACATTAAGTAAGGGTCCTGCAGGGGTATCACGGCTTGCTGACATGGCTTTGACGACAATTGATGATCCGGTTGAAAAGATCAAGGTGTCTGCTGCTTCGTGTAGATTCGAAGCCAGGTGAGCGAAGGAAGGCGCGAAGACCTAAAAACTTGCAGACTGTCGTCAAAAACGTCATCAAGCGATGCTTTCCTCGGCAATTGAGAATGGCCACATCTAGAATGGGCAGTTTCAAGCGGGATGAGTGAAGCAAGTTCCTCTTGCTCGATGAAAGTTTCTCTTGCCTGCGTAAACAAGAGGTAAACAAATATCAACAGCCCATTTCCTTTCTTCTCTCTCTTCTTTCTCTTCTCTCCATCCACTGTTCACATCAAATCATCATCTTGACTACCGCGGTTCTTTTGGCATCAATACTTTGTTCCACACCATCATTCGCGTGCTCGCTAGAACAATCATCACACATTTCCATTTTCTCCCATTCGCCGCCTTCTTTTTTTCTGCAACCATGAAGTTCTCCACCGTTCTCGCCTGGGCCTCGTTGGCTTTGGCTGCCCCTACCCACCCTGCCATTCAAACACGCGACGACAACGCATTGTGCAAAATCTATGGCAAGGTTTACAAGCTCGAAGAACTTGTCTATTCCTCCAAGGTTAAGATTGGTATGTCTCAATCCGTCACCCCCATTGCCGGCATCCCAAGACATTGAGTTGCTAATGCCTCCATCAGTGGCAGCGGTGGAGGCCTCTGTGCCTGACAATGCAGCCAAGACTGCCGCTGCCATTGAGAAGGAACTCGAAACGATCAACACTGCCATCTTGAAAGTGTTTGGCACCACCAAAGGCGAGATTGCGATTTGCTGGCCCGCTCTGCAACAGGAGGAGGAACCCGACGTCTTCACATGTTTCCTAGAAATCTGCTCCTCTACAGCCCAAACCTCCACCGACTTGCAAGCCATCCTGGACTCCATCTCCGGCCTATCAGCTGACGTCCGAAAAGCTCTGGGCGAACAATTGGGCCTCTTGAGGTTCCTGACCGCGCCGGCCCTCGAGTCCATTCTGGGCCATTGCAACAAGTTGACCGAGCAGTGCCCAGTCTAAGTCTGATATTGACCTTGTCCTCTCAATGGTTGATTGATTGACGAGGACTGGCCATGCAAGTATGGCTCTCTTTTTTCTTCCAGGGTTCCTGGGATGAAAGAATATCGGGGAGGAGAATGCTTTTCTTACAGCTCTGCAGCATCCAATCGTTACGACCCTAATTGAGACCCAGTTTTGTGATTGTCCGGGGTTCATAGAGACAGTTCGTTGCATACAGCCAGCTGTGGGAGGATAAGATGGCATGGTTTCTTTGCTGAGCACTACCCAAACAGATTAGACTAGTATCAATATGATTCAGTGTTACTTTGAATTCTTCCCATCTGGTTCATTCGTGATCTATTGCAGTAGTGATGTTACCCCATCGTATGATCTTGATCCGTTATCATCTTTCATCCCCACCCTCCCTGCATGTTCGAGGCAACATTGCCTCCCTTGATCTGCCAACTTGCCCACAACCCGACCGATGGGTGGATATAGGACCGAAGAGATAGAATTTTAGAATTTTAGGCCAGATTCGCTCATCAGGCCAAGGCTGTATGGGTAGAAAAGTCGCGTGGGGGCTTGTAAAGATGTGTCAACCTTTGCGGCTGATGGTTGTCAACTCGCAAACAATTATCGCCAACATGCACGCCTCCGGCACGTTTTTGCCGACAAGGAGCTCTTGCAGGTGCGTATCTCTATCCCGAGTGGACGTGATGGGTGGGTTACAAAAGTGCGTGTAGCACGGCGGAAATCCTGGGGATTGCGCCATCGAGGCAATCTCGACTCGTTCTCTGCAGCCCCTTTCAGCGCCGGGAAGGTCATCCATAGCAGCCAAAAAGTCACGGGCTTCTGCAATTGACAATCGCAAAAAGTCTTCGATTGAAAGACCAGATCAGGAAGGTGGAAGGGCCGTCCGATGGCAACATTACGAGATGCGCCTATGGCGCGACACGCATTGTTGCGCTCGTAATTCGCCGTGCATCCAATGCTCCTCGGCTGGGCGATCCGTGTTGCTGCCAATGAGTCCGGTCTGCTTGCACCCGACAATGGAAGGCATGTCAGCCAGACAATTGCACCATTTCGCCCCTTCACGCAACCGGACGGTGTGGCGATCGTATATAGCGGTGGCCTGGCCCTAGCCCAAGCCGGCGGTTGCGTGTCGTGTCTCACTTGCCCAGCAGGAAAAAGTAAAAGTTTATGGAGGAGGAGTCTCATCTCGCCGGCCATCATCATCCAACTTTTTTCCATCAATCATGGGTAGGTGAAATCGCTACTGCGAGAGGTCTATGCCTTCTTGTTCTGACTGTTCTCTCTCCCTCGCAGCTGAAAACGCGGTCGGCCTCACCACGGCCAAGGTCGTCGAGCCCGTCGTCGAGTCCGCCATCGAAGAAAAGGCTCACCATAATGTCGCGTCCGTCGGCGTGAGCGGCGATGCGGACTCCAGCCCTGCGTCTCTCGAGGCCGGCAACGTTCCCGACAGCGACGACGAGCTGTATCCCCCCCCGACTGCGGACGAGCGCAAGATGCTCCGGAAGGTCGCCGACTCGATCCCCTGGATCTCGTGGACGCTCTGCATCGTGGAGATGGCGGAGAGAGCCTCGTACTATGGCGTCAAGGCCGTGTTCAACAACTATCTCCAGTTCCCGCTTCCGGAGGGCGGTCCCGGCACCGGTGCGATTGACAAGAGCAAGCCCAACTCACATGCCGGAGCTCTCAACATGGGTCTGCAGGCTTCCTCGGCACTGGGTCTGCTCTTCACGTTCCTGGCGTACGTCATTCCCATCTTCGGAGCCTGGATTGCCGACACCAAGATCGGTCGCTACAAGGCCATTCTCCTCGGTGTCATCATCGGGGCCGTCGCTCACGTTATCATGGTTGGAGGCGCCGCACCGGCAGTCTTGCAGGCAGGCAGGGGAGTGGCTCCCTTCTTGATCTCCTTCTTCCTTTTGGCCTTTGGAGCCGGCATCTTCAAGCCCAATGTCCCGCCCACTGTCCTCGACCAGTACAAGCACCAGCGTGAGTATACCAAGGTTCTCAAGTCGGGCGAGAAGGTCCTCGTCGATCCCGAGACGACGGTGAGCCACATCATGCTCATCTTCTATGCGTTCGTCAACGTTGGCGCCTTCTTCTCCATTGCTGTCGTTTATATCGAGAAGTACCACAGCTTCTGGCTTGCGTTCCTGGTGCCTGGTATCGTCTACTTCCTGCTACCGCTCCTGCTGGCTTTTACCTACAAAAGAACAATCCGTGTTGCCCCTCAGGGATCAGACCTGAACCGATTCACCAAGATCACCGTTTCAGCACTCAAGAAATCCAAGGGCAATCTGTTCTCCAGGACCTTTTGGGAGGATATTTCTCCTTCTACACTGGCCCAAACAGGTCACATCGCTCCGTATTCAGAGAAGGATGTCGATGATGCCAAGCGAACCTGGCAAGCCGTGCAGATCTTCTTGTACATTCCCATCTGGTACATGAACGATGGTGGTGTCGGTAGCATCCAGAGCAACCAGGGAGCTGCCATGACCAGCGAGGGAGCCCCTAACGATCTTCTCAACAACTTCAACCCTCTGACCATTCTTGTCATTTCCCCCTTCATGGCTCATATTGGTTATCCTTTCCTCGCGGCCCGGGGAATCAAGTTTGGCCGTATCTCGCGAATGACCTTTGGTTTCTCCCTGGCTATTGTATCAGCTTTGATTGGCGCCCTTGTCCAATGGCGCGTATACGAGACGAGCCCATGGTGAGTGCAGACCGATCTTTAGTGTACATGTCTTTGCGATGCTAACTTTTATGTGAACAGCGGCTATGAGGCTAGTACTTGTGACGACGTATCACCCATTAGCATTTGGTGGCAGCTGCCCAACGTCATCCTGGGCGCCGCCTCCGAGATCTTCGTCAACGTCACTTCCTACGAACTCGCCTACTCCCGCGCCCCGGAGCACATGCGTGCGACGGTCATCGCCATCTTCCTCTTCATGGTGGCCCTGAGCAGCGCCCTCGCCCAGATCCTCCTCCCGTCCCTCATCGACCCCCATCTGATCTGGGCCTGGGCCGCCCCCGGCCTCGTTCTCCTCGTGCAGACCGTCATCTTCTGGTGGAGGCATCGCGGGATCAACGAGGACGCCTTCATGACGTACGAGGAGGACTTTAAGAAGCCGATCATCGAGGAGGAGAGGAAGGGTGAGGAGGTCAAGATTTGAGTCGGGTCAGGGGCTCCCATTCTACACTCGTGGTGGCCTTGTCATGCGCACGATGAAGCCTCGACTGGTGTTTTGTTTGGTCCTGAGAGTGGCATAGCGTCTCGACATTATAGGTGGTTCGCTTGTTTGTGATGTGGAGGACAGTCCTTTAGTTAGTTAATCAGATCTATTTCTATATCGGAATAAACATCGATGACATTAACTCTAATCTTTCCAGGAGGGACTTTTGTTGTGCTCTATAACAACTACACGTTCTCAATTATGGTAGCATCCTTGTAGCCTCAGTACCCAGCAACACTATGCATTTTCTGAAAGACCTTGAATATGTCTAAAAACATTATATTAAGTACTACCATATACACATAATGATCAATAAATACATATAAGATTAACCCCGTCGGTGTGGTGGAACTTCAACAACGAACGTCCCTTACACGGCGATTGTGATCTCCCCGCTCTCCTTGGCCTCCTCGATCAGCTTATTGTACTCCGCAAGCTTCTCCTCATAAAGCTTGATGAGTTCATCAGTATCCGTGATCTCTTCGTCTCGCTTGCCAATCGTGGCGTCGAGGCCGGTGAAGGCTCTGGCGAAGGCGTAGAAGACTTCGGCTAGTGCATTGCAGATGATGGGGAGACGGGTGGATTTGCATTGGGAGTGAAGACTGAGATTGAAGTTGTTAGCAAAATCCCCGTTTTTGGGCCCATCACATCTTCTTAGCCCCCTTGTGCGCTCTTCTCTATCCCTGGTAGGTTTTCAAGTCGAAGTGCTGGGGCTGTCAGAAGGGGGGAGACTCACTCTGTCTGGAACAGCGTGTCAATCTTGGTCTTGGCGCTGCGGGTGAAGCGCTTCTGCTTCCTGTAGTTTTGGTAGCCAAAGTCGCGTCGCTGGCAGGCAGGCTCGAAGGGGAAGCCGAGAGGGTTGCCCAATCCAAAGGCGCAACCGTCGCTGGTCCAGTCCAGGTCGGCGGGGACCTTGAACTCTCTATGGTCGCTGAAGGAGGAGAGGGTCTCCCCGAAGAGGAGCTGGTCGACGTTGGCCTCTGGGCTCGGGCAGAAGTCAATGGCGGCGGGTAGGGCTGTGGCCACGGAGGCCAGTGAGCAGAGTGAGAGAATGGCGGTTGTGTACTTCATGATTAATTATTAATTAATGAGCGTGGTGACTGGAAGAAAAGAGATATCCGTGAAGAAAAGAAGATCCAGTGGGAAGAGAAATAAAAAAACCTCATTCTTCTTCTTGCTATTTCAACAACGCACGACGAAATGAGAGCGGGCCTCATGTTCGGTTCCTCGGGGAAGAAGCGGTCACACTCATCCGCCTGCCGCACGTGGGCTTGCTGGCAATATCACCGAACCCAATTTAAAAATATCGATATTTCAGGTGCGGGAGACGGTTCAGGAAGGCTGTAAGATGGTATTTCCCGAAGCGGCGGCGACTCAAGGCTCGAAGGATCCGAGGCTTTCTTGTCTCGCGCAACCGACGTTACATCGGGAGCTGCGGAAACGGCAGGAGAGTAGCCACATGGCGATTTTGTGCCAGGGGACGTTGGACATTAACATAAGCTTGACCGTACAATCTCCAGTTTATTCCTCTTTGGGGGCATTGGCAAGAATGCAGCCGTTCAATATTTCCACTAGCCACCTGATTCCCAATTCCTATACGCGTTAAGGATCGCTTTCCCTCCCGGCCCTAATTTAAACGTCTCTATAATATGGGCCGACGGCCTCCGGATGGGAGGGTTTGCGGTCCGCGTGAATGTTCTCGAACAGGCTGGCAGGTTCAGATTGCCTATCTTCTGGCGCGGTTGTTCAAGCAGGATTGCAACTCCTCAGGTAAGATTAGTTTGATTGACATTTGTGTCACTGATGCAATTATGACTTTGTCCAAAGATTAAAAGTTCTATTGGGCGAACAGGAACACCCCTGGACACAGCGAGTTGGGTAAACGTCCGCACGGCGGTTGCCTTTTGCTAGAGTAATAGATGGATGCTGTCGCACTGTGAATGGCGTAGCTAATAATGGGCGACGCAATGGTGACGGGCGTTTGTGGTCAAACACTGGGCAACGAACCTTGGTTCAATCACTACCACAACCACTGGTAGATAGTCTTTCGTGCCCGAGAAGCCAGGTAGGTATCCATATTTCCTCTCTTCCGCCGAGACCAAGTTCCGGTGGACTAAAACAATCCAATGATGGCCTTCAACAATAGGTTGGTGTTGTGCCCAGCTGTTCAAAACCTTGGGAGCTCTTTCTCGTAATCCGCGCCTGCTCTTGGTGCCGATCCCGCTGATCGAATCATCTCGTCCCTAGCGAAGTGACCGGGCAACTGTCATTCCTCGCTAACCCTCACCCTATAAGTATGATCAAACAATCTCCGACAATCCCAGTTTGAGTGTTGCGGTGGCTCGATTTAGTAAATATCATATGTGTTGCGAGAGAATCTCCCATTCCCGCTCGCGACAGACTGTGTCAAGGAGCCCGATCGTAGCTCCTCGTGCAGAATATAGGCTTGGCCAATTAAATAAAATCCTCCTTGAGGCCTTGGCCGCAAAATCGACGGGAGCTCACTGCCAAAGAGAGCCACGACTTGGTCCCCAGGTTTCATCCTTGATGGACCAAGTCCTATGAACCCGTCGGAGGTGGTAAATGCACGCCGGTTGTGTGCCGTCTGGTAAAGCCCTTTGGGATAGGCCTCCGATAGGTTTTCGAGATCGTCCCAGTCAATGTCTTCATATGCAAATGTGTATGGCTCGACTTCTATTGCCCTCGCCTTTTCCAGTCCGGAGAACTGTAGAAATGGATCTGATTCTTGCTCTGCGGAGGGGATCTCATTGGCAGGTCCTATCGAGTCCATTGGATTACCGTCTGTATCAGACACAACTTTTGAACCAGGCCCAGACGCTGACCCATCCAGCATAGGAGTGGGACCCGCCTGTGTTATTTCATCAGCTGTAAAGGAACTGGTTCCGGATCCAACGTTCCGTCTCATCTCGTCTTCATCTTCATCCTGGTCCGAGGCGATCCCGCATTCTTCTCGGATCTCGGCCTCACGAATTATGATAGCCATGTACCACATGTAAATCTCGGCGTTGAATCCCTTCTTATCTTCGGCGCGGTTATCCATATTGAAATAACCATTCAGGATCCTGTGGTTGAAACCGACCGCATTTTTTTGCGTGATGTCTGAGTCCGCGTCTCCTTTAGGCCAAACTGATATTGCCTTTAAGAAAGCGACATCAAGGGGCTGGCCGTCATAGTAGGTCTCGCCTGAGCGTGGAACGAATGAGGAATCAAACAACTCGTACCAAGCACCAACGATACCCCCGAAGGTATCATCAAACTCCTCACTCTTGAATCTAAACACATCTGCGGCAGCATCGGCAACGTCAAAGGTGTAGCCATCAAGACAAAGTATGTGCGGTTGCTCGGACTTCTTGGAAAAGCTGGCGCCACGAGTTGTCGCCATTGACGAAAATGCTCGGTAGTATCCCATCTTGAAGTCTTCCGCCATGTTGATTTCTCTTTTGGGCTCAAACCATTTGGGCACCCACGACGGGTATTCGCCATCTTCTGGATCTTCGATATGGGAAACATTATTCAGAATGCCGAGGTGCCCTGCTTGGTGTTCGATGAGAAATCGAGCAAAGGTTGTATATACTTCGGCTGTTGTCTTCTGGTAATCTGGCTGCAGCTCTTTTGGCATCTGCAGACGACTGGGCGAGTACAGGAGCATGGCCAATTTGATTGGCACACATAAGACTAACATCAAAGGGCGAGCAACCCCCCAATTGTCAAGATAATCCAAGGCAAAGAATTGTTGATGGCCGGGACGTACGCCCTCCCAACAGATGCCGAGGACGGAGAAGATCTTGTCGCGGGGATCTGTAGATAGGTATGGACGCGACAAGTCCAGTGTCAGGGACAAAGGACCTATGGTTCTAGGCACGAGAGGCTTCAATGCCCCAGCTGTGGCTTTGCGTGTAGCCAACATGGCCATCCACATGCTGAAAACCGAATTGTTTGGTCCCAATTCGCCCTCTACGTTGGCCGCTATGTGATTCCACGACCCTAGGAGATGGTCAAAGTTGATCCCCAAATCCTCGCATTTGAGGACCACATCCTTGGCTACCACCACTTCCTGTATACCCCATGTACGCTCAAAATAAGGTCTCTGCGCAAGGGCGACGAGGTGCGGCAGACTGGTGTCAAGATGGTCCGGGACTGACTCACTCCACCCTCCTCCCTCCTTGTTTTCGTCGCCGGCAGGCTGAAGGCTTTCGAAGGCTGAAGCCCCAACCGCCTCGGCGAGTCGAAAGGCGTCTTCAACACCGGCTGTGCGCAGGCCGACCCAGACAATGACGCGTGATGCATGTTGGTAGACACGGCGCATGTAGCCCACCTGCCGTGTACGCTCGTCGACATCATCCTGGTTGATGCAGATGGCATCGACCCAGATGCTGCGCACCTCCTTGGGGTGGCGGAGCCAAGTGAGCGCGTCGTTGAGATTTGGCCGGATTGGCACCTGGCAGCCATCTAAATAGAACGTCTTGCTCGCGGCTTCGGTTCCCCAAGCGTACGATAAGGCTTCGTATGGAGATTCTTTAGATGTGATGTTAATAACGTCTAGTGTTCCGCGTAGCGGGTCGTCCCCTGAGCCTGGGGAAACTCTCAACATCCGCGTCAAGTAGCGGGTGCGACGAAACCACGACTGGTTGGCTGGCGGCAGCGGCGCATACCGATAAGACATTGTTGAACTCTGCTTGACGCCTGGCGAGTTGCGTATTGGGTTTCTGAATGTGCAGCCGCAGTAGTCGCACCGGGCAGACAGGCTGGCGGAGCGCTGAGTCGTTTCAAGTACCTCAAATGGCCTTTGTGTGACCCGCCTTGAGGAGATTTGGCCTTGCCTAAGCTGCCTGAGCTAAGCGATCTGCATGGGCCATGAAAATTGAGTCGAGCTGAGATGTTAGTGCCGATCGTCATGCATGTCAGACTAACTCATCCTGAGTGGTGAGGAACTAGCCTCTGATCATCCCGTGATGACTTTTATGAGGACCGGCAAAAAGCTATGTATACCACTCTGTATATTGATCGGAATAGGCATTTTCATCTTGTGAGGGTTTCCTTCAGGTGCTTGTGGCAGACACAGCTATCACACTGTTATTTTGCTGATAACTTTGTGGAAGTATACCGTCTAAAATCGCCGTTAAGAGCTATTGTGACGCTAATTAACCCTTGTTGTCTTTAGGATAATCATATATTAATTGATAAGTTTCTAAGAAGACTGTGCTTAGCTAAACTTAGGGAAGCTTTATAAGGAGGATAAGCAGGCAGCTCTAGTCATCCACCGACATCTTTCCCTTCGTCCCACTCAAGTTCTTCTTCACAGTGGTGTCGAACGTCTACTTTTTGTCCATAAATGAACACTCGAGCTGCTTCTCCCTGCATGGCAAACAATCGCCCGAGAACCCAACTATCTTGGTGCATGCCTCGCCCCTCTGCTGGCAGTTCGTACACCGACCTTTGCAGATCTCTAAGTGTCTCTTGAAATTGTTGATCACATCGCACATACAGTGTGGGCACTTCCTCTCTGTATATCCCTGGCAGGCTGCAGTATCACCCTTCTCAACAAAGGCTACACACGCCTTTGTCACTGTCGCGCTCTGCTGGCAGGGGATTCCGCCCTCCACGCATGGAGCATATCGTCCGAGGCACTTTTGCTCGTGGGCGTCAGCTTGGAATGGCATGTCGAATGTTCTCGTAACCTGGCACTTGTGGCATGTGCGCGATATGGGCTCTGGGAAATTGCAAGGTATCTTTTCGCGGCAGCAACGCTGGCACTTCACAGAACTGCCGTTCTTGCTCTTGCCGCATTCCGTACCATCCCTTTCGCAACTAATGCATTTCCCCCGACAATGGCTAGCAACGTGTTCAAGCTGTGAATGATAGCAAAGAGACCACATTCAAGGCCTGTCGGCTCTGTGGGAATAAGTTCCCAGCCTTTCAGGTAGTCCGGTGCTTGAGGTTCCCCAGCCGCAGGCGCTTGCCTTCTCGTTCTGTCTTGCGTGCGTAACGACTCTTCCTCGCCCAACGACCTTGTTTGATATAAAATACTTTACTCTGGTAATCTTGGCCATCCCGATCCAGGAGCTCGAAAAAATCGATATCAATAGCTTCGCCCTCCTCCGTAGATGATTGAGGTGGTAGTACTTGTTCGCTACATAAGGCCTCTTCGGTGGATATAAACATCCGCGAGACCATCCTCGCCAGAATTTCCAACTCATCTGTAGATAGATCGGCCACTTCCTCCACCACGGACACCGTGGGACCGGTCACGTTATACGAGGAACTCCTCCCAAGATCCACCTCCTCCTTCGGCTTCACTTCTCCATAATCAGAAATCCATTGGCTCTCAACTTCGATCAAATTAGACCAGGCTTTCCACTCCCTGAAGGGCAGGCCGTCCTGCCGAAGAATCCGCATCGACTCCGTTATAGCTCGATGAATAACGTACTCTAGTCGGAGGGAAGCCCACGCTTCTTCGGAAACCTGCACATTATTCGCTACGCGCATATCAAGCTTGAGTTGATTGAGAAAAAAATATTCGGGGGCTGAGCTACGCCATCTGGGATATCGCCTTTGAAGAATGATTAAATGGGCCGAGGGTTTCCGATCAGAAACTCGTCAATAGCCTGCGGGGAGACAACACAGTACTTGGAGTTCAAGCGGTACGGAGTCTCGATCGCGTCGTGCAACGAAAATCTAGTGACCGAGTGGCCGGGGAATAACGAGAAGGTCTGATATGACTACGCCGGTAGAGTTGTCTTGCCTCTGAATCTTGCCGCGAAAAGCAAGTCGTACGATGGGTTCGAATATCCACCGACCTATTGAACAAGGCTTAGCTTTCTCATCGACAAGAAGCTGAAAGAGCTCTGGGTGTCTCTAAGGAGTTCCTTCGCGATATCCATCAAGTCTGGGTATACGAGTTGACGTCCCAGGTTCACTGGTTTGCAGAAAGCATCCCAGAAATCCCCATCGATAGGCACTTCGTCGATGTCGTCCTCCACATGAGGCTTGCCCCTTTTGTTGAGGCTGTGTTCAGGGTCGGGCCTATTCATCCAAAACTCGCTTATGCGGGCAAGCACATCGCGGTCATTGTCACAGACATACCCTTTAATTAGACGCCTCATCCATGCTGGATCAGCAAGATAATAGCGGTATCCGTAAGCCTACCCTAGCTGACTTAGGGGCAACGCTCTCAACGCCAGGAAAAGATCGTCCTTGACCTGTTCTGGCGCGAAACTGGCCCTCATGACATGAGGCAATAGTGCGAAGAATGTTACGGTCGTTTCTTATTCTCTTCCCGTTGACCTTGCGCAGAGGAGACTGGCCAGATCGTGATCAGACTTGGCCTCAAGGTCCTCCCTCATGACAGCCGCCGAGACTAGACCATGCCTAAGCCTGACCACGTACCATGCAAAGAACAACGTTTCATTTGTGCTGTAGGCTTCAAAACGATTGCCAACATGTTCCAAAAGCCAGTTGTGGTCGTAAAGGCGTTTGGTTCGATGAGGTCTAAAGAATTTACGCCTCTGGTTGAACCTTCCCGGAAAACGTTGGACAAGAGGACATTTCTTGATGAGATCTATGAGGCTTTCCGTGGTGAATGCAGGAGGAGGCAGCTTTTCCGGGTCCAATTCGTTGAACGACATCTCTTTCCATTGTCGCTTATAAGCTTGCATGTCCTTCATGATCTGGAACAGGACCAGAGTTCCATCCGTAACGTGCCGTCGGCTAAACTTTTCCTCTTTAGGAAAATCGCAAGGCTTTGCCAGGAATATCTTCGAATCCAAAAAGGTCTGCTTTGAAATGTTTCAGCCATTGCCTCGTATGGCGAAGCAGGAGGGTCGAGATGAGGATATGAAGAGTAAGTAGGGAAAATGTAAGAACACGAGAAGAGGGAGAAACAAGAAAACGAGCGAGAAGGAAGAAAACGAGCGTTTCATTACGGACTGGTGCTGAGGGAGGAGATTTTCCAGGGAATACGGCAAACGTTTTGTGCCTGAAGAGCATACGCGTCGCCGTCGCGTTGTCAACACTCTGCCGGTTTGTTACACAAGTCACGCGCACTGTAGATGATTGCATCGGGTAACAGCAACTTTCCTCAGCGTGACTTGTCAAGTCAGTGAACGATGTCACAATGTATTGATGGTTTCAGTGATATTCGCTCTTTCCAGCTGCTTGAGGCCATCGGGACCACACATATCTGCCCACGGCAGCATGCCGATGGGGGTCTAGGACTATGGACGCCAATCATTTAGGGAACATGTTGAGGCTTACAAGGCAGCAAGACTTTATATTGAAAATCAGCTAGCATTCCCAATCAAAGCAACAACTGGCTAATTAAGGTAACCTCAGAACAATCCAAGATCTAGGATCTTCCCTGCTATACGTGCGTGTTCCCTTTGCTTGTTCTTGCCTGTCACCAAACCGCACTGGGCATTTCCCGCAAGGCTACTCCTCCCGGTTCCCCTATGCGCCGACTGCCTGCCTGAGGGGCTCGGCGCCCACGCGCTGCTTGCTGAGGATATCAAGCATGAGCTGCGAAGGCCGGTTGTCCTTGTAAACAGATTGGCTGTCCTTGTAGGACTGGACGGCTCGGATGTAATTGTCAAACAAATAAACAGAGTCCTCAGGTCCTCCCTTGGCTTCTGGATGAAACTTGAGGAATGTCAGCGCGGATCCATCGTTTATCTAGTGGCAAAGCCTTCCACCTACCTGGAGAGAGAAGATGGGTCGATGCTTGTGTATCAGTCCTGTTGGCCAGTTAGAATGCACAAAAAGTGGGTCCATGCTAGAGTAGGTCCATACCCTCATTGCTATCGTCGTTCAGGTTGACGAAATATGGCCTAAAATCGCTCGGCAAACTCGAAGCTTCGACCGCGAAACCATGATTTTGTGAGGTCACGATCGCAGCGCCTGTTGTAAGATCTAAAGCCGGTATGTTATGGCCTCTGTTGCCGTATGGCAGTTTTACAGTGCGAGCGCCAGCAGCGAGCGCTATGACTTGATGTCCCATGCATACTTGGTCTGTTAGTTTTTTTTTGCTGGCGGGGAGGGTGAGCTCAAACGTACCGCCCATGATCGGGATTTCGGATGTATCCATAAGGTTCCGCAGGTTTTGGACAGTGGTCGTCAGATGCAACGGATCTCCTGGGCCGTTGGAGATGAAAACGCCGTCGAAATGCTGGGCAACTTTGTGGATCGGGTAGTCGTGCGGCAAAACGGTCACGGAGGTGCCTCGGGAGACGAGACTTCGTAGAATGTTCTCCTTGACACCACAGTCCAAAAGGGCAATGTGTAGAGATGCGCCCTTCGATTCCACCAGGAACGGGGCCTTTGTACTAACGTGCGAGACGAGATGCTGCTGTTCGGGATCCGTGTAGCCAGCGTCCTCATCCTCGTCGTAGCTTTCTCCCATGGAGATCCTGGCAAGGGAGGAGCCCTGCTCACGGAGGAAGGTGACGACGGCCCGGGTATCAACGCCAGAAATGATCGGGACGCCCTCGCGAGCACACCACTTGCTCAAGCTCTCTACGGCTGTCCAGTGGCTATATCGGGTGGCGATGTCGGAGACGACCACTCCAGCGCACTGGATGTGGGGGGACTCGAAGTACTTCAGTAGGCCGTACTGATCTCGCTCGTTCGATGGGACGCCGTAGTTGCCGATGAGCGGAGTGGTGAAGACCAGGATCTGGCCTCGGTAGGAAGGATCAGTCATGCTCTCCGGGTAGCCAACAAGCGAGGTCGTGAACACGGCTTCTCCGCTCACGTTGGCGTTAGCGCCAAACGCTGTGCCTTGAAAGATAGGCCCTCCCTATATCCGCAGTCAGTCAAGGGTCAGGACATCGTAGTCGCCGTAGGCCATTACACACCTGGATTGTGAAAGTGGCGGGCACCTTGGCTGCCTCCGCTGTTTCGCGACGGGGGTCAACGGGCATTTTCCTGCCCGTGGTGCCAGTGGGAATGGCCTTCTGGGAGAGGAACCTCGCTTGGAAGGCCATCCTGGCAGGGGCCACGGCGAAGAGCTTGCGAGCTGGCTTGGCAGCATTGAGCGTAAGTCGGGAAAGCATGGTCGCAGGTTGTTCGAGGAGTATATATGGTTCAGTAAAGTCTCAGAGGCCCTCAGAATGATAGAGACCTCCACAAGTGATCTGTAAGCCGAGAAAGGTTAGCAATTGCGACGTCTTGGGCTGGATCGGAGTGGTGATTCGGAGCGGTGAGTCAGTGCGGTCGGGGTGTGTCGTACCAGACAGATAATCCTATTGGCAACAATGTCAGCCCGATAATCTCAATTGAATGGTTTGAGCGCCATTAGATAGAGTAGATGCGTGTCAAGCCGAAGCAGGGCAGCGAAAAGGTACAGTTGAGATGCAATATTGCCAAAAGCTGAGGAATTTTCCCCCATCCATGAGGGTGGGGGCTTCACCGATTCATGCTCACGCGAGACATGCCACACACAAAAAAACAACGTACCTGGGATGTGAAGACTGACGGGCGCGCGACCATAAGGGCGATTTCGCTGGAATTGATACCAGAGGGACGTGTGGGAGTCGATTGAGGGGCAAGTCAGACGGGCGATGGATGAACTTGTTTGTAGGTGGGTGGCAGGATCGGTTTGTGGTGTTGGGGGGGAGAGGGAGAAAAGACACGCTTGTGACAAAGACGTCCCTCTTATTTGTCGATTGGTGGGCCCCTTCTTTTTTTTTTCTTCACTTCCTTATCGTCGCTACTAAGCTGCTAAGCTTGTCCGCAATCGCTGCTCCAGGCACCGCGCTACCGCTTTTTCTGGTGGGTTAGGGTCCTGTCTTTCCCATTTTCGGCCAGCTCGAGCGCCGATAAAGGTCCGATGCGATGGCTCATCCTGCACAGTCACACAATTGAGAAGCATTGAACGACAAGAAGGTTTAGGCATCTCCACGTCTAACAAAGTGAGTTTCAAGCAGACTCAAAAGCCCAGGATAACATGTCGAAAGCTATTGCGGGATGGTATATTATGGCTGTTGATGGTAGACGTTCATGTATGTACCGTCCGATGTAGCCTTTCACGTGGTGAGTCACGTGCGCATAGGTTTAGAGAGAAAAAGGTAGATTAGCTAATATTACTTGGCAAATTACTTAGCCCAGTGCATATTCCTATGGCTACGAACTACATAGCTCTCGTGTACCTACCTAGATAAGCATCTTTAATAGGGGAATAAGTTATAGATTATTAGAGTATTTATAAGTTTCCCTAAGCCACCAGACCACGTCTTCGCCAAACTCCGTCGGCCTTTCAAGAAGCGCCCAGTGACCACCCGGTCTCACCACACTCTTCACGTTGGGAAGCAGTCCAGCAGCGATGCTCCCCTGCAATGCCACGGGCCTGCAGACTTGATCGTCTTCTCCACCCCAGAAAAATGCTGGGACGTTGACAACCTTTGCCTCGTCGGGAATCGACTTCTCCGCTTCACTTTGGACCCCCCCCTTCGCGGCCTTGTACCAGCAAAGGGATGAGGCAAAACCTCCCTTCTCCGGCTTGAAGCGGTTCTCAAAGTCCCTCTTGTGCTCGTCCGTCGCATAGGGCAAGACCGCCTGTGTCCGACCGTTGCTGACAAAGTCGCGCATCCCGCCTGGCGTGCACCAGTTCTCGAGCCACGACATGGGGTCTCCAAAGGCAACGCTGTAAACGGAGTCGAGATTCTTGTCCATGATCTCGGCGCCGTCCTCGGCCGCGAAGAAGTACCAATACTCGAGAAGGCCCACCCCAAACGCCGCCTTCATGGCCTTGTTTGCCTCGTCCAGGTCGAATTGCCCCGTCGGCGGCATGTACGCCACGTTGATCATCGCCAACCCGCTCACACGGGAGGGATGATAGTTGTACAAGCGCTGGCACAAGGCGCTTCCCCAATCGTGGCCGAGGGAGATGACCTTGGCCAGCGACTCGGCATCGAGAATCTCAACGGCATCCCCCGCCATCTTGGGCCACGCGTACTCTTTGGCGTCGGTAGGCCTTGAGGTTTCCCCGGACCCGAGGCAGTCCAGAGCGACCACGCCGTAGCCATTGGGGACGAGGTGGTCATTGATGAGGCCGGCCCAGAGAAGTGCTGAGTCCGGCCAGCCGTGGAAAAGTATGAGGGTGGGCTTTGCGCCTTGAGCAGGGGAGGTGTAGTAGGTGTAGGTGTATCCCCGCGAGACCTTGAGGGTCTTCTTGGTGAGTTTTGAAAGATCCATGGCGGCCAGGCTAATTGAATCTAAACTGAACGGTTTCTTGGAAGCATATCCAAGATACATGGAGATTGCATAGAGAGGACTTTATAATGACCATGAATTTCGGGGTATTGATTCCTACCGACGCTGGGATGTTTTCAAGGGGCGCCACAGCCGAGACAGCCGGCGATTTCATAACTCCGCCGTTGGACATGGAACCCATCCTTGTAAGTTCTTATACTATGCTAGGGACTCGGGACATCGCGTCTGCCGATCCCCTCCCTTATCTTAAACAAAGAGGAGTAGTGGGCACAGACCTCTCTATTGGTAGTTGAAAAAATATTGGCCTGGACAATGCCAGTCCCCATTCCGACAACTGAGACGATGTCAGGCGGGCAGGAATAAGTCAAATAGAAAAACATGTCTCAATCAAATCCATTTTCGTTATGGTCTAGAGAAATGACTCTGTTTGAATATGCGGTAAGTTCTTCAGTGGAGTCTTGAATTCTTACTTTTGGAAATCCCCGGCGTTTGAACAGCCCAATCAGAAGATGAGCGTTACGGGAATCCAGAGACACACGTAGTCGCTATGGCCCAGCCTGTCGGTGGTTTCAGATTCTCCGCCTCCCCACATTTTGGGAGGCGACAGTGAAAGAAGTCGAGGACAGTCCAGTCTCTGGGCATCATACTCGCAGCAAGAATGCCGCGACCCATGTATTCGGCAATGTCACTACATGATTCTTCCTTATTAGCAGTACACACATGCGGTCGCTACTCCAAATATCGTCCCCTTCTATTGTTGACATATTCGTTTTAGGCTTGTAACTACACTAGACAACTGAAACTTTTGATCAACGCCGGATGACGTGAGCAAGGTGGCCACCTTTACCCCGGTAATGGAATGCCGAAGCAAGGGGTAGACTCCACAGGCTTTATAAAGTGTTGGGAATATCTCGGATGAGTGAAGGCCACGTTCTGTCGGCTCGAACGATTGCTTTTTCTGGCCTTACGAATCAACAAGACCAAGCACCCTAGAACGGGCCTAATATGACACGACTTTGGCTTTGATCGTTGGCTTTACTAGTTGGGCATGTTGTAGGGCTGTTGGAGAGTGTAAGCCAAGTGGTCGCCAGAGTGGAAACACCACGTTCGACTACCCGATACCAATTTGGTGATCAAGTTGGCCAAGACTTTCAATCAAACATGCATTCAAGGGGATTAGAATAAAGCGCCGTGCATCCGCTGCCGAAAGTAAAAACTAAAGAAAAAAATCGCTCTATATTGTTGATATTATCTTGATCTTGTTCATTGACCCGAATATTATCTCGACATAGTGTCATCAACTCCCTAAAATTCAAACACCAATATGAACATGCATTCAGATTGAAAAATTAGGATAAGAGGGTATGCAGATTGATTGAACTGGAGGCTCAGGTTTCTGCATGGCTTTTGTATATGAGCTGACCACACTGAAGTGTCTAGATTCTAACTCTCTAAAGGCATGGGGTGAATTAATTGGTGCATACGTAAGAGAGTTCGAGTATAAAGTTAAACAACAATAGAAGATGACATTTTGACGGGAGGGCCTTGGAACAGATGCCTCAGAGGCATTTCATGAAGTCAGTCACAGTGCAGAGGCGATTGAACTATTAAGCCAATGTTATGTTGAGAGGCCAGTTGGATGCAGACACTTTGGTAAGGGCCGCTAGTACTATGGATATTTAATCCATTATGCCTTGGTAGCTGACTCTCCTATAAGATGCCGACTTATCCCCGGCATCCTAACTAGGACGTTCTTAATTCTCGTCTTAGCCCGGCCTATAATTGATAGGCATCTATTTGTTGGAAGATGGAGTATTTCCGGCTAGTTAATTAGGAATTATAGGTTAGAAACCTTAGATATACCCTATCTCTATAGACCCTAGTAAAACCTAGGAAAGTGACTTCCTACTATTTATATATCTTAGGGGCCTAGGCTATCTAAGAATATAGGCGTTAGCTACCTATAATAGAATATAATATAGCTAATTATCTAATAGAGATTAAGAGTCTTAATATAAATCTAATTATTAAGAATATACTTAAAGAACCCTATTTTTAATATATCTATAAATATAATTATTAAAATTTAATATAAGAGGCTAGAGGACTAACTAAAGTAGAAGCTAGCCTTTAAGTAAATTATAAGGTGCTCTTATATCTAGTAATTTATTAACCTAGATAGAACTAAAGAGTTCCTAGAGAGACCCTCTTAGATAATAAAGATCTTAGACTTTAATAGGCTTATTACTTAAGATAATATTAATAATTTATAGCACTAGATAAGATTATAGATAGTAAATAGTATTAAGTTACTCCTAGTAGTTAATATATAATATCTATATAAGAAGGCTAAGATTTTCCCTTAACTTTATTTAGATAATTATACTATTTTTAAATAGGCTATAAATTATAAAAGTAATATTTAGAAGGAATATAATAATCTCCTTAGATAATACTAGATAATTACTAAGTATATAAATAGGATAATCTTAAAAGATTTATAAACTTACTATATAAATAATTATAACTTACTCTAAGAGTAATATAAGTAGCTAGCTACTTATAGCTAATATACTATTAATAATAATAAGAAGGATTAATAAGATTAGTATAAGAATATAATTACCTTTTTATAAAACTAACTAAAAGACTTCTTAGCTTAAGTTAATAACTAGGAAAATATTTATACTTAGGCTATAGTTATAAATATAGCTAAAATAAAGGATACTAGTATATAGTTTAAAGACCTAATTAGTGCCTTAAAGCTAGTAGTTAAGAATCTAATAAGGTACTTATATCTCTCCCTTAATAATAAAGTAAAGGTAAATATACTTACCTTTAA